CGAAGCATGCTCGCTCACTTGCCATAAGCCACACCGTGGTATCGGTGACGGTCCAGGAGACAACAATGCTACCTCGCCACATAGTCAGCTGCCCACCGCATCATCGCTATGTTAGACCTATCCTCACCCTGAGTCAAAGGCTGTCTTGCCCTGTTGAACCAGACGCCCCTCCTCCTAAACAATATACTACGAACTAGCTAGTGGCTAGTCTGCTGCTGGTGAGCTGTGTGGACCAAGAAAGCTAAAATCCGCTGGCGTCCCAGATGCGCGAGTTGCTCTCGAAAGCGTTAGGCTCGCGCGCGGGATTGTTCCCCCCCCCCAAGGCCAGATAAACAGCTAATGGCGCTTAATTGCAGCTTCTTTCTCGACGATGATCTTCCCAAGGCTGGAAACGGCGCTGTCAGAAAAGCGCCACGATCGAAGATCACTAAATAGGTCATGTTACTAATGCCGGTGGTCGATGCAGCAGCACGATTGGTATGTATCTTCGAATTTGGTTTTTTCTCTTTCAGCCTTTGTTTTTCCTTTTTCCTTCCTTTCGCAGTGTGGCCAGGACGAATCCCAATTTCGAAAGCGACAGGTTTTCCGCGACTAATCCTGATCCTGTCGAGTCGTCGAAGGACCTGCCACCAGCCTGTCTCTCGAGTCGTCTGAATACTTTTGCTTCCTGTCTCTAACGTCTAATTTGAGTTTAAGGCGATCATCACAGCTCCTTTTCTTTTTTGTTTTTTTTTTTTTTTTTGGGTCCCCCACGATCGCCCAATGGCTTCAAGTCGACCGGGTTGTCAAGCTCGGGAAGAAGAGCGGCCGGCTGCAGGACAAGCAACTCCATATCGGCAGATCGCCATTTTGACCCTGTCGAGCCGGACTGCCCATCGTCGCCCACGTTTTGTGCCTCAGGAGCTGCATCACCAGAAAGGATCCTAGGCCTGGCAGCGAGATGAAACAAAAAGAGGATATATATTAAACAAGTCGGGATACGCCTTCATTGCACCAGATCCTGACACAGCTGGAGTTACAAGACGGTTTAGGATACTAGTGGTTCCTTACGGAACGGTAATACGGCAACCAAACGGCGGTACGGGGGCGGGCGTAAGGTACAGAACAGGTACGCCCTCTATCTGGCGCTAAAGGTGGATCCGTTAACCTTAAATACACCTGGACATTACCGTAGTATATCTTGAAACTTTGCCCTCTGCTACAGTGCCAACGCCAGAGCGCTTTTTTCTGGGTTAAGCTCTTTCGGCGCCCTCAGCCAAGAGCCAGTCAGCCAGATGGGCGTGGGCTGACTGCGGCGCTGGACCCGGAGAATATTCCGTACAGAACTCGGGTAGCCTATGATCCGCAACTGGAGCGCCAGCCACAAGTCTCTGGGGAAACCGGCACGCCCTTTTTTTATTTTTTTTTCTTTTGGGGCACAGTTGGTTCTGTCGATAGTTTGGTGTGTGTGGACAAGTGTCGAATCGGGGGTAAGCGGTTAGCTTATCGATGCGAAGAGCCGATAACGGGCGAGTCTCAAGGCTTAATGCTGTCCTGCACCCACGCCGAGAGAGATGGTGGCCCTTGCAACAAATGGCTTGTCTTGTCTTGCCTGTGAGAACACCCACCCCCTGGCCTGGTCCTGCGGACAAGACACAGACACACACACACGCACTGCTGAGATAAGAGATGAGGGTTACATGCCCGGTCGGGGCGGACGTCCTGCATGGAACCGACCCGGGACAAGAACGTGAAAGAAAAATTACAATAATAATATAATAAATAATAGATCAAGATTGAAGGAATCACACACTGCCAAGCCCAGACCAGTTCCCCACAGGCTTTCACACAGCCCCCCTTCTCATTCGAGAGTGGTAGTATATAATAGAGTAGTCAAGTGGTGCGCGAGGAAAAGTAAAATAGAGTAGTGTACCAAGCCCAGGGGGAGCAGGCGTGGAAGGAGGGGGAATCGCGGGATGGAAGAAGGAAGAAGAGGGAGTGCTACTGCAGCAGCTTCAGTAACTAGCTAGCAGTTAATTCTTTCGCACGTAGCGACATTGAAGCATTCAGCAGCAAGCGGCGCGGAGGAGCGGCGGCAGTGCAAAGGCGCAAGAAGCACCGTTTATCTCCTCCCCAAGGCCTGATGGCAGCGCTTAAAAGGTAACGGTTTGTTGGCTGCAGGCATCAAGAGTGCCCCGTGCTTGGGACTGGGGGGGTCAGCAGGGGGGTAGCACGGGGGGGGGAAAGGCAGGGCAGGGCAGTTCGGGCTGGCGGCTGTGTTTGGCCTGTTTGCACTGGCCCGGCTGCTCTGTTCAGGCGTGGGTCGCCAAACTGGGCACGGCGGCGTGCCGCTGATGCTGAAACACGCCGTCGCCGCCCATGACGTCAGGCGCGCCCTGGCTGCCCGCTAGTTAACTAGTTAGGTACTCCGTAGCTGGTGAGTTACGCCTCTGCGCATCGTGGCGACGGGTGAGCAGCCAGGGCGGCGCGAATTGTTCTGGAAGAACAGCCCAAAAGGAAAAAAAAAGGGGGAGAGGGAAGAGATACGGTGCAGCGAAGAAAAGGAGGCAAAGCCACCACCGCCCGCGCCAGCGCCAGCCAGCGACGTCGAGAATGGGTTTGCGCGCCCGCTGGGACGCGGTGCCAGTATCCGTTTTTTGGCCGCCCCCCCCCCCCCCCCCCCCCTCTGACTCACGTGCATGCAGCAACTAGATCCCACCTCCGTCGTATTGATTATCCTTCTTTCATTTACTCCAATAAGCCCCATTCTCTGCCACCGCCAGCTCCAGCTCCAGCAGCAAGCAACAGCAGCAGCAGCAGCACATGCTGTGCGACCCTTTTCGCGCCAACCAGCGCTCGCGACCCCCGAAAAATTAAAAAAAAGGAATCGCACCAGACTCGCCCTGTTTTTGACCCAATAATGATGGCTAGCGGTGCTTTTCCCACACCCAAGGCCTGGCACTGCTGGCTGTGGTAAGTCTTGCGCGCGTCCCTTGTGACTCTTTCTCCCAATATCCCTGTTCTACATGTGTAAATGCAAAACAAAAAAAAAAAAAAAAAAACTGGACGAGGATGGGAGGATTAGTGGATGGGAAGGACGGACGGAGTATTTTCGTACGGCCAGTGCTTGTCGGGAACACACCGGTATCTATCGCTCGCTCGCTGCCCAGAGGCTTGTATGTTCTGGAGCCCGTGGTGGCGAAGTGCACGTCTCCCTCATGTTGTTTTGATCCCCGGTCCTCTAAAAACAGTCGGCCCCTCTCAGGCCGAAGCGTGACAAGACGCCGGGGAGAAATAACATCACCTCTCTTGCAGGACCGGCCCCCCTATTCTGCTGCACTGCGCTGCACTGGAAGACCAGGGACGCCGAAATTTTTGTCTTGTTGTTGTCTTGGGTAAATTTCCTATTAGGATTCCTGCTGCGCGCTATGGAGTGCTACATCACGTTCCAGGCCAGAATGTGCTCGAAACTCACGTTTCAGTCGCATAACGAAAATCTATCGGTGAATAATAATAATAAATGGCACATGAAGCACTCCCGCAGGGATGAGTTGCTTCCTTGTAGGCCCGCCTACCCACGATACCTCGTTCCTAGGATTGCTATACCAGCCACAATATCACCGAGAAGGATTTCAACCGTTCCACATTGTTGAGGAGCTGCTTCACAAGAAGCCACTACTGTGGCTGCTGCTGCTGAGGAATCTTTTCCTTCCTGGCTTCGGAGATGTATGGATGTGTACTCCGCTCTCTATCCATACCTGACTTCCGTACGAAATTGCTCTTACATACCCGGATTACGCAGACACTCTGGAGTTGTTGTCTCAAACGGGGAGCAAAATGCTTAACTGAGCAAAAACCCCTGCTTGAGGAGGATTGCCGGTCCCTGGACAGCACAGATACTACCATCGGTCAAAAGATCCTGTTTTTCAAACGTCGTGGCAAACGATGAAGAAAGAAAAAGAAAAAAAAAACAGCTCCATGCGAGGTTATCCTTTTCGGATAGCTGCATTCCCTATCCTGCGTTGTCGCAGAATAATTATTACTATCGGTATTGTCCTCCGATATCCATGCACTGCATAAATGGGTACGGAGTATACCAGCCTATCTCACTTGCTCTAGGACAATGCTTTCTTCTATTCCGGCCAGAAGCATATAGTTTACCGATGGCGTTGCGATTCTTTGTTGGGAGCTGCTCTATTCGCGACCAACAATGGACTCATCAACATACCAATCACAAAACACACACCCTACTCCATGCACAATAACAATAATCAGGCAGCTATCGTGCGCCGCTTTTCTGCAATGTGCTACTTCTCTTTCATCTTGGAAGGTGTTTTGGGTATTAGCCCTGAGAAAGAAAACACCAGTGGGTGAGGGATTTATGATTCATCTTACTTTTAGAATTTCCAAGCTCCGCCCTCTACTTTCCTTTTCCCCATTTTAAACGGCATATTGGTAGACCTTATGGGGTAAAAAAGCTCATACATACGCATGAACTCCACAATTTTTAAAAGATAGGATTCACGTGTCTTCCAACCTGAGTGTGCTATTGGGGCGAGGGCGAAGATCATGCGCAACAAACCTTCTGGCCCAGAGGACAAGACTTTAGCATCGGGATAGCCTGGAGCCGTCTAGCTGAAAGCTTACGAAGGTGGTGTTCCCGTGCTTTGAGGACAAGGTTGCTCTACGGGGTACTTCGAACACGGTGTATCTTGCAGCGAAGAACAAGAAAAAAAAAAAACAAAGGCTGGTGATATAACATGTAGGCTTTTTTGTTTAATTGATAAGGCGATAGTCTATGATAACTAGTGACCTTTTTGTTACATGCAAGCCAACGTCCCGCAAATATGTGTGATAATGCAAGCGCTAATGCTGTCTCCCTCCCGTCTTGGAACCTGAAGCTGCGTGTACAACGCGGAGACCCTTTTTTTTTAAGACCCAAAGTATTTGGGGGCCCTATGATATCCTCGCACTCGTTCTTTAGATCGCGACTGTTTCACAACCCCCCAGCTACCCCACATCTATGCCTCACGGCTCAAGATGTCACTGTCTCCAGCATCGAGGATAGTCTAAGCAAAAGCATACGCGTCAATGGGGTGATGCATTCAAAGAGTAGCTCGTTTTTCTTTATTACTCACCAGAACAGAGCAGCGATAGAGTTTACCACATGCGGTGCCGAGTTCAATCTGTGATGGTATTTCCGTTAATCAATCTTGCTCTCCAGCACTCCTCGAGAGAAGATGCCTTCGTTGAGCGACTTCGCTCTCCGAAGTCACTGCACGCGACTTCTTCTCTGAGCAATGTATCCGTGGGCAATTGGGTAACTCACGTTGTTTCCGCCGAAGTGGTGAACGGGGCATTTGGCAAGCATAGCCATCTATGTAAATGTTAGCGCTGCTGTCTTGTCTTGCTTCAGCCGAGGCAGTTCTATAGCGTGACAACGTACATATTCAAGCTCGGACTTTCGGAGAGGTGGGCAGTTGGCAGCGATGAGAATCAACTTGGCCTTGCCAGAGCGGAGCGTCTTGAGGGTGCTCTTAGTTCCAAGGGTGACTGGAAACTCGTGTGTTAGCCGGAAATGTTCCTTCTTCCTCTTCTCCGTCCTCACGGAATTTGCAAACAATTCGACAATAAGGGCAGTCGCTTACCTTTGCCTGATTTCATAACAAGGGCAAGACGGGAGGCGAGGCTGTTGAACAATGGTTAGCACGTAGCTCTAGCTCAAACAGGTCGCTTCACGGGTCCCATACGTATCGCCGGTCTTCTTAGCTTTGGCCATTGTGTCGGAGGGAAGGTGTTTGCTTGTCGGAGCTGTCGGTGCAAAGCTAGCCGGGTGTGAAGGAACGAGGTCGGCGGCGTTTCGTTGTCGGACACAGGAAAAAATTGCCCACGAATTTGATGCATCGCGAGATTAGCGAGTGTGTGTGTTGCTGACTCATCATTTTGATATCTGACTAAGCGACCAGCTTACCCAAAGAAGCTTCCGTTTTTCATCTCCAACCACCCACAACGGATGAAACCTCAAGCACCCTTGATCTGTGGGTCGAAGGCAACGCCAAATGGTGTTGTTAATAATAAATTGCTATTAAGGTGTTTGACAGGTCGGCGGAAACAGCCGGAAGAAGACAGATGCAGTGGAAATGGATCCAGTAAAGGACAAGACGCACTGTTTCGGAAGGCCAACGCACAACCTCCATGGATGCCTACTACTGCAGTAGTACTGCTTGACAATTTTAGGAAAGCGCAATTTCTCAGTCGCCGCTAGATGCCTTGAAATACTACACTCCTTGTGCCATCTGACCTCCTCAAATTATTGCCAGGGAGGAATGATTCATACACAAGATAGTGCTGCTACCTATCCAGTTTCGAGCAGACATATCGAATCCTCATTTGCCTCAAGAATTAAACAACAACACTATTACTACTCCGGCGGCAATACAGACAATACGCTGTGCTTCCCACAAGACTACGGATGTCTCATTTTGCGTTACAAGGTGGGTTCGACTCATTCGATCCCGATGGAAACCATCAACAACCCTTGAAATTGCCGTTTCTTTCTATATAGTAGAATACGCCACTTGTTGAAGATGCCATGCTTCCACCTGGAGCCGTGCTATTTTTCTTCAGCCCCACGAGCGACTTGTCGAATGGGGCAAAGGCTTGGGGACATCTTGATACGGATGCCAATGAGGAAGCACTACAATTGTCAATGATGACATTAGTATGTTGGATTTTCGCCACCAAGTCGGTTGCTTTGGCGAGATTTCCAAGTCAAAAACATGTCTGGATAGTTGTTTGCCGGCTCCGGGTTCCGTATAAAGTTATGTTGAGGAACGCCTGCGTGTGCGATGTTGCAATCTAGGTAAAGGGATTAATGTACGGAGTACTCCGTACCTTGGCTACATTACTGCTGGCAATCTCAGAAACTCCGTTGGTGAACTGTATGTCTGTAAAATGTTCTGCTAGCCGGTGAGGTAACCATGCAATTAAACTGTCCAGTTATCATACAGCTCTTTGTTATCCTTGTCAAAACGGGCTTGGTTCACATAAACCTGTTCTCACGTTGGTCCCGTATCGACATCCGGTTCTCGGGTCGCGATCTTTTAGACATTTGCAGGCGAATGTCGAATGTCGAGGGCTGACGCTTTCAAGTCAAAAGACCTTCGGCCTGTGAGAAACATGGCCCTGTGTTGCTGGGTTGAGATCAAGGTAATCCGTCAGGCATCAACAGTGGCGGGTGATTGTAGTCGTATTCTCCCTCAAGCTCATGCTTTTCGAGACCCGAGTGTATCGCAGGAAGCCAGCGCAGCCCGACAGTGGCATGACTGAAGGAATTGACAATCGAATCTAGTCTATTCGCTGGCAGCGGGTCGAGATTGCTAAGAATAACCATCGTAACTCTAAAGGCGACGTCGGCCACCGCAATTCGCCTGAGCAAACACAAGTCGTGGAAGCGCCGCGGGAAGCTAGGATGCCAGAGCTGTGTTTGACGGCCAGGCACCATGACCAAACAGCGCGAATCCAGCCAGCCGAAGATTTTGGCGCGGGCCTGTCAGTTTTGCCGCGCGAGGAAGATCAAGTGCGATACCCAACGCCCCAGCTGCAGCTCGTGCATCACCCAGAAAAAGGAATGTGTGTACGTGCTGGAGGCGCCGAAACGGAGGTATTTATTTGCTGAGCAATCTGCCCCCAGCGTGAGGCTGCGGTGGGTGAAGCTGCGTGCTGACTGCGGCCAGGCCGTCCACCGCCATCGTCAACGCGCTGCAGAACGAGAAGAAGGCGCTCGAGGACGTCCTTCTGCTGCTGAAGAGAGCGTCTCCAGACGAGGTACCCGGCATTCTAGAGTCCGTCCCCATTGTAAATGGCAACGTTGTTCTCAGGCGGCATTCCCCAACTCCAGCCGTATCAGATGAGAAAAAGCTCGCTCGCCCCGAAACGGGACATCCATCCGACGACGATGGCGCTGGCATCTCGTCGGATGAGGACCTCGACGTACTGCCATTTCTTTCTATCGACGAGGGCGGAAAGGTTGATTCTTTTGGGCCCTCGTCTGCTCTTCAGGGTCCCACCAAGCCAATTCTTCCCACTGAGCTGCCGGTTGCCGAGCATGTCCGCAACCAACTGATCGCAAATGCAATCCTACAGCGGCAGCGAGAACATGACCTTTGCTACCGGCAGGACATATTCGGGGTCCCCATGGAGCTTGCCAAACACCTGCTCGACCTCCATTGGAATCGTCAGCACCACACTTTCCTGCTCACCTATCGCCCGGCTATCATGAGAGATTTGGTCCAAAGCGGCCCCTATTGTTCTGAATTCCTAATTACTGCCATATTCGCATGTTCTAGCAAGTACTCCCAGAGAATTGAGGTTCGAGATAATCCTGTTGATCCTACTTCGTCTGGAAGGCGGTTCTTCGCCCGCTGTGGTCAGCTCCTGGCTGAACGATCATTACTGAACTCTTCCAGTATTGCAACATTGGTAGGATTACTGCTTCTTGGATCGACATACAATGCGCGCGGTGACACGTCTAAAGGGTGGCTCTACACGGGCTATGCGCTTCGCATGGTGTACGATTTGGGGCTGCACTTGGATTACAAGGCCACTACCGCAAATGCAGAGGATATTGAGATCCGCAGACGGGTGTTCTGGGGTGCATTCATTTGCGACAAGCTACAGAGCTTGTATCTTGGGCGGCCCATGACCATCCATTTGCGAGATGTTCATGTTTCCCGGAATTTTATGGACACCATGGAGGAAAAGGAGCTGTGGACGCCTTATGTCGACCCTTTGATCCCAGCGGAGAACATGGCTGGCATTCCACGAAACCCTACTCCAATTCATTCGGTTTCTACATTCCAGCAGTTGTGCCTGTTGTCTAGGATAATGACCAAAATTATCAATCGATTTTACGTGGTTGGTGCCACAGCTGCCGACGCCAGGGCTAGTCTCCAATCTATAGACGATGCCCTTATTTCTTGGAAAGACAGTCTTCCGACTGACCTCAAATTCGAGCCTTGGTCGGATAACCCGATCGCCCAACAGGCGAGACCAGCTCCTAATGTCATGATCTTGAGTGCGCTATACCACTCACTCGTTATCCTTCTGCATCGACCGTTCATCTCAGATGGCCATCTTCGTTCCGCAGTTCCCCCAGCTAGTTCCTGGAAGAGGTGTTCTACAGCAGCTAGGAATATTACCAGTATTGTTGTCGCTTACCAGGCCACGTACACATTGCGAGGAGCACCATATTTGATGAGCTATGCCGTATACGTCGCATGTACAATCCATGTTCGCAATGCAGCAGCTACTGAGAGGGACCAGCCTGCCGAGAATTCGTCACTGTTGTCCACGAGTTTACACAGTTTGGATGAGCTTTCTCTACCTAATGTTGGTATTTCTAAGCCCGCGAGCATTATCCGCAATATTATGGCTACGAATGGTATTAAATTAGTTTCAGGTATGGCACCAATTTTAACTCCTTCATCCCATCGAATACCAAGGATTAACATAAAATTTCAAGAACCGCGAGGCGTGGACATTCATTCTCCGTCATCGCTAGATCTCGATGCGATCTTGCGTATGTTCCCATCACGATCTCCCATACCCGAAGGGCTAGAGCAACCAACTACTTTCGGGCCGGGCTTTAGCCTAAGCAACGACCCTTACGCTCCAGAGGACCTCTTGTATGGATTTATGAATGGAGAAACACCCTCTTTTACCGATTTTACGGCAGACGGCGTTTTCCGCATGTGAATTCTCTAATGGAAATCCAGCGGCTCTGCGAATTCCTGTGTCGTCTCATCTCCCATACTCAGAGGACGCCAACCATCTATCTTATCAATGCCACCAAGGGTTTGCAGATTGAATGTGCTCCATAGGCAACGTACTGTTGCCGGTGATAGGGCAAGAATGGCCTTGGAACTCCAATTGCGCGGGATATGTTATAGGATTCTGCGAGGGCGAAGTGTATCATATCAGAGGGTGACGCAGGCAAAGGTGGAGAAGTGAGCGATACATCCTCGTGCTGGTGGGGAGGACGGTTGAATGTGGCCCACGGCAGGCCGTCTTGGAACCTTGAGCCTTATTTGGAAATCCTGCGTGATGATCAGATACGCAAAAGACATGCGAAGGCTTCTGGGCACCCATCAAGTGCATTGTACCACCCGTGCGGAGTTTATCCAATGGGTACCAACTATATTGAGTTGACACGGACAAAATACCGTCTCTTGATCTTTTAAATCCTATCGGCATTCATCTAAAAGGCTGATCATCGAAATGCTAGGAGAACCTTGGGGGCGATTTCAGCCATCTGGTGCTTACTACCTCTTAGCCACCTGTTTGGCGTTCGTTAATATGAGAGGATATGAATGAATCTGACAAATCAATAGGTGATTTTTGGTGGTATTTGCTTCTTTTATACTTTCCTCAAGCTAGAACAGATACTCGTCTTGTTGGCTATTGTTCTATAAGAGCCGGCCATTTACTACGATGGCGACAGCATTTTTCTTATGCCACCCTTCCTTGTTTTCTGGTTTCTTTTTTCGGAGGTTGTATCCGGTCTGCTACGGTGGATTTGAAATATTTGATGGGATCTAACTTTCTACGTCATTGGCTCAGTTGCGTATTGCGCAGTGAATCAATCGGCTGGTTGTTGTTGTACGACCCTGGGAATTTTAAATAGGCGTTCTAGAACTTGATAGACATAGAAATGCATAGTACAAACATCATGTATGGCGCAATACCTTGCTAAACACATCTAAATATTTCCAGGAAAGTGAGGTACAAATGATTTATTCAATGAGAAATGCGATGGCAAGTTGCGTCGATGTTTACTTTGAGAAAAGCTATTTTGATTATTACTAGGTGACGGTAACATTGCTTAAATAACAGTACACATATTTATGGAGCGTGAAACCGCAAGGCAATTATACTGGTATTATCAAAATGCGCCATGGAAAAGATAATATGATGAAATCGCTAGCCCAAAACAGAATAATCAGTCCGCAGGAGAAAATACATTGGATATTTTTCTTAAAGAACGATCGCCAGTTCAGACCTCGCCAACCCTTCCTCTGGTAAATAAGGATAGTACGGAATCATCGAGTCCGCGCCTTGAACATAGGCATCATTATACAATCTCCAGTATGGTGTGCGGACCTTGCGAGCAGGGTGAAATAATCCCGCCCAGACATAGTTCATCACAATACCTGTACCAACAGCCATGCGAACGGCCTCGATAGCCTCAATAATACGATCGATGACGTGGGGGCTGGTTTCGAAAAGATTGGGATAAAGAAGGTTTAGGAGATGAACCATTGCATCCTCGCAACCCAAGCCAACTACGCCCAGGGCGATATGCTTGACAACGCTGGCTGCAGTTTGTCGATGAACTTGGTCACGATCAATAAGGGCGTCTTCGAGAAGTGGTGTGACGGCGTACACGTAGTCCTTCGCCATCTCACCGATATATTCGAAAAGGAACGACATAGCTTTTAGAACACCATTTTGAACATTCAGTTCCGGAACACGGTACTCATTCATGAGGGCTGGAAGGACTGTAAAAGGAGCACAGGTCTCGGCGACAATACCAATAGCAACGGCCGTGCAAACACGAGACTGCCGCTCCTGGACCCGAAGATTGTTCAACAGCGTAGCTAGGACATCCTGAGGGCCAATTGCCTTCGCAATAAAACCAAAGGTGTTGTTTGCAGCCCGACGAATGCCTTTTTTGTGAGCCTTCAACATGTCCAGAAGTTCGAAGCAAATACGCATCCATTCGCGAGCATTGACAGACTCGGGGCCGCGGTCAGCAATGCGACCAACAAGATCAATCGTGTTTTCCTGTACCTTTTCATGTCGGTTTCGAAGGATAGGTGTCAGTCGAGGCAGGAGATCCCGAATTGGAGGCTGCATTTGGTTGATACCGACAACAGTGACAATAGACCGAAGAGCACCAAGGATAGAACCAAGGACTTCGGGATATTCTTCCCCGAGGTATTCATAAAGAAATGTACCTAATTTGCCCATCAAAGCATCCTCGCCACATTGTTTCATAACAATTGCGATGCGAGAAATGAGGTCAGCGGCCTGCTGGCGAACAGTTGCAGACTTATTGTTCAATCGCCATAAGATTGTACTGACAATCTGAGGGAGGTATGGCTTGCAACGAGTACCAAGAGCGTTGACCACGGTTCCAAAACCATTCAAAATAACGATATCCTCAATGCTTTGCTCTTGGAATGCAAAAAGAACTCCATCAATCAGTCTCTCCTCCAACCGTTCGCCAATGTCGGCAGCTCCAAGCGAAGCAATTAGTTTCTCGATTGTTTCAATTGTCATTTTTCGATATGCTTCGCTTTCATCCTTCAAGTTATTGACAATTTTTTCTAAAATCTCGCTGACCCCCACTTTCTGTCCAAGATCGACGGTAGTTTCAACGACCTGACGGAAATTTCTCCTGTCAAGAGCCATGCGCCTAACCCAAAAGGACTTGAAGAAATCCTGGAGAACGTGCTCTTTCAGATATGCTGCTGTAACGCCATCGGTACCAGCACATTGCGAGACGACCTTCAAAACAACCTTCTTCATTTCTTCATCTGGTGATGAAAACTCTCGAAGAACAATCTCCATGATCTGGCTAGTAAAGTAATTTGCTCCTTCTTCATCCATTAGGGGAATGATATACCCCACGGCTTTGAGAAAACCGGCTAGACCTTTCCCGCGCTGCTTCCGTGCGCCCATCCACAAAGGGCCAAGAATATCCTGGAAGCTCTCGATACCATAGGGGTTTGCAGCTTCTGCGAGCGCAGCAATCGCTAAACTAGTCACAGTCCGAACCTTTGCTTGCTCATCACTGAGATTCGGCCCAATGCAATCCACCAAGCCTTGTAAATGGGGTAGAACCGCACAACCCATAAGGATTGGAATTTGCTGAACAATTTTGACACCAGTATGTCGGGCTTGCCATGACTTTTTGCTGCGGCACACAGCTCTCAAAAAAGGGAGCAGAGCTGGAATGCCTAATGCGGATGCAACAACGGCGAAGGCGCGTGCAGTGGTATTTCGTACATATTCATCAACATGGTCAATATCAGGTCGCATGGTGCTAATCATATGTGCAAGGCCTGCTGCTTTACTAAGATTAGAGATAATTTCTCGACCCTCCACGCGGGCATAATAATCCTGGTCAATGAGAAGCGGCTCAATGACAACAAGGATTTTATGAACATAAGGCCGTACAAGGTCATCAAGCTTGTACAGAACACGATCAATTACCTTGACCAGCAGATGGCGTTCCTGGTCCTCAAGCGTTTTCTCCATCAGTAACGGCAAAATCTGATTGAAAAGCGGACCAGCTCCAAACTGTCGTGCGTTATCTGTGAGCTGACGTAGGGCCGTTTTACGCATTGGAGGCGTTCCGTTTTTAACTTTTAGAAGTAATCTCATGATCTTTCTCTCCTTAAGCTCATCCACGGACATAGTATTCTCATCTGCCCCATCAACAAGCTTACCAAAGTATTGCATGTCTTCGGTTTTGAAAAATTGCAAATCACCAACTCCGGGAATGTCAGTCGGTAACTGCTTACTCATAAGGCGAGCGTTCTCAGGTTCTTGCATCATGAACCCCCCAATTCCACTAGCACTGGCAACAGGTACCGGCGTAGCCATCATTTTTCGGGCAGGGTTTCTAATTGGCGCATACCCGGGCGGAGGTTCAAGGATCTTGTATCCTTCAGAAGGGAGCATTAAATCCAACTCTTCGTCAGAAAGGACCGAGTTTCGTGCGGAGATGTCCGATCCAAAGGTTGCGGGTAACAGGGGGTGAGCAGAAGGGTGCATTGGAGTCGCAAGACCTGGCTGCCCCACAGGTGTAGCCGCAGTCAGAGAAGGGGCCTGATCCCACCTTGATCTCCTTTTGGGGGCATCTGAGGGCGTAGCAGGGGCTGGAGTCTGATCCCATCTCGATCGCTTTGGTTTAGTTTCAGAAGTTTCTTCGCTCTCCATGGGAGTTGATGTTTCAGATCCCACGTCCCATCTTTGCTTCCTTTTTCTACCAGTAGTAACAGATACGGCAGAAACCGCATCCTGGTTTTCTTTATTCCCTTCATCAATTGTAAGAGTAGCCTCATGTTCAACGATACCATCTTGCCCATTTGCTTGCTTTTCTGTAATAATTTTCTGAACTCGCTCTTCTTCTTTTTCGAGTTCCCGGAGAGCCATAATCTCACGGTAGGTATGGCCTGTAGCTTCTCCGTTTGCATTGCCATTTTCCGCGAATGGGTCTGCACGAGTCGGAGTAAGAGTTCCACGATCGAAGCGTCGCTTTTGATAGTCAGTTTCTCTTTCTGATATTCTGGCAGCCTTTTCACGACCCAAAAGAATATCTTCTTCTTCGACGCCTTTGCCACTGGCGAATTCATTCATCTGATCTTTACTTGCAGTATACTGCCCGACAAGTCGATGGCCGCGATCTCCATCCGTATCTGCCATGTCATCATCTTCATCGTCAGCAGGAATAGAGGCATGGTAACCTTCGAATTTGTTGGCGCCATTACGATCATAGAGGGTGGTGTCGAAGGATTCGGTCAATGAGGCCTTTGTGTTAACGTCAGTTCGTTGGCTGGACGGATCAAAAGTCTTTGAACCTTTTTTGGCTGCAGCTAGAGCATTGCGCTCTGCCTGAAGGCGCTTAATGGTATCGAACTCAGCTGGACATGAAGGGGTTAGTTTCAGCAGAAGCGGCGGATGCTCATTCGACGTACCATCAGACATGGTGGCAACTGAGAGGACTCAGACCAAAATATTCGACAACCCTGATAGCATAGATGAAGCAGGCCTAGGTTCTTGGTCGATTCGCAAACGCTGGATGCTGTTGTCTTCGTATCGCCGCGTCGATGATGATTTCGCGGTTCGACAGAAGTTGAAGTGGTTGCTTACTAACTAACTAATGATCACTAGTGATGTGCGAATTACTAATCAAGGTGCCAATCCGCTTATATAACTAACAAATGAATATAACTAAGCAGTGCATCCATCCATATATTTTTTGGAGTACTCCGCACAAAGTATTGTTATTTTTATCATTTCATACTCACGACGGCTCTTCAGACTCATAATTGCTGATATACCTATGTCATCACTCAGGCTTGGCCGGTCAAACCTTGATAGTTATATGAACTTTCATAACAAATGACCTTCGCAGACATTTTAATATTCCCTTTGCCTCTGTTTGATAATCGGGCTACAGATGCGAATATCCCATAGTCCTATACAGGTGACCCGGTGATCTCGTTAATATCAGAATATTTTGAGATTAAATACAGATTTGGCTACAAAAAATAAAACCTCCTGGCATTCAGTGAATTATACATTGATCTAGTGGACTTATCTATCTGCAGGCAATTGGCTATTCTAAATTGCTCATATCCACCCCCAAGCTACCCTAGGTGAATGAAAATAGGTTAACTTGTCACTTTATCAGACTATCTTCTATTAAGAAAAAACACTTTAATGCCAGGAAGGCAGTTTATTCGGTATTTTTAGATACAGCTTTTTGGTTTTTTATGGGATCAATGGTCGGGTGATCAGTCGCTCAATACAACATTTCAGCTTATCGATACTGTATTTGAGAAGAAGCTCGTGTACGGAGTACAACTCAAGCATTCGACTTTCTCAGGGCATCTTGCTACCATTGCAATTTTTGCAGAAAACGGGAAGTTGAATAAATTTTCTTCCAACGATTTTGTTCCGTCATCGGCGGAACCCTCCACTATTAAGGAGTGGGGATATCATGGCTAAACATATTTAGGATGATGACAAAAGCAGCCCACGGAGTTGCACTACACTTAGTGACGTTCAGAGCAGCGGTGGTTGGACTGAACTACAGAAAGGAACTGGAACTGAGACAAGTGGAATGCATGTATATTGCGGGGGTGAAGTTATGAAAAGCGTATTCTTGCGAAAGTCTCCTTGAGTGCTTAAGCTTCAGTTGTACCTCTTAAGCGTAAACCGTTGCATAGCTACACCACTAACGCTTAACCGGGTTAAGAAACGGCACTACAGAGTACATGCCAGCAGCAGGCCATGAAAAACATAATGAAACGCACGTTTCAAGAGTCCAGACGAGAAGACTCGATAGGATGGATCATCTGTTCGCTGACCCAAAGAAGCATCTCAGAGCCTATGCGCGATCGCAAGCACAAAGGGCTGAATGTCCATCACTGCCGGTCTGAGCAGGCTTCCAGAATCCCGATCGACAGCGAAGATCTCCTCTTCATGACAGCCCTGAACGTCCCGGCGCCATACTGACGAACCTGTCGTGAATTTCTGCAGGGTGTTGGGTTTCCAGCAAAAAACAACCCAGACGCCACCCGCGAAGCGAGACCGATCACAAAACGGCCTACGATGGCTGGCGATGCCTCGTGAGAGCCGGTCTGGCCGCCCATTCTGATCAGTTTACGCGCCGCCATTTCTTCCCCACCGACACCAATTTTAGCAAAATCGCCTTTCTTAGCTTGCCCTTGGCTGGAGGGGACAAGGCCCTCCTGATCCTTGCCTGGAGGCCGGGATTGCTGGCCTGCGAACGGCATCAAGGATGCCAAACCCGCATCCCCTGCTTGTTTAGTGCCTGTCTTCAAAGACAGCACGGAGTCTATTTTTTCTTTTCTTATCGGCTTTGCGGGCAAAGGCCGCTGCTGCACTAACTAGCTACCCTTGCTGGCCGCACCTAGAATGACATGTTGAACGAACTAAAACGGACGAACGTGTTACAGATGCGGCGCCGCGTGAGAGGTGACTATGAGCAATTTCCCGCATCTGATGGACTCCTATTCGGGCTATATAAACCTCGAGCCTGCTCTTCGAGTCAGCAGCTCGTGCATTGGTTCGCAACAATCCACCTGCATCATTCCATCGAGCGCCCTCTGCCCCCCCGTCCTCTTCGACCGCAGCCATGCATCTTCCGCGCCTCATCTCCTCTTCTCTCTTCATCTTGGGTGCCGCCTGCGCCCCAATTGAGCTGGATGCATCCGCCTCGGCTACCGGCAGTACTCTCAGCCTCCTCCGTCGAGACCCAGGCAAGCCAGAATGCAGCGTCTCCAACGCTTCGTTACCGCAGACGGGCAAGGGTGCCGAGCTCCCTGCCGCTGCCTCAAACTTGAAGCTCAAATTCATCACGCTCGGTATCGGAACGCAGAACTATACTTGCGCAGATTCAACAGAGTCTACGAAGCCTGCGCTACTTGGCGCTGTGGCTACCATTTATGACGCTTCCTGCGCGGTTACAAAATATTCTCAGATGCTGGACTTTATTTCAGATGCAGCTGTTCGACTACCCACCGATATGGTCAACTATTTAGCCTCCAGATACCTGAACTTGAAAGTCGTGGGCAATCATTACTTCGCTGGCCCTGTTCCGATGTTTGATTTGCGAAAAGATGGTCATGACGAGTACGTCCTTGTTTCGGTAGCAGCGAAGGTTCCTGCTCCTTCCAGCGAGAACGTGGATTGGCTACTGCTCAACCGAGTAGATGGCGTTGGACTCCAGGTATGTACCTCTTACTCGCTACTCTACAGTCTTCTGGTCCTATAACAAGACTAATTTACCTGTCTCAGAGTGTCTACCGTGTGAAAACTACCTCTGGTAAAGCGCCTGCCACCTGCAAGAACATGCCTGCGCAGTTCCAAGTTAAATATATTGCGCAATACTGGTTTTATGGATGAAGTGAGGACTGGTAATTATTTCGAAACATGCGAATGTCCAGCGCTGTTTAAGAAACAAACAAACAGCAGCCCAAGCTTTGGCCCGAGCGGTTTCAGGTCTCAGAGCTGGAAGTTTAATGACGGCGTTTTCTTTAGCCTTTTTCTTGTAAACTTTCTTTATGAACTTGTATATAGCGACGACTCAGATAAATTAATTAAGTGACGAACCGTTTTTGCGGAACACTGGATGTGATGCCCGCTCGTCTTCCAATAATATTATTAATTCCTGTGCTGCTAGCCACTCTCGCCCCTGAGATAGTTGACAAGTTGACTACTCCGTACTCCGTAGCCAACTAGCCGAGACTGCGCGCCGGTCTGGATCGCAATAAAGGACGCGCTGCTGCAGCGACAGGGAGCGAAGTTAACACAGCATTATTTCTAGGTTAATTCGCCATAATTAACAACCCTTGGCTAGGTAGGTTACTTAACTAAGTACATAACTAACTTAGCAAGCGAGTTCTAATAATAGTAGCCACAATCGAACTCCACGGAGAAAACATATCAAGAACACGATGATATGAATAGAATCCTAGAAGAACAACGAATCCACCCGGAAGCAACCTGAGTATATTGAAATAATATTCATTAATGATTAACTATATCTGGAATATATGTATGCAATGCAACCAGTCGAGAGGCAAAACTGCTGCAAGGAACAGCTATCTCGTAGTTACAACAATCTGGAGGCTCCACAATTAATCTCCCGGCTATGCAGTCAAAGCAGCGGAAACAAGAAGTCGTCCCAAAAAGCAAAGGAGAAAATCGAACCAATTGCTCACCGCCGGTATGCCTAAGCGCTCAAACATCGCATGTCTCTGGAACGGGGAAAATAACAAATATATTAGAACAAATAGATTAGATTCTAATCCAAAGCCAAGCGGGCCAGCCCGGGTATCAGAAGGGAAAGGGGAGTAAGATACAGGGCATAGTGACGATAAAAAGGTATAAGTGTGGGATGTTTTTCGCTTCATATATATCATGGAGAGTCATAAACGTCGTAGACATCGTAATACGCCGTGTAACTTCGTAGGATACTAAAATTTGGGACCGAAATGTTGAAATAGACAAATTGTCGTAGGGATTATGGCAATGTTCCGTCACACACTCATTGTTCTTCGATTTACTTCACTGGGCTTTTGAGCATACGCGATTAGTAGCTTGAACCCAGTTCCGTGTCTCTGGCATTCTCGTAGAACCCGCCGATCGGCCCAGATGCTTCCGTCAAGGTTCCCTTCCGCCAAAACTGGTGTTTCATAGCACCGGGTATACCACCAGCGCCCGACCCTGGCAACAATTTTGGTGATGTTCTCATCGTTAGATGCTGAAGGAGATGGGTCTGATAACAAATCGCCCAGTGAAAGGTTGGCGTCGTCCGAAAATGGTCTCTTGTGACTATCGCTGTCGGGAATCGCGGATGCCGACTTCGACGGCATGGAGTTGTTTGGTGTAGCTATACTAGTAGGTATAATGGAACGACCAGAGCTAGACGTATCCCAAGACCGCAGAATTGTACCTGCAACAGGAACGACAACCACACATCGATTGAGGTTCTGAAATCCACGTTTTCCGAGTAGTCTCTGGACATTATCGCTCGTAGGCTTGAGACTGATATTTGGATCTGTGGTCATGATGCGCTCTTTAAGAGTTCGTATGGTTTTGCGTGTTCGGCTTCCCATATTGACCATATCAACGTCCAAAATACTCATCTCTAGATAACCTCCAGTACGAAGAACACGACGGCATTCCGAAATCATTTTCTTTAAGCCAGCTTCTGAACCGGCTGCTGGAAATCGCAGTATTGCAACAGTGAAAAAGCCCTTGGGGAATGGAAACGGATTCTCGAAATTAGAATGATGAACAGAGTGGTGGTTTGTGGGAGGGTCCCAGGCTGCAGGGTTACTACAGTTAGATTGAGAAAGTAGCCCACTGAGATTATAAACGGTAGCTGTCGGGTATGTTAAAGCACAGTAAAAAGACCAATCATCGTTACCGAGACCATCAATAACCAGGATACGCGATTGATCTTGCGTTCGCACATGACTCTGAGCAGGGCTGAATAGCACCCGGCCAAATGACAGCCATCGACTTGTCATAAGTGATCCTGATCGCAAATTCGCTTGAGCGAGGGCACCAAGTCGTTTACGTTCTGCAATATCCAATAGAGCAGTGTTTTGTTGGCGATCAGGTCCCTTGTTCTCTGGCTCATTCCATACAGACCGTTGATGGCTCTGATGCGACGCCGTGTCATCAAGAATGGCTAGATCAGTGCCCTGGCTGGGTCTAGCATCATTTGAACAGGAGTCGTTGGGCGAAGAAGGGGTAGAGGGGGCGATAGAGGACGAATGTAGTGCCGAAATCACCATTGATCGACTAAGATGCACGGAATCAGTAGGCAGAGATGAAATAGGCGTTGTTGCCACTGAGCATTCTGAGAGACAAGACGATTTAGGATCAGTCACTGAGTTTAAACCGGCCTGGAGAGCTCGGCTTGCCCGGGTGGCTAACTGAAACGAGCCCCGGCCCGATGATCCTTCTTCTACCGCAGGTGGAGTTAGAACCTTGTCAATGAAATCGTCGTATTCGTCCCAGATCTCATCTTCCATCAGCTGTGACTCTGGCGGGGGGATGACCGCGGTTATAGCCTTGAGGCTATTTTGGCTATCGGTACTGGTGGATTCAGAAGCTTCAGAATTATTGCGAGGAGAAAAAATTAAGAACTCAGAATCAAAGGGCTGACGTGTAGGCGGAGTATTCTGAATATTGGGACCCGGGAGAGGTGCAAAGGACAAGCGATCAGGTTCAGTACAACTACCGAGGGCAAAATAACCATCGGCTTTAGGGATATTTATATCGGATGTTGCCGTGATGGATGGCATATCTGCTCGACAAAAAGGTCTCGAAAATGACTGTGGTGTAGGTTTATGCTGCCTATCGTCTCGCACTGTAACTCTGGGGATACGGCCGATGGATCTAAGACGTGCCGGACGATGAGATTTGTTGGCTGCCGGTTGCGTATCGGGTGACATATTCTTATTAAAAAACACTTTCGGCGACGGTGGGCGTCTCTCAGCTTTGCATTCAGGTAAAGTTGGTGGAGCGGGTAGTAGAACCGATTGTTGTCTTTTTATACACACTGTCGGGGGTTCGTACACCTCTTCTTCCGTTGGCGATGATTCCTCAATATTATGAAGAATATCCTCCAGAGAGTCGGAGTCAAGTTGATCGTCATCAAGGAGCGCATAATGCGCAACGACTCGTGTAGTAGGAACCTGGGATACCGTCACTGGAAGTGTAGAAACAGAAGCAAGATCTGTCTTGGTAAAATGCTCCTTTCGACGAAGTTGGTGGGTTCGTTGAAAAAAGTTCCATTTCCCGAACATTTGGGACTTTTTCTTAGTCTCCTTAGTATCCAGATTATCATTATCTCTGGTTAGTATTGACGCGTCAGATTGCGACATCGAAGTATGGCAAGTATTGGAGCTGTTAAGGGGAGACGCCAGTTTAGGGATATCAGTATTTATGGAAAGAAATCCATCGCGGCTATTCCTATCAAAGAAACCAAATCTGCGGACTGAACGCCTTTTTTCGATTGTCACACGTGGAGAAGAGCTGCCTTTCAAATCTGATTGAAATGTAGCTGTGGCGTTCATAGGCTCCGGAGAAAGGACCAAGCGTTCCGCCGAAACCAAAGATTCCGACGATTGAGTGTAGAATCGCCGTGGGTGTGTAGATGCACTTAAGTTTGTACTAGAAGCAATGCTTTGATCACTCACACTTTGTTTGCTGTCAGTTCGCCCCAATGTGCCGCCTGTAATAATAACTGGTTCCAAACGGTCTAGTAAAAAATCGTCCAATTCAGGATGGGCCTGACTTAAGTTGCTGGTAGAGCCATTGGTACTTGTAGACCTGGCCCGGCTGGAATTGCTTCCAATACTAGTTCTTCTTCCACGGGTAGAATATTTACCGTAGCCCTCGTGGCCTGTACCGGCCACCGGTCCTCGGCGAGCCTGTTTACTTGCTTGTTCTGGCGGGGGCATATCCAGAGGCGTTTTGGATCGTTTTTGAAAAAACCCGAAGCGTCTTGTTCCAACATCTTTAGATTCACTTTTCGTATTTCTGAGATCCTTGCATTCCTTTTTTGGTACGGATTGACTCTTTAGGGGGGGTGGAGAGGAAGGAGTTGAAATATTCGAGCGTGGGTTGGGCCGTGCAAAATTATTGGGAGATGGTGGTGGGTGGAGTATTTGAGGTGACGCCTTTCGAAAGGAATCCGCACGATTTGCTGAACTGTTGCCAAAGGAAATGGAATCTCTCGTAGGCTTGTATAACGTAACACTTTCAACTGAGCCATGGCGTTTGTGCTCTAATGTCCGTGATGACGATAAAGCGCTATGGACCACAGGTGGAGGTTCCATCTGTAATGGTTCAGTACCAGCACGACTAGGTCGATGAGGATATTTGGACGACACCACCGAGCTTGGATTTCGCACTGGTCCAGGCTTCTGAGAGCGCTTGGCTGGTAACAATTCATGGCTCTTTCCAGATATCCCTCTAATTCTTCCAATCTGCTTTGCTGTTTCGGCGACTGTTGGCTCAATAGATGGTTCCTGCAACGTTTCGTAGCGAGGAACCTCCGACCTTGTAGATACACCTGAAATTTTAGTTGGTAGTCTGGACTCGGTTACTCGAACCGGTTCCGTTTGAGATCTTTTTGGTACCTTTGGAAAGATGGGTATATCTGGAGTGGCACCGGGATAGGAAGCACCAGAAACATGATAACGAGGAGGATGGCTTCGAAATAAAGATGGGCTGGGTTGTCTAAGACGAGTGCTGACTTTTGTAGAATGTGTAAGTCCAGGTGAGTACGAGGATAGTGACGTGGGAGTCGATGTCCTACTGCTCCAAGGCCCTGGGGAATCCGAATATCTCGTTGAAGCACTGCTATCGCTTGTGAAGTTGGGAGTTGGCGGGGGAAGGTCTATAGTATTGATAGTGGTAGTTAATCTTGATAGCTCAGGAGGAGGATAGGTACTACTAGGCTCTTGAGATGAGTCAAGCGGGGCGGATGGCGATGGCGGAGCTATAATATGAGATTGCGTAAGTTTTTGAAGCACAGGTTTCCGAGGCATATCAAGTGGTATCGACGGCGATCGTGAGCGAGTACGCCCAACGTGGCGTTCAATGGACGGTGCTTTCCGTCGTAGAGGGTTTTTGTGAGATAGATCATCTGAGCAGCCTGAGGTTGAATAGTTCGGCGACAGTCCTGCGGTAAGTTGAAATGCCTTATTTTTTGACGATAACGAGCTCTTTCGTGGCAGGGACTGTACGCCAATGCCCAAAGGGAAGGGTGGCTTAGCGGAACCCAATAGTTTCTTTCCATTATTTATCACGTTGTCTTGCCGCCGTATACCTTCATTTCTCGAAGAGGTCGAGTTTGTCGTAGCTCTAGGAATCAAAGGTTTGGGTTTAACAGACTGCCTTCTGGAGTGTATCGAACCGGTACTAGACATGGTTGGGATCTTAGATAATTGCGCCGCGGAGCCTGACTCTCCTGTGGAAATCGAGCCCACTTGACTAGATCTGTGGGATGCCATGGCTTGAGCTTTCTTGGGAACATAGGCGAGGTTGATGCAAATGCAGCTCTTCGGAAAGCTGCTTTTTTAATTGAGCCCGGAAACATCGCGACTGGCGCACAAAAATGGAGTCGAGTACGGTATTCAGCTAGGGCGCACAGCAACGGTGAGCTGTAGCAGTGATGGGAATTGTAATTGCCACCATTGCTTGCCTGTTTACTTCGGACAACCCCCTTCTTTTCTTTTTTTGGTCCTGGAACTGTGCAACTAGGACAAAGAGTAGCTATTATAGTCGCTTAAACAAGGAACACACGATGGGTAGGGAAGTTCAAAATGCGACGATCAGCGATGAAACAAAAATTAAAAAAAAAGGCATGTAGGCTGTGCGGTACAGTACGAGCAGAGGTATAGAAGCCGGCCGCCATTAGATATACCCTGTGGGAATTCCGGCAAGGCAAGCTTCGCCACACGGCGGGGCCTTGCGTGTAGACAAGGTGTGGCTAAACCAAGGCCGTGGCGGCAGTCCTCAGCGCCTTAACTTCCTAGGGGTCATGGGGACACGTCAATCACCGTTGAAGATTTTCTGTGCGCCAAGGATGGAACTCAGCGTAACAGCCGGTAGAGCACTGAGAGTTGCCTGGATATCGTAGAAAACATAGCGACAGAGAAGGTATTACGCCGAAGCGCCGCCGCCCTCTTTAAAGACGAATTCAGGGGTGGGCCCGTGCCGATAGTGACATAACATCTGGGGAAGACGCCTTGACAAGATGCGCATTTCAAAAATGACTGGAGGACAACAGCGGCGCTTGATTGACTCGCCGCGCCATGAGTCCTCAATAGTCGTGAGCTAAAGAAAGGACCGGTTGGCCCAGAGCAAACGGCTCGTGTGCCGTTAATGGGTCAAGGCTCCTTGGTCACGAAAGTCACGAAAAAATAATCCACTTCATGGGCCTATAATCCCATTAGCATTTGGGGGAGGTGGAGGGACCTGCAGGTCATTGGTATCAAGCGAGCTGAAAACCAGCATGTTGCTGCAGCACTGGGAGCAGTGGGCTTGGACGAGCTAGTGGCAGAGTGGGCATCGTCTCTCGTTCGCCAGTATTATTGTCCAACTTTCCGACCAGGATCGTGCAGCGGCAGGGATCCCGGCCGGGGCCGTCCAATGCCCGCCCTCCAAGGCTCCAAACAAGAGCCGGAGAATTGCAAAACTGCGCATTCGGACGAAGCGTCGTCGTTGCTGAAAAGACTCTGCGGTCAGGTGGGTGGCAATCACGGGGTCGTCTTCCCGTGATCGAAAAACGACGTCTGCCCAGTCACCGCCGTGGAAGCCCGGCGGTTCAGCTGTCGACTGTTGCGAATGAATACGGAGTACATACTGAGGCCCAGAGGTCACTCTAACCAGCCCAGCCTTCCTATGGGACTGTACGGAGTACTCCGTAACGGTCAACGCTTCCTCCAAAATAATAGCTACTTCGTACAAACGCGACCCACCTGGCCCTGGAGCCCTGTAAGTCGCGCCCACAAGCAGCAGCAGACAAGGAAACGCTCCCTGCGCAACAGAACATCAAGGCACGAGTGTCGGTTCATCACGGATAAAACCCCTGCTTTTGGCCTTTCTACGGCCCGTTCCCACATCCAAGCATGAGTAAGCCGTAGAATCTCTTTTTTTCGCAGAAGCGGCGACTTGCTCCGCAGCGGCTTGGGCGAGGGGTGTGCGTGTGAGTGTGATCGGCTTTGAGGCACAGCCAGCCATCACACTTAAAAGGCGAACAGCACGATGATTCGCAGGACCCCTGGCTGTGATTTGCAAGGTTGGCCGTTTTCCATGTGGCAAACATCAGAGAACCGCCTCACACGGGCGTGGGCATACAGCCCATGGATAACTTAATCCAATAGCGCTCTAAGAAATTGGCCCTATCTGGGTCTCCGGCGGTTCTCCGTCCGGATACCAACATATCTCAATGCTCTTCCGATTTTTAGAAATCATTACCAGCTTGGTTTGTTGCACAGCTCCGCTAGGATCTCACGACATTTACATATGTTTCTAGCTTTGTGCAATATAATCCTTTATCCAGGGCGACGGTGACGCCAACGTCCTGGACGGAGAACTCCGACCTCAAGTGGGATGAAGTGATCAAGCTTGGCCGATTCATTGCTTCTTGTTGTTTGGAAGCGCCAGTCTACCATCATCTTTCATGCGGCCACTTCTCTACGTTGCATGCATCTGGTTTTGAATATGTAAAACTCTTGATCGTCGCGAACTGCTGGTTCGAATTCTCAGAAGCCCCGCTTCAAGCGCACAGTCACACTTCACGAAACTCGCCGCCTCTCATACCCTAACTTGGTCCTTGCTTCCCTGAGGCCTCTTGATCGACGTATTTAGCATCGAAAGCACTCGATCAAAACTCGGCGTTCCTGAGGATGTGTAACCACTGTGTCCCTTCCACTGATACTCGGAGCGATTCTGGTAGGACAGCATTGCGCCATTCTGTGAAGGCGAACCCCTCAGGGTGGTTAAATTCAGCGATGGCACATGTGAAACTGTGCCCATGCCATGTTGATAGATGAGGCTTGAGAGAATAGCGGGCGTACATGAGCCATGCCATTCATACTCAGCCATATGTGTGCAGTCATATGAATAATACGTATCCGGTATTATTGCCAACTTATGGCCCATAATGCAAGGCTGGGTGCTTTTCTAGCAATGGCGTTCCAGACAGGTGTTTGGTATCCGGTTGTTGGGCAAAAAGAGTCGAGCCAACAGCTTAAGGAACCGTTTCTACATCACACATCTAACCCGACTTTTACTCTCGGTCCATCAACGCATACAGCTTGGTTGGGGATAACATCGGATAATATACTAATGCAATGGTTGAAGGGAAGAAGGCGGCCATGCCGAAAAGTAAAGCGTGAAAATATCTCCATTCGAAGAGGGTAAAAGCATTAACGATCTTCTTCGCGAATTTCATTTCCATTTAACTCCAGAACCAGTGAAATCATAACATAGAGGAACAGATCGTTCGTTCGGACAAGACATAAAGGAAACCCATGAATATAGGTCGAGGACGAAAATATATTGTACCAGACGTATGTCAGTAGCAACACAACTGTGAGACAATTAGCCGAAGCGAGCCCTTCTCTTTTCCATCGCACTGCGATCTTGTTCACTCCAGTTGCTCGCTTTGTTCCCATAGCTGGACCCATTATCGTCGCGGGTTCTTCGAGTGTTACGCCCTCGTCCTCTTCCGGAGAAGTTTCGTCGTTTCCCACCTCGATGATAACTGTCTCCATCATCAAAACCACGTCCTCTCTTCCTTGCCTGTTCTGGCAATGGCTCATCTAAGCCCTTCACACCCGAGGAAGTAGCACTTCCAGTTCCAAATCGTTTCGCCCTCTCAGCTGCCTTTTGCGCCTCTTTAGTACCGTCATCGTCGACAATGCCAAACTTTTCTGCCCTCTTCTTGCGCTTCTCGAGCTCAGTATCAATGTCGGTAGTGGCCAAGCCCATACTATAATTTCCCGCTACCTTTGCTTCAACGGTCTCTCCTTCAACGGCACCATTCGCGTCCTTTGTTTCACCGGCAGATGTTGTCGTTGACGCTTCTTTTGGATCAGCTGGTTTTTTAACAGTTAAATCATGAGTAGTCGAAGGGTCAGTGTCGATCTTTTGTTTTGCTGTGGTGGCTGAAGTTGCAGCAGTTTCTTTTGCGCCCACCGCACTATTCGCGTCAGTCGCATTGGTGCTTACAGCGACGGTGGCTGCGGCCGTAGGCTCCAGGGTGGTCGCATCATCGTCCCAGTCAATAACGTCGTCAGCAGCGGCGTCGGCTTTCGCTGATGCGCTCGCAGCTCCACTGGTCTCCGCCGCGGCTTTATCGGCCTCGACAAGTCGCGCGACCAAGTCGGCCTTTTTTCCAGTATGAGTGAGCCCTCGAGATTTGAGCATCTCGATTAAGTCGGAGTTCGTCTTCTTGCTATATGCCGCGGCCATTGTGAGGAAGAAGTCAAGGTGAGGGCTTTCGGTTTAAAGATGTTGGTAACGCGTAACGAAGTTTGCTCAACGAAGGTTTTGACAAGAGCCGCTGGTGAAAGAAATCGAGATAATATAAGAAGTATATTAGTGTAGATCAGCTATTACCATGGTCAATAAAGAGTCGGTAGGTAACAATAGGCGTTCCTCACTGCTTCAAAGGCGTCAATTGAGCATTCATGAGCTCCAGGCAGACCAGCGCGCGCCTCAAGACACGCTAAACCTTAATCAACTTGGTCAATCACGTGATATAGCTATGAATTGGAACCTTATGGATGGAGGTTGGGCATATTTGGGGAGGACATTCGCAGTTGATATTCACAGGAATGGGAGGGTGATACCTGATATGAGGTTCTAAAAGTAGTAATTGCGTGAACAAGAGTACTGATATTCTCGAAACGGCATAGAATACATATACGAACTAAAATTCGTTGCAGGGGTCTCTCAATGCGCCTCTGTAGGATAGAAAATTCCGGTAGTAAGTACAAAATATGGTCAAGTCCTTTTAGAATGACATCAGAAGATATTTTCGAATCTCCTAGTTACATACTATCAAATGTGTCGCATACCAGAAGCAACGCCAATCATTACTTTTCTGCCTTGACTTTCTTCTTCGGCCTATTGTTCTCTTCCTCATCTGGTCCGTTAGCATCGTTGGCGTCTTCCATTTCAGCATCGCTACCACTACCGCTGCTCTCATGAGCAGAATCGTATTCCTCGGCCACGTCCGATTCCGATTCAGCCTGGAAGTCCTCATCGACCGACTCTTCGTCCTCATCCGCCGATCCTCGGTTAGCCCCTGCGACGTCGTCCTCACTGGAATCCATGAGTTCGTCATTGTCGAGCGCCTCGGCAATAAGTGCAGAAGCCTAGTACAAAAGTGAGTCTTAGTTCAAATTCTCCAGCTTGGGTAATTAAGGCCGAGAAGGCCTGGAAATTCCAAGCGGCAATGCCATTCAGGTTGCTCATAACAGCACTTACATCCTCAGCCATTTCATTCTTGAAACGGATATTTTTTGCTTTGAAAAACTCCTCTAATGGTTGTTGCTCCTCTCTATATCATTGTTAGCTCAGTTAAAAAATGTTCGTCCCTGCTACTAGAACCCTGACCTGTTGATGTTGATAAATTGATGATCGCCGCCACCCTTAAGGGTCATTGTAATATCAAAGGTCCGGCTAGTTGATACCGCGCCACCAACACGCGACATAGTAATGACAGATATGTTCTCGATTTGGATGTACGTTGCAGGTTTAGGGACAAACATGAAGCTTTTATCGAGACAGAATAGAAGGCCTTCGTTTGCTTTGATTGAACATTTGATACCGCTGTGCTGGTGGTGACTGGATTGACTATTAGTATTTCTGATCCTAATCCGTTTAAACGATTCGGAGGGAGCTGAGTTATTTTCGCCATTGCGGCAGTGAGTTTGTGCTGACCTGATAAAATCTTTGGATGGTAAAATGACCTTTTTTCCAGAAAGACCGCGGAATACTTTCGTGATGACCTGGTGAATAGGTTCCTCGTAATGAGCTTGGAGTTTATCCTTATACCGTGTTTGAAGTAATTCGCTGCATAATATTAGCTTGTGTAGTGTGCCTGGCAGCTCGGGAAGATGTTGTGTACTCAGTCATGTTTAGGTCAAGGTTATACTCATCGTCTAGCTTTAGTTGCATGACAAGAAAATGATATCTGGTCTGGCCCTGTCGCAGAGGAGGGTCTAATCCAAGCGTAATCAATGTGTGCGTATCATCATTTTTAGGCAGCAAGAAGAATTTCTTGATGGATTGATATTGGATTTTATAATCATATGTTTTACCGCGAAGACGAAGAGAATTTTCGTACATATCGATATCGAACCGTCCTCTGGTGTTTTTTAGCAAATGAAACGAAGTAAAGTGGTTGGAAATTTTACCTTGGAGTAAGATGCAACACATCTGGAAATGTCGCAAAAGTATCTCCCGCGACTTCGCCGATTTCAGCTTTGTCAATTAATGTTTCATAAAAAAGGTTGGCAGCATTTTGTTCTTCAGGCTCTTCGCCATCGGCACTCTTTTCATCTCCCTCCTCTCCTTGGTCCTTCTTTACTGCAGTACCCGGAATATAGAATCTCATTTCGACTAACTCATCTTTCCCAGCACCAGCCTTTTTACCACGATTTTTTGTGCTTCCAGGCTGCCCATTTGTTCCGTTTGAAACACCATCGGTTGGAAGTGAGAATTCGACGGCAACTTCATTTCTTCCCGCCAAGTTCGTATTCGAGATTTCTGAATACGGAATTTCAAATGCGGGCTTATTTTGAACATTGAACGACAATTCTGCTTTCCCAAAATCTGCTTTGCCCCAATTCCAGCCTCGAAGGGCATGTTCTCGAGTTTCAAGGTTTACGCCATACCATAGCTTGAATGCTTTGCTAGTGCGTTCGAAGTCCTAAGCCATTCAAGAGTTAGCAGTCATGCTAGTCCGGGAATACTATCCAAAAACTACCTCTTGATCGAAGCCATCAAGCTGGATAACACCACCAGTGCGCGGCAGAATCTTTAACTCATAGCCTTTTGCAGCACGGCTCCACTGGGCGGCCCCAACATTACTTTTATCAAGCGTAAATGTCTCTCCTTCTCCCGATGGTTTCCAGCCTAGCCCACTTTCAGCAAGTTTGCATTTTCCCGACTGTTTCGATAGATCAAGGTAGATATTTTCAAAGCTCTCCCTAGGCTGTGTCAATGGATCGTCCTAGTTGTGGTGGGTAAATGAAACATACATATTGGAGAGGCTGCTAGGCAGAATTCCTGCAGTCGCGTGATATGTATATTCAATCTATCATACGTTTGAAGTGCTGGTTCGTCGTGGTAGAGGAAGTTCAGTTGTGAAGCTCTGTCGCGATAGCTTTGTAGTGTCGCGTCCAAAACCACTTTATCAAAGTTAGCGCTAAACCTAAATTGGCTGGCGCGCTTAGGCTTCTAGAGGATACATTGAAGTCGTTCCTATAAGTTAGAGAATGGAGGTTCAAAATGTGTGCGATTAGGCTAGAGTAGGCCGCCGAGTGTTTCGATTAAGGACTTATGTACGGCAGTGGATTCTTACATCCGCAAGGCGTATATGTTCTGTATTGGTTGAAAATGAAGAGTTTATGTCCAGGCAGTTACTCTATATAAAGCAGCCCAATAAAGAACATGAAATCGGCCACCTCAAAACTGAATCTCAGCTGGCTCAAAGTAAAGACAAGACACTAGGCCCAAAACTTCTTTTGAGAGCCTCATAAGCTCCCTGCTCCCAGGCTAGCCCCTTCTATTACAAGATCTTGGTTCGCGTGATATCTGCACAGGGATTTTCTGATAAAACGGACCGCCCTGTGAGCCAGGTCATTCTTATATTGTACTGCATATTCCGTACTTAGATGTTGCCCTCCATCTTGAATAAATAAATGAACAATACCTGTATTAATTTGAAAGTGAAGTAGAAATATCGACATTACCCTAAGGAAGGAAATGGTCTGTAAACGAGTGAAATCCTTCCAGCTAGAGATTCGATATTGACTTCCACATTCAGAAAATATCAGCATAGTAGCGGTTAATATCTCAATGGGATGTAGATCTAGCTCCTGTGTTCTCTTCAAGACCCGAGTACTTTTTTTAAGAACTAAGCTAAATCGGTAGCAATTCATTCGAGGTGCACCCGCTGTTTATGCTCATTGTAAAGTTCTGTGTCATGTTCAAAAAAAGAGCCAACGCCTTGGAAGACGGCTGTAACACTGTGATTCTGGGAGGAACAACATTTTCGGGAATCCATGGAGGATGAAGCCTAAACCCCTTGTTTAAGAAGTTCGATGTGTGGCCATCGTCACGATGACACGATCAAGCGGTTGCCAAGAATGCAGCGTTTGTGTCCAACTGATGTCTACGTATACACCCAGTCAAGGCCTGATCTTTCGAAAGCACCTCGAAGCAAGAATTAAGACAATAGTAAACACTCTGGTCTGATGGGAAATTGCTCAGAATGAAGTACGTTGCGCAGCTGTCTTTGGTGGAAAAGCCTTGAAGAACACTTGATGGTCGCGAGGGAAATCCATATTATTGTTAGTCAGTACTCCGTACGGAGTATTTACCGTAGGTGGCATGGGGTCGGGATTTTGTCGGTTATAATAAGACCAAGGATAAGATACAACAGCTTATATTATTACCGGTAAGAGTAAGTTCTCCGTACGGAAAATTCTGTACCTGGGAGACCACAACCCGTATCGTTCTGTACTGGTATAAACGTCGGTATGATTGGTGAGAGGCCTGATGCAGGCGGCGTTGCGCGAAAAGTGGTCAATAAGAGACCTCGCCGAGTGAGAGTGCATATTCCACACCAACATTATTATTATTAGTTACTACTCACGGTTGGTGGACCCCACCGGACATGCAGTAGAAAGACATCCAGTATGCATGAAAAAAAATCCCCGCAAAGAATCTTCTGCCGCCCAAGCAGGGAGATAGCCTAATAATAAACGGGATATTAGCCGGGGGCGCGAGTGAAAAATGACATTATTTGCTGCTGTCACGGCGCATGAACTAGGATCATACGGGACCCTAAGACGTCTCAGACGTCTGTCAGAATTCTAGCGGGAGGATTTCGGGTAGGTAACGTATCTGTGTACTCCGTAGGCGACCGGTAGTGTGCGCATTGTCTGTGAGGTGGCTCAGCCGCGATGCTCTCTCTTCGTCTCCCGCCGTTGGCCGCAATCAGCCAACCCATGGATCACGCCCGCCGCTAAGCTTGATTGGGCGGGACGCTTCAGGATAATCATTTCTCCACTGGCGCCAGGGGTAAATGCTTACATAACCTCAAGACAGGGCCAACGCCAGCCAATCGTCACCCCGCCACCGGTAATTTACGGTACTGTCAGCGGTATTGGTGGAACACCGGTTTCCCCTTTGCAACAGGTGACCTGTGCACTTCAATTTCCAAACCACAAGCTCAACAGCCTGAGGTTCGTCGTTCGCTCTCTTACAACACTCACCAAATCCACTCCTTTTCATTATCACCATCAGGCCCCACGAGCAGCGTCTGGGTTTCGTGTTGCTTGTTTGGTTTGTATTCTTTCTTTCTTCTGCTCTTCTGTCGCGTCATGTTTTCCCTCGTCCGCCCATAGGTTGATTCTCGCCTCCTTAACCGAGAGACTTGCAACATCGCACTGCCAGTGTCCTCCACGGCAGAACAATGAGGTTCTCCTCACTGTTTCCGCCTGGCAATGTCTCACTCCTAGGGCCATCGCATCTACTTTCCCTTCTTATCGTTCCTTTAGTGCAATCGACGCTCTTTACCCCCGTTCCTTCTCCACAGCTCGACCTTGGACCCCTTGGTCGAATCACCCTGACGGGTAATTTCGATGCGATTTCGTTATTTACATTTCAACAACAGAGAGACGAAGTGCTTGCAGTTTACAACGGTTCCCAGTCCCAGTCGCTCATTGCGCCGTTGCCTAATGGCGGCCTTGCCCCCATATCCTCTGCCGACGCGGACATCTTAGCCCTGTGCCCATTAAAATCGAAAGATGGGGCATTGACCGCTCTTGTCGTAGGAGGTAACTTTACTAGTCTAGGAGGAACTGAGTCTCAGGCCCTTGCGCTGTTCGACACGCAATCAGGAAAAGTGTCCGCGATTCCCAATTTGTCGGGTCGAGTTTCTGCTTTGCTCTGCGATTCCGATAAAGTTTATGTTGGCGGCGATTTTAAACGATCAAACTCTTCAAATGCTATTTCTTGGTCTCGGGACTCTGGATTTTCCAACCTTCCTTTCGGCGGCTTTAATGGACCCGTGCTTTCAATCATTAAAGGCCAAGGGGATAAAGTTATATTTGGAGGTTCGTTCGATGGGCTCGGAAACACAACAACACCGTCTCTCAAGGATCAGCAGATGATCAATTTGGAAACCGCTGAGATATCCGCCGGTGGGAGCAACATTCGACCAGGGCTTGGTGACCCCCGCAATATTGTCTGTAAAGCCTCAAAACGAGACGGTGAAGGCACCACATGGCTTCTTTCGGATCAGCAGGCCGGATTTTGGAATGCTCAGATGAAATTCGGATATCAGCCTACGAAATTGAGACTTTGGAACACCCGCTTTGAAGGACGTGGGACCAGAACATTTCGATTCATCGCGTTACCCGACTCCGGAATTTTAAACCTTACTTACACTGACCCAAAGACTGGTGCAGAAATGGCATGCGACGCCAGGTGCCCGCTGTCAGACGATCCAGCAGAAGAATTTCGGGACTTTCACTTCGTCAATATTGTCGGAATGAGCGGTTTTAGACTTGAGATCATTGAGTTTTATGGCCAAGGCGGAGGGCTGAATGGCATCGAGCTCTTTCAAGACGGTAAGTCTTATCCCTTGTTTAATTGGGTCCGCTACTTACGTTATCTACTATCGCAGACATCTATGCATATGCCGTGAACAGTTTTAATGAACCAACTTGTGCTAATATTCCATTTGCCTCATCATCTACTAACACTGGAAGTTGGACTGTGATTCCAGATCGCCAAAGTTCTGATTTTCTCAGTGCACAAGTTGATTCATTGACAAGTGCTTCTACGTCCGTTTCAATGTTTCCAGACATCAAGCAGTCCGGTAACTACTCAGTAACAATTTTCACTCCCGGATGTATCAAAGATGGAACTTGTGCCACCCGTGGTATTGTTAATGTCACCGGTAACTTTTTTGCCCAATCAGACAGCCCTGTTCAAACTTTCATTCACCAAACCAATAACTTCGACAAGTATGATCAAATTTATCTAGGAAGGGTCGACGCTGGGAATGGTAACTTTCGACCTCGAGTTACAGTCTCCGCTCAGACAGGTCAAGGAACTATTAACGTTGTTGCCTCTCGAGTTCGCTTTCAATTGATATCATCTACTGGAGGTCTCAATGGCTTATATGAATATGACCCGAAAGAAAAACAGTCAAGCACTAATTTTTCCTCTTCCGCTGTTAATAGGGCGGGAACTGATCTTGGTCGCGGGGCATTGGTCGACTCATTGATATATGTGGATAATACCCTATTTGTGGGCGGTAACTTTTCGAACTCAACTATCCACAATATCCTGTCTCTTCGTGATGGCCGCGCATCTGGTCTGAACGGTGAAGGCTTGAACGCGGCGGTAACTTCGTTGATTTCCCTCGACAATGTGGTATACGCGGGGGGGAATTTTACAGACTTGTCAAAAGGCGGGAACTCCAGATTGCGACACGTTGCAGCCTACACACCGTCAGACGATACTTGGCTGCCTTTAGGTTCGGGCGTTAACGGTATCGTACGTACTCTTGTGCTTCTTCCCGTGAATGTCTCGTCTAGTAGAGTGGAAACAGCCATCGCCGTGAGTGGTGATTTCTCCCAAATAGAGGCTTCAGACGGGCGTCGAGCTATACCTGCCAAAGGGTTTGCAGTTTGGGTCCCATCTAGAAAGAAATGGCTTCAAGAACTGGATATCAATCAGATGGCTTATGCGGGCCAACTTACAACGTCTATCCTAGAAAGAAATGATACAATACTGGCTGGCACGCTTGCATCCGGCGGCATCTCATCCCATGGTGCTGTTGCCCTGACGGATAAGAATGGCCTTGCCCTCCAACCCCTTCCCGTTAAAATCCAGCAAACATCTGGATCATCATCGGGAAGAAAACGGGCTGTGTTGAATCGAGATGGATCTCAGTCTGTAACTACCGGTTTGTTCGATAAGGGCTCCGGGCGCAATAACACGATCTTAGTTGGCCATTTCACTGCAATGGCATCGGATGGCTCCGACATTAACAACGTCCTTCTCATTGATGGTGCTGATGGTGACAAGGTGACTGGACTCAAACCTGGCATTCAGTCCAATTCTACATTTTTATCTGCCGCGGTACATCGAGACTCCCTTTTCCTAGGCGGCAAAGTAACAGGCCGTGTTCGTTCATCAAATACCCAGGGACTTGTCGTTTACGACCTCGCAAAGAAAGACTATCTTGAACAACAACCTGGACTACTAGATGGTAGCAATGTTGTTATTAATTCTATTTCTCCACGTCCAGGATCTGATGATATCTATGTTGGTGGCGAATTCGATACTGCAAGCTCTCTACCATGCCCCGGTGTGTGTACTTTTCAAACAGGCCCCTCGCAGTGGGTTCGGCCTGGAACAAACCTTCAAGGGGCTATTTCTTCCCTAATATGGGCCTCAAAAGAAAAGCTCATTGCTGCTGGAAATATAACCGTTGGGGGAAACAGAACAACGCTTGCAAATTTTGATGCGAAAACACAGACTTGGTCCACAATTACTGGGAAATCTTCCGATTTAATTACCGGTCCGGTTACTGCACTCGGTCTTGCTAGGCAAGACGGCTCTCGGTTGTGGGTAGCCGGCAAGTCTGCAAGCGGTTCGACATTCCTCGTGTACTACGATGGTACAGAGTTTCGCTCCCCAGGCTCCCTTTTTGGTGAGCAGACGACGATTCTTGGGCTTCAAATACTTGGACTTCGCGAAAACCACGAGGAAACCCCATTTCTTGAAAGAAGACAAGCGCTGCTGTTAACTGGCCAGATTCAATTGCCGAGGTTTGGTATGGTTTCTGGAGCGATTTATAATGGAACAACAGTAGAGCCTTTAATCTTATCCAGCACTTCGGATGGCAAACCAGGAAGCATTAGCGGACTGTTCTCTGAGAATGAAATCAAAATCAGTGGCAGCCGTAAGTCGTTCCCCTCTATTACTTTTTTAAACTCCATCTTACTGATTATCATAATAGGTCAAGGGCTTTCCAGGGGCATTGTTGTACTCATTTCCTTCTGTATTGCGCTTGGTTGCATATTCTTAATTGTTCTTATTGGCATCATTCTTGGCCGTATCCGGCGGCGAAGACAAGGATATGTCAGTGCTCCGCAAGGCATGGACCGGAAACCAGACCTTAGACGTTTGCCTCCCGAGTACCTTCTTGACTCTATTCGTCAACGTGCGCCTGGCGTTCCAGCGATCTAATCTCGACACTTTCCTTATCACTTTTTTCTAACGAATAATACTCAGCAAAAAATCGGCGTTACGGAGGAGGCAAATACCCGTGCAAGGTCTTTTATTTTCGGTTGGTACTATTGAGGGAGTTTATTTTGTTTTAATATTTTGCCTCTCTCTTGATCTTGAAAACGATTTCTTGAATCCTTTCCGCTATTTTCTTGCCCTAGGTAAAGACGACTACCCTTGTTTTGCTTAGAATTTGGTTGCGTGGACATACTGCTTTCCAAAGGATACATTTGGTTCCTAGAGGATGCTTTGTCTTTGTAATCGCCTAATCACTCAACTACCTAAGTACCTGCCTTCAAAGTGCTCTTTGTTCCCATTCTTTTCGAATCCTTCTGTGAAGGCCGGCTGTTGCTCTGAGCTTTGCCTATCCTGTTCCTTTATGCAACCTGCAACGAGTTTCTAATGCCTTACTCCTTATTCGAGCGATGTAGTTCTGTAGACAACATGCCCTTAATATCTGTGGTCGCTGTCGTAAATAATTAACATTAACTGTCCCTAAACTCCCCCCAAGTAGTTATGCAACTGGTGAACAAGCCAACTCAAAGTTCTAAAGTCAATTCACCTACAGCTTCACTCGGTGAGCGAAACGGAGCAGCATTAGCTTTCCTTACATATATCGATTTTCAAATCTTGGTTACCGCCCGCCAACCCCACTTTCGTGACAGTGATGTTTTACTTGACCAGGCAGTTGGAGTCTGCTGCTCTCTTCCGACCATTATCGCACGCGAGACGGAAGCCTTGGAACCGAGCAAGGATACATAACCGCGCTTCCCCAACGGAAAGCACTCTTCCTACGTGCATACAAATGACGGATTAGACATCTTCGCTGTTGTGTTCGAAATGCGGTCGAGAACGGGCTGGTGTGTGGAAAACGAGACGCCTGACTATGTGGACCTGTGTGACTGACATGGACTTTCTTGCCGGTATAAATATAGTCTAACATGCCGTGCGCGTAAGCTGAAATGCGACGAACGGAAGCCAGAATGCTCTCAGTGCCGCAAGGCATCAAGAGAGTGCCGGCCCAGCGATGGGATTGTGTTTCGACACCAGCAGAATGCGTCGATGAACAGGAATGACAGCAACGCGCCTAAAGACTGTCGTGGATTGGGGGGGTTTTATTCGTACAAAAACACATTTGATGAGGATAGTGTCTGGTTGGAAATTCCGAAGCAGGGTGTGTTACTGAGGCAGCTCTACTGGGAGAATATTTTGCTGACGTAGAGAGGGAGCAGTGACGTTTATCAACGTCACGGACCCGTACACGGAGAAACTGGATATCTCTCTGAATGTCTTCGAAAATACGACTGCAAGTGAGCTCTCAGACCCGTGGCATGGGAGGAGGATAGACCTAGCTAGCCAGAGTGCAGCCCAGGCCCACGGCCTTGAAGCTTTATCTGCAGCTGCAGCAGGAGACGCGCACGGTCTGCAACCACAGCAGCAGGCTTCCATAGCGAATGCAGCCCCACTGCCAGGAAACTCCGCTGTGCACACACATCTCAGATTCAGCCAGGCTGGATCTCAATATCCTCCAGAAAGCAGCATCCCTCCCCCAAACCCAGCAAACCCAGTTGACCCTCCTTCCCCATCTGCCTCAATAACGTCGACTAGTAACATCAATTTGCCTTCTCGATCTGTGTCTCCATACATCGACCCAACCCTTCGTCCGCCTGATGCTATAGTTGGCCTCCCAGTAACCTCGAAAGCACTTCTTTCTCATACAGGGCTGGAGCAGAACGTTGAGACGGATATTAAAATTGCATTTTTACTTCGACATTTCTCAGAATCCCCTGGAAAATGGTAAGTGTGCTATACTTTGTAGCATGTTGTGTTATTGATATTTTCAAGGATGGATCTTTTCGACCTTGGGGCTTATTTCGCGTCTTATGTGCCTGCTAAGGCTGTTACCACACCCGTTCTCAGATATGCTGCCTGTGCATACGCCGCGAAGCATCTTGGTAGAGTTAAAGGGATGAAAGGCAAGCCTAGTATTCTTCACGGTAGGCAGCCAACTATTGAATCTTGGCCTGGCATTGAAAACACCAACTGGCATCTTCTTGGAGCTGCTTATTATGCCAAAGCTATTCAGTTTCTTATGGAAACACTACAACACGACGGCCAAAGTCCCACAGATAGTCGAGGGGGATGGCATGAAACCAGATCCTGCGATGGAAACGAATATACCCACGCGCATAACAGACGTAGAAGGTTCTCTAATGGACAAATTTGCAATATCCAGTCCGATGAGGTGCTCACTGCAACTGCAATTTTGTCCGTCTATGAGTTTTTGGATGCAACAGGCCTGGCATGGAATCGCCATCTAAGCGGCGTGAAGTCTCTGCTGGACATTTCGGAAATTGGGATGATGTCGCAAGAACAACGAATGTCACTTGATGGCGCATCGTTCTTTTCACGAGCACGGCCGGCGAGCTTTTCAAGGGCAAGAAAGGCAACGTTCTGGAACTTTGCCCGGCAGGACTATTTATCGGCTTGTAAGACTTGTTTGGTAGCTGAGCAGGCAGCTTACTGACAGTATCTAGTTATCAACAAATGCAAATGTAGACTGGACACGGATGATTTATTCTTGTGGAAAGAGGCAGGCCTCCTCTTGGACGGCTCAGGTCTTGTTCAGCCAAGCAACACATCTGCCACAACGGACAGTGTTATGGCGGAAGATATGGTATCAAATGCCATGGTATGGTTGTCTTCTAAGATTGTGAATTATGTGGTTAGCACGAGACATGCAGATACGGCATCTGCTACTCAATGGCTTCAGCTGAAAACGGAAATGGATACGTGGTACTGTGGGCTGCCCGAGGCCTTCAGACCATGTGCGCGAATCGACCATTATCCTCCATCACTCGAACCTAATCAAGAGCTCTATCCCTTTACGAAAATTTGGTATAGTATGCCTATGTGTGCGTCTGCAATGCAACACTACCACATGGCTCGCATCCTGCTTCTAGCCAATAAGCCACCTCAACTTGCCATCCAACGGGCAACTATGGCAAACAGGCCAGCGAAGGATGAGATTCAGCTCCATTGTCATGAAATATGCGGGATATCCATGTCTCGACCTGAAGCATCCGTGCGTATTAACTCTGTCCAGCCGTTGTTTGTGAGTGGCCAATGCTTGACAGATAGTCGAAAAAGGCAAACTGTTTTGAACCTGCTTAGAGGTATCGAGAGCGACCTTGGCTGGGCCACAGAGTATCGTACTGAACAGTTACTTGAACAATGGGGCCGGAACCATGGCACTGTCGCTGCATGATAGGGCCCTTCAGATACTAAGTGATTGTCCCACGTCCCCGGCGTTTTTGACTCTGATATCTCGGGAAAACGGCGATGTATTCAACGGCAAGGTACTCCTTAGTTTTCCCTATATATCATTGCAGCATCTACAGGTCGCATACGGAGGAGAGCGGACGACTCACCCACCGGTGAAAGAATTTCCCTTTCCTTCAGATGATGCTGTCCTTAATAAAGAACTCGTACTATCGGTTCTCATCATTGACAATGGCTCTACCATGAGCACCAACAAAAGCTGGTGTTCTTTTTTTGGATAAGCTGTTGTAGCTAAGGAAGTGTACCAGCTGCCACTTTTTGAATCAAACCACGCAAAGCACTAGGTATGTAATTATTCAATTTAGATACATACAAATTCCCAAGAAACCCAATTTCATTTCCAAACAACAAAATACACCAAGTTCTCTCAATTTAGTAAGACAATTTGAAAATCCTCCGCGACATGGAAAAGTCTTCGTGTTGAACACCACCCTGCCAGCCAATAAGCTTTTCCAGTCGCATACCAGCAATCATTGTTGGAATAATTACTAGTCACACCTCCAGAACGCATTTTTATTTTTAACATGGGAATAGTTCTCAACAATAGTTGTCTAGAGCCACGCTCCGCGGAAAATGCGCTTGTATATCACTTTCGCCAGCTGCACCTCCAGACAGTACAATAGTAATTCCGCACTGAGAAATCCGACATAGGTGTTCGCAGGCCGCACAAATTGAAAAGCCTTCTGGAATGGCGGTACGTACGGGATGAAGAACCCAATGAGCGTGATCAAGATCGTTGATGCTATCAAGGCCTTTGAAGCATTGCTTTGGATGATAGGGATTTTGGCGGTACGCAGGAGATGGACAATGATGGTCTGCGTGAGCAAGCTAAACAAAAATAGGGTCAATCTGGCGGCTTCTTGGATGGTTGGAAAGGGCTAGCTTACCCTTGCAAGAACCAGTGGGTACGAAACATCTTAACGCCTTCAATGTTATTGGCATCCTGAACACCGTAGTAAAACCATCCGAGGGAGAAAGTCAGCATATCGATGGTTGAGCTGGTTGGGCCAAGTACAACGATGAATCGAAGCAGATCTGTGAACATGCGTTAGTCAACATTGCATATACCGATGGTATACTTTTTAGTTTACCATAAGGATTCCATTTTTTCGGCTCCTGCAAGTATTCTTCATCCATTCGATCCCAGGGAATTGCGACCTGACTGATGTCGTAAAGTAGATTCTGAACAAGAAGTTGCAAACTGGTCATCTAGTGAGAAGTTAGTACAGACCACATCTAAGAGTGAATATTTGGAGAATTAACTTACCGGCTCAAACGGTAGCCATGAACTGGCAATGAGAATACTGAATACATTACCAAAATTTGAAGAGGCAACCATCTAGACACTGAGTGAGCTCACTCCTATATCAACAAATATAGGATAGCACATACCTTGATATACTTGATGGTGTTACCATACGTAACTCTGCCCATTGTTACGGCGCCAACAATGATGTTCAGTCCCTTCTCAGTAAGGATCACTGCCAGAAACAATCAGCAACTGGCTCTGTTAGTCCATAAATAGTTTCACTCACCGTCTGCGCAGTCTTTAGCAACACCTGCACCCGAATCAACAGAAATCCCGACATCCGCCAACCTCAGGGCAACGCAGTCGTTGATGCCATCGCCGAGCATACCAACACAATCTCCATTTTGCTTCAGACTCAGGACGACCTGGCCCTTTTGGGCAGGGGTAAGTTTTGCAAACACCTTGCACGTCCTAATGGCACTGTGAAACTGTTCTGTACCTTCAAGTCTAGCCAGATCTGCGCCTGTCATAGCTTGGGTATTTTCTTCGTCAACGGAACTGACAAGGTTCAACGATTGGCAGAGTTTGAGGGCAATTGGCAGGTTGTCACCCGTGAGAATTCGGACATCGACACCCAGGCGTTGCAGTTGTTCAATTGACTCCGCAGCATCTTCCTTTGGTGGATCCAGCAGTGTGAGAAGACCTTCAAGTACAAGATGGCATTCGAGGTTTTCTTCAATCATATCAGGATCTCCAATTTCGAGTTCCCGAATTTCTCTTGAGGCGACGAGAATCACCCGGTATCCCTCAGAGCTTAGGCTATTGGATTGTGCAGTGAGCTTTTTGCGTCTTTCAGGATCCAAGCTTACTACCTCAGAACCATCACGAACCGATGTGCAGAGTTCAGACACTTCCTCGAAAGCTCCCTTGCAAATCAACTTTAGTTTTTTGGTTGGTCCACGAACAATGCAGCTCGAACGACGTCTTTCGAAGGTGAAAGGAATTCGCGAGATTGTCTCATATGACGCGATCTCTACCTTGGCTTCAGCCTGGAACTTCGTGATGGCGGTGTCGATGTTGTTTGCTTGAAGATCTTGGCTGGACGCATTGATAAACGCCAACTGGAACACCCCCTTATTCTTATCTCCAGCACAATCGAGGTAGTCGGACAAAGTAATTTCATCTTTGGTCAGTGTGCCTGTCTGTAACCAGAGGTGACTGTTAGTCTACGAGGATTAGAGTTATTGATACGCTAGGGAATTTTACCTTGTCACTACACAGAATTGACATGCCTCCCAAATTTTGGACTGAATCAAGTCGTTTAACAATGGCCTTCTTCTTTGAAAGGTTAAAAGCGCCTCGAGCAAGGTTGGTGTTGACAATCGCGGGTAGCATTTCTGGAACAAGACCTACAGCAACACTCAAGCTGAACAATGCTGCATTTCCCCAGTTTCCAGTATTTTTTCCAGAAATGCCCAAGACCTAATTGTATCACCATTAGCTCCTAAAGCCCTGCGGGTGGTATTGAGGGAATGGCCTACAATTGGCACCATAATAAGCATGAACCCAATTAGCATGTAGGTCACATTTCGAATACCCCGCTGGAATGAATTGATCGGCCTCTTTTTATTCAGTTGCTTCATGATCGTTGCAATGAAGGCATCTAAGAGGACAATCAGGACCCAGTTGCGCCCCAAAGTTAGGAGGAGAAAAGGGCTTACCGTCACCGGTTCTCAGGACCAAACCCATTCCACTCCCAGAAACAACGCTAGTTCCCATGAAGGCGATGTTCTCGAGCTCGAAGAGCATGTCGTCCTCTTTCTCAAGCTTCGTGGGTTCCGATACAGGGGTTTTGCGTAATGGTTCGCTCTCCCCAGTGAGCGTTGACTGGCCAATTTGCAGAGACGATGCTTCTACTACCAGGCAGTCTGCAGGGACAGTGACACCGGGCTGAATAACAACAATGTCTCCCGGTACGAGATTCTTCACATGGATTATTGCCACCGTAGACTGCGAGCTTTCCATAAGACTGCCGGACTTCGGGCATTGTCGCCGCACCTTGATATCTGTACTGACTGAAGACTGGAGCTTGATGACAGCTATGTTGCTGCGGTATTCCTGCCAGAAGCGCACTGTGCACGAAATCAAAATCATCACCACCAGAATTGTAAATGTCGACTGGTACTGATTAGCTAATTTCCAAGCTACACGGGGATCTCGAGATACTTACCCAGTTTGGGTCCGGTGTTGCAACACTGATGATCGCCAGGAAGGCCAGTAAGATATTGAACGGGTTTGGCAAAATCGTCAGCAGCAATTTCCAGGCGGGCGGTGGGCTTTTGGAAGTCAGGATATTGGGGCCTGCGATTTTCAGACGGGCATCGGCCTCAGCTTGACTAAGACCCTGACGGCATGATTCCATGTACTCAAAGGCCATGCTCATGGGAAGCGAGGCAAAAGCACGCAAGACTGACGGGGCCGTTGAATCCTTTGCGAGGGGCATATGGCGCCAGCTCGCATCCGTCATGTCACTGCCTGTAAAGAATCGTCTTAGCCATGCAATAGAGCTACGGGGATGTTTGCGAGAGTCTGCGCACCTGAGAAGCTGTTCACCAGTTCCATATCCTTCCCCTTGAGCCTTTGGACCAGACGCTGTACAAAGACCGGCATATTGGCAATAGGCGCGAGGCTTGCTTTGTCGAATTCAGCAATGTTTTTTTTTGTCGGCGACACCGATGCTTCACGGCTGTCTGACCGGTTCAGTCAGGCACACGAACGGTCCACGCGATACTTCCATCCGGGTAGAGCGGAGAAAATAAGAGAGAGTAAGAGACCAAAGGGCAGGACTACAGATTGAAAAGACGAATGCTGTTAGCATCCACGAGCGACGTCGCGTCGCGTCCTATGGCGGTTTAAGCTGCTGGACAGGGAGACCAGCAAGCACACATGTGCCGGCTGAAGGAACAAACTGCTTGATGACCGCCAGAGCTGATGGGGCTACGAGCCGGACTGCTCGTAGACAGACAAGATTTTGGAGAAGGCAGAGATAATTTACGATAGGCACAAGGAGGCAGACGGCGACAGCGACAGCGAGGCAGACGCGGGCGCAGGGGCAGATGGCAATTGAGATGAAGACGAAGAGCGTGCAGAAGAACGCAGGGAGGTGTGGCAGCAAGCAAGAAACGCGGATGCGGTTGCGATTTTTATATGCAGGGGGTCAGCCACAGTGGGCAGATCATGGCAGATGCACGACAGCAGAAATTTTCCCGGCGCGCCAGCGCTAATTAGTTTAATGTTATCGGCCAGCACTGGGCTTGCCGGAAGCCGGATCGAGTTTACGCCAGCCAGCTGGCGGTGAGCCGGGCGAGGCTGAACCTGGTCAGAGTTTTCTGGCCTGCCAACGACATGCTCCTCACCACCCGCCAGCCAGCCTGATACATACAATATATGTACACGAGCCGACCCAGCAGCTTCATACTTCCGCCAGCCGGTCTAGTGCCTCGCCCGACACCCGCAAGGTCACCCAGTCCTCCATGCGAGTGGCGCCCAGGCTCTCGTACAGTTGCAGCGCCGCCGCGTTGTCGCGCAGGCACACCCACTCCACGCGCACGCCGCCAATGCGCCGCACCTCGCCCGCCAGCTCGGCGATGAGTCGGCGCGCATACCCGCGCCGTCTGAACTCGGGCCGCACGAAGAGCTCCTCCAAGATCACGCCCGGCTTCGCGCGCCACGTCGAGTAGTTGTAATAGTAGATCGCCATGCCCGCCACCACGCCCTCGGGCGCCTCCAGCAGCAGCGTTCTGGCAACGCCCGGGTGGCCCGCGGGCGAGTCGGCGAAGTTCAGCGTCGCGCGCAGGCTGGTCTCGGTGGCTTCGACGTGGTCCAGCGAGCTGGTGGCCGCGGCCCCGGCGCGGATGAAGTCGAGGATGGTCGGGACGTCTGTGGTCAGCCAGGGGTCAGTTCTATTAGCTATTGTATTCCAGACCAGTGCTCGGTGCCGGTGCGACCGGCGGCACGTACCGTGAGTCGTCGCATGGCGAATGCTGGGCGGGCCGGACATCCTGGCCGTCTGGGGGTTCCCGTTTGTGGTGACTGAGAGGTCGAAGTCCGACAACAACGACGGCGACGACGGAAGTCTCTGCAAGCAGCGCCCAGTCGCGTGCTGGCCGCCGCCACGCTCACGTCCCCCATGCCAACCGCACCGGCGCAACCTTGAGTCGCCCAGACGTAACAAGGCGACCCAAGCCCGATCCAAGCTGGCACTCCCCATCCGGCGGCATAAGAGTGGGGTGTCCTCCGCGGCGTAAGCGTCGGACAATATGTACAGGCGTTTAACTACAGCGAAGGCACCCAAACGCGGTCAAGTCGATTCAATTGCATTCATTCGTTTATTCGTTTATTCATTTAACTATACTAGCATATTATATGATGCTACTGCCAGTCAGGCGTGTGATCAGAAGCAAAACAGCAAACGTCATTTTTCATCACTCATGCACCATGTCCACCGCTCTGATGGCCCCTCGCTCAGCGTTCCCAGATGGCGGCGAATCTCTCGCCGTCGCGGGTGGGATAGCCACTGACCACCTTGAGCGCAAATCCGTTCTGGGTCATGGTGTCAAGCTCCCGTTGGTATTGTTGTGGAGTCATGTCGTGTCGGGACTCCCAGGTGGCACGCGACTGGTCCCAGATGGCTGCGAAGTATGTGTTTCCATTGACAGTATATCCATCAACCTGCACGGGCCGATAGCCTCTGTTCCTTAAGTCCTCCGTCGTTCTCTGGTATTGGCTGCTGGTGAGGCCAAAGCGAGATTCCCACGCAACATCCGATCCTCTCTCCCAGATTCCACTATAGCGAGCCTCGCGGCCAACCTCGTATCCGTTGATATGGACAATGCGATAACCTCGGTCGGTCAGGGTGTCGAAGGCATCTTGCATCCCTCGTGCGCTCAGGTCACGCCTGAACTCCCATCCTCGGGAACGGGATGTATCATAGATAGCCTCGTATCGTGCCCGACTGTCAACAGTATAACCGTTGACGAGGATGGGGCGGTAGCCGTCATCACGGGCCCTATCGAAGGACCGCTGGAAGTCATACGAATCCTCGTTGTGGGTGGACCGCCAGGAACCCGATCTCCTTTCCCAAAGGCCGGTATATAGGACACGGTTTCTGCTATCAGTATAGCCGCTGACATACGTGAGACGGAGCCCATCAGCCACAATTTCTCGGGAGACGTCCCTGAACTCAGAGGAGGTGAGGCCGAAATGGGTTTCCCAGGTTGCTGCACGGGCAGCGGCGTTCCTGGTCGATGTCGCGTTCGTTGGTGCTGCGTGCACGCTGGAAAAGGAGGCGACAGCCGCCAAAATAACTGCGGGCTTGAAAAACATGATGGGCGTTGTCTGCTGAACTGCTTAACAAGTTAAGGCCTGCTTCATATCGTTAACGTTCGCCTCAGACACTGGAGAGCAGATAACTCACTGGTTATTTGAAATCGAGCTCTTTCTTCAAGCTGCTTAACCGTGAAGAACCTGATGGCTTTCGAATTCCTCTTCTTGCCCGGACGACACCGCCCTTTATATAGCTTCAGACTTGCCCCCTTCACCTCCTCTTCCAAGAACACCATCAAGGTCCAAACTGTATGTAGACGCAGAGATGCGTATAGAAGCACAAAAGATTATCCAGGGACAGGGATCGAGAGGTCCGTTCCCTTCCGCTGAGAGACTATGGCCATTGAGAGGCGAGTCGGACGAAAACAACGTGCCCAGCGGATGATCGCAGAAATTCCAAAGAAAGTTATCTGCATGGCTAGGGACTTCCAGTCATTATTAGAAAACTGATATAGAGCCAGGTCTGCCCAGATCCTGCACGTCGTTGATATCGCACACATGGCGCCCAACGCCCTGCTTTGAGGTCGAGGTGCCTTTTTTACCCGCTCTCCGCCGCTGTCAGGCGCTCTCCGAACGGGCGGAAGCCCGGAAGCCCGGTCGATCAATCGTCTCTGTCTGGATTAAGCTCCGGGAACCTGCTCAGTGGCAGCAGCGTCGAGCTTGGAAGCGCAGAGGCCGGGTGGGCTCAATACTTAGTCCAGGCCGCGCTAGATGTGGCGGCGCTTGGCTGGCTAGGATGCCCATCAGCCTTCTAGGCGGACAATAAGAAATGCAGCGTGCTTGGGTGGTACTGTTCTCGCGCGCCACGGCGGCAGAAGAACGACGCCAGAAGCTGTTCTAGAGCGGGTGGGAGTGCGATGGGCAGATATCTTTGTTGACTGTGCTGTTCAGGCCGCGCAACTAACCTAGGTCACTACCAGGGTGCGCATTAAACCACCCTTGGAGTCCCTCGGCGCTGCCTAGGATGTACATGGCGACCTCGCTATTCAGAATCCTTTCATGCAGAATCTGCTCCTTCTGGACTGGTCTTTCAAGATTGGCCTGAGGGAACTGGCTGCATTTCCGGGTAACATATCGGGGCTGTCTGATGCCAATCACGTTAGCCAAGGGTAGCCCGGCTATCTGGCTCGCGACCGAGCTTGGTTAAGATGAATCCTTCAACACTCTTTGTCCTGTCCGGCAGCCAGCATGGGTTCCTGCGCTGCGCCGTGCAGCGGCCGCATTCCGGCCCAATAATAGGCGTGCGGCAGGTCGAGAACATATCGTATGTTCTGGGAGCAGCATATTACCCGACTGCAAACCCCGAGTAGCATGTATCTTGAAAACCGACAATCCTCATGAAAAGGAACATCTCATGCTCCAAGACAACACGATGCAGCTTAGGTGAAGACGAATATCGGCCATTGCTTAGCCGAATTAGCCCCGGAATGTCGTCTAGCTATCGCCTTGCTTGGGACGTCCATGCGGCCTCAAGGTTCTCCCCACAGATGACCATTGTCGTGGACCATCAGCTTTGTCCCTCGTTGCACATAAGAGCATTGAGCACGCCGAGGTTTTGAAGCCAGGTCACTGCTTACATACATACAGGGGATACGGTCGATATCCCCGGTAAAATCACTCATTTCGTCCCCAATTCTCGCCACGGCTGCCCCATGCCCCAGATGTCAGTCTATTTTTGGGTATCAGACTTCCTCGGGCCGGCTGTTGAAGGAGAAAAGTTGTCCAAGAAAAGATGGCCTCCCGACCGCCATATCATTGCTGGCCGCGGATCTGCACTGGAGAATCCTCCAGGCACAAGAAAATGCAAGATTTTGGCCGCTTACCACCAGGCCTAAAAGGGTAGCTCCAGTCAACAGTTGACTGACAAGGGGGTGCCTTTACCCTACCTTAAAATGGGGCGCATTGCATTGACGGTGTAGGTCTTTGATCAAGCTATTTACAGGTCAGAAAATTTTGAGAATGGCGATAATTATACAGTAGTCAATATTGGTACCACTCTTACCTTTTCGACCTCTTAAACACAACAATAGGGGATACGTGATCTTGGAAATTCTAGAAACGAAGGAAATTTTGCCTTCCACTTTGCTCCAGATGTTATAGCCTGCATCCATACTGGTATTTTTTTGGTTATAGAAGTCGACCCCGGTAAGCCAATAACACTTGATATTAGCCTATTTGGAATAGGTTTTGAAAGCTTGGGGGTACATAGTGTCTCACCGCTACACCCGGGAGTTTTCGGTTACTCCGTACTGAATGTTCTTATGACATCCTTCGAAACTAGATGTAACGCCTTTAGCTTATTGTCGGTAGGTCAACGAAGAGTTCTGATGTCATCTCGGATCAAGACCCACGCCCAGTATTTGGACAGGCAAGGAAACTACTGTTTCTGCGTTTTTGACGGCTGAACATTTGCCATTCCTATGCAAAAAAGTCCCGGGATTATTCAGATAAGGTCAGCCAGTAAAAGAGACAAGTATACATAAATTCAATTCCCCCACTTGTCAGAAAATTCCTCGGGAAAACTTGCTACTTGCCCGTAGCACTGGTTGTCACGGGCGACGGACTCGACTACGTCGTCAAAGACCGTATACAGGCTTGATTTTGAAGACGACATAATTGCTTGTACAGATATGAGGTTTCATATACTGAAGTCCCGAGATGCTATGAGGGATAAAACCTGGGTTCAACTTTCACATGGGACATTAGGTGTGTCCTCCTGAGTTCCAGGTACATGAGCCGTACTGGCCTGTGTAGGGCTTGTTAAGTGGTTCAAGTAGGATATCAACCTATTTGAAATGTATGAATCATGATGGACGAAACCTGCCTTTTACTGGCCATCATCAGCCAACTAGCTGTTATAGTAGCTTCATATCACTTAGATATGCCACTGGCGGAACTGTGCAGAACAAAGATAAGTGAAATCCAAACCACATACCATTGCACGCCGTTTAGAATAATGTAACAAAAGCCTCTTTTGTTAATGTCCTCTTTCGTTAATGCCGAGAAAGATGATGTCGTGCCCTCTCTGCATTTACTTTGTGGGAAATATCTGTTCCTAACAGCCCTTCTCAAAACATGACTTCTGAGAAGAGTCACAACAAAAGGGTAACAGAGCTTCTGGTTTCTGTAAGTGCAGTGCTACACCGGGTTTCTGATAGGTATTGTCAATGCCTTTTGAGTCTTTGAGCATTGCTTTTAAAAAGCTGTGTAAAGAGGGGAAGTGAGAGAGGGCTGACAACTTTACTATCAGTTCGAACTTCAAGTTGCCATGGAAAACCCAGAAGTGCCCGGTATTCCAGTCAATGAATTTTGTGCTGTCAAGGCTTCTCCTGGGAAGGGTCGTGGCCTTTTTGCGGCATGCGATCTTAGGGTGGGGACACATATCTTATCTGACAGACACATCGTCAAGATTCCCGGAATTGTTTTGGATCCTGACGCTCTTACAAAACTTGAAATCGAGTTTCTGACTATCGCCATCAGCGAGCAGCTGAAGGAAATCAGCAAGGAAAAACAGAGAGAATTCTTTTCGCTGGAAAACGCGCACAAGGAGGTTCTTGGGGTATTCCTTGGGACTGCCATGACCAATGCCATGGCCATGGGCGTCCAGGCCAAAGCCTGCGGCGTATATCTCAATGTATCGCGAATAAACCACGGGTGCAGGCCGAACGCAGTCGCCATATTCAACGATTCTGGTGAAGTTATGATTCACGTCGTGAAAAGTATCCCAAAAGGGAAAGAGATCACAATCACATACATTGAACCGGCTTTGACCTTCTCGGTCCGAAAAAACCACCTGAAACATAGGTTTGGGTTCAACTGTACCTGCGAACTCTGTAGTCGCTCGCCGGAAGAACGATATGCAAGCGATATGAGGTTGGGTGCAATTGTTCTCCTCTCCAATACCATTCGAGTGGAAGGCATCGCCATTAACGAACCGCTGGAGACTCTTCAGAATGCACACGCATTGTGGTTTCTGTTGAAAGAGGAAGGAATTGCAGAAATGATTGCCCCGACGTTCTACTACGATGCTGCAATCATCGCGTTTGCACACGGAGACCGCGCACGTACTAAAGTCTTCGCTGAAAAGGCCAAAAAGGCAGCCAGGCTTGCATATGGAGCCAACCACACAATTACAGCTGGGGCTGATATGCTTGTCAATGACCCGGTCGCGTTTGGACTCATTCAGAAAACAACAAGGTGGAAGCAGGAAGTCGATAAAATCCCGCGTGGCTTGAGCAGAAGGGATTTCGACAAGTGGCTATGGAAGGAGGAGAACTGATAAAAAAGGGTGGTGGGGAGAACATCGTTTTGCAAGGCCCTTTATTGACCTGCCACGTAAACAGATATGAGATGGTGGGGAACTTTTTTAACTGTGACTTTTCAGAATCGAGGATGTTATTGTTGTTCAATGTCAACTATGTACTGTACCTAGGTAGTGTGAATCATTCAAGAAGTCCCAATATTTAAAAAGGCCACCGATTATACAAACCTTATCGCGTTTCGGACCAGAAATCGTCTCTCCACAGAAACTGTAAAATATACGTCGCAAACCAAAAAGCGAGAGCTTGAATTGCGATTTAAGTCAGGTTCCACTCGCACAAGTGAGAAGGAGGCAAACTCGAGGCCAAGTGAAGAGACTTTTCTAAATGTGCAATTGTATTAGATATTCATCTGCCCATAAAAGTGCACATCAAAATCCGTGTTACGTTCGAGTTCATGCCATCGCTATCGGCGTCTGGTTCTACGTCTTTTCGTAGTCGTGGTTGAGGCAGCTGAGTCAACCATGGAAGTCTTGTCATCCTCTGGGCCGTCCGTGAGCTCTCTTTTTAGGAAAACCAGGTTTCTAGACTCATTTTTCGTCAGTGGTTCACCATCAGACTCTTCTTTAATGTGCAATGATTCCTTATTAGCATCTTTAGCGGTATTTAGTCGATCGGAGAAAGTTTTCAAGTCCGCTGTAAACAGAACGCTGTGAGCCCAGCCAGCCTCCTTTCCCCAGAGTTTCCGGAAGTGGTCTCCTACGGCGTCGTATGTCGCCTTTGTAAGACTCTTCTGTTTTCCTTTTCCAAATTTGTAATCACGCTGAGCAATTTGCCAAACTAGAAGACACGTCAGTTGGGGTTAGTTTGGGTTGATAACATGGAAATCTGTACCATGAGTATCGACAGGTACAGCTTCACCCCAGCCCAGCCCCATCAGACATATGCAATCAGCAACCTTTGGCCCCACACCTTGCAGTTCTAATAACTTTTCGTGCGCTTGGCGATACTCAATAACCTCATCCGCTGTATCTAGTTGGCCAAAGGCAGGGCGTATTGGGTTTCTCAAGGAGTCCAACCATCCAGGTTTGCGCTCGTTTGCAACCATGAGAGCTGTTCGATAGATATATTTGGCGCGGTAACCAAACCCTAGCTCACGAAGGCGAGATTCGACGCCCGCACCCGTCAAAGCTGACGGCGATGGGAAACCATGATACGGCTTCTCATCGATATGGCCAATTAAGGGACCGTAGTCGGCGCATAACTTTTCCACCATTTGTGATATTCGTGTTATGTTATTGTTGCTACTGCATATGAAAGAGACCAAAGTCTCCCATGCATCCTGGCGTAAAATACGAATTCCAGTAAAGTGAAGCGCTTTCTTTTTGAAATTTACATCTGCTAAGGCCCACTGTCCATATAGGTCCGACAGATTCGTGGCCAGATCAAAGTAGTGGTATATTAATGCTTCGGTATTATCACTCTTCGAAATGTCCCCAGCATTGAAATGAGAAGGAAAAGACCTATAATGAAGATGGGTTGCATCCTGTCGTAATGAAACAATGCGCCCTTGCAGGGTACAACTCCATTCATCTTCAGCTGTTCGCCGCCATCTATCATATACAATCAGCCCCTGAGCTTTTCCCAATGTACTGGTCTCACCTGAACGTTTGTCCACATCTCAGCGTAGTGTTGATACACAGCTCAGTGAGGGTCACAGGCAGTTTGCGCCATTCTGACCAGCATCCAATGGACATTCTGGCCGGTTTGACAAAACTGATCTGTTCTGTTTCTCCGAAGTTGGAGACGAGGTCTTGGCAATCAATTTTGCTTATATAAGCCGCGTTACTATTTGGAGATGCTAACCATACCTGGGCTAGCACGACCAGCGCGAAAGAGCTTCAACGGGAGGCGGTTTAGACTGTCTTTCGATCTCTCGCGAACAGGCTGAATTCTCGAGGGCATTTGCAGTAGTGGAAGCATAAGTAGCGCCTCAAAAGCTCTTACGTCCACTGGGTTTTGTTTTGCGATACACTTGTTTAGTCCCGCAATCGCATTTTTGCACCCTTCACCTTCAATCCACCAGCCGCCTGGCATATAAAGAAACCCATTCGAACAGAATGAACGGTGACACTTACGGTGCCAGAGGTAAGATACATATAATATAATCTACTATTTGAATTAACTAGGCACTTACTTCAGTATGAAACAGACACCGGCCGCTCGAGAGATTATTATGTGAGATTTTAGCTTTCGAGACGCTTTCTTTTCGGTTATTGACTAGTTTCAACAGAGTTCGCGCACTGATCGAGACGACCGACGAGATCGTGGTGACCGTGGTGACCGTGGCGATAGGCGTGATAGGGATCGGAGACGATCTAGATCGCCACATCACAACCCTCGAGGCCCGCGTCGCGAACCCGAATTGGATTCGTACTCCTCCAGCCGCGATTACCGTGCTCGAGAGAGGGAAGATAGATATAGTCGGCGCGATGACAGAGATTGGGATAGGGAGAGGGAAAGAGGGGAGAGAAGACGTGACCATAGGCGGGATGACGATGAGGCCGCACGCCCGCCACGACGAGAACGGGAACTATTTGACGATAAGCCGCGCCGGGAACGAGGGGCGCAAAGAGAAAAGCGAAGAAGCCAAAGTCCGCCGCAGCGAAAGAAGGAACCCACGCCCGACTTGACAGACGTAATCCCAATTTTGGAACGAAAACGCCGCTTGACGCAGTGGGATATCAAACCACCAGGCTATGAGAATGTTACCGCAGAGCAAGCCAAGTTATCAGGTGAGCCTTTTTGACATTACCTTATAGTCAATGGGCATGGCCCATCTAACCGTATATACAGGCATGTTCCCCCTACCAGGTGCACCTCGACAACAGGCAGTCGACCCCACACGCCTACAAGCATTCATGAACCAGCCTGCTGGCAACGCAAATAGCACGCTCTTGAAGCCGGCGAATTCACGACAAGCCAAACGACTGTTTGTCTATAACATACCTCCCTCTGCCTCCGAAGACTCCATCACCCAATTTTTCAACTTGCAGCTCAATGGCTTGAATGTAATCCAGGGCGTGGACCCTTGCGTCTCCGCCCAGCTCTCGACGGATAAGAGCTTTGCGCTGCTAGAGTTCAAATCAGCGGCCGACGCGACTGTGGCGTTGGCATTTGATGGTATCTCAATGGAGCCTGATGATGCCAACGCCAACATGAATGGGTCGCGTGGTGGTCTTTCGATCAGGAGACCTAAAGACTACATTGTTCCATCTGAAAACGAGGAGGCCAATCATCAAGAAGGTGTTGTTTCGAATGATGTGCCCGATTCTCCGAACAAGATTTGCGTCACGAACATTCCTTTGTTCATTCAGGAGGAACAAGTCACGATGCTCCTGGTATCTTTTGGCGAGTTGAAGTCGTTTGTTCTTGTTAAGGATAGTGGAACAGATGGTTCTCGGGTATGTTGAATTTCCTCAGAATCTCTTGCTATAAAAAGCAAACTAACTAGATGCCCTAGGGTATTGCATTCTGCGAGTACCTCGACCCGTCCTCCACTAGCATTGCTGTTGAGGGCTTGAACGGCATGGAGCTCGGTGACAAGCATCTTAAGGTGACCAGAGCAAGTATTGGTGCAACGCAAGCTGCTGGTCTTGATATGGGGGTAAACGCCATGTCAATGTTTGCGAAGACCACTTCCCAGGATCTCGAGACTGGCCGAGTATTGCAACTACTCAACATGGTCACTGCAGAGGAGCTGATGGACAATGATGACTATGAGGGTAAGAATCCCGCTTCTTTTGCTTGCCATTGCTAGCTCTGACGTCGATAGAAATTTGCGACGACGTTCATGAAGAATGCTCCAAGTACGGCCCGGTGCTGGAGCTCAAGATTCCAAGACCGAGTGGTGGCAGCCGCCAGTCAGCCGGTGTTGGGAAGATTTACGTTAAATTTGACACTTACGACACCGCGCATAAGGCAATGAAGGCATTGGCGGGCCGCAAGTTCCAGGACCGGACTGTTGTGACTACATTTTTCTCAGAGGTATGCCCCCAATCCTAAGTCTGTATCCTTGATCACTGACAACATGGTTTTATAGGAAAATTTTGACGTTGGCGCTTGGTGAGTGGTGTGTGCAGAGCAGTGTTGGGTGAGGTATCGTTTCAACTGGCGGCGCGAAAGCGATGTGTATCTTTGAGATTTGTGGCCTTGTGGAAAATGTGCCCATATCAAATACTTGTAATGCAACAGTGTATTATTATGAAAAATTTCTTTCAAAAAACCCTGTTGGAGTTGTATCTACACGATGCTTCAATGTACACCCCCCGTGCTGCAAATCTGGTAAGCTGGTAAGCTGCTGCTTTTTTTTACGCATAGCTGCCTGTAAACTCCTCCACACTCTGTATACTTCCTAGCAATCTTCAGCATCGGGAGAATAGCTATCATTCCTACAAATCACGCCAGACGGCCCGAGTTCACACCAGCTAGGCTTCACCTCAGTGGAGCAGTGGAGAAAGACAAGATGCTCGAGCCCAACAAAAAAAACAAAAAAGCTGACGTTTTTTCTTTCCCCAAGGAATGCGGCTGGGCTCGACGGCATCGCACGGCTTACCACGGCAATGCCCATAGCTTTCGATAGATCAGAAATAGTGGGCGATCCAGAACACACCAAGACGTTTCTTATTATATGCTTGCAGGACGTCCACTGAATTGAAACCAGACATCCTTAATATTTATCTCGGCGCGAACAAGGCGATTGAGGGGCTATATGAGCTATTCTTATTGTTTGGTGGGTTGAGGGTTCTAGAGCAGGTGGTACACATTATTAACAGTCAACTCCAAAGGTAGATAGATACCAGGTATCCCAGCAAAACAGGGTAAATAGCTGGTGTTTGATAGTAATGGAGCTTGGGACATGCGGTGTGGTTACATGACTTACTGCTACATCGGAGTATATCGACCCATAAGAAAGAAACTGACTCTTATCTAGGGGAAAAATAATTATCCTGGGCTTGGTTCATCGGGGAGAATTGTAAGATCGGACTATTATTAGTCAGTTCTCGACAAAAATCCAGGTCTAATGTGTCCAAGCTCCCAACACGACGATTCTGGGCAGCCAGTCCTACTCTGTGCGGCTTGGGAGGGAGAAAACACATCGCAGCGGGTGCGGGATTGCTGCCCCGATGCATACGGGAACAGGCAGTGATGCTTCGCATAGGTTGCCGAAAGCAGTGACATGAAGGTGACGTTAATACCTGCCGCAAAGGGCTAGAAACTGCGTGTGGTGATAGATCTCCCCAGCGATCCCGTCTGTTGTCGCCACGGAGATAGCTAGTCGCCTCTAGTAACCACGCGTCGATGATCGGCCCCCAGTGTGAAACAAGAGAGCAATCTAGATCGAGATCTATACCCGGCATCATCGAGACCTTGGAGTCGGCGGGTGTCAGGCGAACCCAGTAGTGTTCCCTCAACTATTGGAGTTGGTCATCCTTGAGGATGTGTTGGGATTCTTGTTCCGTACGGAGTACAGAGTCCTGGAATAGCGACCCAGATGGTTCTCTCCTTTCTTATGCCAACATAGGATTTTTGTATACTAGGAGAAGCTCGAGGGTAGTTTAATGCAGAGGCAGTCATAAAGACCTCGAGTGCCAAGTATGCGGGTATCGGGTGAAGGGGCCGAAGTTTGTACAGTCTGTGCACCCAAAGGAAGAAGCAACGTTTCAGGAGCATCTGGAGGTTTCTTGTTTTAACGCGTGCGGGACTGGTTTCCTACATATGTAATGTCAGGCAAGATCATCAGTCGGAGGTTTTGTGTAGTTTGGGTTAGTGGGTGGAAGTTTTAGCTTGTGAATGGAGGAGAACGTCAGGGAGCATGGAGGAAGCACCAGAACAGATGATTTTAAGGCATGCCTGTAAAATAATATTACTTAGGAGGAATTCCATCCATCCGGTAACCTGTCTAATCAGACCACCAAGATTTGCATGAACCAGGAGGGTGTACGGAGTATCCGTATGACGTTCTAATCGCGTAGAAGGCATGGGCCGCATGGCATCCAAGAAAGCTCAATAGAGCATGTTCTTCGCACCCAAGAGATATCTATAACTAGAGGGATTGCATTGAGAAATTATTTCGGCGCTTGAGGATCCATGAACCTCGCCAGATGGAACGAGCATGTGCCAGCCGCAGAGAACCCGAGAAAATCCCCTACCGAGAGATGAGGGGAGATAAAAACCAAGAAAAGGTCTGAAACGAGGTTTGTGAATAATAATAATAACTAACGTGCGGCCGACAAGGACGGGCTTGGAGGGATCGAGCGATTATTTATGATCAGGGAATTTGTGATTTGAGCTTGGTGCAGCCCCGCCCTATAGGGATGGATATGCCTGGTACGGCTTCTGTTGAACGCCGGTCCAAGCGTCGTGCGGCAGCACGACGATCACCACCGGGGCAATATAGTTATTAATGGAGGGCACGATAATAGAGGCCGGGCGATCAGCCGGCGACAGGAAGAGGGACGGGGAGGGGGAACATAAAAAACAAAAAACACAAGCCGCCCAACAAAAAAAGAGGGTTCCAAGCGGTCTGAATCAGCGACTTGTGCTCGAGAATTTCGACATCCAGGATCCCCAGGCGGATAAATGATTTAGAGGCACCAATAATACTCCGTGATCCCACGGAGCCCCCCTTTCTGGTCGGGAGCGCAGTCATGCATGGCCCTGCTTCGGCGCGGACGACTGGCGGGGGGGGGGGGGGGGGGGGGGGGGGGGGGGGAGCGCATGCACGCACGCACACACAACCACGCCGGGAACTCTCAGGCGGCCGGTTGGGCCGGGGCGAAGAGTACAATATTAAATCGTAATAATAATAATAATAATAATAATAATAATAATAAATCGTAATAATAATAATAATAATAATAATAATCGCGATGGAGTTATACCACGAGCATATGCGGCTGAAGAGCTGGGCGAGAAGGACGATCCCGCGCGGCGGATCGCCATCCAGGAAGAAGGGTTAGTTAAAAGAAACGGCCTCGCTGGCCGACCGGCTTGCATGCGAAGGATTGATGGTGGGAGTCACGCCATAGGTGGGAGTGATAGCAGTGGCGATGGCGGTGGAAGTACGGCGTCGCTGGTGGTCGTTCTCCGTAGGGCAGAGGCGGAGGTTAACGAGTTAACTAACTAGCAGTTAGTTAGTGGTAGCTGGAGAGTTCCCGCGCCGCCAGATAGGCAAACGAGTTAACGACTTGCAGAGGCGAATCCTCCGGGCTGGTTGGATCACCCGCTGAACCACGTTGGCCGTATCTGTATGTAGTCGGCTAGCTCGCCAGCTATGATATCGCCCACTCTTCCTTAGTTATTTGTATTTTGCGGACAAAGCGCCGCAGCAAGTCCGGCGACGCTGGCCGGCGATGCGAGCGTGCGATTCGCAGCAGCCGCCCCGCCCGACACGAGACTCGCCGCCGCCTCAGCGCGTCTATCTCTCGACTCTGGCCAACTATCCAGACTGCCACGCTCTCGACGCCCACCCGGCCTGCTGGCTGCCCGTCGCAGGATCTCTTGTGCTCCACGCAACCTCGTATTGTGCCTACCATTAACTATTCTTATTCTCTTCCTTCAGGACGCCCGCCCGCCGAACCCATGGGCCCGGACCCAGCCCACCACCACCGCCGCAGTATCAACAGCAAGACAAAACGCCCCTCTTCGTGTTTGGCGTTTGGCGTCCCCGGCCAGTCGACGTGCCAAGCACACAACCTGCCCAGCCGAAGAGATTCTGGGTTTCAATCGCGCGTCTCGTCCGCTGGAACGGCTTTCTCTCTCCGGTCCTTTGCGTGGACCGAGGATGAAACAACACCCAGCCGGCACTCTCACAGCTTGCAGAACTTACCAGCCAGTCAACTAACTAGCTCTGCTCTCTTCTGCTTTTTTTTTTACCTTTTTCCTTTTTCTTATTTTTTTCAATGCGGCGCGGGGGAAGCGTCAGCACTGAGGGGCCAAGCGGGCACACTAAACACTCTAGACCCGCCCCGTCTTTTTTTTTTTTTTTTCCTGTCTTTTCTATGGCTCTTCTTCTTCTTTCGTCGTCGCCGTCTTTGATCGACGTCAGCGTCCAAGCGGCCGCCTCGAAGGATTGATATAAAAAAAACAAGGCAAAACAGCCGTCTGGTGGGCTTAACCAAAGGCTTCCTTCCCCCTAGCCACCAAGTATGGGACATAGGAGTAGTACGGATAGTAGTCCACACAGACACATACGCACGCACGCAACCACGCACGCCCCCCACGCGTGGAAAATCCATTTACGGAGTATTATTAGAAACGATAGTCCCTCGCTTCGCGACGAAACGCCGCAAAATTGAAGTTTGTAACAGAATAGTATATTAAAAAAAAAAAAAGCTCTTTGGGGAAATTTTTGGTGTCTATATACAACTCCCGCGGTTAAGAAAAAAACGCCCACACCAAGCCCAGCCCGGGCGACGCTGTGTCTGGTTGGTGGTGCGGTGCGCCTCTCCCCCCTCCCCCTCCCCGCGTCGTCGTAGTGTCCCTCCAGGTACCATGGTTCGCGCAAAGAAACGCTCGTCTGGGCGTGTATGCATCGTGAAACCACCAGCAGCAGTCCTTTTTTTTTTGCTTTCTCGCTCTCCATATTATTTGCCGTAACTATCGCGTGACCGGTTCCCTCCCTTTTTCTAACTCTAGAATCCTCCCGTGAAAAACCAAAATAGCCGAAGAAGAATAGAAGAAAAGTATTATCCACGTCTCGGAGAAAAAAAAAAAAGAGGGTACAGTACATGCCAAGAATTGGTTTCAACTGTAGCGAATGTATGAAAGCAAGAAAAAAAAAAAAAAAAAGAAAAAGTAAAGAAAAACGCCCTTCCCGTCCCAGATGTGCCCAGTAACAACGTATCAATCAGAATTCCGCCGCCTGCCGCTAACATGACTCCAGAAAAAGATTAAAGAGTGAAAAGAACGATGGTAGGATGGCTTCGAAGGATTAATGCTGTGCATGACGGAAAAGCAACCCGAAAAAAAAAACAAGAAAAAAAAAAGGGGGTAAATAGAGAGCGAGTAAATCGCAGTTGGACGCTTCACATGGTGGAAAGAGAGATATACTCTCAAGTAATTCTTTAGGGGAGGGGGTGGTTGCACGGGGTACATACAAACGCCGTATGCATTTCCCTTCCTCCCTCTTCCAAGCATCTAGCTTCGGCTAGTTGTACAGTTATACTTTCCAATTCTGAGAAAGACAAAAAGTTAAGGGTATTGTGATTAATGGTATTTTTTTTGGTACTCGGGGTCCATCATAGTTCCCAAGAACCCCTATGAGGGGCGGGGGGGAGGGAGTAATGGCGGTAAACGAAGTGGCGCCCCTGGAGCATGTGTGAAAAATAGCCGCTGGTTTCGTAGGAATAATGCCCACCCCAGTGGAAATAGCAACCCACAAAGAAAAGAAAAAGAGAGGGTGTGTGAAAAGGCGAGAAACGGCGCCGGTGTTTCGGGGAGGTCCGCGGTTAAAGGAGGGGGATTTTAGTATTTATGGTTAGGGAGAGATTTCAGGACGGGCCGGGTCTGTCATGCCACTGTTTCCCACCGGCTCGACTAGGAGCAAAAGTAGCCTGCGGATCCCAATCCTTGGCCGCCGCTATCGCGGACGGCGACGACGGCGACGACACACCGCGCTGGCTGGGGGGCCGCGGCGTCGAGAAGCTCAACGGCGGGCTGTGGTAACGGGCCTCGGGCGTGATGATGGCCGGGTCGGGCGACGTGGGCGGCGCGGCAGAGGCGTAGGCCGAGTAGTTCATGGTCGCGATGGAGTGGTCGGAGTTGCGCACGGGACTGAGCAGCGGTTCGGGCGACTTGATGGACGACGGCTGGCGGCCGGCGGCGAGCATCTCGTAGGCGCGCGTGGGCGAGCCCTTCTTGCGCGCGTCCATCGACACGAACTCGCGGTTGGGGTGGATCTTCTGCTTGATCCAGTCGCGCCAGCCCGTGATCATCGTCGAGTGGCCCAGGAAGATGACCGGCCAGAAGCCGCTCATGCCCAGCAGGATGAGGACGGCCAGTACGGAGCTCTCGCTGGGGCCCAGGCTGGCGGCCAGTCTGGCGCATTCGTCCGCGTTGCCGGACGAGAGTACGAGGCAGGCAATCCAAGGTTGAGATTTGGCGACGTTTTCTGGCGACCGGCGTGCGGCGTTGTCCAGGCCCAAGAAGACAACGGTGAAGAAGACAACGTTCGCTAAGATCGTAAACACCACCGCGAACCCTCGCCACTGCAGTAGTAGAATCCTTTTCACACGGCGGTACGTCTGCCGCGCGGAAATTGTGCGCTCGCTTCCCGTGTACGAGGGCAATGGGCCGCTGTTCTCTGTTGTGGGTTTGGTGTCCAGGATCGACTTCACGTAGACGTGGATGCAGTAGCCCAGCGTGGTCAGGTGGATGAGCATGGTCGCCCCAGCAAAGGTCATCAACGGGCCCCAGAAGATAAACAAGCCTTTCTCGTGGTTGATGTGGCAGATGCTTCCAAAGCGATAGGAGGTGCCGGTCACCGCCATTGCGGTTGCAAGACCGATGATGGGAATTCCCCACCCAAAACACATTGTCGAGATGAAAAACTTGCGGCCAGGAACGACGTCCCAGCAGATCTGGACGTGCAGGGACAGCGTGCGGCAAAAACCTACGTTGTCAAAAGCGTCAGTACAAGAAACGATCTTGCCGAGCTAAAAAGAAAAAGAAAAAGAAAAAAGTAGCCTACTCCATAGCACCGCCGCCCAACCACCGCCTAGTATCAAGGCGCTCGTGAACGCACAAGTGAGGTCAGATCTCATGTCATGTGGTGTAATTGCATCGTAGCATTGTGTTGGCTGTGCAGCAAGCGGGATAATAAAAGAAAGCTACCAGACTGTCAGTATCCTGCACAAGCCCATGAGTCCTGTCCCTTTCTTAAAGGTATGTACACCTACCTCCATCATCATGAGAGCTGAAATCAAACAAATACTGAGGTAGTGACGACGAGTCGCCTTCGCCGGCAGCACTGCATAGGTGAGAAGCATCAAGGTATTTAGGATGAAGACGGCGAGAGCAAGCCAACTGGCAATTTTTGTCCGGCGGAGAAAGTCTGTGGCGGACACTCCGGTCAGCAAAAAAACAAAAAAAAAAGGCCACGGCCTGCTGCACGGCGAGTGTTTACCGTCTGTATATCTCCATTCGGCCTGCGGGCACGGTAGACAGCAGCGGACCTTGACTCCCGATGGCATGGTCACTGCATCACATGTTCGGCCGGCAAGGACTGAGAAGCAGCATTAGCAAGCAATGCATGCTGGGGGGAGGCGGCATCATCATCGTTGGCAGCACTCACATCCACCGTTTTTTGGAAACTGACTCTCGTTCAAGAACGGTGGCGGGCACATGGTAGAGTTCATTTTGGCGTGTGCTGCGTGGGATGCAGCGCTGTATGTTTTTGGCCCCGTTTCTCACGACCCTACCCTCATGAGCAAGGTCACGGAGTGTCACGTAGATATATACCACTTGGCGGCCGGTTGGTCTTTTGGTTCCTGGTGTCTAAAGCCTGGCAAACGCAGTCGCACGTGGTCCTTTTGTTCTGTTCCAGCACGGCACTCCAGCTGTCGTGTGCGTTGTAGATTTAGGCGTCCCAAGCCGGCATCCGCCTCCACAATGTCGCTCTCCAGAGGCTCAAGGGAAAAGAAAGTAAAGAATAATGAGGGAGAGGAGGATACAGCAAAGGAGTGGCACCGGAGAGGGAGGGACAAACGAGGGGTCCAAACAACCGCTAGGAAAAAAAAAAAAGCGAAGAAGAGGAAGGGAAACGGAACGAAATGCTTCTGGAGTCGGAGCTGGGGTAAATAATATTATAGGACGGAGGACTTAAGACGCCAGGCTCTGGCGACCCTCTTTGCTCGCACCCAACCAGGCGCCGGGGGGTCAGGGCCAGGAACCAGACTAAGGCGCCAGGGCCTGGACGGAGACCCACGGGCGAAAGCAAGCCAGAGCCTTCGGGGAGCGGCCAAGGCGCGCAAGCCATGCGGGACGTGGATTGATCGGCTGAGTATGGGCACAGCGTTCAGACGCTCCATCGGCCGGCGGAGCCCATCATCCCAAGCGTGTTGCGGACCGCGCAGCAGGCCCCGTCGGGAGGATATTAGTTTCGACTTTGTTTTGGGCCGGCCGTGGAGAGCCGCGGCGAGTGCGTGGGTGGAAGGGCGGCGGGTTGCGGGCGGTGGTGATTGGGAGGCCGGCGCCCGCCTATCAGCGCAGGCGGGCTGGGGGGGAAAGAGAGGGCGGCGGCGGGCATCCCTGGCGCCAGGGCCAGCGCGGCGAGCCAGTCAGACCGGGGAAGACGGCTGTTCAGAACTGGAGTCGAGTGCTTCGAAGCGTGTGTGGTGAGCAGCGAGCGGGCGATGGCGGCACACACATGTCAGAGACTCCCGAAACCAACGCGCCCGGCGCGCCCAGAGCCGTTACAGCCAGGCGGGCGGGGTGGAGGAGGGGCGCATCTAGACTAAACAGCATGCCCGCCGCCGCAGCACAGTAGTCGCAGGCTTAGCAGGCGAGGTATTTAGTGAGTTAACTAGTTGGTTGGGTAGCCCGTCTGTCGCGGTCGTGTGAGCCAGTCTGCTGCTTGCTGATACTGCTGATGCTGCTGCTGATGCTCCCGCAGGTGCAGCGACGAGCCGCCTATGTATGCAGCCTCTCCTCTCCCCTCTTTCTCTCACTCTCTCTCTCGCTCTCGCTCTCGCTGTCTGGCTGGCTGGTCGTTGTCGCCCCTGGCAGGGTTGCATGCCGGCCGATCAGCCAATCCCGCATCCCAGGCGGGCACTGCTGGACCTCGGCGCCGCTGACAGGGGCTGCCCGTCGCGGTGAGTTCCAGAACTGCAGCGGAAGTCCGGGGCGAGGAACAGCCACAACCACAACCGCCGCCAGCAGCCGTTAAGCAGCGACAATCTCGCGATGGTGTACTGGCCGTATCGCAGGCCACAGCACCCTTCCACGACAACCGCGCCCGCCTCGTGTTTGTGTGTGTGTGTGTGGGCGACGTCAACCCGCCCGTCGCCCCTCTCCGACGCGCAAGCCCGCGGGCGCCCAACCACTGCCAGTCGTGAACGCCGTCCCAAGCCCGGCGGCCCTCAGCCCGGCGCTCTTGGGACGGAACAGTATGTGTGGGCTCCGCTTTTAAGGAGACAAGCAGATCAGACTCTGCGATCCTTCGCGCCCGCCCGCCCACCTTTTCGCACTCAGTACGGAGTACGCTGTAGTAGTACATAGTACTAAAGTAGTAGTTCGTACGGAGTAGTTATTAATATACCCACGCCCGTACCGGAGCTGCGGCGGTGTCGTTGGTCGACGGCGAGGTCGACAGCCGCGACAGCCGGTGGATCTCCCGCCCGGCGATGCGTTGAGTCGAGCACGACGACTGCGCCCGGCCATGATCATCGTGAGTCAAGTCCGGTCGTTGCTGTCGTCGCTGTCACGATCCTTGATTATTATGGTCGTCGGCCTGCCCGTCGTCGCCGCGGCGCTTGCGGTTCTCACAAGCTTGCATGAATGAACGGCGTGGTTGGATCGAAATTGTGTGTCTCGCAGGATGGCCGTTATCAAAAAACGAAACGCCCGCATGCTTCCTCCCGCCGCACCGTAAGCTCCAAGAACAGAGAAAAAAAAAACCTGCTTTTGGCGCGGATCCTCGGCTGTTTGGCATCTTATTATTTATGATTTTGTTTGTTTCGACGCTGGGCACGCATGAAGACCACAAAGTAACGGCGAATGATGAGGATTTATTATGGGGCCCCTTTGCGTTTCCCCAGCACGCCTGCGCGGTGCCTGCAAGGGCCCCCGCGTCTGTCGGCCCTCTGAGATCTCAACCATGGACTGGTGCCTGTGTCTGCCTGCCTGGGACGGTGTGTATCCGATCGCCCGGACTCGCCCTCACCCCAGCCCTGGGGTCTCGCCCGTTCGCAGATATGTGTGTGTGTGTGGTGTGAGTGTCCCTGGCCGGGCAAATTTCGACCTTCGGGTTGGCGTGCTGGGATGCGAGGGATGGAGGGAGGGACAGGGCCCAGCTGCTGGTCCCAACAAAACACATGGATGGGCAGCCGGCGTATAACTCGTTCGTTCGTTCGTGCGGTCGGTCGGTCGCCCGTCTAGCGAGCGGATGTCCAATATTGCCCATCCATGATCCGTCAGGTGTGGCGTGGTGCGACGCTTCCACACACTCTGATGTGAGACAAAGAAGAAGAGGGCGAGGGCCAACAGAGATCACGACATCACGACATCACTCGCCAGCTAGGCGAGCCAGCTAGGTAGGCAGTCCGTCCGTCGACGGCTCAGCAGCCGCCTGCCTGCCTGCCTGCCTCGCTTCGCCGTCACTTGACGAGCTGGGCCGCCGCGCGCATCGCGATCGTCGTGCCGGCCCGGGCCACGCTGCCGTTCATGCACTCGCGAGACGAAGTGTGTCGTCTTGCTGTCACTCTGGCCTTGCATAACTAGTTAGCTAGTTAGCCAGCGAGTGAGTTGATTAATTAACTAAACCCCTCGCGGGCGCATTGCTGCGGTATTGCCCACTGAGAGGCTGCTGCGTAGACTGGCTGTGACGAGCCATGCACGCCCGATCGAAGTCTGTCTGGGCTCTCTGCGACGCTGTCTGCTGTCTGGGCTGCGAGCTTCTATTTTCGGGTGCGAGCCCCCTGCCCGGCCCTGGCCTGCACTGCAATGCACCGCATCGCATTTGCTTCCCCCGGCGCCGGCCCCTGCTGGTACTGCTGCTGCTGGTTGTTCGCCTGCAGCAAGTCTTAGGCGGTGCCGGCCAACACCACCACCACCCGCCTCCGCCGCCTGGGAGGGTGCACTGCATAGACTTCCGCCGTCGTACTGCGCGCAGGCATTGGCCTGCTCGCCTGGGACGCAGCACGCCCGTTGGGTGGTGCGCCACGCCTGGCTGCCTGCGCCGTGATTTGCCCTGCCCATCCGTGCTGGCCGTCCTCATGCCTAGTTAGTTAGTTCACTAGGTAGCCAGCCAGCTCACTAACCACCTAGCTAGCTCATGAGAGGGTGATGCCCGCGCGCACACGCACACACACACTGGCTCGCTGGATGGCTGGATGGCTGGATGGCTGGATGGATGGGATGTCTGTAAACTACGCCGCGCCCTGGTTCAGCTGACCCAGCGGGCATCCGGCACCACACGCACGCACACGCAGGCTCCGTCGGTAGCGGGTTGCATGTCTTATGTACAGTATGTAGTTAGGTACCTCCTCCAGGACGAACTAGCCGATGCCGTTGGGCAGCCAGTCTGCCCTGCCCGCCTCGGGTGCAGCGCCCTGGCGTGCCGGATGGAGGAACATACATATGTACATGTACATAGAGACATACTTACATACATACATATCCGCCAAATGCACCGTCGGCCGCCGCCGCCGCCGCCGCCAACCCCCTCCCCTCCCCAAAACGGGCCATTGCTCCCGCGGCTGGAACGGCTGCTGCTGCCGCCGCCGGGGCTGCGTCTCCCAAAATTGGGACCAGCAGAAACCGCAGCAGCCAACGCTAAGGCGTGCGCAAACGGCCGCGGAGACCCGTCAAGAACGAGCAGCCATGCGTCTGCCGTCGTGGCAGCGTCCCGCCCATCCCATTCCGTGCCATCCCCCCCCCGCCAGACCGGCCAATGGGTGCTGCCAATCGTGAGGGGAAGCCCGCCGTCCGAGTCTTCTTTTGTCCGTGGCATTCTTGTCCAGGTCTTAGCGTCCCGGGCAGCCGTTGATACTGGCCCGCTCCCGCGCCGCAGCGCGTTCCCCCCGGGGGCGGGGGGGGCTATTTCAAATGCACGAAATGCGCCAAGCGCAATATATGTTGTTAGGTGCCATGAAGGCGTCGCCTAGGAAGCGCAAACCTCTCCAGGCGACGGGGTTCTGCTGTATCGAACTGCTGTTTGCGGAAAACCGAATCGATGAGGCCACGCCGCCGGTGTGACCGTCTCATTGGCCATGCCAGGTCACCAGAGCAGGTGGGAAAAAAACGAAGCCGGGTGCGAGACTGCAATGCAGCTGCCCTCAGCCGCGCAGGAGAAATCTCTCAGTCAGCGCGCGCCAGTGCGACATTTTCCACCCCCCCTTGAGCCTAGGCTGTGCGAGGAGCCAGTCGCGAATCGGAGAATAAAATCACCCCCTGCGCCCCCCCCTCTGTCGGGAAAAGGCGTGTGTGGAAACTTTCCTTTCAAGCATATAAGACATAGGTGACGGATGTTGCCAGTGGGTATTACCCTTAGCGTGGTATCTTTGTGAAGATTTTTACATAAGAGAGTGAGTGTAGCAGGAGAGAAAACGCGCAATATCATCCACAAGCGAACAATATCATAGACAAGGAAAAACAACCACCAATATCTAGTGATTGCCAGTGCAGCTCCAGAGAAGTATGCTCCCCCTTCAGAACCTCATATCCTTCCCACTCTATTGAAAGTGGTTAACCGTCCTTTCTTAACAGCAGGATGTCGTTGATAGAATCCTTGGCCCAGAAATGGCAGGAAATATGCCTTAAGTACCCTCCCGGGTGGATTGAGGTCGTCGGGTCGGCCTGGGTCCAGATCATCGGCTTCATCATCCCTGGCCTGGCATTCCTGCTGCTCGACCTCCTGAAACCTGCAGTCATGAGCACCCGCAAGATCCAGGCCCCCTCCAAGCAGCCCTCGAACCGCCAGATGCTCAAATGTCTCGGCCTCGTGTTCGGCAACCAGGCGTATCTGATCGTCTCGCACTTCTTGGCCCACTGGCTCATCGGGTATAAATTCTCAATCTTCCGCATGGACCCCAAGCTGCCCAGCCTCCGCGAGGTCGCCGTGCACTGCGCCGTCGGCGTCGTCATCCGCGATGTGCTCTTCTACTACGTGCACCGCCTCATGCACACCAAGACCATGTACCAGAAGATACACCGCGTGCACCACGAGTTCCGCGCGCCCATGGCGCTGGCGGCGATCTACTCGCACACCGTCGACCACGTGCTGACCAACGCCATGCCGATATACGTCCCCATGGCCCTGCAGCGAGCTCATTTCTTGACCCTGGTGCTGTTCGCGGGCGTCGCAGTCTTCGATGCCGCCGTGTCCCACAGCGGCTACTCCCTGCTCCGCCTCCCGAGCGTCGAGAGCCACGATGTCCACCACGAGAAAGGCAATGTCAATTTTGGAGTGCTGGGGTTGATGGACAGACTTCATGGTACCCATGCGTAGAGGTAAGTACGAGAAACGAGAGAAAAGAGAGAAAGCAAAAAACAAAGAACGACCCGTTGCACTGGTCGTTGCTGGAATTTTATGTAGTTCTCATGCACGTACCCCTCCACTGACAGGCATGGCAACCAATTAGGTGACGAGGTATGCCGTTTTTGTCAAGGACCTGAGGCGTTGGGCATGAATTGTGCTCATTCGTGGATTGCAATTTGAGCTCAACAAACAGCGAGTGATCTCGTTCGCGACAAAACAACCTAACACTGATTTTTGAGACCTTGCTGTGCCCCCGTGCAATTTAAAAAGAATTTCGGTCTTCTAGACACTCTGCCCCTGCCACTGTCCGGGAATAAAAAAAAGGGGAGAGGGGCTGCGACTCTGGCGGAAAGTTGAGATGGAAGTGCTGGAGATGTTACCGTGTGGCGCCCGTTTCCTTTTCTGTCCTAGCGTGGAGACAGGAGGTTGTTTTTTTGCGGTCGAAAACAAAACAGAAGGAGGGTTTACAGAGGTTATTTTTAAAAACTCGAGGTATGATGATCAAAAGTAAGGGATGTTGTTCTATTGGTTTATGTAGTTTGGGACGCCATAAAGCCGACTAGTTGGAAATAAGACCGCGCTCAGACATAGAAAAGTAGTTACTCCATATTTGTGGTCACTGATTACATATTTATCATCAACGTTGTAAATTCAATAATATTATAGAAGGAAACAAGCAAAATCTACGCTGCCCAACGACTCGAGAGTGATGAATTACTGGGTGAAAGCGGCACCACCACCGAAAGGACCGGAGATAGCGGTGTTGCGGACGCGAGCAACGCAGACATTCTTAGCACCTCCAAGCTCGCCAGTGCACTTCATGCCATCTGGCATCTTAATCTGGATTTCATAGTCGGAGTTGGAGGCGGTGGAGAAACCAGCGGCTCCGGGGACGTTCTTGATGACCTGCGCCTTTTGGAAAGCCTTGGGGTCGGATCCACCAGAAGATGGGTCGATCTCCGCAGTCAGAGGACCAGCTCCGTCTTGGTTGACCTGAAGAGAAGAAAAGCACATGTTAGCGTACTTGGAGCGGATGAAATGCTGCGAGGCATATGCACGTCGACTTACTTGGTGGTAGGTCATGGTGATCGTTCCGTCAGAGGCGGCGGTTGGCAAGCCGGCGGACTGGCCTTTGCCGGAATATTCTCCAACTCCACCCTCCATAACACCCTTGGGGGTCATTTGACCACCGCCCATGCGAGCAGCACCGCCTTGGATACCTGGAGCAGTTCACATTAGAAAAACTGGCAAGCAGAAACTTAGGATCAAATATACATACCGTCCATAACACCAGACAATGGAGTGTTGCCAACGATATCTTGGAAGCCTGTGAAATGGGTTAGCTATGGTAAATACCCTCCCAGGCTCGATCAATGTAAACATACCGTTGAGCACAGCACCAGCTGGGCCAGTGATGGCGGAGGCAAGATTGTTCAAAAGCTGACGTGCTGTGGAAACAGTCAGTATCAAGGTACTCCAACCCGTTTCATTTGGGGTCACTTGCGTTTCAGGAAGTCACGGGCATGTCGGCGTGTCTTCGCGCGGCCCATGTACGCCTGCATGACAGCAGCGGGGTCTACAGCGCCGTAGCTGGTGCGGCCCAGGGTGGAGGCCCTGGAAGATCCCATCTCGGCATCACGAATGATCGAGGTATCCTTTTGGGCGCCGCAGGCGGCGGATGCACAGCCGCGAGGAGTTCCGTCAACAACTGGAGTGTGGCATGTCAGTGCCCGTTACAAGTGGAGAGGCAGAGAGGGGAGATGGTCGTACCGGTGAGACCGGGCATGTTGACGCCGTTGGCTCCTTTAATGAGAGTGATGGTTCCATGAGCAGCAACCTGGCTGCACGCTGCCAGAGCGGAAATAACGATGGCGTTTGAGAACTTCATTTTGAATTATGTATGTGGATAGTGAGAATTGAGCGAGTGTTATATTAAAGACTGGAATGAGATTTCAGCGAACGAAAGTAGATCAACAAAAAATAAACATTAAGAATTATATAGACAGATCGAAAGACAGTGCTTGATGATGGAGAAAAAACTATCAGGGTCAAGGATGCCAGGCCTCTTATATAGAGCTGTCTCTTGCCCAGAGGTCGCTTTTTGGGAAAGGCTTCAGTCTACCATGCGAGCAGGGGTTTCAAAGATAGACAACACTTAGGAAAAAGTTTGTGAACACCGAAGGCGGACAACTCTGGTCAAACAGTTCAGCGGTTCGTAAACAGCATGGCGTGTGGGCTAAAACCGAGGCCAGCATGCCCGAGGCCGAGCGGTGCGATCCGTCCAGACAGTTCCCAGTGTACTCCGTACTCCGGCGTAGAGAACAGGGCATAGTAACAGACAGACAGAGGCTCACCAGTTTCAAAATGAAACCCATGGCCGAGATAAGAAACTTGTGTCGACTTGCCACATTCCAAACATAGCAAGCCAGAATCAGTCTGGGAATGGCTAGGAAAGAAAAGTGTGGGCTAGAAACAGCCTAACGCTGTTGGTTTGGCCTGTGATGGCCATCAGGCGTATCAAAAACCATCCGTCGTCCCTAAGCTTTGCCGATGTCTCAAGTAGCTACAGGCTAACAGGCTTGAAACAATAGGCCGAGAGGTCACCTCCCACAGCAAAACTGGACGTCGTCGCAGGAAAAATAGGTAGTATTGCAGCAAACCGACGGAGCATTCTTAGGTCGCCGTCAAGACCACCGGACTGCTGTAGACAACGCCAGGACGGCGCCAGAGGAGGTCGAGAGGTGAGGGCGCCCAAAGGGGCGATAGCGAGGTTGGGTTTGTGTGTTAGCTGAACCACGGATTCAGGGGCTCGCGCCCAGACTTTTTTGCACCTTCACCTACAAGCTCTACCCTGGAGGTGCCATCTATTTCCTCGCGAGGGTTACTTTCGAACGTGCGAACACGGCGTCATCACCTCGTCGATGCTGATCCCAGAGCAGGGCTTTGGGGTGGCATCACATAGCTAGCTTGTTTACTCGGAAACAACTGCCATTCCTCCGCGCCAACACTGTTCGGCCCGGCAGGAACTGTATGCTGCTCCCCAGGGGTTTCTAGGTGCTCGCTGTAACAGTTTTCGTTTCCGGAGGACGGAATGCAGGCATTCAGCTCTGGAAAGGAAGCTATCCCACCCTCGCTCGCCGCTGGCCACACCGGCTGAACATTGAACCATGGCCGGTTTACTACAGGTTGTATGTTTATTCCCGTTTCAACAAGGATCCTTTCAGAGGCATACGTGCGAAGTAAACGACTTCACTGCTGCCGATAATCCCCCGATTTCATCCATTGCGATTCCTTTTTCTCATCGCCGACCCCACCAGCCCAAGGCCATTCGCCCGGAACCAGCAGCCTGTCTCACTCAGAATCCGTTTCGGTCTGTAGGCTGCTCTCGGAACGGATTATGTCGGTCTGGCACTGGTCTCCCCCCAAGATGCCTGCCACCGAGACGCGGGAAGCACCTATGGCTAGTCATGTCGATCAGGGTAGAGGAGGCTTGTAGTTCCATGGACAGATCGGTTGCCCCCAAGCTTCGGTATCTTGCCCTGTCTGTTTACACCGGTTTGGGATCAACTTCGCCACCGGCGCTTCGAAAGTGACACAAAAATAGCACACTATATGGACGGCGTCAGGCACGGCGAGTTTATCCGGATTTTTAGCCGCGGAACTCTCACTCTTTTCTTGGTTTCACAATAAGCGTAGCGAAAAACTAAACATCGCACCGCCACCATAGGAAGATGCGCGCGAGGGGGAAGGCCTTTGTGTCTTGTTAAGACGCGCCATACTACGCAAAGAGAAATAGTACGGAACGGATTTCGGAACCTATAACAGCCACGATCATCCCATACGATGGCAGTGCTGCTGGTTTTCTCTCATGAGCAGCGAGATCTGCGAGCAGTAGCTATGTGACGTAGGAATGTTACTCTTTAGCAGGAAGTGTCTTGCACAGAAAGCAGGTTCAGAAAGAAGTTATAAGCTGATATTGTAGATATTTGACACAAGAATAACGAAGTGCTAACGCTACAGATGACGAAGCCGTAAATCCCGAAGCCACAGCCAGTCTGCATATATCGGAATTGCCGGCCTGGAGATCAATAGTCAATAGCGTGGTCAGAAAGTCCTACAAACAATGGGTGTCAGTTTAGGCATGACATCAAATACGACAATTGCAAAACAATGAGATTATTAAGAATGCAGACATCAGAAGTCCATTTAGATCATCGAGGATAGGCAGGGTATGCCCGGCCCCTGACATAAGAGGTACCAGAAAATATAGAAATGGGTTGTATCATCATAAAACTGCAGACTGGGGAGAGAAGGGTGAACGAACCTCTTAGTTCATGAGAAAAATTAAGATCAGGCTACATTTTGTTATGGTTTTAACAAAGCAAGCTTTTCCATGCTCAAATAGTGTAGCCCTGTTACCATAGATGGCAAATGTGTACGAACAGTATATTTGTGTGAGTTTGGAGAGAAGAAAATTCTGGAGCAAAAAATGGGTTAGATTAGTAAGCCTGATTATATAATAGTTAATTACCCCTTTATTAGGTTTTTTATCACGTGCAACTCTGATTCAACACCACCCCAACAGGGGCAAAATGGCTAGACTTATCGAGCGCAATTCGCAAGGAACGCGGCATTGCCGTTCTGAAATAGTTGCCTGGGGTGGGGTTTGTACTTCAGTACACTTTGTACCCAACCATCAGACTCGACTGCCGCCTTCAACTGGCTTCGAGGTCTCATCAAAACCACAATTCACTCTAGACTGAGCAGCCCCGAGTACTACCATGCCTATAGGATCTTTCCTACAGGCAATACGCCAAATTCACTCCGGGTCTCCGGCAACAAATGGCGTTAACAACGACAAGTTTCTCGCCCGCTTTTGGGACATGCTCTCGCGGACTTGGGACCTTGGCTTCACATCATTTGGTGGCCCTCCTGTTCACTTTCGAATTTTCTATCAACGCTTTGTTGAAGGAAATGAAGGGAAGCCGCCATGGATAGACGAACAGACGGTGGGATATGACATTCTCCTGTTTCACTATGACTTCCACCAGCAATGCTGATCGGAGTGGACGTCATGAGTATAGTACCAGGAACTATTTGCAATATGCCAGGCTTTACCGGGTCCTGGAAGCACAAAGATGCTGTTTTGTATTGCTTTGATACATGCTGGCTTTTTTCCAGCAGTATTCAATTTGCTCGTCTGGAGGTGCGTTTTATCAAGCGATTTGACGACCATTCGTATCCTAACAAACTGGAATAGCTTACCAGGTGCTATTGGCATGTTTGGACTTTCTCTTGGGGTACAAAGACTGGATGATGTCCTGCCCAATGTAGTGTATGCCCTACTTTCAGGTCTCAACGCATCTACCGTAGGAATTATTGCCTTAGCCGCTGTTCAGGTAATTCAAAATCTATATCAAATATCTAGACCACCAGACTCATCGATTTTGATCTAGCTAGCTGAAAAGTCTATCAAGGACACCATCACTAGACTGCTTGTCATTCTTGGAGCTTGTGCCGGTTTATGTTATAACTCATTATGGTATTTCCCAACCTTGATGGTGATAGGTGGCTGCTCTACTGCAATATGGGACCTTTACGGTCAACAGAGTCTCTTGGCTTTAAAGCGCAAGATTCGAAGACAAACAGCACCTGCCGAGCAACCTGCCGAAGAAACTGTCGTTCAGACGACCAGCTCGCTACAACGGTCTTCAGTGTCATCTAACGTCCAAAGGCGAACCGTCCACTCCAGAACCGATGATACGAACGAAAGCATTCTCCCTCTGAATTCTAGGCCTACCAGCGACGTAGCCGGAACAAATGTACACGAAATCGGTGCAAGTCCTCGGTCGCTCTCTGTCAAATGGGGAATATTGATCATTCTAGGATTCTTTGGTGCTTTTTACTTGCCCTCATATTTGTAACGAGGCTAACAAATGTTTTAGCTACTTTCGTCGCGGTTCTCGTTGCCCGGGGTAGCGTAAAGAACCCTCCATTGGAGCTAAATCTTTTTGCAAACATGTATTTAGCTGGAACCGTTATCTTCGGTGGTGGTCCAGTTGTAATCCCCCTTCTCCGCGAATATGTTGTTCAACCTGGCTGGGTCTCATCCAGAGATTTCCTGATAGGGCTAGCACTTATCCAGGCATTCCCAGGCCCTAACTTTAATTTTGCGGTGTTTCTGGGAGCTCTTGCTGTTGCATCTACCAAGTCCCCAACAGTGGTTGGGGCACTGATGGCCTATGTTGGAATCTTTTTCCCAGGCATCACACTCGCTGTCGGCTTTCAGAGCTGCTGGAGATATGTGAGGAGATACCCACTTACTACCAGTGTGCTTCGTGGCATGAATTCAACGGCTGTTGGACTTGTTTTTACTGCTGTGTATCGTCTGTGGGAGATCGGATATTTGACATCTGAAGCCTCTTCTGGTCAAAGTCTAGGCAAAGAGCCATTTTGGTTGGTTGTAGCTGCCTTGACATATGCTGAAAATGCATGGTTTAAGGTTCCTCCTGCCATTGCCATCATTTTCGGCGGAATACTAGGCTTGTGCTGGTATGGTGTCGTTGGGAGATAAGTATAAGAGATACCAAGTGTCATTCAAAAATATGAACAGCCATCATTTTTATTCATGGTGAAGGGTTTTTTATACGGACAGTTCAATCGGGAATCCATACATACCTATAGGTCATTCTCATTGATGTCAAGTCGCCATTCTTGTTCGGATTTCGGGTTTTCCCGCTCCGAACCGTCTAAATTCTTTAAAGTTTGATTTAAGCCAAATCTGGTGCATACCTTGGCAATCCTTTTAATAAGCGATCCATGTGATCGCCCCAGCCCTAACCCTGCAGTGTGAGTCGAAAAAAGATCGCAAACGACTTGAACCTGTTCGACAAGCGCCAACAACCGATACACACGCCAACCACCGAGTTCTTCGCCAGGATATCATTTCATAATGGGTCGTCTTCATAGCAAGGGCAAGGGTATCTCCTCCTCCGCCATCCCATACTCCCGCAACCCACCTGCGTGGCTCAAAACCACTCCCGATCAGGTCGTTGATCAGATCTGCAAATTGGCAAAGAAGGGTGCTACACCTTCTCAAATCGGTGTCGTTCTCCGTGACAGCCACGGAATTGCTCAGGTCAAGGTCGTTACTGGTATGGATATCTGATTGTGCTATCTAAAATAGACTCGCAAATGCTGATTACTTTATTTTTGGAAATAGGTAACAAGATTCTCCGTATCTTGAAATCGAATGGTATGAAATTATACGCATCCCCCTCATGAATGACGAAATATGGACGGTTGAAGTACCGGATATCAATTCTTCACCTGAACCCGCCATATTACGCCGCAGACTTTGGTATCCAAATATTGGAAACTAGTCGATTCAGCATTGCCTCTGCTTGGTCATACATAGACTGACGGAGAGATTTTCATCATGAATAGGCCTCGCCCCTGAAATTCCAGAGGACCTTTACATGTTGATCAAAAAGGTAGGTAATCGAGATTCTTTATTCTTGTTTGGTCACGGCTAACCCTCACCTGCGTCCAGGCTGTTGCCGTCCGCAAGCACCTTGAGCGCAACCGCAAGGATAAGGACAGCAAATTCCGCCTCATTCTCATCGAGTCCCGTATCCACCGTCTCTCTCGCTACTACAAGACTGTCGGTGTTCTTCCACCCACCTGGAGATACGAAAGCGCCACTGCTTCCACTCTTGTTGCATAAACGGTCGTCATGTGGTATATCCAAAACTCGAAAAGCTGGGACTCGTGGGTTCGGTGTTTACGGCGTGAAGAACGGACTTGTTTATGTTGTTGGTCTTAAAACTGAGAGAAGAACTCTTCGAGAAATTTACTCTTGGAATAAATAGGAGGTTTACCTCCCGAGAATCCAGCAACTCTCCGGGATACTTCAGTAATCTGGATTAGTTAGCGTCTCTTCACTGTCAGATCTATCGAATACAGAAATTCAAAGATCACCCAGATCTCAAACGTGCCCCAATGTGCCCTATATCATTTCATAACTACCTTTGTGGTGCTCGTTTATATATTTATGTCTATAAAGTAGAACTCTAGGGCTACTGTACATGGCGAACTTCTCGCGCCACAGCATTGCACAACTCAACCTTTACTCCTGCGCTGGTCAAGACGTGTATCCAAAGTCTTTGAGTATCACTAAGCCGATCATTCAGCGACTTCACCTCAACGAATAACACATCCTCCGCTTTTGTGCTCCAAAGAAAAAGGTCTGGAACACCTCCCCCTCGTTGCTGGTACTCTTGCGCCATGACCTTACATATTGTCGCCAACGCCTCTCCGCGAAAACATTGAACAATTTCCAGGAGGTCGCTAAGTTCAAATGACCAGTCAATACCGATAGCGCAGGTTTGCTTTTCGCATTCTCGCTTATGCACTTGTTCAAGGATACCTGGCGCTTCGCCATTGGATATCTGCGCAAGACGGCGGTTTATCTCTGAAATTCGGCAGGAGTAGAAAGCGTCTGTGTGCAGGTCCAAAGGGCAGGTTTGAAATGGGGTCTGAAAAACATTAGGAACATATGTGAAGATGACATCATAGAAAAGAAGTCCAAACTAATAAGAAGTAAGTATCATTTGGCCATTTGACTACTGTCAAAAGATATCAAGTATCATACCAGTGTGCGTAGGATGCCACCTTCACAGTGATAGCCCTTCCAGCCTTGTTTCCTGTACCAGCTTAGGCACATATTCTCAACTCTACATTCGCTGCCATCTTCCAGTTCATCTATCCAAATTGTGGGCCGGCCTCTCGCTGACGAATTAGGGATGCTGCTAGTCTTAGAGGTAAGCGATGTTGGTAACTCCCTCTCGACGCGAACACCTTCAACGGTTCTCTCTTCTGGTTTAGCCAACATTACATGAGAAAAATCATGTTGTTCGCGCTTCGCTATGTTCAAAGACTTTTCCAATTTCATTATTCGTTTTTGTAGGTCATAATGGTAGATGATGTGACAATGAGGATCCTCAAGGCCGCGCTCGCAGGTCTGTAGGGCGTAACGCTTCCATTTCTTTTTCCGCGCATCTTCCGAGAGAGTGTCAGACGGAAGTAGATTCCACATGTAATGCTCTTCTAGTAATGCTTTACGTTGATACCAAGCGCCTCGCCTAGAAGGATGGAAAAGACACTGGTCAAGTAATTCCGATAATAAATTGTGTTCCCTTCTATAGTTTTTCAGTCGACCCAAAACATAGAGACCTTTGTGAACGATCCGTGTATAGACCCAGGCGGGAGAAAACCTGCGAAGATACGCACCCTCCCCCATGTCATAGACCTGGTCTTCTTTATACTGTTCCTCTGTAAGCAATGTTTTCCACCTAGGGTATACATTATCTAACGCGGTCTGGATTGTTTGTAATTTTTCTGATAGAGAAATGTTACCAGATTCCATAGCATTATCCAAATCGAACTGAATGCGAATAGCCCTCTCAAACTCGAGGAGGATGGCCCTCGTTGGAAATATGCCATTTGTGCGTGAGACTATATAATCGGGATAATTTTTTCTTGAAATTTTGGCTAGAATTATAGTTGTAAGGGACTTTTCAGTCCATTCGGTAGATCGGTAAAAGATCAATTGTACGCGTTCAAATAGCTTTAGAGGTCTCAAAGAAAGGCGAATACAGTCGCCTGTATAATTCAATATTTTCTTGAGAAAACGACTGTTAGTAGCAAGTTGTTTTGATACTGGCATTCCCGTACGGTCCACCTCCGATATATTGCTGTTCATTGAATCAAGAGAACATGGCCAGCTCAGACCCGTCTGGCTTTTGACTGATCCCTGGAGAGCTTTTAATAGCTCTTTTTTAGTTTTGCCCTGTACTCTCGCCTGCCTCCCCAGTTCTTTAAGTTCATCTAGGAGCAATAAAGAAGAAGCCTCTTCTACTGTTGTTATCTCCTCTAATCCCTCCGCAAACTGAAATTCATCGTCCAAGGCCATGTTTGCTTCAGAGTATATTTCAACAGGGATTGGTGTCGGATTTTCTGAAGCAGCGGGCAAAGGTCTTGTTAATCGGAGCTCTTCAATAGCGGCAGGCATATCTCCAATATCATGGTAATAGCCAAGCCGACTGATACGGTGCCAGGCAGCCGTTTTACGTAGGAATAACCGCACATATCTGACACTCGTCAATGGCGGGTCCTTTCAGTCAAAAATTATAGCAAAGATGTCAATTCATGGAAAAATAACTTCCAGAGTACCTACAGATATTGAGATTCATAAGGAAGCTGTTTCCAGAAGTCAAATAACGCCATCTCTTTGTCATCAAATAAATGAGGTTCCTCGTCCAAAACGCACTTCAACGTAAGATTAAAGGCATCCACATAGATGGAGCTTTTCCCTTTTACCCAAGTTCTATCATCATATCGTCCTTGTATATCCTGCTCTTTCGACCCATCCACAACGGAGGTTTTGAGGCTTTCATATTCATTTATCGCCTCCTGGCTAGATTCGACCGGGGCCAGGGATGTTTCCAACTCGGTTTGTGTCCCTGGTTGATAATTACCTTCCTCGCTAATGGAGGCCAGACTATCGAGGCACTGGTAGAGCCGCGAATCAGACTCCTCCCCAGATTCAGATTCTACCTCGGGTGCTTTGCCTGGTTTATTCTGTTTTTGCTGAATATCGAATATTCGAGCGCGTTTTCGCGCAGGACTGTGAATGAAGTTGTCCATAGGAGCAGTTCTTATTATGAATGTTTATTGATTCACGGCATATTGCCGACTGTATCAGGGTTGGTGTAGCGCGTAATAAGACATGGCTTCACGTAGCCATGCGATTAGACGAAAAAGGCTTGACGCGAATGCACGTGATTTAATGATTTGTTTGCACAGTTTGGAGTAGTTAACTTAGTTGACTATGGAGTACTTGAGTTCCGAATTCAATCTCCAAGACAGCTTGCCAGCTTGCGTTCAAAGGTTAGAAATACCTTTATTGTCAAGGCGTGAATGCTTTCCCACAAGGCTCATATGGTTGAAGCTTTGCATAGCCCTTCGTCCTCAGCTCCTCCCCCGATTGGCCCGGATTTCTTACTTCCTCCGAACTCCAGCACTGCACAAAGAGCTCCACAAACCAGGATGGATGGAGAAAGCCATGCGGCACCCTTAACAATGCAGAATAACACGGTATGTCATAGTAGATGTGAATTATTTCATTAGATAAAAATCCAATGCGACCCACTTGCTTCCATGAAAAAATACCCGTTCCCGCTAGCCTTCCTCCAAGATTTACCCTCGCTCCTCAGGCTAAATATCACATCATAGCCCTCAGACCAGCGTCCCAACTCCGCCTCCCCTTCGAATTTTGCTTCTGCCCCCTCAGCCTCCGCTCCCTCACAAGACACTGCCTTCCCTTCGCACCCTGGGCCAACCACCCAGGTGGATCGCGATATCATTATGGGTGGATCAATGAACCGGCAAAATAATGCGATAACCGATGCTAGCAGCATGGCATCATCCTCTACTCCCCTGGCTAGTGTTGGTGGTGCCCCAGCTCGTATTTATCTGAATGAGAAAATCGTTCCCTATTTATTGGAAGGAATGAAACCCTTAGCGAAGGATCAGTGAGATATACCCTTTCACCTGCTAATACGCCGCCCAAGTTTGAGTCTTTGTCGATGATCTGTTTTGGATCATCGGGCACTAAGGGTGGATTTTGTAAAATTCTAACATATACCAAAATTGCGTTAGGCCGCCAAATCCATTGCGACTACTCGGCGAGTATCTGATCTCTAAGAGTATAGAGATCGGAGAGCCTTCCAATGAACAACCGCCGAGTGTCTCATGAAATACGATTGAGGGTTGATTTGAGAATTCTAAAAGAATATGTTTTCGGCTACGGTGAATTCCTATTAGACGAGAACACCATGGCTGTGCCAAAATGCTACTATACAGGCGTTTACAAGCAAAACAGATTACCTTTACAACTACATAATCCCGAGGCGGCAAACGGTTCTTAGAATGGAAGCAAATCACGGTATCTTAAACTTTACAAAATTCCCACTATCTAAAAATGTATAAAAAAACTTCATACGAGCGCATATTTGTACCTGGCCGTTAGCCCAGGTGGCCGTGACGTATCCCGCGCCTAGGCCAACGACTATATCCGAGGCCCAATCCATCGGCTAATGTCCCGCTTGTTCAGGGTCCAAACTACGTAATTAACGCATGGCAGGCAGCGCATCTGCGACTAGTCCATAAATTGCAAATACAGAGGGCAGACGAAATAATTTATGAAAATAGCCTGGATTCCAAGCCTTTATGGAGTAAGTTTAGGCAAAATGCCTATACCATCGTGCCAGGGGCATGATGGCAGTTCCAATTTAATGCAGAGATCAAATCAAGACCTTGCTGTTGGTAGAGATAGCAAGATTAGCGAATGGGTGTTCATGTGAATTCATGGGAAATTCGCTCGGGTGATCAGCGAGCATAACCATGGCTGGTGCTAGGTGTGATGATATACGATTTGTTTTCGTTCACCGAAGTACGATCGGAACAAAATTCACCTACCACATTGTCAAATAGTAGCGAAATAGCCTAGAAAGGACAAACAATAGCAGTGTAATTAAGGGGGTACAAAGGCAAGGACGGGTCCAATCAACTTACCCAGATCGATTGAGTATAGCAGGGTTGACGAGGAAGAGGGAGCTTCTCCCTTGATATTTAGTCTTGAGAATGGTTGCACAAATGGTGACATTGGTTGATGATTTGGAAAGCTCTTGTAGCACCAGGTGAAGTTTTACAATCTTCCTGTTTCAGCTCAGTCAGTTTGGCTTAGATTGCACGGTCCGAGTGGTCGACACTACAAGACGAAGTCGTAACTGATGAATGCGCCAGTGCCTTGTGTAGGAAGTCTGGCGCTATATTTGAGGTACTGGAATAAATTCAGGTTGTATCACTTTGGTCGAGAAAGATACAAGTCGTTCTCTGAATCTCAAACGAAAAAGGCGGAAAAGCTGCAGAGCTGACTACCGATAAGGACCATAGCTGAAAAGATATTAAGGGCCACAAGACATGTCGAGATAATACAAGTGAATCCTTTGCTTCTGCCGCCAATTGCTTCGAGGCCTGAAAGGAAGAAAATGCAGCAAGCTGACAACTGCACCAGCAAACCGCTCGGCGTAAGTGCCAATCCTAGGTTGCTATACTTCCGGATCCGTCGAAAAAGATATTTGACTAAGTGCGTGCGAGAAGTTGACTTTTTGGGAGACAAAAAACAGAGAGGCGCCGTGCGGTGACCGTAGAGAAACTGACCCAGCTGGGGGCGTAGACATAAAACCCATTTCAGGAATACACAAGGGGAATGGAAAATAGTAAGGGATATTAAAGATGGGGTAAGAGGAATAACAGAAAGAGACCATTGGGAGCAATAGGCGTGCCGCCACGTGTGACGCTTGTCGTGGAGTCTTACTGTCGGTGTAAAACTTCGTTTCGCGACTTACCTACCTGGCGCCGTGTCTATCATTCCAACGGTTATCATCGGGATGAGTTCCATATGGCTCACGCGACTCACGTTGGGGAGGCGCACTGGCATAAGCCGACGCAGTCTGAGCGCGAGCATCATCTCGATCATGATAGCCACCACGACGACGGTCGTCTCCTCTACCTCCATATCTCTCTTCGCGTCCGGAGGTCGCGTATCTATCGACGCCACGATAGCCGTAATCGTCGCGGTATTCGCGGCGGCCATACTCACGGCTACGATCGTTGTAAGAATCGTAGCGGCCATGGCGATAGCCGTCGTCGTTGCGTCGACCGCCGTAGCCATAGCCACCTCGCCGGTCATCATAGCGCTCAAAGCGCCCACCACGAGGTGGTCCACGGAAATCTTCACGCGTCAGTAAGTCGATGATAATCCGGGACAGGGTCAACCATACCGCGCTTGGGAGGTCCGAAGTACTTTCCAGGAGTAGGCGTCCGGGGACGACTACGGCGAGCCTTTTCGATGCTCAGAGTTCGCCCTTCAATGGACTCACCCTGCAATGCCTCTTTAGCAGCTTCAGCCTGTTCGGGAGTACACATGTTTACGAAGCCAAAACCGCGAGATTCCTTAGTATGGGGGTCCAGCATGATGGAGCAGTTCTCAACCTCTCCGTACTTCTCAAAAAGGCGAGACACATCGGCTTCAGTGAGGCGAGGATGGATGCCAGTGACAAAGAGGTTGGTGCCACTGTTGATTGCACCAGGTTCGTCCTCGGCACCCTTCATACGAGTGTCGACGGGGGGGCTAAGCGAAAATCAGTAAAAACGCGTCATAAATGTAAAATAATAAATCTCACCGTGCATCGGCGCGAGCATTTGGAGACATGCTGCGATTGCGGGCCGCTGAGTGGCCGTTGCCACGAGGAGACGCGCTACGGTCCCGGTCGTAACGGGCCGCGTCTTTTTCATCAGAGTCAGCTAGCGTATAGAATGAAATTTATCGAAATCGAAGCCAAGCAGGCTCATACCGTCATATCGACCATTGTCGTTCTCGTATTCCATGCCAGACATGTGTAGAGGTGGAAGAAAGGTGATAAGGGAAGTGTTGCCACCACAAAAACTGTAAACAACAGTGAGAATAGGAGTTTGCAAAATACACGAATAGATTTAATGCGGTAGTATCAAAGATCGACTTTCTTTGAAAGGCGATGAGAGGCAGAAGCGTGCTTCAGGGACGAGGTTGAGAGATGGTTGAGGTCAGAGTTGAAAGCAGCTTCGATGAAGGAGAAACTTAGCGGGAGCCTAAACTAGACTAGCGCGCTTACGAAATGTCAAATATCATGTTTATGTCATCGTTAATACGGAGTGCGAAGTGCCCAAAGAGGTGTAAGATTAGTAGAGAGGACTGTATACACATCGAATGATAATTATTTGCGCACAACCATGACCAAAGACAAACCCACCAAGATAGTAAATAAGAACAAAAAGAAAATCCCTAAGTCCCGCTATGAGAACTGCCCAAAAAAAAAAAAAAAAGGGGAACAACAAAATTTATTTAAATCCTCGCCAACGCCGTTTGTTCTTGGGAATGTTCTTGGGTTTTGACATGGAAGGGACGCCTTCTGCTAGTACTAGCTGACCCGCACCCGTTGTTATTTCCCCGCCGTTGCTGGGCTGAGCCGGCGCTCCACCGACAAATTCGTCACTCAGATGGCGCAGCTCATCCTCGTCAAGTTCGCTCAACTCTTCGCTCATGCCACGAAGGACCTCGCGGCCCGTCCATCTTTCCTCGTGGATGGTAGTGCCAACGGGATCAAACGGTTCCATATACCACTGAATGCCGCCCTGTGCTGAGAGTGGCTGGTGACTGTCTTTGAAACTCGCCGGAGGAGTAGGTGGGCCAGTCTGCTCTTCCGTCGTTTTGGCGTGATTCAAAGCAGCAGCAACAACTTCCATATCGCTCACACCTGCACTGTGAATGGTCTGGGGGGTGAGTGCCGCTTGATGGTTTCGGAGCGGCAAGTGAGCATCTTCAACAGATTCAACATTCACCGGTTTTTCTTCCTCATTGATGTGATTCTGAGTATTTGCGGTTGTTATTATGGGTAAGGTCTCGTCTTTCTCTGGAACAGCAGCTGCGACATCGGTCATCTCGACATCTTGATACACCTGCTCAGGCTCTCCCTCAGATGGATGTCTCGCTTCGTTAGAGACTAAATCCGTGGTTTCAGCCTCCACTTCGGCGGAACCCGCTTCAGCAGAATCAGAAACCGATCCTCTTCGAGACAGTATGCTGTTCTCCAACATGAGGTCCAAGTCCCTCAGCTCCTTTTCATATGGCTTGCCATTCAATTCACTCTCTCTTTTCAAAGCATCCTCCAAAGCCGGCTGGATCGCCTTAATAATGCGCTTGGCAAGCTTCCTTTTCTCCCGTTGCTCTAAACTCAACTCTGGTACTCGCCCGCTGGATTGCATCCGCATTTGCAATTCAGCCGTATCTCCAACGGACTCCACTCCGATCTCAGACGTGAAAACGTGAGCGAGGTCGCGGGAGAACGCTGAAACAGATGTATACGCTCGGTTCTCCAAATTAGAACGAATGCCAAGCAACCCTGTGCGGAAGACTCCTTTGCCATCAAGCCTACAGAACAAAAAAAAAAAAAGTCAATACGGATCAAAATCCTAGAGACCCACGCAGAAAACTCGGGGACTTACACTTGTGTCTTCTCCAGAATGGGCCAGAGCATGGGAGGAATGGGGAAATATACTAGATCGACAATATTCCGAAGAGTCTCCGCATCTTTGAGTTTCTCGCGTTCTCGTTTTTTGACTTCGTCGCAGAGCATCCGAACCTTGTCCACATCCAGGTATAGCCTTTCGGCGAATTCGATACGTCGTTGGAGCCTTACACCTCCGGTCGGCCCCATCCCGGCAAAGTTTCGCCTTGTCATTTCAATAGAAGAAAAAGTCTCCAGTTGGAGCTGGAGTCGTTTAAGCAAGGCCGCGCCCCTTCGAGCCTCTCTTTTCAATGTCCAGTATTTGCAAGCATCTTCAGCGTATTGTTTTCTTTGACGAACAGTGAATCGTTGCAGAGATGCCACGACGTTATTTAGGATGACTTGTGGTATTATTGGCGCCCCGGATGGAAGTTTCCACACCGCCTTTGGTGGCCCAGCACGTTTTCGTTTGTTTCCACCAACAGTCAATGTAATACGTGGAGTAACAGGCCTTTGATCGTCATCGGCTCCCGGCACACCACTGGGAGACTCTGGCTCTAAAGCAAGGGCAGAAGCCTGACTGTCGCCCCATCGCCTGCCTTGCATGGTAGTGCGATAATATTCAACTGCATCTGCCGTAGCAAGGTCGGTGCAATACTCCCTTCGCCAGTCTGGAGGTACATGGCGATCACAGAAAGCCTTGAGGGAATTCGAGTCCATAACAGCGGGAGCTCCCGGTGTCAGTTTCATTTTCAGGTAGAGATGTGCGCGCCTCCCACAGGTGACGTGGAATGCAGCGAAGCAGTTTTTGTTGCTGCACTGGATACAAGCACCCATTTTTTGCCGACAGATATAGCACGTTAGCTTCCAACGGCTCCTTGGAACTTTTTCCACATCCAAGACTGGTTCCATCAGAGAAGGATTGCCAATGGACACCTCGGGAATCCATACGGCACATAGCAGATGAGACCATTTCGAAGTGTTGGTTTGTTTGAAAGCGCCCTCCGTGTTAGGACAGAAAATACAGGAGGAAGCTCCCCGCCCAAGCAGCTGACATTTGCGACACAGCCATTGGCCTTCGGGGATATACGGCACACCATAGCATTCTTGATGAACAGCAAGATCGCAGCCATCGCAAAAGACGATAGCGTTTGAATTTTCACAGTCACCATCGTCACACACAGCGCACTTGCTATCCTGTTCTTCGTTGGGCCCAGAATGCTCGCCGTTCACGGCTGCAGCAGAACTCGAGCGAGGTCGTTGGGTTTGCGGTGGTTTAGGATTAGGTTTCGGGATTCGTTTTTCGAGAGCGTGCCACTCCTTTTCGATTTTCGTCATAGTAATTTCAAATATGGCCGGCTTGATAGGCTCAAATTGATCTATTTTCCTCTGAGCATTGTATGTTTCCAACCACTTAGCATCCTGTTCATCCATGTCATATTCCACGCGGCCAACTCCATTATTCCCGACAGCAGCATTAACAGCATCACCGTCTGTTCCCGCGGGAGGGTCCAGGTCTAGATCTTCTTCCACTGCATCCTCTGTCATGCGAATCAAACGACGCTCATGCCGAAGGAAAACATCGCTCTCTTGGTAGCCAACACTAGCCATAGTACGGTCCACGTAATTCTGCTGCCCAACCCCCTTCTGCTCAAAGGGTAAAAACGGGTCCTTCTGCACAAACGACGGCTTGGGCAGCGTAAGTTTCTCTCGCGGGTTCGGACCGGGAGCAGGGACGAATTTCGGCGTGGGAGGGGGGAGAATGCTGGTGACCATTGAGTCGAACCGCCGCGGCCGACCCGGCCGCCGTCTCGAGGAGAAAGAGGACATCGGCTCCAGCGGCGAAGTGGCGGTCAAAGAATCCGGTTCGGCGGCACAATCGCCATTATTGCTCGCGTCCTGCGCCGAGCAGCTCCGGACGAGCCCGTCGACTTCATCGGAGCTGAACACGGCGATCTTCGCATCGATATCGAGATCCGGATGGAACTCTTCCCAGCCCCGCTCTTCTCTAGGCTTGTAGCCATCGCCCTGAGCAACGGCGAGGACGGCAGCAGCCGCAGAGCTGAACCGGCGGGTTTGGTTCTTTTCACGTCTCGGACGGGCGGACGAGGAGGAGGCCGGGGTGGCCGGAGTCGCTGGGGAAGCGGCGGAGGCGCCGGCGGCTGATATCGAAGCGGACAGTTTTGGGGGAACCATTCGCGAGGGCTCGCGAGGCGGTCTGCTGCGTGGGGTGGATTTATTCTTGTTGGACGAGTTCGACGGCCGCACTGGTGTCTCCGTGCCGTCGATCTCGACGTAGCGTCCACCGCCTCCGGGCCCTCCGGGGATATACTTGCGTCGTTTGGGGGGTGGCTCACCGCTGGCATTCTGGCCGGCGGTGGGCGGCGGGTTCTTCAGTCTCGCGCCGCTGCGAGGTTTGGGCCGACCGCTAAATAGCTTACGCGTCATGATAGCGGCGGTGTCATTCAGAGCGACGGGCGGGGGGAGGCAGATGCTGGCGAGATATGTGCAGATGGTGGTGGTGGTGGAGGAGGAGGCAGCCAGGAGAAATTTTCTAGAACGTTAGCACAACGTCTGGAAGCAAAGAGCATGGCCCCGGGGCGGTTGACGCAGCGGAGCTCACGGAAGATCGGAAGGACACGCCAGCGACGTTGCGTGTTTGCCCACGGCCAGCGAGCTGTCGCGATGCTCGTCGCGGTCGTTGAGGACGGGCTGGCTCCAGCACGCAGCGGCGCTAGCCGTATTGGGGAACGCGCAGGCGACGGATGCCAAGCTTTCGTGACTGGCAGATGCTTAGGTAAGCGCCTCCCGTTTGGCTTGATCGCCCCAAACGAAACCTAATCGTTCTCCGCTTCATGAGCGGTCGAGATAATTATTGCTCTCGAAGTTGCTGCGGTGCCAGGATGAGCGGTGCCGGTGACGAGCGGTGTGTACACGACAGTCCCCCGATCTTTCTCCGGGAGCAATAACCGGAAGTGGTTATCTCTCTTTTTTTTTTTTCCCTGGCTAACGCATCCCGTTCTACGTTAGATGGCGCGGCGGCGGTCGTGGGTATGACCCCAACCGACAATCGGGGCAACGACATCACAGTGGCGGATTCCGCGAGCGCTCCATGGGCGGCGGCGGCAGCAGCCACCACGATCGACAAGGCCATCGACATCAGGGTCAGGCTACTGCTCAGAATGCTGGCAACACGTGGGGCGGGCCACTGGGCGGGCCTGCACAAGACCACCATGTCTCTGTCCGCGGTTTCAATGCCGCTGAGTCGAAAGACGCCCTGAAATCAGGTGGGTCGCCGCACCACATGGCGAAGGTGGATTTGTTGCTGTTGTTTTGTTCTTGTTGTTGTCTTAGCTGCTGCCTTGTTCGAAGCTGTCTCGCTTATTGATGCTAGAGTATCAACCGACCGGGCCAGGTAGTATGCTACCCTAACCGCCGCTACGCAAGACCATGAACAAAGTGGCTCCTAGCTAGCCCGGACTGACATCATACGCAGGCTCGCAGCCGGTGGCCTACAAATCTATGAGGCAGGACGCCAACAACCACAGGTCCAGCGGGCCGTGGGCCTTGAAACGTAAGCTTTCTCCCCTTGCCTTGCCGGACCCTGAGATGCATCCGTCTACGTGCAGGAAGCTGACTAGCTGACTGGGGCCAGCGAACACATTGGCGAGCGGGAAGGATTTCTTTCTGGAGCTTCGCAAGCAAATTTCCGGGCTGCAGCAACAGCAACAGCAACAGCTGCAGATGCCGCTGCAGCCACCGCACGCCAACCTGGCCGGCGGCTAAGAGTTTCGAGGGAGAGGGATGGGGGAGGGGAGGTGGAGGGGCGGGCGCGTGGTGGCCGGGCAGTTGCATCTGGGATGGAGCAGGGTGTGTATACGGATGAAACAGTTGTACACGGTGGCTGAACACATCATGAAACAGCCGTGCCGATGCGGCAGGTAGCACTGCAAATATCCTGCAGGCGGTCGAAAGCAGACGCGCGCGGGCTGGGGCGTGGCGAGGTGGGCGGTGGGTGGTAGGCGGGGCCCGGGGGAAGGCGGCTAGAGAGGGACAGAGGCTACTGCAGCAGCAAACAGCAAGTAGTAGTAATCACAAATAATGATGATAATAATGATGACGATGCTGCTGCAGCTGCTGATGCCAATGATGAGCATACCAGGCATTGGCACCGCGTTAAAAAGAAAAAAAAAAAAAAAAACGACGGGGGGGTTGGTGCGCAGGGGCAGCCACGGGCATGGCGCGCAGGGCCAAGCTTGTGGAGAAACGGCATTGGCGACAATCCCGGAGGATTCGCGGTGGGGACGGCAGTCTGGCCTGGAAGGATTCAGCATTCGGCCTTATGCGCGCGGTCGGGCCGGGAGCTAACTGGCGGGCAGGCAGGCGGGCAGGCAGGCAGGTAGGCCCGTACCTATCCGGGCGCACGCGAAGGGCCACTGTGGGATGGCTAACTAGCTCCAACGGGCGCGCGAAGCGTTGCAGCGGGCGGTGGTGGTGGTGGTGGTGGTGGTGTAGTTACATATGGTTTGGGGGTTGCAGCCGCCGGCGCTTGCAGGCGCTATTTTTGTTTCTCGCGCGCTGCACGCCGATCCTGGGCCGGGCTGCAGGCAAGCGGCCTAAAAATAATGAAAAAATAAAATACAACACCCACACTGCAGCAGAGCAGGCCAGCAGCAGCAGAAACAGCAGAGTCAGGACCAGTCAGGGCGAAACGCGCTGGCCGGGGGCGGTAGCTTGGCGGATGGGGTGTCAGAGCCGCAGCAGCAGCAGCAGCAGCAGCGGCGCCAGGCCTCAGAGAATCAATATAGTTAGGTAACGGCATAGGCATGGAGGGCCACCGACTAAATCACAATAACTAGTCAAGTTAAGTAAGGTGGTGACGCCGCCCGCCAGGCCGCGTGCCGGCCGGCGGCTACGGGCTGCCACGATTGGGCGTCGCGAGCGTCGCGCCACGGCGGGCCGTCGCCCAAACCCTAAATTGGCTTGAAACGGCGGACGTCCAGCGAGCGAGGAAGAGCGAGAGAAAAAAATAGCAACCCGCATCATCCCCTTCTCAACCTCTGCGCCCGCGCGCGTCATCTAACCTCGCCTGCGCCCGCGGGCCCGTCCGGTCCGGTCCGGCCCTGCGCTGCTGCTTTGCTTTGCTGCTGCTACTGCTGCTGCTGCTGCGCTCCCAACCCCCTTTCTCCCGCGTCGCCGCGTCCCGACCCATCCCGCACGACGCATGCCCGGCCTCAGACTCCCGGCCCCCCTCCTCCCATCCCTTCGCCTCCGCTCGCGGCCCTGGGCCCAACGGGCTAAGCTCGTCCACGCGACCTCCGGCGCGCATCGCAAGAAGAGACAGCGAGATCGAGCGCGCGTCCGAGCCGGTTCTTGTGTGTGTGGGCCGCAAGAGTCTTGCTTCCCTGCCGCAGATATCCTTGGCCTGCAGCTGCAGCGCGGCCGGGCATCATCGAGAACGGGCTCCAGGGCGCCGTCCCGCCCGATTTAGCACGCACGCACGCACACGCGCTCGCTCGCTGGCTGGGCTAAGCTGGCTGCTGCTGCTGCTGCTGGCATGACCTCCCCCTGCTCGCCTCAGCACGGCTTCGTGCAGCCCTCCCCCGTCCCTAGACCCTTCCCCAGGACGGCTGGCTGGCTGGCTGGCCGGACGGACGGACGGACGCACGACGGACGGTGGACAATGGCCAGGACTGCAGAACTATAACTATAATCAGCGCAGCTGCAGCAGCAGCAGCAGCAGCCATAGACAGTGCCTGGCCGGAACGCCGCCCCGGGTGGAGCCGCGCCGGCCCTGCAGCCTCGCAGGCAAGTCAAGCAGCGTCGCCCTTGGGGCTGCGGCCGCCTGCCGGCCGGCGGCGTGCCCATTGCCATGCTGTTGTGTTGAGTATTGAGCTGAGCTGTGCTGTACTGCTGCTGCTGCGCCGGGTGTCAGTCCCGTCCTGGCTGCCGGCCACAACCCAGCAGCAGCATCCTTGCAGGCTGCATGAGCGCCCGCCCCAGGCCGGCGTTACGAACACCGCGGCGGCCCCAGGCGCCTAGCGACCAGCCTGTGTGTGGCTGCGAACGCAATCATACCCGCCCACTCTGCTGCCAAATATGGATCCCGGCTGGTGCTACACCGCGTTTTATATGCCCGCCGCCCGCCCTGATATCCGGCCTGCGCTGTGCTGCCGCCGCCGCCGCCGCTCGCTGTCTGTGGCCTGCCCCCTTCGTGGCCCGAGTGATGCCCCGTGCCTAGCTCGCTCGTTCGCCTGGCCGTTCGTCCCCCGCGCGTCGTCTGCCCGGCTGCGCGCTGTCTCTGCGGCCTCCATGCCCCCCTCTCCCCGTCTCCAGTCTCCCGACCAGCCTGCGACGCCGGAGCGTCATCGCGTCAAGCCCGGCGGGCTCCAGCTTGATTCCCGCCCTGCACCGCTTGCAACGCCTGCGCGCGCGCCTGCGACCCACTGCCGTGTGCGCGCTCTGCCCGCTATTGAAAACCCCTTAACCTTGCTCTAGCTTGTATGCATCCTTTGGCCGATCCACTGCACATATATTCGATGTTTTAAGAGCGCGAAAAAAAAAAGGAAAAAGAAAAAAAACCTTCGCGCGCGCTGCACTTGATAACCGCTTTCCTGCGCCCCCGGCTGAGCATATTCGGGGCGAGCCCCATTCTTGCGGATGCGCCGTGAACGCACCCATCCCTGCCTGCGCTGCTGTCCCAAGGGCACGGACTCAAATAATGCCCAAGCAGCCGCCTTCAAGAACCCCCAAAAGGCCGGCGCCATACCACTATCACCATCATCACCACCCTTCCTCTCGGGCTGCCAGACTCGGCTCCTCGTCCGCTACTGCTGCTGCTGCTACTCCTGCTCCTCCCCTCCCACCCCGAACCATGAACCCCCTTCGCACCGCCGCGCCCACCGCCGCCGCCTCGCACGCCCTCAGCCCGTGGCCCGCCCCGGTTGCCCATGCGCGCTCGCTGCCCTCGCACATCACCGCCTACGCGCCGTCGCGGCGGCTCGCCGGCCCGCCACACACGCCTCCGGCCACCATTGCGCTGCCCGTCAGCCCCGTGGTGCCGTCCAGCGGACTCGGCTCGACGGGCCCGTGGTCGTCGCGGGACGACGAGATCTTGCTGGCGGCGCGGGCGCAGAACCAGGGCTGGAACCAGATCCAGCGCGACCACTTCCCGTCCAAGTCGGCCAACGCCTGCCGCAAGCGCTACGAGCGCCTCAACGCCAAACGCCGCGGCGCCGCCGACTGGAACGACGAGCGCATCGACCGCCTGGCCAACAGCTACATGCTGATGCGCGAGCAGACCTGGCGGCCCCTGGCCGATGCCGTTGGCGAGAACTGGGAGGATGTGGAAAAGATGGTGAGTCGTAACTGCTACTAGCAAAAGGGACGAGGACGAGGGCACGACAGCCGCTCCCCGGCTAATCAATTCCCCCCTCCTCCCTCCCTCCCTCCCTACCTCTCGGGCGCGCTTCCTGGAGGAAGCCCTTTTTCTTCCGCTGCTTTCTTTTTTGGCCTGGCCCCTTTTTTTTGCTAAGATCATGGTAGTGCCTCGAGCGCGGTGCCAGAACACTACTTCCCACGTTGGGCCCTCGCGAATTACCCCGAGAACATCCCGAAGGCCGAAGCGGCAGTCAAGACAGCTATAACGAAGACCGGGTCCGAATACATCGGCTCTTGCAGTCGCCATGATCTGATGCTTGCGTCATTCTCTTTTTTTTTTTTTTTTCTCCCCCTTTAGACCTTCAACCCTTTTTACACACTCTGTTGTCCATCATCGGCCCCCCTTTTTTTCTTTTTTTCCTTTTGACTTTATGCATCTCACATCATATCATATGCTTGTTCATTTCACCTCGCTTATCATTTATGTTTCTTGCATTGTGGCATTATGCTCATCATCGTCCGATTTTCTTTTGATTTTTGATTTTTTTATTATTTTGATTTTTCATTTTCTGCGGGGGAGGCGGAGGCGGGGGCGGTATGCTGTTCACCTTCCTTTTTTGTCCTTCCTTTTTCCTCATGCATTGTTGGGATTTGAACTACATAATCAAGGTTTTTTTTTTTTTTTCCCTTCCACAGGGGGTTTGTCTTTCGACTGCATTGCGGATGTTAAGATTGATAGGATGGCATAGGAAGCGTGGCTTGGAATCACGTCATTTTTTTTTTTTCATAATATGGAGTTAGTTAAGTTCACTATAGCTATACCCTGCACCTATAACGAAGAGAAATTAAGTCAACCGATCATCCAAAACAAAACGCGTCGCCCTCCCCTCTGTGCCTGGCGGGTAATGGGAGATAAATATAGAATAGTAGTAGCAGGGCAGGAAGCAAAATTCATAAATATTAACATTAGGGCAGAAGCTAGTGTTTAGGGCTGCTGCGTTGTTGTTTTGTTTCTACAGGGCAAAAAAAGGAGCTAATGAACTACTCCGGACATAATAACATAAACTACGGAGTTCAAGAATTGTGATCTCCAAAAGACCATCCCCCCCCCCCCACCACGTGGCCCTGCGCACTAAGAAAGAAGCATCACCACAAGCACGGCAACCAAAAATCCTCCGCTGCCGCCGCGAACCGCTGATGCACTGCCCTCGAATGCTACCCCTACAGGGAGTGTTCCTGAGGGAGCCGTGGCGCGCTCGGTACTCGAGCTCAAAAAACCCGACGACGAGGACGTCGACAGCGGCGGGGCATCTTTGCTACCGCCGGTGCTTAGCGAGGCCGACCCCACCGCAGCTGCTCCGCCGCTGGGGGTCGGTTCCGGCAAAGACAACCCCCCGGAGGAAGAGCTAGTGACAAACGACGACGACGACGACGCCAGCAACCTTGGGGCGGAGGGCGAGGCCGTCTCGACAGCGCCGACGACGACGTCTGACGGAAGACCAACAGCAGTAGAAGAAGAGGCGAGAATCGTAGGAGCGTCGTTTGGATAGGCGGTGGACCCGGAGGTGTCTGCGGTCGCGATCCTCGAGCCGGTTGGCTGCGGCGCGGAAGCAGCACCTGCAGTAGTAGCAGTAGCAGCAGTAGCAGTGACAGCTGCAGCCGCGCTGATGGGGCAGACGGTGGTGGAGATGGGGACGGCGCTGGTGATCACGAATGTCGTAAGATGCGAAGTGGGACACTCCGGCACTGTCGGCGGGCAGGCGGTGACCGTTACGCGTTGGGTGCTGTAGATGGTGGATGTGGTGAATAACGGCGCCGATGCCGACGCTGTGTCCTCTGCGCTGCTGCCGGACGCTCTCAAGGTCGCTGCCGCGGTCGTCGTCGTCGTCGTGGGAGCACTGACAGGGGTGGTCCCTGACTGCGCTGAAAAGGAACTTCCAGAAGGACTTGATACCCCGGTGCTCGTTGTCGCGCGCTGCGAAGAAACTTCGGTAGGAGATGGGATTCCCGAGCCTCCTCCCGTCAACGTGTTGTCGTCTTGGGGTGGGGTCCTTGTGCTGCCCGAAGCGGTGACCGTCCCTGTGGGAGATCTGGTTGGAGGCGTCTCAGTCGCAATTCCCGAAGAAGGAATAGCGGGAGTATTAGACGCAGACGCTAAGTCGGTCCCGGTCGGGGTCGCTGTCGTGCTGTCCGCCGGAGTCCCGGACAAGCTGGTGGGCGATCCAGAGTTGGCCGTGGACACGCTCAAGGAGCTAGTGACACCGCCTGTTGCGGACACAGACGCGTCTGCTGTCCGAGTACCAGTTTCGGCTTCAGACGGGAAAATCGAAGACCCGGCTGTTCCCGTAGGAACGCTAGAAGCATTGCCCGTTGGAGTGGAAGAAACTGTGTTTGCAGATGAGCCCGTGGGCGACGAAGAAGCCGAGGCGATGCCTCCAGAAGCACCCGATTCTGTATTCGAGGAAGGAGTTGAAGAACTGGCTCCCGAAACTGTGCTCGATGCACTGCCAGTTGGAGCAGCAGAGCCGGTGTTTCCAGACGAGCCGCTGCTTGATATCGATGCGGAGCCTGTCGAACCTGTGTTTGCAGCACTGCCAGAAATTGCACTATCTGTATTGGACGTTATAGCCGAAGAGCCTGTACCTGTAACAGTGCTCGAGCCATTTTCCGTTGGAGTGGTGGAGCCTGCGTTTCCGGACGAGACACTCTGCGATATAGATGCCGAGAGTGTTGATCCTGTGTTTGTAGCACTACCAGAAACGCCAGTTACGGTGGTTGATGCAATAGTTAAAGAGTTGGAGCCTGTAGCAGTGCTCGATACACTATCAGTAGGCGTGGCAGACCCTGTGTTTCCAGATGAGATACTCTGCGATATAGTGTTTGCAGCACTGCCAGAAACTCCAGTTGCAGTATTGGATGCACCAGCCGAGGAGACGGTACTCGTAACGGTGCTTGATACATTGTTAGTTGGCGTGGCAGAACCCGTGTTGTCAGATGAAGCATTGGATGATATAGAAGCTGTTGATGTACTTCCAGACGTGCCAGTTTCGGAATTCGAGGAGCCACCTGAAGAACCGGTCGAAGCCTGGTCGGTTGGCGTGGCAGAAGCCGTGTTTCCAGATGAGGCATTGGATGATATAGACACGGTAGGGGTACCACTAGAAGTGTTAGATCCGGTATTGAGTGAAGCAGTCGAAGAATCAGTCCCTGTAGCTGTACTAGACGCACTTCCTGTTGGGCTAGCAGAACCTGATGAGGCACTAGGGGTCACGGAGGCCGAAGGCCCAGGTGTTCCACTGGTGATACCGCCAGAAGTGGCACTTTCACCATTGGAAAGAGAGTTCGAGGAGCTCGATGCTGAAATGGTGCTGGATGCATTATTTTCTGTAGATGATGCACTTCCAGACGAGGCACTGGGCGATATGGATGCCGATTCTGTTGGCGTTGCACTAGTAATGCTACTAGAAATACCAGATTCAACCTCAGTGGATGACGAAGCTGAAGAACCAGTCTGGGAGGCACTGTTAGAAATACTTCTAGAAGAGGACACTGTGTTTGTGGGTGATGCTGTTGGCGTTGCACCAGTAATGTCGCTAGAGGTACCAGATTCGACAGCAGACGATGAAACTGAAGCACTACCAGTAGCAGATGCGGTGTTTGTAGATGACGTACTTGAAGATTGCGTTGACGTTGTATCGGAAATGCTACTGGAAGTGACAGATTCAGCACTGGGTGATGAATCTGAGGAGCTAGTTTGCGAGGCACCACTGGAGGTACTGCTAGTAGTAGAAGCTGTATCTGCGGAAGATGCACTTGATGCACTTGAAGATTGTGTTGACGTGGTAGTGCTGCTAGAAGAATCAGATTCAACACTGGATGACGAAGCTGAAGAGCTCGTTTGTGAAGCACTGCTGGTAGAGGAAACCGTATCTGTGGACGATGCGCTTGATGATACAGAAGAAGTAGTGCTGGTTGCGCTGGATGTAGTTATAGATGCCGATGAAGAAGAGCTGCTACTACTGGTCGTAGTTGTAATAGAGCTAGATGCCGTATTGGATGGTGTTGGAGTGGGCGTCGGCATCGGCGTAGGGGTACTGCAGACTTCCCTCTCTGGGCCAGTGACTCCAATGTTGTCAAAATCGACATTAAACTCAGATATGCCTTCGCAAAAGAACTGGACTAGAAGCTTCTGTTCCGCTTTTCGAGGCTTCCAGTTCAATTTTACGGGCGTCCATTGGGAAGATTGATCGCCTACCCAAAGTTGTATAGAGCTGCTGGTAAGCCAGTTCGCATCAGACGAATCGTCGTCTTGAAATAAAGAAACGAAACAGTCCTGTCGTCCTGTTTGGGCGGGGGATACCCGCCATGATAGGGAAAGTTCATGAGTATCCCCTGCTTTCATGCCAGTCAAGGCTGTGGATAGTGTTGGTGTATCGGTCGTGCCTATCTTGACTTGACTATAGAGAGAGTATTGAATTAGTACAGGATAACGTTGTTGGCCACTGTCATCCTTACTAGAAGCTTTTGCCGTCAGGGGCACCGTCTTTGGTGACAACATTACCGCCAGAGGGAGCCCCGGTTAACGTCCAGCCCTTGTCACCGTTCTCAAACGAGGGATTGTCTACCGATTGTGGCCGTCGTACAGAGCATTGCGAATTAGTAGCTCCAAGAACAGAGCCTGAAAGAAGAAGTAGATGCACAAATGAATGTGCGAAAGAGCGTGCCATTTTGAATATAAAGAAATAGAGTCCAAAGGAAAGTAATACTGTAAGAAGTATATTAACGATTATCTAAAGAGAGACCGGACGGCTTAGATAGCCATCAATTAAAAGAAACGCAGACAAAACGAATGACTAGAGATCATACATAACGAGAGGCAGTATGAAATCTCTCGAAAGGAAAGAGATGGAAAAAAAAGGGGGATGAAGAAGAGAATGGGAGTGGCTGAACCTCTAGCTTTTGAACGAGGGCCGCTAAGCGCTCAGTTCTTGAGGTTGACTTCCAATGTAAGCCATCTCGAAGATTCAGGCTAAGAAAAGTCATCGTCGTGGGTCGCTTTCATACCGGGCGGGTATCCTCAAGACTGATTGGTGATGTTTTCTGCACTCCACCCAGGCAAAGAACCACCAGGGCACGAGCTAAAAAAAGGTCCAGTCAAAGAGCCCTATGAACATACTATCTCGTTATCTGACACCGACGCCGAGAGACCCGGTCCAGCCAGTGTGTCCAAAGAGACGAGAGTGGCGTAAAGAAGCCCATGAAGGGGCGACGCTGGCACTATCCAGCAAGAGATGCTGCATATTTCTTTCGGGTGACTTCTGAAAATAGCATGGCTACTTTCTCATGCAGCCACCATGCAAGAAGCACAACTATGAGTTGTCGTTCAAAGACGACTGGAATGCTGTGAACAGCAAGAAGGGCGGTCTTGAACGGTCGGAGTTCGCTGTTAGCGCCGGACGACGCCCTGGCTAGTTAAGCGAGAACCAGCAAGTTCAACGGCGCTAATCCACGAATAGAAAGGTTTCAGAAACCGATAAGTAGCGGGGAGAAACGCCAAGACGAGAAGCTTAACCATGTTAGAGTTGAAGAGAGCCTCACGTGGAGGCAAATCTGGGGTAAACAATGGAACGACGGATGAAACGACTCTTCATGAAATAAGTTCGATTGTTGCTTTTAAGACTGACAAACCTGGTATAGGAACTAAGCTGCTATCATCTTCCTCTTGTCCGACCCATCGAGTGTCTTGATATGGCCATGCTGATGGTTATGGACACCGTTGGGCCTTTTGGAATGGCCGAAATACTCACTTGCATGATGCTTGTGCTTCCCTTCCTTTGGTTGCCTCCTGCCAACTTCTTCATCTTCGCTCTCTTCGACCTCAAATGCAGGCCAGTCTTCCCAGCCGTCTTCCCACATTCCAGCCAACGTCTGTGCCTTTTTTTCCATAGTCATCCGCCTCTTTTTCATCACCCTTTCCCATCTAGCCATGTCGGCGTCATCTAAAAGGCAATCATCCAATAAACCCCTGATTTTTTCGACATCAATCCCCTCACCGATGAAAACAATCTCCTGTCTTCGATCGCCCCATTCTCCCTGAAAATCATTTCGAATAGCTTTGCAGACATCCTCATCTTCTGGCCAAGCATCATCAGGGACTTCTGCAAACCAAGGGCCTCCACAGTTCACCGTCAGCATTCCACCTGCTTGACTCCACTCTCCGAATTGAAGAGGTCGAGTTGCAAGCCAAAAGAACCCTTTTGAACGGAGAATACGCCCAAATGCGTGGGCTCGCTTATTCGCAAGAATGACGGAGGTGTCAGGCTGTTCAAAGCCCTTTATACTTTCAGTTTCCATCTCTACATCTTCATCCCCAGAACCAGGGCCCTCATTCGTATCCATTTTATCGATATCCCCTGAACCCTCGCCTTCATCTCCACTCTCTTCCCCGCCTTCTTCTTCTGTTTGCTGAAGAAGGACGAATTTGTCATGGAGAAGAGAAAAGAGCCGGCGCGGGTGAAACGGCTTTCTAGCAGTGTATACAAAATTATTAATGCCATACCTAAGAGTCACGATTAGCATTTTTGACATAGCAATCTTCTATGTCAGGTATGGATACGAACTCTAATGTTTCTGGTTTAGGAGCCATTTTTTTTCCTTGTGCTGTGTTCATAATGGTCATTTCGTGGAGACTATGCAGCCACCCCGAGCCAGAGGCCGCTTTTAGAAAATTGAACCTCTTTGTGCCAATTATTTCTTTAATATCTACCTTTGAGTAGCTGGCCTCCAAGAGCTTGGCATTAGGATTTAGCAAGTTCACGAGCTGCTTTATACGACCACGGACCTCTTTGCTGACAGTCTCTATTTTATTAATTATCACAACATCAGCAAATTCAATTTGGTCAACCATAAGGTCCGAGATGGTGCGTTCATCTTCTGGAACGATTTGATCCGAACCATAACGGTCCGAGAGGAATTCAGCAGTATCAAAATTTGATAACAAGTTGAAAGAATCGATTATTGTGACCGTGGTGTCCAGAGTAGCTACCATGTGGAGCCCTCCAAGCTGCGTACTGCAATACAAAATAAAGGTCAACCACTTAACCTATGAGCAAGGGGATGTTTGGCTTACATTTCGGAAAGGATTTTCTTGCTTTCTTCATCCGTGTCCATGATTATATCCTCTGCTTCAAGCATAGCAGCGCTAAATTCCGCAGTAAAAGTTTCTGCCACCTGCATGGGCTCACTGATGCCAGTGCTCTCAATCACAACGTATTCCACCTCTTTTTGCTTTGCAAGACGTGCCAGCTCGGAAAGCAAATCTCCACGAAGAGTACAGCAGATGCAACCATTCTGGAGCTGGATGAGTTTTTCTTTCGTCTGCGATACTACGTGGTGTGTGATGAGAGCAGCATCAATATTCAGCCTATAACGATAGAGCAATTAGCCTCCTACCTATGGAAGGAATTCTATCGAATTGACTAACTGGCTCATGTCATTGACAATGACTGCAATTTTCAAGCCATGGTCTGGCGTTTTGAGAATATGCTCTAGCAAAGTGGTCTTTCCACTTCCCTAGAACGATGGTGTCAGGATCTGGTTCACTTCATGTTAATCCAATACTAACCAGAAAGCCCGACAGGAGAGTGACGGGAAGCCGGCGGGTTTCTTGGCCACCACTTTCTGCGGAGGATACGACATTGGCAGTAGGCCCCTTGTCCGAATCGACTCCCATTTCGATCGTTTAACGCTTGCTAATCAGGTAGTTATATGGTATGTCACAGGTAGAGAAATCCCCAAAAGAAGGAGAAAAAGGGTGGGTGGTCATCATGTCCCCTTGGATATCAGAATCTTAGTCCCATTTCCGGAAGGCGACCAAGTTACTCATCATTTTCACTCGCTTCAAGCCCGGGAGCAATATGATCATGGCTATTTTCGGTATAGTTATCATACAACATTGGCAAAATGTCTCCTGAGGTAGATGCTCGGTCGTAATTGCGACGACATGATTGGGTATCGAAAACTACCTGCAGCAGGGCTTTTTGATGGAGCATGATCCTCTCCCCCAAGGTTCCCACCCCATGGGTATTTTTTGCTTAAACCAAAGGAACCAGTACTAGACACCCTGGTAGCTTCACCTTTTTGTCAGTTAGTTAACTGAGGTAGCTAGTTTAGTCAACTACCTGTTAGTTACATAGTTAACTAGGTAGTTAACAAACTAATTAGCGGGCGTAGGGTTTATCCGGCCACACCCTCTTGAGACCTCATCGCTGTAGGAGATGTTGCCCTCGATTGCTTGGGTCCGCCTCAGAACAAATGATGGGCTCGAAATCGTTACTTTTCTGTTTGTTTAAAAGACCCCGTGTGAATTCCACCCGGGTTCTCCGAACCATACCTCTGTTTTGGACTCGCGCAACACAGTATCTAAGTACTTCCACTTATACTGTATCCTCCGCAATGGCCAACAACAGCCCCCACACATGTAAATTCCTCTTGGATTGTTGGATTCGCGTTCTCATGCGGGAATATAGCCTTGTTTACCTATACTGCGGGCCGGTGGCTACGCCTTGACAAAGCCCAACGCGACGCGCGTTACGTGGAGTTTGACTTTGTCGCCCTATGTGAGAAAGTCCTTTCACTCTGCCCCTCTGCCACGTCAATTAAAAGCTTTTACAAGATTGAGGGTGGATTTAGTAAAGTATTGATTCTTGAAACTGATGATGGCAAACGCGTTGTCGTCAAATTTCCCACGTCTGTTGTCGGACCGGCAAGACATGTGACCAATTCTGAAGTTGCAACAATTACTTATTGTAAGATGAATGTTGCACTATCGGAGTAAACTCCAGTGCTAAGATGTGCCTACAGTGCAACGCAATACTAAAATACCTATTCCAGCTATTTTGGACTGGAGTGATGATCCTGCAAATCCAATTGGCGCGGCGTATATTATCCTAGAACACGTTGGCGGTGTTCTGCTACAGGAAGCATGGACAGATATGCCATCACACCTGAAAGTCAAATGTACTGGAGCCATTTGTTCCAGTGTTCTACCTGTGTCCGAGCTTGACTTCCCCGCATATGGCAGCCTTTATTTTTCCAATGCATCATTTCTTGATGATCGTTCGAAGAAACTATTAGAAAGTGATACTAAATATTGCATTGGCCCTCATTGCAGAGGTAGTACCTACTGGGATTGCAATGTTGGCGAACCAAGGCATTATACGTTTAGTGCGCCGAATAGAGGACCATGTGAGGCGACCGTATTCTATTCACATCTAACAATTGTTGATGATTTCAACTTTTAGGGTGTGATCTTTCTTCATATGCTGCTGCTCTGATAGACTCAGGCCTTGCAAGACTACCACAAGCAGACCTTCCTTTTCTCCATCAGCAAAACCCTCCCTATCAAGGCACCGTGGATAGGCATTTGAAGCTTCTTAAACTCGGCCGCGCCGTCTTGCCCGAACTTGTTCAGCATCCTGACATAAAATCTAACGCAGCGCCTATGCTCTTTCATCCAGATCTACACAAGAGGAATATCTTTATCTCTGAAGATGACCCGACCAAAATCACTGGAATAATTGACTGGCAATGTGCCAGTGTTGAGCCAGCATTCTATTATGCTGATGATTCACCTGATTTTGCGAAAGTCCCTGCCGAAGGCACGCCAGAGTCTGCTGATGAAAGCCTTTGCAGCCAGGCGTACGAAATAGGCTGCGCCCTTCTAGCTCCTCGTCTGGGAGGAGCTAGAAAAATAGACGAGACCCTCCTTAGGCCATTTCGATATTGCCATCGGACATGGAGAGATGGGTTTGTCCCTTTTACCCACGAACTATTGCAACTAAGAGACTCGTGGCAGAAGCTGGGGTTTGAGAAAAACTGTCCAATCCCGGCTTTAGGCCCGGATGAGATGAGCTTCTACAAAGAGCAGCTTTATACTTACAATTCTATGCTGGAACTGCGACAAGATATGGTGGAGACCCTGGGTGTGGAGGAGGATGGCTGGACATCTGAGGCTCGCTGGGAGGGAGTGAGACAGACTTATCAATATTTTTATGAGAATATTATGGCAAATTTGGAGGACGATAAGCAACGCAAAGAGGCTATATCTATGTGGCCTTTTGATCAACCCGCGACACTGCAGCAGCCTAAGCAGATTTGAAATTTTTTATGACTACTGCAAAAAAAAGCTCTCCATGCAAATTCCGGCTTCCCCTTCTGCAGGGCGAGCGAGAGCGAGAGAACCAAAACAAAAGATTACAATAATTATGGACCATTGTATGCGGAGGCAAGTGGAGTGGCCTTGTGAATGTATGTACGATATGATTGAGTGTAGTTAGTTATACCAGAAGCACGAAACCGGGCCCCATCTGACCGTAGGCTCGCTATAGTGCGTAATTCTGAGTGTATACTGCGTACGATAGCTGCGTTCGATGAATTTGGAGAAAATATGACCACAAAGCCTCGAAGATTTGGATATAACACAGGCCAGCAGGCAAATATACACAGAATTTAAAATCGAAGACTTTGAAATATACCATTGTATATACGTTCTAGAATTTTTTTCTGTGCATCAAAATTCCATTTATTCGCGCCGTATCCAATCCTCAGGTCCCAAAATTCCGCCATCATCAGCTCTGGAATCAAGAGCCCATTTCTTCAATGCCCGGCACTTCAAATCGGATTTCCAACCCGCCTCAAACATTTCAATTCCCGCCCAGCCAATCATTGCCGCATTATCTGTGCATAAATACATTGGTGGCGCAACAATGTCAATGTCCTCAAAGCCACGGACATCCAGGAACAATCGAAGAAGGTTCCGTAAGAATTGGTTCGCGGCGACACCGCCACTCACAACAAGCGTCTTCACAGGGCTCTTGGCTTGAGCTTGTCCTTTCGCGTTCTTACGATCCATTTTCCTGCGATTCTTTTTATTCAGGTGTTCAAATCCCGACGGATGCTGTAGCGACTGTAGAGCTAGCACAGTCCGCGAGGCCAGATGCTCGAAGCAAACATTCATGAACTCTCTTCCGAGGGCGACTCGGGCGTCGTAAGGAAGCCAATCATCGGCACTCCCGCCGTCATTGTTCATTTCCTTCCAAATGGCTTTGTAGTCTTCCGTTTGTTTGGTGGCTTCTGATACCAACCCTGAAAATGAGAATGCAAGTATCTTCTTTTCGCTAAAGGGTAAGGTAAAGGACCAGCCCCATTGTACATTTTGGCGCCGTGGAATTTCTTCTCCACGAGAGGCTGGCGGTTTGTAACCTGCATAGTCCGTCTTTCCATTCGGAAAAACAAATGATTCCAGAGCTTTGCCGTACATTGTTGTTGGAGAGTTCTTCAAATATGACATAGGCAATACAATTCTTCCAATCTTATCAAGAGCATCTCCAACGGCGATGTCAACTGTGGAAGCGAGAATCTCATGATCAACAATAGACCTAGAGTGTACTAGTAGCGTGTGACCACCAGACACCAAGAGGGACAAGAATGGAAATTCAACTCGCTTTGAGACCGTGATCGCTTCCGCAGACGGTTCAAGTGCGGTCGCCAATCTTGGAGTCAGCAAATGGGCCTGCATATGGTGCACCCCTACCAAGGGAATCTGCCATGCTACCGCCAATCCTTTCGCAGTATCCACTCCTGTAGTCAAGCTGGAGAGCATCCCGGGTCCTCGAGTCACAGAAATAAAATCCGGCTTCCTTCTACGCACGGGGGCCAAGGCACCATCAGCAGGTAAAATATCTATGAACCGTCCATTGCCATCGTCTTCATTGGCGGGTGGGAGGTATCGAAGGGCTTTCTGTACTAATTTAGCAAGATTTTGCTGGTGAGAGCCAAGCGCCACGATCGGATGAATGCCTCTATATTCTCTTGAGTCCGCGGTAATATTTTCGAGGAAGTGGACAGAGGTAGATGTCATGCCATGTTTTTCAACGATGGCGACGGACGTGTCGTCACTAAACTAAAATTAGCCAACGAAGCCAAAGGGTTTTAAAAACCAAGGGGAAAAATAATCTGAATGGGAATTGCATACCAAGATGATTCAATGGCAAGGGTCAAAAGCTGTCGAAGTTGGGCATGGCGTCGAGCCGGCAGTATTCTCTGGGGATAGACAATTCTGCATGCTGCCCGCAATGACAGCATTGATAGCCCTAAGGAGCGGCAGGTGAGCCGGTATTTGTGTGTTTCCTGGTGTTCCGAGTAGGATAAAGTCTGGAGAGATTGACTTCAGACTGGTTAGTAAGCCTCGATGGGCCGGTCTAGTCAAAGTACTCCATACCCGCCTTCTGATATCTCGATTGAATACCTATGAAAATTACACGGTATGAAGTAAATGAAACTAAGGATTTCAAACTTTGATATTTATTTTGAAATAATTGACTCTCCACAAGTAGCATCAAAGTCACATGGATGTGTACCCGTCTATATACATCGCACGGGTGCAATCCAGACCTTTACTATTCCTCTCAACCCTGGGTACCTCAACTAACCAGGCTAGCAGATCACTGGGCTAACTTTCCTTGCCTCATCTTCTTGCGACTCGTAGTAAAGCGGCGTTCACCAAGTACCCAAATATCTAACGACCAGGGCAAAAGTGCTTTGAAGAACCCAGGGTTCTGTCGCTTAATGGCACCGGATATCCTGCCATACGGTAAAATTACAAGGCTCGTTGTGGCTTGGATCCACTGGGCGCTTGATCAACTTTAATATCCTGATAGCTATCGCTGCTCTTAATCCTCTGTCTTGGATTCATGGTCGTATAAAATCGTAATGCTCCATCACACCCGAGGCATAGGTGTATAGTTGGTTTGATTGTGTTACCCATGATCGAAGTGAGGGTGCTTCGTATTTTATCATGAGACTTGAGACCATCTTCGCTCCTCCTTGCTCATTTTGACGTACGAGCCGTAGTACTCATCTGGATTCTCGATAGGCGTCACGCAGTGCACGGTTGGCTCTCCAATAAACTGAATCTTTCTCTTTGCGGTGGAGGCATTTGCAAGAGCAGAGTTCTTCTTTAAAATACTTTTCGTCGAGCTGGTATTCGAATATGTGAAACTCGCCTGCTGTGGCATGGGAGAAAGATGACCGTGGCTAGTTATTCTGTTGCGGGCGGTGTTCATTGTCGTTGGGCTTCGTGGAGCGGGTGAGAGCGGCGTTCTTGGAATGGCCTTTGATGCTGGAGACGGAATAGAGAGCGCAGTAACACCGCTCGCGACCTTAATATTGAGGGAGAGTTTGGGTTTGGCAACTCGAGTAGCATACATCGCGAACTGATTAATGATTGTGTTGTCAATTCTCAGTGGGAGGATAACGCGTGTGCTATATAACTAGTGGGGGATAACAAGGCGCAGTGCCAGTGGAGTGTGGTTGAGACAGGAGAATATTTAACTGTAACACGCAAGTTGGACCAGCCAACAGATCGACAACGGAGGAGCAAAAACCAACAGAAGAATAATAATCCCAAATAAAAAGAGGCAGAGCTTTGAGAAGCCAGTTCTCAGAGCAGATGCTGAAGAAAATAAACAAGCAAAGAGATGGGTCCGGGAAAAATCGGACGATGCATGGGCGGCACAGGGTTATTTATAGGCAGCGCCTCCACTCGCCCATCCATCGAGGCCCTGCGGGCGCGACTTTGGCCCCCGGCCATCAACGGCACGGCAGTGAGGGGAACGGCTCGTTAGGGCGAAAACTTTAGCCAGCATGCTTGGGGCCGTACCGCGAATGAGATCGTGAAGTTGGCCTGCTAGCCACCCACCCACTGCAACGGGCGGATCGGATCACACCGCCCAGGGGGCCTCGCCGCTCTGTTTGGCTCTGGAGAGCGGAGAAGGATGCATGCCGTCGAGCCTGAGGGAATCGATGCCGCCTTGACAAGCATAATTCCAACGCCGCCTGCAATGTTACCCCTCCGTTCGAGCCGATCAATGAGTTGGATGTGACCGAGCGGGAGAGCTGGGCGCTGTGCCAGACCAGTGTGAGCATCCGTCTGGCTGCCTTTTACTTTTTCCTGCTTCAGAATACCCTCGACAAATGGAAGAGCAAGGTTTGAGCCCGAGGATGTCTGTTTTCTACCAACCAGGGTACCTTGTGCAACTTGCTGTGATACCAAATATCAAAGCAAAAAGAGACTAGCAAAACTAGATTCTATTCTGTTACGGCGTCTCGCTGGCAGAACCGGAATCCACCGCTCATTTTATCGCCAACAGTGGAGAGCTCGAGTCACGCCCCCAACCAGTCTCTATTTTCAAGAATTGTTGACCGAAATATGTTGCACAGGCCTCGCGATGCGTTCAAGTTGGTGGCTGGACTGGACCCCAACCAGTCAACTTCTCACTTTTATGCGCTGTCCATACATACAGAGTACAGAAGAACAAGGTTCACAAACTGGCTATTGAATTGGGCTGGAAATGTGATGGAATAGTGAAATCCCTCTTCCTGGGCGGGAGTGGGCGAACAGCCCGATGAATCAGGCCCCAATCAACCGGGGCTTTCAAAACAGAAATTCTGATGGTTCCTTTTCCGAATTAGCGGCGGCAATTTTCAAGACATTTACTCTACGGAGTACTCCGTATGGAGTCCCAAGTTGGTTGACTGTTGACGGTTATCCGTCCAAGGTCCATCTGGCAAAATCTTGTTCAATATGCAACACTATTCTGTGCATTCCTTGCGCCTAACTGGCAGATAAAATCCCCACAAATTATACTTAACCATATTAATGACTATAATCACCATGGAGGAGAGATTTATCGAAGTCAAACGTAGAGAGCCAACCCGCCTTCCGATTTGCCCCTTTTTGCATACTGCCAACGATATCTCAAAGGGCCATTTATATAATATTGAGATTTACTACATAAATACTTCGCAGCTTGGAGTGGATTGCTCTTTTGACCAAGTGGCCGAAAGATGGCATATTTGATACTTCAGACTACAGGGTGCAGTTGTTCGGCAATGACCCAGTGGCTACTCCGTTATCGTCTCTAAAAATTTCCCTAGGGATAATATGATTTAACCCATATTATTACTCCCTTTCTACAGGTTACCCCTTCTTCCATAGAATCCATACTGAAAGAGCATTCACAATGTATGCATCTCATAGTCCTTCTAATACAGCTCTGCCTGGTTGCATATAGTATCCTGAGTTTTATCTAATTGTGAAAATGCACACAAGATAATGTGCCAACTCGTCACCAGGCCACAAGGCAGTTGAATGGGCCCCGAATTTTACAGAATGCAGTGTAATCTCACTGGGCTTTCTACAATTGATTCTTAGGCCCAAAAACCTCAGCACATGAGAAGCTGGAATTTACACCGAGCCAACATCTTCGCAGGCCAGGCCTTGCAATGTGAAACTATGTCATTGTCGAAAGAAGCATATACAACTTTAGAAGATACCTAAGTTCACTTCGCTGATTTCACCCCCTGTAAGCGTAATCCTAATAAAGCCGATCATGCTTACGCTGTCTGCAGAGCAATATCAGCCATAGACAGGGGATGAACTGGGGCCTGTATTTTTTGCCGTCTTGTTACTTGTAAAGTGTCATCACCCGTTGATTTCCGTGGTTCTGTCTACTTTGAGGTAGACCGCCTATAGAAAGGCCACTTACACGAAGGCTCTGTCCTTGGTGTCATTGGACCTGCAGCCACTAGGCCAACTATTGCTTTTGTAAATGCTCACTTTCTGTGTCACACCTTAGAGTGGCTCCCAGTTTGCTTGAGAGGGGCCTATGTGTAGTCGTACGTCTGCTTTTCTCGAGGAGTGGGTCATCTAGGGCCTCCACTAAGATCAATTCCGGTATTTCTTTAGCCGTCGGCATTTGTGCTATGATGATATTAGTTCGGGACATTATTACCTGCAGCTGGAGACATATTGCCCAAGCCGTGACTACCGAAGAAGATTAGCGATGACGATTGATGATAACGAGATTCTAGGGAAGATTGGTAGCTGCTAGTGCAAAGGTGTGTTCCTTTTGAGAACTTGGGCCCAATAAATTGGCCGCACACAGTATCTTATGGGATTTCAACATGTGCGGATATGGGAGTCTGCGCAGGAATCGATTTTCAGTACGGGAGTACGGAGTGTTTGTACTCAAAATGTAAATTATCATTTACATTTCACAGAAGTGTAGGAACGTTGGCGGTGTGCCGAGTTTTCGCGAACAGGTGGTTCGATTTCTTGAATTCAACATTCTGAGGCCAGTGGAGTATAAAACAGGCCACTCGACTGAGTAAGTGGCACTTATGTGCTCTGTAGCTATCTGGATGCGCAAACATTATGCACCTTTTTAGCTAACATTATTGTTGTGGTTTTGTCGCACACAGCCAAGCCGAGGGTGAAAGAAGTTGGGGCCGGAACTTGGCACCGGAACGGCTTTTTCTCAGCCTTCGGGACTGAAATTTGGGAGCGAGATGTCTAGGCCGAAATCGGCGCGGGTCGCGGCGTACGTGTGGGAAGCGAAGGTTGATAGAGGCGGTTATCTGCCAGCTGCACCTGAGGCAATTTTCTGGATCATGATCTTATTTGACGGCAGCCACCCACAATCATACTCCAGAATACGGATCGTATCCCAAGATCACTTCTGACCCCCCCCGAGGTGTCGACGCGATGTTCCTAACATGCTACTTGTGGTTAACCGTCGCTATCATCGATCTTCACCCTTCTGTTGTATTCGGCACTTCGGTGAAAGACGGAGCGCCGCGGCGCCGGGCGACGATTCTCTGCGAGAATTTCGAAACGACGCCAGGACACAGCATGGACGGGCGTTGCGTTGCGGTGGGTCAGAGCCTGCTGTTCGCATGGGTTGTGTGGAGCGAAGCTCCGTTGACCGCCGGGATATGGATACGGCCTGAAGCGAAACCTGGAGAAGGCATCCGCGCGTGTGCTTGACCGCCCAGATGGCTCTCGCTCGCAACAGCACATTTTCCACCAGTTTCTCGCACTTGCCTTTCCGTAGAGCAATGTTTGGCAATCCCGAGGCTCAGAGAGGAGTTCATGCTGTCTCCGTCAAACTTTGTTGCCGTGGTTTCGCCTCCGACAAGTGTTTGTTCCTGAAAATCTGCCAACCAGGCCACCAGCCACATCTCCATGTACCATGTGACGCCTCTGTCGGATGTGGTTTTGCGGGATTGTAGTGAGCGGGGCGCAGCTGCTCGGCGTGAATTGCTGTACTCTGGCAACAACAGACGCAGCACCGTCGATGAAGTAGAATATGCATAGCTACGGAGTACATACAGAGTATATGTCGGGTTGCCCGCCAGCGCAGCACGCGCCAAAGCACCGCAGCGGCAGTCACCGCCACCCGCGCCACCGCTAAGCTCTGGCGCACGCCCGGCCCGGCTGCGGCAGCCAGTCAGCGCGCGTCACCGCAGGCTAGAAAAGTTTCGCTTCTCTTTTTCTCTCCCCCAGCAACTTGCGGTTTCTTTGACTCTCCTGGTGTGCTGTTCATCTCCCCTCTCTCTTCTTTTCCGGCGGCAATGGAGCTGTGATTTGTTCTTCTTCTGTGTTTGTTCAGCTTTTGCGCATTGTTTCTTGTATCAATTTGCTTGCCTGCCGAGCTCCCCTGCTGTTTCAGCCGCATTCTTTGAACCAGACGCGACGCAGCCTGATCTTGGACGTCCACCACCTGCACCCCCCAGTGCTCTTTTCAGGCATTTTCCTGTCATACTGGTCATTGCACAATGGCGCAGGTGAAGGAGTCCATCAAGGCCTCACTGGTGGGCACAACTGAGCCCGAGCCGCCCATGTCTGCACAGGTGAAATTGCGTTTCATGCAGCATGCGCGCCAGCACCCCGAAACCGGAGACCTGTGTATGATGGAGGAGGACTTCATCAATGCCATTGCCCCAAAGCATGAAGACTATGTAAGCTTGTCTCTGACCAGCCCGGCGTGTAAACCATGTGGTTTGTGTCGTGACACATCACCATCATCGGCAAACTCTCCTGCCCGCTTCGATCTTATGTCTGTGACTAATGCCTTTGTGATAACCTAGCACAAAATTAAGCGTGAGCAGTATGGAATCCTGTTCCAGGTCGCCGATCGACGCCGCGCAGGAACAGTGAATCTGAGCGACTGGGCTGCCTTTGAAAGCCTCCTCTCGAAGCCTGATGCCGAATACGAAATTGCCTTCAGACTGTTTGACAGTGATGGAACTGGCGCCGTCAAGTGTGAAACTATCCAGAAGCTCTACAATGCAAACAAGAGTGGAGATGCGATCCCATTTGACTGGAACTCGGAGTGGGCTTCGTTGTATACTGGTAGGAAGAAGACCAGGCACGATATGACCTATCCGCAGTTTGCGCAAATGCTCCGCGGTCTTCAGGGTGAGAGAATTCGTCAAGCTTTCCACCTTTTCGATAAAGATGGAGACGGCTACATCGCGCCAGAAGATTTCCAGCGCATTATTCTCCAGACAGCCAAACACAAGCTCTCCGATCACCTGCTGGAAAATTTACCAACGCTTTGCAATATTTCCACAGGCAGCAAAATTTCTTACGCCAATGTGCGCGCTTTCCAGAATATTATCCGCGAGATGGACATGATTGAATACATCATCCGTAGTGCAATCAGTAAGAGCGAGGACGGCAAAATCACAAGGGCCGATTTCTTACATGAAGCCGCGCGAGTCACCCGCTTCTCTCTGTTCACACCAATGGAAGCTGACATTCTGTTTCATTTTGCCGGGTTGGATGCGCCATCTGGAAAGCTGTCATGGAGCGATTTCACGAAGGTGATCGATTCCTCATGGCACACTACTACTATGCTAGGATCGGGGGCAATCAATGCAGTCTCTAAGGCCACAGACAATGCTGTGACGACATCGAGGAAACTTTTGGATGGCTTGCTCGAATCGGCTCATCACTTTGCTTTAGGAAGTATTGCAGGTGCCTTCGGCGCATTCATGGTGTATCCAATTGATCTCGTTAAAACCCGAATGCAAAACCAGCGAAGCGCGCGTGTTGGTGAGAAACTTTACACCAACTCGCTTGATTGCTTCAAAAAGGTCATTCGAAACGAAGGTGTCTTGGGTCTCTATTCCGGTGTTTTGCCTCAGTTGATTGGTGTTGCACCGGAAAAGGCTATCAAATTAACTGTCAACGACCTTGTTCGCGGCCGGCTCACTGATAAGAAGACCGGTAATATCTGGTGGGGTCATGAGGTACTTGCTGGTGGTACAGCTGGTGCTTGTCAAGTGGTATGTGATTCGATCTCGGATTTTCTACTCGCATTGGATTCTAATTATGACATATTAGGTCTTTACCAACCCCCTGGAAATTGTCAAGATTCGTCTTCAGGTCCAAGGAGAAATTGCCAAGTCTGGACAGGCCGCTCCCCGGCGCTCAGCTATCTGGATTGTAAAGAACTTGGGTCTCATGGGATTGTACAAAGGGGCCAGTGCTTGTCTTCTCCGTGATGGTTAGAAAGCTCACAATTCTATTTTATGATGCTTAAGTACTAACTCCGAAATACTTTAGTCCCTTTCTCTGCCATTTACTTCCCTACCTACTCCCACCTAAAAACAGACTTGTTCGGCGAATCTGCCACTAAGAAACTCGGCGTAATTCAGCTTCTCACAGCGGGCGCCATCGCTGGTATGCCAGCCGCTTACCTGACCACCCCCTGTGATGTTATCAAAACTCGTCTCCAGGTCGAGGCCCGTAAGGGAGAAACGAAATACACATCCCTTCGTCACTGTGCCACCACAATCATGAAGGAAGAAGGATTTACAGCATTCTTCAAAGGAGGTCCGGCTCGTATCCTCCGATCTTCCCCTCAGTTTGGTTTCACCCTCGCCGCTTATGAAGTTCTTCAAAAGATGTTGCCTATGCCAGGAACTGCACATGAAGAGGTGACAACCACTGGGCTCTCAGAACCAAGCGTTGGCCTCCAACCTGCGACTGCTCCGCTCCCATATCTCCGTTCTCGCAATGCCCTTAAACTTATCCTCGATTTGGACGAAAATTTTGGACGAATCCGTGTTCCCCAGAGCAAATCTTGGCCTGGCCTTCCAGGAATTGCTAAGCAGTGAAAAAAAGCACACCAGGATATGATTTTTTCTTTACACTTTTTAACCCCGAGAGATTTTGTTTCTTTCTTTTCGGCCCTTTCCTCGCAAAACAAATAGACGCAACTTAGATTTCAAGGAGGTCGAGCCGTCCCGCAGATTACACTTTTACTTTTCTTTTGGAAAGGTAAAAGATTGCCTGTTCGAATCAGCTAAAAAAAGAAGCTCAAGATTCTAGATCGACAAGCATCTCTAGCGAGTTTTTTCTTAGTTTATCTAAGCTGCAGTAGCTTCTTGGATAACAGCTATCTTACACCCTCGATTTCAAAAGTGTTCCCGTTACGATATCACGATGCGGCTTCTCCTTCCATTTCACTGTTTTAAAACTTTTTTCTATTTCTTTCTAGCACTGCAAATGATTGTTTCTTTTCTGCGCCCCGGCCGGTCTTTTGCCCTTTTGTGTCTCTGGATCTGGCGTACTATCGGCATGTTTCTTTCTGCGCTTGTCTACCTTGCGTCGTCTTCCATCTCCACTGCGATTTTCTCGGCAACGAAAATTCTTTTCTTTCTTGGCAATCGAGTTTCTAATTCTTTTGCGATTTGGAACAAAGAGATCATGGCATTTATTGACATGATGTCGCTCTCCTAGCTCAATTTAATATCTGCGGCGAATTTTTCTTTGCGATTTCTAGAGAGATTTCCCTTTGCTTGGTTCCATAGAAGCTGCTCTCACAATCGAGTCTTTTTTTTCTAGATAGAGGGTAGTTGCTAGAGATAGATGTCCTCTTGCCTGTTAATCGAGCACCACATCTTCACTTTCATTCAGATGTTCATGCCAAGCGCCAAGAACGTGACCAATGTAGCGCCCACCAACACGAAACAGTGTTCACACAGCCCCCAGCAGGTTTCGAGACAACACTCTGCCCGTGGAACCCGTCTCGACGATAGGTTTCTCCGCGAGACGCTCGACGCAGAGCACACAGAGAGTGCACCTTTTCATTATTATTATTGCGAGTCTGCACCCTCGACTCTCGCTGCTGGAGCCGAGCCGGCCTGCCACTGTGCCCTCAAAAAGCCTTGGCAGGGGGGGCCACTTCGCAGCCAAATGCCAGCGGTTAGACGGCCACTCACAGCAGCTCCCTATTGACACCCAAATGCGGTATAGCGCAATATCAAACCGTTCTGTCGGGTCTGCCTGCTCAATGAGCGGTGGTATCTATAAACGTCCCTGTCCAGAGGGGCTGCAGAGCCCGCTGGGCTCATTCCTCATCGTTCTTCGTGGCACGAGAGTGTGGCATTTGAGCATTTTCTTCTACTTCTTGATTTCGCTGTGTGAAGCCAAAAGTTCTTCTTCTCCCTTCTGTGGATCGCAAGGGTGGTATATCAGTCCTCTTTTCTCAAGCTTTTCGATACCTTCTGCATACCGTTGTGAAAATGCGTTCTTTGAGGGTGATGCATACCATAACTTCGCTGCTGCTAGCTATTCCGTATTCAGCCCTGGCGTCCCCTTTGAATGATCCTATTCCGTTGCAAACTTGCTTCGATTTTACGGGCAGACCATTGACAAATAACACGCAATGCCCGGGCTCGAATGCTTGCTGTCACTATCTTCACCAGTGCACAGGTAATCGCCTGTGTACACAAGACAATTCTCCTGAGTATGTCAATGCCCTGTGTGCTGTGAATCCCTGGCAGGATTGTTCGAATATCTGCCAATATGGTAAGGCTCTTCTTTGATTTTAATTAGCACTTCACCCACAAACGGTTTCGATTGCCTTTGGCCTAACATGACTGCTGATGTAGGAGCGAACCTTCACGGACTTTTGCCACGGGTTAGAAAATGTGCAGACGGTAGCTACTGCTGCGACTCGGATGCTTCATGCTGTGAAAGGGGAAGAGGAACCTTTTTAGATAACAAAGGGAATATCCTGAGTGCTTCTAGATCTCAAAGCGCCACACCTACCAACACGATAGCCGCACCAACAGACTCATCATCTCCCGCAAACCTCACGTCGGCACCGACAACAACGCCACAATCGACACAATCTTTGGGGTCTTCACCGCGTCCATCCTCCAACCCGGATTCAAATGGTTTGCCAGCCGCATTAAAAGCTGGTATTGGCGTTGCCGTTGGTTTCAGTATACTGTCTTGCGTGATTCTGCTTGCCATATGCGTTCGAAAGCGACGCCATAATAAAGAGGCAGTAACACCAAAAGAAGATCCCGGCAGCCTTCCCCCCACGGAGGTGGCTTGGCCATCAACGGGAGAAATGTACATGCCACCTCCCCCCCAAGAGATGGCACACTCTCCACGACCCCGACATTTTGAGCTGGCGCACCGGTCAGTGCGCCTAGAGCTAGCGGGGGACATGCCCCCTAATTTTGAACCCTACAAATCTGAATATATCCCTGATATAAAGAAAATGGGGTCCAGTACGATCTAATGCTTGTGTTCTATTTTTAATCATAGTGGGTTTGCAAAACTTTTGGGCTTCATGAAGTGAATGGCTAAATTATACCCTATATTTTGGGGTGTGGTCTTTCTCAATTCTTCTGCGATTTAGCGTTTCAATCATCTGTTTACTCTGCCGCTCTTCATGTATGATAGACCTGATGAACATGGAATTATCCCTCACCATGGTCTTTGTTTCTTCAAAAGGATCGATGCCCAACAGGAATTTCCAAGCTATACGGAATACTCCATACTTATAATGTCATACTTTAGTAAAAAGTAAACCCAATTGCTGACAAATATTCTCGGCCCAGGACTTTGTACGGAGTATGACTACGTACGGAGTAGTTTCTGGCAATACATCGTATTATTATCGATGTGCTACGGAGTAGTTATCCCCGAAACTCGTATCGGAGAAAAACTTTGCGTCATTGCATCACAAGGACGCGAAAACATGTGATGCCATCGACCAGAATTTCATATATCTCACAGATCTAAAAGGCAGTCCGTTCTTTCCTGTAAAATTAATGAATATGTCAGTTGTTTGAAACACCCACGTCCGCAAAGAAAGTTATCTTGGGAAAGTTCTGAAATCAGCCAAGAATATGTCGAACAGCGACAGGAATTTCCACGCACTCGTCCTGGGAGCGTCCGGTATGTCCGGCTGGGCATTTATCAATCAACTACTCCACAACTACCCACGGCCAGGGATATGGCGCCGCATCACTGGTGTGAACAGGAAACCAATGAACGAAGAAGAGAAATCATATTGGCCAACAGATGATAGGCTCGCTTTGGCGTCAGGGTTTGATTTGCACGGTGATGATGAAGATATTCTGAGGCAAAAATTTGAGAAGATTAGGGACATGAAAACTGTAACGCATGTCTACTATCTGGGTATGCCTAAATGACCTTGAAAGGTAACGTCATAATGATAACCAACCGATTATTTTTGGTAGTTCACGATCCTATCCCGGATTTTGAGAGCCCGGAGCCTTTTGCTGTGTCACTTGGTGCTCTGAGAAAGTCACTTAAGACAATCGAGAGCTTAGCGCCTAATCTCAGATTTATCCACCTTCAGTATGGAACGTTCATATACGGATTGTGTTTCCCTGACCAGTTTAATTTCTCACCCCCTCTGACTGAAGGTCTCCCGTCTCTTCAGAAGCCATTGTGTGACTTTCTTCACTATCAAGTATGGACGGACTTCATGAAAGAATTTTCTAAAGGTAAGTCTTGGAAATGGTGCGAAACAAGGCCTGGGGAAATTGTTGGTATGTAGAGGCTCATCTATTGAATGTTTTTTGGGCACGCAAATATCTAATAAGTCGTAGGCTTTGTTCCCCGCGCTAATGCTTGGAACGGTGTGTATCCGGTTGCTATGTACCTTTCGTTGTATGCACATATCAATGGCCAAGGAGCCGAATGTCCATTCTTCGGCAGTTTCGGGGTGTGGAAAGCCTTGGGCACGGAGGCGGGAGGCGACATGATCGCGAAAGAAACCATCCATTTGTCGCTGCTGGAAGATCAATTTGTCAATGGACAGGGCTATAATGTCGCGTCATCCGCGACGCCCACCAGCTGGGAGATGATGTGGCCTGAGGTCTGCGCTTGGTTTGGGTTGGTGGGGAAACCGCCGGTGGACAATGAAAAAGATACTACCAAAACACCTGGTCCTGAGGAATACATCAAATTGCACCAAAAGGAATACGATGCAATGTTGGAAAAACACCATCTCAAGGGATGGCCAGTGATTTCTCCAAGCATGGACGGCTCGCCAAATTGGTGCTTAACCAAATTGCATTTTGATCGATACCTTGATCTTGGTAAGCTAAGATCAACTGGATTCACTGAAGACGAGCCGCTGCAAGTCAGTTGGATCACTGCATTGGAACGGATGAGAAAAGCAAAAGTAATCCCTTAGGAATAAGGTATATAATATTACCCTCGCCTTTTCACCAATGTGTATGTTTTGAGTTCCATGCTCCTAATAAAACTTGGCGGTGCGCTTCTTCAGTTCATTTTGGTTCGAATCTCTTGCCTGCTTTGGGGGATGTGTGGTGTCCGCACCCTTGTCATTTTGCGTTGTTGGCTCTGTACCCGGTTTGGGCAAAGGTTTCGTATTTGGCTGAGATATGGGCTCTTCTTGTGAGATTTCTCGGATAGCTTTCAGGCAGAAGTTAGTCAACATTTCGTTCGCAGAGTAGTACTTAGACATGAATCCTACCCTCTTCCCACTCCCTTTCTGCAATTTCGTCTCCCGTTCCGAGAAGCTTTCTCACATCGACATCCTCCCCTCGCTGGAGCCTCTCAATTACCTCCCTCAACAACCTTATCTTCGCCTCGGTACTTCTGACATAATTCCCATGATCATTTTTGATTTGAACCATTCGAAGGGCTTGTGAGCCAACAAGAATAAACATAACGACAAAGTAAGTCGCAGGATTCCGTTTCTTCTCTGAACTGCCAGGCTCCGAGGTTCGCCAGCCTGGGCGGAGAAATTTTGGGATCATCGCCGTCCATATTGAAGTTTCAGCAACTCGTGGGACTGTTGAGCGGGTAGAGAGACATTGAAATCGGGTACCTAATAAAGATTTCTTGTATTTCGTTCTACTTGCAATATAAGTTAGTTGGCTATTGAGCCCGTATCTCAGCGACATAATTGCTGGGGGTTTGAACAATTTTCTGAAATTCGATTTTATCTGATTAGGTACCTGGAGAATTTGCCGTTTGAGGTTTCACGTGATATATTGCTTATGTAACTGGGTCCATGTTGACCGGGCAACGCTTTTGGCAATACTGCTGCCGCAAGAATGAACATCACGATCCTTGACAGACTTATACAGATTCGTTCGCTCTCTTTTTTTTTTAATGCAAATTTACAGATATGATCTCCCAATCCCCATGCTCATTGATAGATTCTGTCAAAGCCTCTGTCCAGAGCCCATCTGCTTGCACGAACGATACCGTCGCGTTGCTTCGACAGCTTCTCTCCGCCGTCAATGACGAACGAAAACCAGTGGAACGCAGAGGTACAAGAACCGCCAAAACGACATCTACCGGCCAAAGAGGCAATAAAAGCTCCCGCGCTACCAGAAAAGTATCAATTTTTCAAAACGAAAATCCTTCTACAGCTCCATTACTACCTAAACAGCACAAGATTGTTTTGGCCACTGATATATTCAATATCTCATCCAAAACTATATCCGAGCACATAAAGCTACAATCCTCTCGGCCTCTCCCTGCGAGTAAGAACGAAAATAGAGCACCAAAAATCTCTCTTTCACCCAAAAAACCCTTACAACCGAGTTCCCCGAATCGCGCGATACGATCACCGAACAAGGTCAAAGGAAGATCGGAACGGGCTGACCAAACACAAAGCACGGTTAGCAATATAAACAGTGTTGCAGAGTCCGCTGTTTTTGCTCTATCAAGTCTTCGGACTTTAAAGTCTAGTGAAAATGGGGCGCCAGGGTTTCATGTTCAATTGGAGCAAGGCCTCTGTATACTCATCGGAAAGCTCTTTGCAGTAGGGCTGAAGGATAGCGCCATTAAAGAACTACAAGAGTTAAAAATGAGAATACGTCAACACCTTAATGGTCACAACACGACAAAGAGATCAACTAAATTAGTTACCGACGCGGCGGTTGAAAAAGGGATTGAGAAACTGGAAAACCTTCTTGGCTGTATTTCCAGCATACCGAATGACGGTTCTATGCTTCATTTACTTATATCTTTTCAAAACCTGGCTCTCAGAGCGGTGCTAGTTGAAGGAGAACCCGGCGTTGTTCAAAAGATGACGGATCATCTTTTGCTTTCCAACCCTTGCAGCCCCCCAAATCTTCTGCTCGCAGCATATAAAGCTGGATTCTTGTCGGCAGATAAAGCTGCGCAGCAGCTACAATCCCTTTCTAGTACGATCTTATCGCTTGCTGCTCTAACGATATCCTCTGGAGAAGTCAAGACAAACAAGACTCGCACGAAGCCTACTACTACCTTACTGCTGCAGATCCTTTCGCTTGAAATAAAATCTCTCTGGTGGAAAATAGCTGGTCACAAATATGACGCTGATAGGGAGCTTTGGGACCCTCTTTCTCGGTATTTCTCTGCATTTACGCGACGATGTCAAGTTATTAAAAGCAGTGACTTTGAATGTCTCAAGCAAGCATTCTTGCGACTGAAGACAGGTCTGAGGCTTAGTGGACATGAAACCTGCGTTCAGAATGTTAAATCCGCGTCCGTATCTTCGGTCTTGAAGGCGTTGGGCCAAATGGCTTACACGGCAGGCAGACTGTCCGAGGCAGTGGAATTTTGCAAAGCTTCTGCTACATGTCTTACTACCTCTAATCCATTGCAACTAGCTATCTGTCGATGCAAAATTGCTTTTGTTACAATTGAATTTTTAAGCAGCTCGCTTGCTGCAAATGTAACGGAAATCGACACAGCCATCAATGAAGCAGCGAGGAGCTTGAGTGAATCGCTCAAGGGAAATTTAATTGATTTGGATGAATTACTTGTCGAAGCTGCAAAGCTAAAAAAGGTGATATTGAAAATAACCAATGACCTGGCAAGCGCTATACCATTCCCAGCCAAAGAGGGCACTGAGTCCACTTATATATGGCTTAGTATCATCCAATATTTAATAAGCTTTGTCCGCTTTCTCGCTCGATACTTGGGACCTACGTTATCACCCGATACAGACATCGATTCTAAGAACATGCTGTTACAGCGACTTTCCACATGTCGGAACATCTCACTGGCAGCTATTGATTCCAGTGTTGCTTTAGCCAGGCTATCGTTAAATAAGGACACACCTCCGTGGCATATGATTGAGCCCCTTTTAACTGATTGTTTCACTTTCCTCAGCAAATCACCACTTGATTTCAGCCTTGAGGACCAAAAGTCCGGGTGTGCATCATCTGGCCTACTGAGATTGTCCAATCTATATTGGTCAAGGTATACTGCCCAGAAAGAGGCTGGGAAGGCATCTTTTGAGCTGGTTCCTCTTCTCGAATCGTCAATAAATATCCTGGGCCATTGTGTACAAGCCGACCAGATTTCAGGGTTTATCGCCATCAAATTGGAAAGGCTTGCCAGTATCTATTCCGAAATAGGGCATGAAGCAAAGGCGGAACTCAATTATTCCTCCTCAATTCGCGCTCATATAAAACTTGGTACCCTTGAGGTGGCTCGTCAACTTGCGGCACGATATCCTCCGCGCGTCATCTGGAAAAAGCCTGATAGCCCAACATTCGCCTTGGGCCGTGTGCTCAATAGTTACATCAAGGCAAGGTTGAAACAGGTACGGAAAACATCGAAACTTATATATGACGATGATACTCTAGATGTGGAAAGTAGGGGAACCCTACTTGAACGTCAAATAGCCATTTTAACAGAAGTCATTACTGTTAACCCATCGGATATGCTATCAAAGTGTTTTATATTTACAACAAACCAGCTTCTTTTGTTATACGATTTTTCATTGTACCCGTTACGAAGAACCAGACTTGTTCTCTCTTCCATGCAAGTACTCTTGGATTCTGGCCTTGATTTTGAAGATTCTTTTCGATATCAACTTAGGAGGGAAGCGGAATTTTGCCTTTCACAGCCTCCAGAACTTTCCCAAGACATCGCTTTGTTTGCTTATCAAGAGGATTTGATGACCGCACTCCGATTAAATCTTGGGTTCTCCCGCTGTGATCTAACAACAGATAATTTGCAGTTTGTTGTTCAGACATGGTCAAAAATGTCACGGGATTGGGCAACATGGGAATCATTGGAGTCCAAGGTTTCCGAACCACAAACCTGGATTGCCCAACTCTGGGCTGTTGCTGACTATCTGGAGGTTCATGCGCACTGGACACTTCGGATAACAGTTCTATCATTGTTGAAGCATGTTTTAGAGCTGGAGGAAAAGCAGGATTTGTCTTCACTCATAACGTCCTCATATATGATGAGCATACAGTTCCTTCGTCTTGGATTTGCCGAAAGAGCTGGTGAAATACTCAAGGGCGCAAAGTACCTGACCGAGCGTCAAAATGTTTGCCCATCTGTTTTAGTATCCTGGCATCTTGCATATGCGGAGTATTTTGCGGAAATGGGATTTCTGGATGAAAGGTAAACTTCACTGCAATGATATTTGAAACAGCAGTATGCTAACAGTTCTAAAGCCTGGAGTGTATTCAAAACGCTGAGATGGTGTTCGAATCCGTGAATAACAATATATCTAAAGATTCTCCACGGATCCGTTGCTTGGTAGATAGGATGGGGGTCGATGGGGCTCTGTTACTATCAAAGATATCATTCAGCCAAGGAAAAATGCATGATACAGTCTTCTACGCGAAAACTGCAGTGAAGCTCGGAAGCAGGCTATGGGCGCGACTGGAGAAGCATGGAAATTTCAAAATTGCCAATAAGAGTGTCGAGGATCCGGAGCTGAACCCCCTAACCGAAAAGCTTGCTGCAATTAAATTGTCGCCTGGGTGCGAGTCCAAAATTCAAACCCATCACTTCGGATCCATTTATTGGCCGCACTTCTCGTCGCATTGCTTTGCATTACGCCAGCTAGCCCAAGTTTCAGCCCACATTGGCCTTTGCCAAGATGCAATATACTATGCTGAACAAGCACTGGAAGTGGCTAATGCTTTGGGAGCTACCAACACAGCGACATTTATAAAGGCAGAGCTGGGTGATTACTATGTACGGAGTAACCAAGTGGAAAAGGGACACCGCTTCCTAGAGGAGGCAGATACAGAGTCATCTTCATTAGAACTGACAATTCATTACGTCGCACTACGATATCATGTCTCGAAGATTTATCAATCTCGCGGCGAAAATGAAGCTCAACTTGAAAAGCTTCATTTCTGTCCGCAGGCCTTGGTACAGGTAATACAAAAAGCAGTTGAGATACTACCGTCTAATAATGATGTTATCAGACTCCAGAAAAAAATTAGCAAGTTAGCAGTAAGTGATACAAAGCCTCGACCTCATCGACAAACAAAACGCCCACAAAAGTCTGGAAATACTTCAAAACCCACAGATACAGTGCTGAATTCGCAGTCATGTCAGATGGTATCAAATAATTTATTGCCATGTTTAATCTCACGACTTCGAGGTACTCTGATTCGTCGCAAGGCTTCTGCTCTCATTTCTCATCAAAAAACTCGAGATGCCATGGCACTTCTTGATGAAGCTAAAACCCTCACTGAACTTAAGACTGAACACGTTATGCAGGATCTTTGCAGAGCCAATGCTCTATTGAGTGAAACTATCAATAAACTTGCTAATCATGGGGTCTACTGCGTGATCCCTGAGTCTTGTATCGCCCTTCCTTCCATTCAAAAATTTGAAGGCAGTCAACGTGCTAAAGCAGGTGCTACACGCTCTTTAAAAGCTTCCAAAAGAAATACAAAGCCAGTCCTATCGAATTCGAAGAAGAGCCAACTTGAAGAAGATTTTACTCAGCTCCTATCGACCGCTAAGACTTGTCTCGATTCCGTCTTTCCATCAATCGTGACCCATGGATCCACAAAAGATATTCATTTATCTGCGTATTTATCAAGCAAATTGGCAGCTTTATCTTATGCGACTTTAAATAGCAACGCTACCATAAACCTTAATGATACAGTAAAGCTAAGAGGTGATTTTTCTGCCTTCCTTTTCGCTAAGTTAATACATGCTAAGATCAAATAGAAATTGGGAGAAGTTTAGCATTTATACGAGAGAATAATACAATCATAGCGGATAAACAACTGGCGCTAGCAACAATTCCCCGAAAATGGCCTCCTGTCCCCGATGCGACAGAAAATCTGGAGTCTCTTTTATATTTAGACTTTCAGACTCAATATCTCAATATTTTGCCTGAAAATTGGGACGTTATATCGATAAGCCTAAGTGATGACCGTAATGAGTTTGTGATTTCGAAACTTCGCGCACACCAAGAACCGTTCATGTTACACATACCTCTCAAACGCAGTGATTCAGAAGACGATGGAGAACAAACCTTTTCATTCGATGATGGCAAGAATGAGCTATTAGAAATTTTACAACTGGCTAATCAAAGCGCGCATGATGCGAGTGCTCAGGCAGATAAGAAAGGCAAAAAGGAATGGTGGGCTAAACGCGAAGCTCTAGATACTCGTTTGAAAGACCTCCTTTACAATATCGAAAATGTCTGGTTTGGAGGTTTCCGAGGTATATTTTCACAAAAATTGGCGAATCAAGTGTTGCTTGACCGATTTACCCAGTCATTCGAGAAGACCCTAGACAAGCATTTACCATCTAGGCGTGGTAAGCAAGGGAAGGCAAAGAGCCTGGGCTTTCACCTGGATTGCAATATAATGGAACTTTTCGTCAATATCGAGAGATTAGCGGACGAAGATGATCCGGAGAACTCGATAATGGATCTGTTATACTTTGTTATCGACGCCTTGCAGTTCCAAGGAGAACGGAACGCGTACGATGAAATCGACTTTGACATGATGGTCGTTGAAACGCTGGATGCTTTGCGTAGTTACACGGAAGCAGAAATGAGGGATGAGGATACACCGAATGAATCTCACACAATTCTGATTCTAGATAAGGTACTACACCTTTTTCCATGGGAGTCACTGGATTGCCTTAGCGGCCGTTCCGTGTCTCGGATGCCGTCATTCCATTGTTTGCGTGAACGAATCCTCGAGATGAGAATGCAGGAAGGCGGTCCCTCTTCACCACATGGGATTGAGATCGATAAAAAAAATGGAGCGTATATTCTAAATCCCACTGGCGATCTCAAATCAACACAGGATACCTTTAACGTCCCCTTATCTCAACTAGATGGATGGACCAAACTCTCTCAAAAAGAGCCTAGTGAAGAGGAATTCAGACGGATGTTAGAATCCAAGCACCTTCTTTTATACTTTGGCCATGGAAGCGGCGCTCAATATATCCGCGGCCGAACAATCCGAAGACTAAAGCGATGTGCTGTCACCTTTTTGATGGGATGCAGTAGCGGATCGATGACTGAAGCCGGAGAATTCGAGCCTTATGGCACGCCATGGAATTATGTCCATGCTGGCTCTCCCGCTTTAGTTGCCACACTGTGGGACGTCACTGATAAGGATATTGATCGGTTTGCGAAGAATGTTCTAGACCAATGGGGTTTGTTCAGGGCCGGTGGAGGAAAGAGAGGGGGCGGCTCTTCATCTAGGAGTTCAGCTAAAAGGTGTGATGGCAATATAGAACAGGGAGTTCGGGACTCAATTGGCCTCGACACTGCCATAGCGCGGTCCCGGGATGCTTGTATTTTGAAATATTTGAACGGTGCGGCGCCGGTTGTGTATGGCGTTCCAGTGTTCTTGGCTTAAACATCTGAATTGAATATGTTAGAATTTCCCAATGTTCATTCTAAACTTGATATCATTGGTTTGTAGTAGATCTATTTGATGAGTCTCTTCGCTCTGTACTTTTGTCTCCGATGTGGGGAAAGGGGAAACCTGAAATTCCCCTGCCCCGCACTCCAAGTTCCCCGCATCGAAATTCCCCTCGGGTCATTTTTACTATAACTTAACACTTTGGAGCTCATATGCCGCTGCATCTTTCCCTTTTTCAATTGCAATTCTTTTCACGACAATTACAACATGTCTGTAACTACCAAAGCTACCATAGCCTCCTTTGGAGGCAAGCTTTTAAAACTCTCCCACAATGCCTCTTCCACTGGCTGCGAGATGGCATTTAACTTATACCTCCCACCACAGGCCTTGAACGGTTCTTCGAAAGTCCCTGTTCTTATATACCTTTCTGGGTTGACTTGCACAGCGGAAAATTGCTCTGAGAAAGGCTATTTCCAGCACGGTGCCAGCAAGAAGGGTATCGCTGTGCTGTATCCAGACACCAGCCCAAGTACGCATCTTACTTTGCTTTCTGCCCTGCCTTTTTGTGAATGATGGCTAATAGTACATTGCGTGCTTTAGGAGGATTAAATATTCAAGGCGAAGACGATTCATATGACTTTGGATCTGGAGCCGGTTTCTACGTCGATGCGACTAAAGCTCCATGGGATAAAGGATACAAAATGTACAGCTATATTACTGAAGAGCTTCCCCAGACCGTCTTTTCGGCCTTTCCACAATTAGATTCAAGCCGTGTGAGCATTACGGGACACAGCATGGGTGGCCATGGCGCTTTGACGTTGGTATGTGCTGTTCAGCCGTATGTTTGGTCAAAACTTGATATTAAACAACATTTTTGGCCAGTACCTTAAAAACCCCGAGAAATACAAGTCCGTGTCGGCATTTGCTCCAATTTGCAACCCAATTAACTGCCCCTGGGGTCAGAAAGCGTTCAAAGGATACTTCGGGGAGGAGAACACTGGGAAATGGAAAGAACACGATGCCACTGAATTGATTAAAAAATGGAATGGAGGTCCCTTAGATATTTTGATTGATATGGTGAGGCCTCCGTAAATTTAGTATCGGCGCAAAACTTCCTATGGGCTAAACGGACTACCTAGGGTACTGGCGACAATTTCTACAAACAAGGGCAGTTGCTCCCTGAGAATTTCACTGAGGCAGCTAAAACAGCTGGCCTTGAATCGGGGATCCATATTCGCTACCAACAGGATTATGATCATAGTTACTACACGATGGCTACCTTTTCTGATGACCATATCGAGCATGCTGCAAAGTACTTGCTGGCATAGTATGTTGTCAGGTCCCCTACTAATCTTTCATCTAACGGCGATAGAAGTGATAAAACCGCACAGCAGAAATTATGACCAACAAGGAGGAGTCGGACTCAAGAGGCATTCATTGATATTTAGTTCCTTTGATAAAAGGCAAGGGGGTATGTTCATATCTCACAAGTATATACTCCATGTTTCACGGTTTACCATCGCTTAGAAATATAAACATGTTGAAAAATCCTTATTATTTACCTTACATTGCATCACTATTTTTCCCTTTAATTACCCAAGGGAACATTCGAATCCCGACGCTAATCTTACTGTAAGTATATACATACAGGCAGAACATAGGCACAAAATATTATGAAGCACATACAGGCGTTTTGACCATCCCACTTTAACTTTGAAAAGCTCATCAGTTTAGCAATGGAGAAGCGCGAACGCAAGTAAAGGGTATCTTTTGGTGAAGGTCTCAATTGTTCTTGGTGAATTGAGTACAGTAGGAGGTGGTTTGCGATATAGAGGCTACAACTCACTGATGTTTGCACTGTCCAGCTGCAACTGATAAACATCGCAATGCTGGAGGTGACCATGCCTGTGGAGAGAATAAGGGTAAGATGATGGTAGGCTTCATAAGAAAATGGCAGTTAAGAACAGCAATGGAAGTTTCAACCGGGCGTGTAATATAAATAGTGTTTAGTTGCGGAAATTTAGAGAATAGATTGAAATCGAGTGCGCTTTCTGTGGAGTAAAGTGCAAGAAAATGCGATTTTATATCTGCTGACATCATGCGCTAAAACGTTGAATAAATGCCTATAACATAAACCATAAAATTAGCTCACATAATACAGAAATTAGGCTAAAGAATCACAGGATAGTCCATACCTGGAAAAACTGACGGAATCCTTTCACATCTTGCGTTTCCAACGACCCAACATATTCGTTTATAAGGTCAAACCCCATTCCAATGCCTGGTAGCTCAGTCTCCCTTAACCACCGTACATATTCGGGGCCCGTTTTAGAGTAAATTGTCTTCTGGAGAGTTGCCGCTTCACCAAGTACGTGCTTTGCTTGGGCATCCTTTGGGTTAAAGGAAGAATTCATGGGTAATGCCCAACAAAGTGGTGAGAAACGGGTAATCATAAAATGTGTAAACCCTGGCAACGCAGGCTGTGAAGGTATACTGCCATTGGTAGAGGCTGAGGGATGGACTATGTCTGGGCCTCCCCACATACTCGACATGCGGGATAGAACGAGAAATGCCATTTTTGCAGTGGGAAAATCATCAACGTCCTTTGCAAAATGCTCGATAGTGGTAATGACTGTTTCAAAAATGGGTTGGTTTGCTAATGAGTCCGGTTAATATCTCCTTATGCAGTCAAAGAGTCGCAACTCACCAGCACTGATAATGACTGTTCCGAGATCGTTGTTGAGGATCATAAGCAAAAAATTGAGGTATTCTCGTTTTAGCTCCGCAAGCTGAATTTCATCATCCGTCCCCGTAGTTGGTTCGGAAATACCAGCAAAAACGCGCTGAAGGAAGGGAGTAAGTAACGTATCCAGAATCCCATAAATCTCAGTCTTGAACCCAAAGATAACTTGATCTAACAGACGTAAGAACAAAGCCATTTCGTCTTTTGATGAGGTTTCTGAGAGCAGACCATCAATCCATCGTGGTAGTTGTGGTAGATTGCGTGACCCTCGAACGCCTATCATCCTTGAAAATGCAAACCGAGCCGCCGACCTAACGTCAAATGAAGTTTTCAAAGATTCAAGTGCTACCAATGTTGCCTCCGCTACTTGTCCAAATGCCTCTGAAACTTCGGGCGCAGGTGGAGTAGCAGGATTCAAGGCACCTGGTATCCAGTCAGAAAACCCCTTTGCGAGATTTCCCAGAGCCATAATATCGTGGTGAATTTGTAGAAGCGCTCGCTCATCATTTGACTTTGCTGCTCCTAGATTCCTTTCCATATCAATGAATATTGGATTCATGATGGACTGAGCATAGAGAGCTTGCTTTTCGGCCGGAATAGATGAAGTCGAGCAGATAGTGCCTACAGCTTCGAACAGGTAAAGTTGGCTGGTAAAAATAGCATCAGCAGAGCCCTCGTGGTCTTCAGAAGACATGTCATCGCCATCAGGTCCCTCCGCTGGAATCTCTGCATGAATAACCAATAGATCACGTAATGCTTCAATAACATTTTCAGCAACGTTTCCAATATAATTCTTTAAATGTTTCACTAGACGCTGAAATAGGTACCATGATCGCGTCTTGACCTTAATCGATTGGTGGTGAGTGAGTCGAAGAAATGCCTCTAAAACCCCGGGTATGAACTGTGTATGATGTTCAAAAAAAGAGCTGTATCGAACGCAAATTTCCATAAACAATAATTGAGTCGCTGGGTGGGTGTATGACCTTATATCTGATTCGACCATCATGAGCACCATCTCAACCAAGCGTTCTGATGCTGGATTATTGGGTTTATTCTTAGTATATAGGCCTCCGGATCGAATGGCAATGTCGCCAAAATTAAACATTTCGTGTAAAGCAAGGTCAAGATCACGCCAGTCTAATTGTCCACCCGACTGCTGTAAATTTTGGAATGTTGTGCTTACAACCTCACTTACAACATCAGTAAATAACTGTTCATCGGTAGCTGCAATAACCTGCTGCAGGACATTCAGTCTTTTCCTCAGATCCTGAAATTCTGCTTCATCTGTCTGATCATCCTCGGCCCCCCAATCGGAAGTTTCATCATAACGCATCTTCTGAATAATGGCCTTCAGGATAGGTAATAACATTGGGCTCTGTTGAGGTATAACAGCTGGATTTTTCTTCGCAACTTTCCGAAAATATGACAGCAGGTCATTGAGGCAGGGAATGGCAGTTGAACATACTTCGTCGTACTCGTCAGAAAAGTAGCGTAATATATGGGGAACAAAGGCTCTTAGGAGAGTCTCTGCTTTCTCTTTAGTGGCATCGTCGGCATTCTCACTATCAAGCGCCTTGACTATATCGATTGCAGTAATATTGACCAACTTGGCCACAGTTTCGGCGAGATCTGTGTCATACTTGGAGGTGAATCGGTGTTCATGCAACGGAGAGCTAGCAGTAAGTTGAGCAACTATACTTTCCAAATTCAGATAAACGATCATATCAATTTTATCCGCAGGCTTCATCTTCTTGCCAACAATTTCTGTAAACACATCGATTGCAGCATCCCGCACCTTCTCACTGCCGTGTTGGAGGTCAACATTATTTGCTTTGGCAAGCTGTTGGAATAACAAATCCAACATGGTCTGGTTAACCACTAAAGAAATATTGATCCAACTGACCCAGCTGCCGATGGCCTTTAGACACATTTCCGTAATTAAATCATTTCGGTCTTGCCATTGAGAAAGTATGTCTTGCCAGGAGGTAACGAGTTTCTCCACGTCTCTTTCACGAATAAGATCCTTAAGTATATTGGCCCTGTCTTGCTCCGATCGAGAACGTGATACAAGCACATCTCCAATTTCATCATGGATCGAATTTATAACACGAAGGTAAAAAATAATTCCCGAAATGTTGTCCCGTAACGCACTTTCTGGTCGGTAGGTCAGGAGTAGTATATCGTCAAAAAACGTGTTCCATTCCGTTGCATAGAGCGCAGAAAAGAGATACGTAATCGTTTGGGCAATCTTATTTTGAATATTTGCAGGATCCGGTTGCAAGGCCGTATCCGATCTATATGCCTGTTGAAGGTACGTCAAAAGGCTATCTTTGATAAAGCAGAGGCTTTGAGCGTCTACAAGTCCAGTCTGGGTAGCACTATTGATGACTTCTAAAGCCACGTGGCGCACGACATCTGAACGTCTCGGGGTACTTGTAAACAGTGGCAGGCAGACCTGCCAGCCGGAGGGATCAGCACGAAGCCGGTTGAGGTATTCGAAGGCTTGCGATTTGATCGACTGGTCGGAGGACGGATTCCCTGCTATCTCAATTGCGTTTGCTACCTGGCGATATGAAACCAGTGTCAGCTATTTCTTGAGTCATGGAGGGGGACTTGGTATGGCGGGGCACCAAACAGCGATGGTGCTGAAATGAGAGGGGGTGAAAAAAAGGTACCTGGTCCTCCATCTTCCCCCCAGCTTTGTCACAGCGCAAGCTGCTCCCGCAGATCGCTGCAGCGTTGGGGGTGGTATATCTGTGTGGCACTTATGCAGCTTCAGCCTGGAGAATTAGATGGTGGTGGGCAGTCACTGATAACAATGTGGATCATATCACTGGAGATTATCGCATTTCAGGGCCAGGGCAAGCTGCGATGGCAGTCCAAGCCAGAGTCACAAGAATAAGAGAGCTAAGTAAAAAAGATAGGGGGCACAGGCAGTAGACCATTGGCAAAGAAGTGTTTTCGAGGGTTAGGCCGTTAACTTCCAACCAGTATGAAATTATCGTTTTGGCAACTGGGCACACACTGGTCACGAGCCGCCGAAACCCCGAAATAAGCTTCCAGAAAACATGGCGACCCAACTCATACCAACAAACACGAAGGCCTTCTGGAATGCTATGTTTGGCACTACTAAACAGGCAATGAGCATCCGATATCATCGGCCCTCTTGATCTAGCACTTGTTTTTCCATCATCTCAAATCCCTCGACCGCTGCTCCATACTTCTCGAAGGCGGCAGGCTGGTATCCGTCAGCCATCTTTTCGATGAAGTTTTCCTCTTTCCATCTCTCCCCGATTATATCTTCGAAGGTCTGACCATTCGACCGCTCGACCGCCCAAACAGCCTTATAGGCTGCCCCCAACGCGCAAGCGTTCTCTCCAACATCCAACCTATACACACCTTCAAAGCCCCCAAGCACTTCTCCAGCTACTTTGACAATGGCATGGTTGCGGGAGCCACCACCTACAAGGTATACTCGACGGGGCTGTGGCGGAATTCCGTTCTTGGGGCTATGAACTAGATCTTTCGAACGTAACCGAAGCGAAAGCATCTGGCTTTCAACAATGGCCCTCGCGTTGTCAATCGGGCCATTCCAGTCACCAGGGGTCGCCTGAAGCCGTTTGTCTTGAGCATAGTAATTGAAATACCACTCTCCACTGCGCAAGTTAGGCACAATCTCTGGCCTTGGAAAATATAGACCCATCTTCATCGGCTCTCCATCGGTCCTTTGGCCTGCGATTGGCGTTTCTAATAGGACCCTGTTGAAAGTCTCCCACGAATTTGAACCACTCCTGGGTTCAATGCTTTCATTGATTGCATCCCTGACTTGTTCGCGAGCTATACCTCCGTTCTTATAACAAAGCATGAACATATAGATGCCAGGCGTTGTAGGGTGGTTGAAAAAGTGAGTTGACGGATCGGGCCTATATTCCGGGGTCGACATAAGAAACGTGGTTGAAGTCCCTAAGGACACCATCGCATCACCTGGCCTTAATGGTAACGCGAGAATTGTCGCGGGGTTATCGCCGGTGAACGGTACGACGGTGCACTCCGGATGAAACGAATAACGTTCAACAAAGTAGCCATGAACCTTACCCAGATGCCGACCGCCGTCAAGCGGGACCTCACCAAGCTTGGTTCTCAGGTCATTCGCACCATACTTACCGGCACAGAATGTAATTAGATCTTCATTCCAACAATTCTTTTGCGTATCCCAGAGGTTCATTCCACAGACATCCGAAATATCAATTGGGGCAACTTGCCCCAGAAACACTGAAGCTAAGAAAGAGGAGACGAGTGATATTCTGGCCGTTCTTCTATACTCATCTGGATGCTTCCGATGAAACCTTAGGATTTGAGGGCCTGTAAATCTCTAGATATTTATTTTGTATGAGATTGCTGTGCGGCGTTGCGCATAAGTACCAGATACCGCTTTTACTTACATGATGGGCCTTGCTCCCAGTAGCCAGTGCCAACATCTCCTCACTGCCGAGGAGTGCGTCGAACTCATCGCACTCCTTCTGTGTGCTTGCATCTTGCCAATTTGGGCTATAAGGGTATGATAGCGCCGCCCCAAGCTGATCTTCCAAGGGCTGTTCTTTATGAAGCTGCCCCAGCAGCCGACTTGCATTTTCGTTCCAATATACACTTCCGTGCTGCTGGCCCGCACCGCTGACTCCCCTGATACGGCTAAAATTCAGGCCTTGTTCTTTTAGTTGTAGTAAAACACTGTCCAGTGCCTGCAGCCACATGGCCACAGGGGCGAAGACTTCATGCTCATCTTCGTTTGTGAGCACTCCTTTTTTCACACCGAAGCCTTTGGAGTCAGTGTCAAAATCAAACTTGGCGACATTGACCACCTTAAGCGCGGACGAAACAACGAGGCCCTTCAGCTGCTGCGTTGATAGGTCGAACCCGAGATATAAGGGTTCGTCAGAAGCCATTTCGTTGCTCGTGTATGGGGCGGGGTTATGCATGCAGATAACTATTCAAGCGGGTGTCCCTGCCAGGGAAGAATAAAATTATAAACAGCACAGCAAATCGTCATCATAAGAGTACGGAGTACTCCGTAACTGGATGCGAATCATGCAATCTGCAACCAGGTTCCTCCTTAGTTTGACGCAGGTGGAAATGTGGGGCCCAATGATGTTAAGCAGAGATCACCATTTTCATACGGAGTACTCAACGCTTGATCTGATATGGAGAAAATAGGAATTACCAGAGCCAACCAATGGCTGAATATCCCTGGAGAGGTTTCTATTTCCATACTACCGGAAGTCGAGAAAAAGGTTAAAATATTTCTATTTTTAGCAGAAGCCGCTTGCCAAGGGGGCGTTACAAGGGTCAAGCTAAGACAGCAACGTTGATTAACGAAAACAAAAAGGGAGTAAAATCCAAACACAATTGAATTTTTTTATTGCAAGTTCTAAATGCTAGCACAGTGGTGCGAAAATCTGAGGTCTATACTCAAGCTGCGTATTTTAGCCCTACTGTGGCCTTCGCAAAAAATGCAGTAAAGAACCCCAGAAAAGCAGCCAAGACGGAACTTTTAGCTGCAGCCTCCATGCATGTACCAGAGTACTCAAATGTTGTGTAATAAAACTTATCAGACGTAGAGCCGCGAGCGATTGGCCACCCGGGCATATGATTGACGAAGCCAGTCAGTCCGGGTAGCAACAGTCAATAGTATCAGTAGCATGTATACAGATGAGATCACCCTCGCTTTCTGACACCATTTTGCTCCGGCTGTTTTTCCTGGCTTGTGGCCGTTTCGATACCATTCCCCTCCATCTCTGGTTCGGGACTGCTGCGAGGGCTGACATCTGGCGCAAAAAACTCCTCAGCAAACGTGATTTCCTTCTCAGCATTTGGAGTAAACCGCAGCTTCACTCGTTTAACGCCCCGAACGCGCGATCCAACCCGATCCCGTACTAATCCCTCAATATAACGGGTATGGTCCACAGACCAACTTCCTGGAACTGACACTTCAATATCCATGAGATAGTTGGGGCCAGATTTGATGCCTTGAATGTCCCGAATTTCCACATCAGATCCATTTGGTGTAGTTGCCAATGCTTTGAGAGTTGACTTTCGGACAGAATCTATCATCTCCTGGTCGACACCCATGTCAGCCAATTCAAATAAAGATGTTTTTGTGTTTCCCCATCCTGCACGAATCACCATCAATGAAATTAATAATCCTCCAACAGGGTCCAACCAAGATGCATCCGTGAAAACATGGGCGCCACCAATGGTTAGAAGGGCAACAATGCTTGTGAGGGAGTCAACACGGTGGTGAACAGCATTCGAGGCGAGCACAGACGACTTGCGCTGAATGGCAATTTTCATAGCTATAGAACGACATCATTAGAAACAATAACACTAGAATTTTGGCCTGTTGCACTTACTGGCACGATACAACCATTCTTTGACAACAATTGAACCAGCAGCTAACCAGGCGGCATTGATGTTAGGGCCAAGAGCAGCACCATGGTGATGGCCGTGTGAGTGTGAATGGCCATGTCCAAGCAGGCCTAGGTGAGCGGCTGTCTCGGCAATATCAGGAAAGCACTGAGTGAGCAAAATTTCCACCGCATTTAAACCCATCAAAAATCCCCCACATAAAAGCAGACTGCTGACGCCCAAAGCACCCAATGTTTCCACCTTTCCATATCCCGTGGGAAATTTTGACGATGGCGGTTTGAGGGACCAAGATACGGTCGCTAATGTCATGAAATCCGAGACGAGGTCTGTGAGAGCGTGGTACGCGTCGGCAACCAAGGCTTGAGAATGGAACACATAGCCTCCGAACCCCTTGCCAACTGCCATGGCAAGGTTGGCCAGCAACCCAATTCGCGTGATCCTTACCCCGGGATCATCTTTATTTTTAGAGGTAAGGTATGCATTATCGTGGTGGTGATGGTGGTGGCCATGGTGACCGTGTGCACGAACTTGTTGGCTCGTCATGGCCACGACGCGGGCGAAGCGGGAAGGGGGGAGAAGAGGGACGGGCGGAAGCGTTAAAGGGGACGGCGAAACGAGAGCTGACGGGGCATAGGGAGGGCCCGGCAGACGAGCAAGAGAAAGGCGGCAGGCGGATGTCCTGAAGACACGTTGCTGGATCGAGTCGCGGCGCCGTTGCACGATGTTGTTGGTCGGGGAAGAATGCTGGCGGCTGTGTAAGCTGATCAAGCGGCTGCGCGTTGCGATTCCGCCGGAACGCAGCTGGCTCAGCGGCATGCCTTCTCTGGTGACGGCCCAGCTGGTGCTGGACCGTGAAAGCTGTTGGATGGGTCTTATCGCTTGGCTGCTGAGCTATTATGTATGTACGTTGAACTACCCCAGATGTCTCGCGCAACTGCGCCTGAAGCTCGCCTCGACCTTGCCCTCGAGAAGCTTCCCGACAAAGCCAAGCCAGTGAAACGCAGGCCGGTGCATGGGCTGTTTGTTTCACCACCAATCCACCCTGCCAGTATTGGCGGCTTTACGCTCGCATCCTAGGGGACTTGGTTATCTACATATGATATCTTTGTGCCCTTGGGCGCGTCTCGGAGGCAACCATCCGAGTCGAACCACAGAAGCCTTATTACTAACGAACACCACCGGGGAGCCCTCCTGCTCCACTCCCGCGACCCTGGTCTCTCTGGCCGTGCTTTTTGTGGATGAAACCCCGAGGGCGGCCTATCTCCAGGTTTTGGGAGACATATTTTCGCACCCCGGACCATCTGGCCTTTTATTGGGCTGCCTCAGCCGAACTGCAGTTTCGCTTCTCCGTGACTTTCCTTGCGGAAGACCTTCGCTAGCTCAGTCTCACTAATCCAGATATGCCTTTCTCATGACGAAACGGTTGAGAATTCCTTTCACCGCACCATTTTCACCGCCGGTCATCTTCCCATCGTCGGCCAGGACCTTATCAGGAGCCATCGACGCGGTAACCAACTTTCTCTCCGCCCCTCCATCTCCATATCTCAGGGGCATCAACGTCGGTTCAAATGCCCAAACAGTGCTTCTCACAGGTGCTGGTATCTCAGTTGCATCGGGCCTATCGGACTATCGTGGCGAAAACGGCACCTATAGACGAAATGCGGCGTACCGCCCAATTTATTTCCACGAGTTTGTGACACTACACGAGGCTAGAAAGCGGTACTGGGCACGGAGTTTTGTTGGTTATCCCACATTACGAGACTCTGTGCCAAATTCCACCCATTTTTCTATCGGAGAGCTCGGCAGGAAGGGCTACATCAGCTCCGTGATCACGCAGAACGTTGACTCGTTTCACAGCGTTGCCCATCCCCAGATTCCGGTGCTCGAGCTCCATGGCTACCTCCGATCCGTCATCTGCATCGACTGTCGCCATAAAATGCCAAGAGAAATATATCAAGAATCACTCTTGCGGCTGAACCCCGCTTGGGCAGAATTTTTGGCTCGCATCATTGAGACCGGAGCCCTGAAGACCGACGTCGCGGCAGAACAAAGGGCAAAAGGTCTGCGAGTGAATCCAGATGGGGATGTAGACATTCCTAATGCCCATTACTCAACTTTTCGTTACCCGCCCTGCCCACATTGTTTAGCTAAACCACCGCGCCGGACAGACGGAACAAAAGTGATCGTTGAAACAGAACCAGATGGTGCGTGGTCCTCGAGGTCAAATGGCGGGATTCTCAAGCCCGCGGTTGTCATGTTTGGCGAATCGGTGGATGAGACTACAAAACTGGCTGCTGAGGAAGCGATCGACGAGGCAGGCAAACTTCTGATTCTGGGAAGCAGTTTGGCAACCTTCTCCGCTTGGCGTCTAGTTGAAAGAGCACAACACCGAGGAATGTCTATTGGCATCTTGAATGTGGGCGGTGTTCGCAATGAAGTCAGCTTGTTCAAAGATGCCAATGAGAAGTCTATGCCAGTGACGCGTATGCGATGCAGTGAGAAGACCGAACATGTCCTACCTGAAGTCGTTTCGAGGCTTGACCGCATCGGCTCAATTTAAGGGCCTGAGGAAGGCCGGAGTAATATTCACTGTATAGGCTACAATTCGAAATTTTGTTTATATAATATATAGAGCTCTAGACAGACACGCTGCTCAAAAATAGAGCACCTCCATTGCTGAAACAGCGTCGGGCCAAGGGCGTTGATGCCCACTAAAATAGGCACAGGCGCTAATGGCCCACGGGCGCTTCCACGTTTCGAGGCGGCGGCCTGTTAGGTAAGAGCGCGGGGCGCTGCACCGACATCGAAATCCTCGTCAACCGGCCGGTATAAAGGCTGACATGGACAATCCTCCCGTCGCAACTCCTGTTTCTGCTACAGCTCTTGATCCCTGCATTCGTAACACCGCCTCATATCTACAGGTTGCCTCCTCACTTGCCTCGCCGTCCACCTTTCTTTTCAACGCGCGCAAGTCGCCTCCGACGGCCCCGCGATCAAAAGCTAAATCACCATCGAGCGACATGGACAAACGGCAGCAGCCTAGCTCATTTCAGCAGCTAGAGAAGGTATTCTTTATCTACTTAATATCTATATCTTCATAGCTGAGTGCTAACCACGCATTCTAGCTGGGGGAGGGAACATATGCGACGGTGAGCAGAATTTACCACTTCTCCGCTCCGTGGCCCGGAAACTAAGCCTCTAGTTAGGTATTCAAGGGACGAAACCGTCAGACTGGCGAGATGGTCGCCCTCAAAGAAATACATCTCGACTCAGAGGAAGGCACGCCGTCAACCGCGATACGAGAGATCTCGCTTATGAAGGAGCTGAAGCATGAGAACATTGTTTCGCTTTACGATGTTATCCACACGGAGAACAAACTGATGCTTGTTTTTGAATATATGGACAGAGATTTGAAGAAGTATATGGATATAAGGGGTGACCGTGGACAGTTGGACTATGCCACAATCGTATCTTTTATGCAGCAGCTCCTCCGCGGCATAGCGTTTTGCCACGAGAATCGCGTTCTGCATCGCGACTTAAAGCCCCAAAATCTTCTCATAAATAATAAGGGACATCTTAAACTTGCGGATTTTGGCCTGGCAAGAGCGTTTGGTATTCCTGTGAACACCTTTTCGAATGAGGTTGTCACCCTGTGGTACCGTGCACCAGATGTTCTGTTGGGCAGTCGAACATACAATACCAGCATCGACATTTGGTCTGCTGGTTGCATCATGGCTGAAATGTACACGGGTAGACCTCTCTTTCCTGGCACTACGAATGAAGACCAGCTGCAGAAAATCTTCCGCCTAATGGGCACACCCTCCGAGCGCTCATGGCCTGGAATCTCTCAGTTCCCGGAATACAAACCCACCTTCCACGTTTACGCTACGCAAGACCTACGACTTATTCTCCCGCAGATCGATCGGCTTGGTTTGGATTTGCTTAATCGCATGCTTCAGCTTCGGCCTGAAATGCGGATTAGTGCTGCGGAGGCCTTGCGGCACCCTTGGTTCCATGAGTTAAATCAGATGCAAGCTCAGGAAGCTCAGCATCAGGCTGCTATCCATCAGCAGCAGCAGCAGCAGCAACAACAACACATAGCTACGGGGTACGGCGGCTCAGGGCTTGTGTCACAGGGTTACTAAGAGGAGTCTAAGGGGACTGCGCGGGGTTATGGTTTGCAGCGAGGCGTTTGCTGGGGCAGTTATGCTGCTTGGGGATTTTCTTTGTATCCGTTTCCGCGTATAGATCCTTATGTTTGGCTTATGAGCTCTGCACTGTTTTGAAGCTGATACATCTTTATCCTGGTGCTCAATGCGCTTGTGATTACGTTGCCTTTCATCGTTTCCGATACCTGAAAGTACTGAAATGTTTGTGTAATTGAATAATTTCTGGATGCCAGCAACAAGGGCCCAATATAATATCACTTACTTATGATTCCGAAGTGGAAGCACATTCGTCTAAGCCCTTGAACTGGCAAAGCACAGGTTTTAGCACGTGATAGCGCGTTTTAGGGGATGCCACCTTTCGTCGCGATAATACCACCCAAATTTCTGAGACCCGAACTAAGACATCATATTCAACGACATTATGTCTTCGGTACCTCCAGTCGACGATTCGCAAGACCAAAGACAACAGGAGGGATCTCCATCTCCGCCGCCACCGGCCCCTGTGCCCCTCGCGCCCGGCCCCCGCGCATCTCGACTTCAACAAGTCTTTAGTGAAGCACTCCTTCGCACGATTCGAGCGAATTCATACGCCAATTTCTCATCCTGCTTTCCCACACCAGCCAAACACGTACCCCATAGTCTCGAGTCGGTCTGGAGACAGCTGAATGCGAAATTGGAACAGAGTGCAAGGGCGGAGTTCGACGATGTGATCCGCGAGAGGGGGGTGGTCAAAGGCCTCAATGAACTAGACCTGCTGGTCTCGCAGGCGAAGAGGAAAAAGGAACAAGGAGAGCAGGAAAGCGGTGTTGCGTAGGTTTTGATTTTTCGCTTTCTCGAATGTGGGAGATGGATTGAGGAAAAGCTGATGGATACAGGCCACATACCCTAGGGGCTACTGAGCTGTACCAGGCGCATCTCACGCCTTACCTTGCGCAGGCGCAGCAGTCGCTGGATTTGAAGCTGGAAGAGACTGAAAAACACAATATCCTGCTGGCTGAAAAGATACAGCGCCAGAAGGAGGAAATCCGACAGCTACTTGAGGGAATGGAAGCCATTGTTGGAGACATCGAGGGGGCAGCGAAGGCCATGCAGGATTTTGACCCGGATAACAGTCTACGGCAAGAAGCGGAGCGCATGGATGAAGAGATGAACTCTGTTCAGCAGAGTTGAGGAACCCAGGTCATTTTTTGGCTTTGAATCACTGCCCTGTGGACGATTTCTTCGAGACATGCAGCCGAAACATCTAAATGGAACTGAAGCCCTAAGGTTTATCGCCTCGATTATTATCTGGATATCAACCAAAGCTTTATGCGCCATGCTGCCTGCAGGTAGACTACGATATGCATTGGCCGGAGACTCGGAATGCGCAATGTGAGTGAAAACTTCAACTATATTTCCAAAAGGCAACGCGATCTGACTATATTAGAAAACGATCTCATCTGGTGCCATGCTATGTATGATTTTTTGAAAGTCTTCGCTGGTAATCAATCCATCCTCAACCATGTCGTCCGCGCTCTGAGTGAGCTCTTCTTTCGAGTCCACCAGAAGCGACTCCATCTGGGCAGAATCGCCGGACAATGTCTTGACGAGCGCCTCTCTAAACATTCCTTCTCTCTCCTCACCGGCCCATCCGTCGCGTTTTGCTATCGCCACAGCTCCCCGATAATACGTCTCGGCGTTCTTTAACAACGTTGAGGCATTGTTCGCTGCCGGTCCATAGTTCCATGGATCCTTGCCTAGGCGCCAGCGGTGCATCTCCACATCGCCCCTCGCTATGTGTATTTTTGGAAGATTCTCCCCAGTGCTAGGGAGCTTTGAGGCTGAGGTCAAAGAGTCTAGCGCGGAGGAGAGCGACGTCCACCGCAAATTCAATACCATCTTTGATTCCTCGGGGTTGTTTGGGCTATATATATCCGCTAGGGCCGAATTGAAGCTGACCAGCGCCTCTGCTTGGCTACACAAACCAGCTGGGTCGTTGGTAACATCGAGCCCGTCGGTATAGGCGTTGTTAAGTTCGTTTTTGTATGTCTCGAGGTCAATCTGGCCATTTCGATATACCGCTTCCGTGAACGCAGACACAAATCTAGCACGTGCTAAGGCGATGTCATATTTTCTATCTGTTCCTTCAGCGTAGGCGTTGATTTTCTCCCTAAGCAGATCGGAAGAATATTCTTCGATCCAGGCCAAACCGCTGCTGCCTGGATCATAGATGAGCAATCCGCACAAGGTTGCTAGTGCCTCGAGCTGGGCTATCGCCGTATCTACTAGTGTATTTTTGGTTACTGGTTCGATCACAGCTGCCCACTGCTCGGTTTGTTCGGAGGGTGGGAAAGTTGATTCAGGAGGTGGTATCTGATCTTCTTCATCAGGCATACCAGACTCAATTGCATTCATCTGTTCTTGATGTTCTGTAAATCGCAGCTCTTGTATGGCAAGGCATCTTTGAAACAGCTCTAATGCTTCCTGTAGGTCTTTGATGGCCTCGTGAGTTCGCGGTTCGGAATGACGCCTGCCTTCAGCGAACACCTCAGCAAGACTTGTTAATACTTGAGCTGTATTGAATAAGATATCAGCATTATCTTGGTTTTTACTAAGCGCCTCCCTGTGAGATTTCAGTGCAATCTGGAGAATTTCGATCATGGGCGCGGGCAACTGAGATGCAAGTTTGGGGTGCTGTGTAATCTCATATTGCACTCGAGCTCTGCCAGATTATGTTAGAAAACTTGTTTTAGGCAGTAGTTTCGTGTCATAGCTGAAGGGAAGATGTATATACTTATTGTAAGCGAGATCGAATGAGTTTGGGTACTGTTTTAATCCTGTATCATAGGTGTCGATAGCGCGCATGAAGAAGCGCATAGACTTCACGGCGTCCCCGGCGCGCCACTTTTCGCCGGCTTCTTCAAAGTTGACTCCTTCTACAGGCACTTAAAGTTAAAAAAGGTTCAATCTTTAATCAGTAGTATCGCTTCTAGAGCCTACCAGCCAGGTATTCGTCGGCAGTTTCTGGGGCCTAAGTCTATGTTTTAGCGGGATGGCTCCCAAGGGCGGTTGGGCACCATTGGCGGGGTACAATTGGGCATTGTGGCATCCTTACCGATTGCTTTGTCTTTTTTTTGGATTTCATATCCTTGAGAAGGGCTTTGGGCTTGGGCATGATGAGAGGCGGGTGAGACAATCCGTCGGTAAATTGGTCGAGAAATTTTCGGCGACTCGTATTCGACGGTCCTCGAGCCTCTGTATACTAAAATGCGGGGGCCAATATGCATGTAAGAGTTGGGGCTTCAGCTGCGGGCATCCGGTGGTTGATTGTGATGGCAAAAGTGGGATGATGAAGCTCGGGCTGATAAGATAAGGCGCCGGATCGTCCAATGTCTGTATCGCGAAGAGCCGACGCCAGCTCCTTTGAAAGTCTATTGGGATGATGGCTGGCTGCGAATGCACCGGAAGCTCTTTATTTCTCCATCTGCCTACGCACGAGCGTCAGTGCTCAGGCACCAACCAATAGCCCCCAGGTCCTTGAATCGCGACCCTGCAGCGGATCGAACACCGGGCATGCATGATAAACCGATCTGCCTGGTCGCTCGAAAAATCATCGCACAAACCGGCCGGGCACCGTGCGCAGGAGCTCACAGAGCTCAGGCCCAGCGGGAGCCTCCCGCTGGTCGGAGTCTGCAGATCGCCCTCCAGCACACCCAACACGAATGAAATGCCGGAAGCAAAAGGCGTTACACCATGCCCTGCATGCCCAGCGTCTCGATCAATCGCTGTTTTGCTGCGCTCCCTGCGTCGGCGATCGAGGGGTGGCGAGCGGCCACGGGATGGCGTCGGGGCAAGGCTGTGCCGGGCAGCGTCGCGCGCGCGAGCCAAACGGTGGGCTGAGGATGGGTTTGGCCATCCATGCGGGAGGCTAACTGCCTACTCCGTAGTTAGTTAGTTAACTAGTTAGTTGACCAGGATGCTTTGTTAACCCGCGGAAACACACGTGGTGGGAGGGAAGCGGATGCTTAAACTAACTAACTACTAACTAACCCAGGGCACGAACACGCTCGAGCAGGCAGGCCTCAGTCCACCCGCGCCCCAGCAGCAGCAGCAGCAGCAGCAGCAGCAGTAGCGGGCGATCGTCGCTCAGCGTTGCTGCCGTCTTGTTCGTGGCCTCTCCACGCTTGCTAGTTGTGGGCGGCCGATACGCAATACGCTCGCGTACGCCCGCTTTGCGCCGCCCAGCCAATCTGCGCGCCGTAATTTACCGAGCAGTACGGCCCACTGCCGGGCCATCCCTGTTTCCCACCCGTAATTCCACGCTACTCCGTACAAGCGTCGGCGCTGCGAGGGTGAAACGGCTTCATCGCTTCCCTTCGCTCCGCCTGTATGAACCCACGAGCCATTCTTTTGTCTTTCTGCCGGTCTTCTGCATTACATACTGCCCAGCCGTCCCCTTCCCCCCTCCTCTCTGTGCTCTCTTTCGCGATCTGACTGTTTTGAAACGCCTGGCTTCGGTGTCTGGTCGCTGTTGTTTCTGCGACGGCTGCACTTACGTACCGTACCTCCTGTAGGTTTCGCCGTTTGACAACCTTGATTTCGGCGCCCATCTCCTGGCTGCTACCACTCTACCTGTGTGCTCATTCCGCGGTGGCTCCTCGCCGATGTGAATGGCATCTTCACCTGCATAGTGACTAACGCTTGCACAGCCAACGTTGAATGACGACTGCCGGCCCGCAGGTATTTAAAGCACAGCCGCAACCCGTTTTCCTTCGCTCCAAGTCTCGCCTTCGACCCCTCTTCAAACAGTCGACATACCGTCATAATGCTGCCTAGAATTGGACGACGACAGTCCCTTGAGTCCCAGCGACCCATCATGGCTCCCTCGGTAAGTTCTAAGCGCCCACCATGCACCTCTGACATCACCTGTCTCCCCAGCGCTTCCTCACCGAAATCCCATGGACCGCTCGTACTAATGCCTCCAACTCCCTATTCTGTAGCAGGTTGCCTCTCAGCGAAACTCTCAGCGCTTCTCTACCATCAGCGACAATACCATCTCCAGCACCATGACAAGCGACAGCCGCCTCAATGAGATCAGAGAGCTGGGCGAAAGCCTCGAGCGCCTGGAGAACAAAAGGCTCAACCAGCAGCGCTTTGTGCCTACGGCAGAGAAGACCGATGATCTAAGTAAACTAGCCCTTGGGGCAAAAGTCGAGCGCGCCCTGAGACGAAGAATGACCAGCCAGGATGCCGTCATGCGCAAACCAATCATTTTGGAGGAGAAAAAGGGGCTGGAAGTCGCCGAAGTCCCCAACTAGACCACCCTATTTATTTATACCCGCAATTTCCTTCTACTGTAACTGTTTCCTTTTGGATAGATAATGGCCGATTGTGGCTGCATGGCATTTTCCCCCCCTCATTATACACACCCCTTTCCCTTTTACCACCCTTTGTTTTCCTTTCCACTATATCCATCTTGGGAGTTGTGCTGCTGAATCATCCAGCCATTACGTTTGCCGTGTGGAATTTCATTTCTTGATACCAGTTGCCATGCCCATTATTTGTTGATGTCTCTTATGTTATTTCTGGATTCACATCCATTGTGCTACCTACAGGAGTCAGGTTTATTATCAAGAAACACCAATAATACCCTGCGTTGAACTTATCCAGCCAGACCGTAATATGGGAATACATATGTTAGCGCTGTGTCCCAGCTTAATTATCGAGCTGTCCAAGGCAACCAATGTATCGAGCACTACCAGTAGCCGGCAAATTATAAAATAGATAATAGACGCGTGTGTGTATGTCTTTTTGGGCGACTGAAAACGCTCGTCCTGGCACGCGCTCCCGCCGATGTATGCATATCCAATAAGCCCAGAGAAAAGAATGCCGCTGTCAGGTCTCAAGTCAAGAAATAGCAAATGAGCCACGGAGCAGAAACCCCGGGCGCTTGGATGGGCAGCGGCGGCGCGAGCAGTGTTTCGGCGATCGCCCGCAGAGATTTTCGTGCGGGCTGACTCAGCGGTTCGCCGGCGGGCAGCCCAAAAAGCCGGTGTGGGGTGGCAGAACGGGCCTTCTTCAACCTTCTCCTTCCTCGATTTTCATCACACAATCTTCTTCTTCTCGCTCGACGTTCATCCAACAACGCCGTCATCGTTTGTCCGCCCCGTCGCCACCACTACCACCACTGACACCCTAGTTATCTCTTTTGTGCCCTTTCTCCGCTTCGGCTTCTTATTCATTCTCGCTGTTTTATTTAGCCTGCTCTTAATCTTCCTGAGCCCGCTTTGCCGTTCAAGAGAATTCGCTTTGACCTAATTTCTTTTCCCTCCTCCAAGCTTCCACCGGCAAAAATTTTTTATTCTCCTCCATTTCTCCATTTCTCCCTAACTACCCTTCAAACACACGTATCGCGACGTTTCTTCTTTTTCGACACGCGTGTTTTCTTCTTTTTCCTGTCTCTGGCCACACCTGCTTGATACTGTACGCCTCTGCCCAACCCAGCCCCATCTAGTTGAGCCTCATGCTAACTATTTCCTCCAGAAAAGAGATTCAGCTTTGAATTATTATTTTACCACTTGTCTACATCTCAGAGTTCCACACGCCAACAAAATACATTTGACGCATCTCAATACAACTAGGCAATTTTTCTTCACAATGGCTACTGACAACGCAGCTCACATTAATGGAAATTATGCTCAACAACCTGTGCCATATAATACCGACCCTTACCATGCAGCCAATATGCCTGCGCCTCACCAACCGGGCAATGCGTCTACTCCGGCTCCCCCTCCCCATGACCCCAAAGATATTCCAAAGGAGGAAGTTGCATGGTTCTTCGTTGAGCTGTACTACAACACCATGAGCCGCTCCCCAGATAAACTTCACCTTTTCTATTCTCGTAAATCCCAGTTTGTTGCTGGTAATGAGGCAGAGACTGTTGGCGTATCTGTTGGTCAAAATGTAAGCTTTATTCCCGCCTTTGTCACTTACTTGCCTTTTTTTTATAACTGATCATTATTTCGGCATTCAGGCCATCCGGGAACGCCTTGGGCTCTTAAATTACCAAGATACCAAAGTTAGGGTCTTGAATGTTGATTCCCAATCCTCGTTCGATAACATCGTGGTCTGTGTCATTGGCGAACTGTCCAACAAAAACGAACCTGCTCGCAAGTTTGTTCAGACCTTCGTCTTAGCTGAGCAACGGAATGGATATTACGTCTTGAACGATGTGATTCGATTTCTTGTTGATGACGATGAGGAGGAGGAGGAGGAGATCGCTGATGAGCAAACTGCTCAGGAGACCGTTGTGGCGGATACTCAAGTCGAGCCGGCTAAGGAGGATGCTCCTCCCCCTAAAATTGAGAGCCAAAGCAAGGATGTTGAAGCTAAAGCTCCAGAGGCCGAAGACCCAGCTCTTCTGCCTCTAGGCCTCGAGCCTAAAACAATCTCAGCACCAGTTCAGGTCGCTGCTACTCCTCAGACTGTTCCTGTTAGTGTGGATGCGTTGCAGAAAGAAACTCCGAAGGAGCCTGAGCCTACTCCAGTCGCGTCATCACCGAAACCTGTAACTCCCGCTGTTGAAAAGGAGAACGTTCCACCTGCAAAACCTACTTCAATGACTTGGGCTTCTATCGCTTCTTCGAACACCAGCAAGTCTGCTGCTACTGCCGCCGCCACTGCCGCCGCTGTGGTTCCTGTCGCCACTCTCGTTGCTGTGCCTAATCCTGCGCCAGCTCCGCAACCCAAAGCCGCGCCGGCTCCCGCTGAACCAGCGCCTACTACAAATGGCGAGACAGCACCAAGCCAGACATCTTCCAGCTCTGGATCTGAGTGGCAGACTGCTGGTAGAGGCCGCGATGATAACACGCTAGGATATATCAAAAGCGTCAATGACAAGGTAGATGCCGCTCATCTCAAACAGACTCTTCAACGCTTTGGAAAACTTAAGTATTTTGATGTAAACCGTCATCGGGTATGTAACTCTAGCGTCTCCCTTACTTCAATTGTGACTAATACATACTTCTTAGGGCTGCGCCTTCATTGAATTCGCCGATGCCGCAGGTTACAAAGCTGCGGTTGCTGCAAACCCCCACCAAATCGGTACTGAACGTATCGTAGTTGAGGAACGACGACGGACTAATAATTACAGTGGAAATACTCCGTTTGGCGCTGGTAGAGGAGGCGCCACGCGTGGCCGTGGCGATCGTACCGCTAACCAAGGTCGTGGCGGATTTCAAAAAGACTCTGGACGCTATACTCCTCGAGGTGGCCGCGGCGGTACAATGACTCCCAAGGGCCGTCCCCAATCTCAGGCTGCCTAATTCTTTCGTTTTCTCGCCTTTTATGAATTCTAAAATATCGAGCTTGATGGGGCTTTTTGTTTTGTACAGTTCACCGCATGCATGGATGTACGACCAACATTTATGCTCTCCAGGGGTTTTTTTTCCTTTAGGAGTAACATGGTGATGGCATTTTCAGGCGGTTGGAAAAGCTTACTTTTCTTCTATTTACCCTGTATTCCTATTTGCTGGCTGTTTCTGATAATTTCCTTTGAAAACACGGCTTTACTGTTGCATTTGTTATTTTATGGATGCCTTTGAATTGATGTTTGCTTGATATTATCTAGCGATCATGAGAATTCTCTTGTTACGTGCAATATGACATATTCCTTCTTCTCTGGGCGCTTTTGCAAGCATTCTGTATTCAGATTCAGTTTTGTACTACATTTTTTCATTGCCCTTTAGTTTCTCTATCACTCTGTTTTACACTACATAGTTATTTTTCAGTTTTTATTCTATTTTCTACTTTTCGCGCTTTCTTCTGAACAAAAGAATCAGTCATGCTTACTAAAAGCAACGGGTATATGTTGACGTCTAAATTGGATAAACAGTGGTTCAACTGCCCCAGTGGAAGACTGCGTGACCTTTATTCGGACGCTGCGGGGGATAGAAACGCTGGGTTCTGTGAACTGTGCTAAGCAGAGTGGAAAGCGCTGAAAAACTTGATTCTTATTCAAATAAATAACTGAATTAAGCAACGTGTCCATACCATATATATCACTGCTTATTTCTGTGGATTAAATACTTTCATTAATGGGAAAATAGCCCCGATAATTCGATGGCGGTGCTACTGGAAATTATAAAACGAACGAATATATTAGTTGAATAGCACAATATCTAATTATTTACAATCGCGTCTTTTATCACATAATATGGACAAAAAAAAGACATCACAGAATGTTGTAGTATATACTGAATATTTCATGTTCAAGAGGTAAAGGAAAAGGGCCCTCTCGAAATTAGATAAGAATCAGATGGACATAAAAGAAGATAAAGTGAAACAAACATTTGGCATGAAGAAAACACTCAGACACCCACCCGTTCTTTCACAAAATCTCCGAGAAAACGACCTGCGAAGCAAGAAAGCGGAGTAAACTAGAATGCAGACACAGACAAAAGAAACAGGGTGACCCGCCATATGCACCGGTTCTGTCAGGATCTTTGCAGTATAAGAGATACGTTACTAGAACACTGTAATATTCACGCATCCCACCATTTTAAACATTAGAATATCCCAGTTTGCAGGTAGGAAGTGATGCCTCAGACATCTCGTCGTAAGAAAAAAAAGTCACGCAGTAAGGACTAAAACAGAATATTGACAATAAAGAAGAGAGAAAGGCTGGTTGAAGATTTGGAGTGCCGACGCTTTATCTCGTGGTCTCTGACCCCCCGCTTTCGGCGTGTGCCACGTCAGGAGTCGTTGAAACGGTAGTTGTAGACCTAGGAGAGGCCTCAGTTTTAGCTTGATCGCTGCCGTCATTAGCGCCCGCCGTACACGCTGTACTTTTGCTGGTGGCACCTTGTAACTTTTTTTCTGCCTCTTCTAATTTCTTCTTTGTCTCTGAGAGCTCCTTTTCTAAAGTCTTGATGTAAACGATGGCGAGTTCCACAGTACTAGCTTTACTGATGGGCTGGTGCGAAGCCGGCTTGTCCGGTTTGGATGACCCTGCTCCGCCTTCAGCATTCTTGTCTTTGTCTTTATCTTTACTCTTATCATATGCCAAATAAGGAGGTAATAGACTTTCTATTTCCTTAAGTGCTGTGTTAATACGATTACGCCGTCCTTGTTCGGCAAGTTTGTGATTTGTGCGCTTCGAGCTCAAATTTTCAGCTAGGGCCTCTGGGTAGATAACGCCAGGAAGAAGAGTCCCTTCGAGAATGTGCTGATAATTGGATTTCGATGCAAGATAAAGGGCAGATGTCTCTGAGGATAGGCCTAAGAAGTAGGTAAGTGAATCGGAACAAACTAAGAACTAGCTATGTTTTCTATACCTTCTCCCCGAATAAGGGGTTGAATACTAGGGCTGATCTTTGGTCTCAATGCAGGGCTGATTTGCGACGTGCTAGCACTCTGTCGCTTCTTGGACGTCCTTCCTCCAGGTCTTGTATCCGTTCGTTTCAGCCCAACAGGCCCCATTGGAGATTTCATGGCGCCTATTTGTGGACTTGGAGTCACTGAGGCGGTTCCCGGACCGCTGATATCGTTCAAGGACCTAAGGACCGGCGTTCGTTTCGATGTCAATTTCGGAGTCGGCTGATTTATTCCGGTCAGCGTACTACTCGTTACAGTAGCAGCTGGATCAACATTCGTTGCGGGTTCAGGGAGAGTAATATCCTCCATTGCCTCCTCTGGAACATTGCACACTATTACAGAGCCGGTACGAGAAAATTGTACGCTGGGGTCGATGGGGCTTGCCTGCTTTGGTAGGTTCATTAATGTCGCTGGAGTAGCAGCTTCCATGGACTTTTGCTCCATACTCGGGTCACGTGCTGTTATAAAAGGAGACTTGAAAGCGCGTGGAATTGCGGGTGGGGGCATCAAAGGCTCCGCTAATGGCTCCGGGGATACAGAATCCTGGCCTGAGCTCTCATTACTACTGCCATGATGGGAGCCAACTCTTTTTGAGGCCAAAGATGGATCCTGGGAGCTATCTTTATTCCAAATGCGGGAGTCATTTCCAGAAAGAATAGCTGATCCTGGATGGGACCTTTGGCGGCTACTCATAGGCCTCATAGAAGGGGACTGGCGAAGTAGTCGGGAATTCGGCTTCGATACAAGCGATGATTTACGCCTATGCCTTCTAATAATAGCTGGCGAAGAAGGTGCGGTGCTTGCTGGCAAAGGTGGCTTCATTTCTGGCTGCGATACCATAAAGCCCATCTCCATACTCGCAGCTGGATTGAACATGAATCCATTCCCATGCGGATGGTGAGCCTCCAGAGCAGGGGAAGTCAACGGAGTGAGATATTCTCCTGGGGTGGCGTACTCTGGAAATCGGAGTTGTTGTTCCAGGGGCGTCATGGCAGGAGAGATCAATGGGGTAAAAGCGCTCTTAAAGAAGCGAATGGGTTAGTTAAAAGTGGCGAAGGTATTTGAAAAAACGAAAGTATGAGGAATAAATACCTGGTCCTCGGTTGCTCTGGTGTAGGGTTCATATCGTCGTTGGATTCCTGTGTCTAATGGAGGAGGATGTCGTGCAATACCGCCGTGTAACTCAGTGCTGTTTGGTGTAGGTGGGACAAACTGGTTATATACTTGAGGTACAATGCCATCTTGAGTCTGTTGCCGCTGTTTCTGTATGTAGAAATGCGATGGGTTCACCTGTTGCATAGAGCTTGCAGCCGGCAGGCCAATGGGCGGCATTTGTTCCACAAACGATGAGGGTGGGTACTGTTGAGGCTGCGAAGTCTGAATGCCCTCCATTGCTATCAGTTGAGTGTCTCGCACCATCGAGACGGAGGCCTGCGATGCAGCAGTCGTGATAGCCTGGCCATTCTGGTCGGCGGCATTTTCCAGGTCAGTCAAGTCAAAAGTAAAGTCCAGTAGATTAGTGAAGTCCTCGCTGGGTGCGGAGAGAATAGATTCGTCGGGCATATGGTCAGACCATGCTGCCAGCGAGGAGTCTTGATTCATCGTAGCTGAAGTCCCAATTGTGCGTTCTCAAGACGTTTGCGAGCTGCACCGATGGCGGGAGGCGACGTTATCGGGAGGGCGGGGATGGTGACGCGGGTGGCGGTTGTCAGGAAATCAGGACTGAAACGATCAGACCATTATTCGTCGGGCCAGCGCAGTCACGTATCAGGCGCGATGAGCATACCGAGGCCGGCGATGGGCATGTTTTCCGGGGCGTAAGAGAAGAGTCGCGGAGCGGGAACGTCGAAGAGAGTTTTGGCTCGAACGACGGTGGGGAGGGAGGGCTGCCGAATCGGGGCTAGGGTGCCGAGACGTAGTCATCAGGTAATCTCGGCTAGCGCAACCCTAAATGGGCAACCAACTAATGCTCGACATCTCGAATCTGCGAATCTGCCTTGTGGAGAGACGCAACAACTTGGGCCCCGCGATCCGCGCGCTTTGGCAGCGGGCTCTAGATCCACTGCTGGAAAAGGCTTTGTTCTTGTTCCACACTATACTAGGAATGCACATAAGTACTCTTTTTTGACAGCACACCAGCCACCGCTGCGTTGACTAGTCTGCCGTACGGAGTACTTGCAAACTGGACGGAACGCCAAATCCACGTTCGTGCATGGCCCCAAGCTTGATCCGTTTCTCCATCTTCACCTGCAGCCAATGGCATCTGCCCGGGATTAACCGAAAAGGGCATGGCAAATGCAGCTCTTGCAGACGGCCAAGCAGAGCGACAGGGCTCTCTCGTCGGGTGGCCACTGGTGCTTGTCTTCCCGCTTTAACTTACCTCATACAGACGCGAAAAAAGCACATAATACCACTCGTGGTCCGTTCCCTTGTTGGGCAACCAAATATCCTGATTCCTACTACATAATTTGAAGCGTCCGGAATACGGAGTACGTACGCAACATCCTCCCCCAGCGTCTCATTATTGGCAGCCATGTTGCCTTTATTGCGTCGCTGCGTGATTTACTCAGCACGATTTCAATATCTGGACAAAAATGCCGCGATTTGCGCTGTGGCATTTATCTGTGGATTACTCATCTCAATTCCCTGTCGCACCTTCGCTTCTTTTGTTTTCCTCTGCGTCTACGGAGTACCCTTTGAGTCGCCTTCGAGTAACTTTACGTTTTACAGAATACTCCGTACTCGGCTTTCATTTAAGTTCGTTACTAGTTTCTGCACTAATTATATTTTAGCGTCCTTATTAAATACCTCCCGCTGCTGGAGATGGCGATAACGGCTCCATCTAAATGCGAAGAACGCAATGATAACGATACAGCGAATTTTGAACTCTATGCGAACACTAGGAGTGAAGATTGTGAGGTCGAAGAGAACGAGGAACTATGGGCAGAATTATGGTATCAATCTAACTCCCCGTGTCTTTTATCCCTTTGCCTTAGCGAGGTGCTCAATAGAAGAACATGAATAAGGCAGGCCAGTATGACTTTTCTACTGTCTGGATGGCCCAGAATCTTAAGAGAGATGAACCCTAATAATCATCTCTAGCAGACATTCAGGAGAAAACGAAACTAATATATCACAATGCATTCGAAACTTCTCTCCTGTAGCTTGTTAGATACATTTTTACTTCAGGGAAATAAATCCCATGAAAACTTGGTACTCCCATTGATTGGGCCTTGCCTTGCTACTGTTATAACAAAAACAAGAATAATGCCCAAAGCTACCCGTATATCGACTGTAAGGCAAATACTAAAGACCTTGGAATACCTACACAGAGCTGGAATTGTACATCGTAGTACGTATAGCCTTGTCTTTGTCTCCAACAGGTATTCAGGAAACTTGAACGGCAGAAATTGTATGTGAAGGATGATTTCTCTCTGAAGAATTCCAATTATAAGACACTTGGCGGCCCACCACTCAAGCAAATCCTACCATTTGTAACCCTTTTTTGAAGGAAAATTGTTCCGCCTCTTGAGACTTGTGAAGTTTACATACTGGGAGCTTCTGGCCTGCCTATGAAACCTGATGATCCGTGACCCCAAGCAACTACAACCCCCCTCCCCCCGTTACGGGGTTACAGCCAGAATGGTGTTTGGGCGGGTTATATAATTATGTAGTTAACTAGTCGTAGTTGTTGCCACCTAGAAAGCCTGGGAGCTTTGGATCGTTTGTGCAGTACCGTACAGGCATATATGCACTGTAAGGGGTACATACAAACGTATGGTTCTGGAGTAAACCAGCACAGTACTTCGGCTCCATACTTACATAAAAGAATACATGGTCAAATAAGCGTTGAAAGCTTCTTCGGAAGTGATACTTCATATTAACTTGCTTTTGGGCAGCCAAGAGGCGTGTCGGCGGGTAACTCCTCCGTAGTGTACCCTGTGCGTCGTTAGCTCCCAACCCCACGTAATTTGGGCGCGGATGCCTGAGGGGCCCGCATGACGATGGCAGAAACATGACGGCCACAAAACAAGTCGCCATCACACACTCTCCAGCAACTACAGGGCCGACTGGATTTCGAAGAATTTTTCTCTGCTGAATCACCCACCTTGAGGCTCGTTCCTGATTTAGCCGCTTCCTCGCCCAACAATGTGGCACGCTGCGGCGGATCGACCGCACCCTAGCCCCCGCAAGCAATCGATTTCTCGTCGCGCCGGGACCGAGTCATATGCCCAGCCCGAATCCTTTTTTCTCTTGCGGCGGGACGATATGGACCATTCAGAGATGGCTGGATATGGGCGGCTACAAGATACTGCATATGGAGTACAAAGCCTCGACGAGGCCCCTAGGACTCCTGAGAAAGAGCCTCAAATGCCACCACATGACGAAAGGTATGAGCTAGAGGATGATATGAGACCTACCACTCTATGTAGGACAGCCACGGCCAGACCGATCAACACCAGTGAGGCCGAACCGAGAAAGCTGCCTTTGGCCGTTGCAGATAGTCAAATACTGGATAACGTACCATCCCTCCCTTTAACTCCTTTAATACCCGGGTCACCCGTTGCACTGGGATCGTTAAATGGAAGCCCTGAGTCGATTTCTACCCGGTCATTCCGTCGATCTGATGATATCTCAATATCCGACGAAACTAGCAGCCGCGCATTAGAATCTAGCGATGACGAAGCCTTAGAAGGCAGGAGTTTCCTTCAGAGCAGCGCTCCACAACTTGTAATGCCGAGCATACGGATGCCCAGTCGACGACCATTTACGGATAGAGGTAAATCTCTTGGAAGGCTAAAGGTTATGGTTGCTGGTAGCACAGGTAGGTTGGACTGGATTGATTGAGTATACACTGTTTTACATATATATTTCTACAGGTCTTGGGAAAACGTCCCTGTTAAAGTCCATTGTGCAAACTTGCGAAGATATCGTTCATGTCGACCCTCTTCCTCAAAATACGTCACATACTCGCCATAGCACTTCTAAACAAGCCGACATTTTCCCTGTCGCCAAACCTCGACGGCCGCGGGCCATCCCATCAGTGACAGAAGTTTACGCAAGTACTAAGCCATATCCAGCATGGTGGTCAGATCTTGAAGACTCGAGAGTGTTGCGGAGGAGGAAGAGTCTAGGCGATGTTGTTCTGGAGCGAAATATTTGTTTTGTGGATACCCTCAACTCGGGTACGAATCGACACGATCAGACTGGTTTGGAGATTCAGTACATGATGAAGCAGTTTCATAGGGCTACCGCCGCAATTGATTCCACGAATGCTGACCTTCAAAGCCTACTCAGCGGGAATGGGGGTGCTCAGGTTGATGCTATACTATACCTCATTTCTGACGGTACGTATACATTTTGTAAAGATCTTAATTCGTAGCTATGTTTCTTGATTTCTATGATAACTGACCCCTTTTGGTAGATACCATTACGTCTGATATTCAATGCATAAAGCGTCTATCGGAGTTCAGCAATGTGATCCCGTTGATTGCCAAGGCTGATACACTTTCTACAAGTCAGATACAAAAATTGAAGACATCATTTCTCCAAAAAATGAGAGAGCATGGCATCCGAACTTTCTTTGGGCACCCATCACCGGAGGAACATGATTCTTCCACTCCATTGGCTCCATTCTCAGTCTCATCTGCAACCGCAAATGACGATGAGATGATGGATGCAAGTGTTTTGATGAGCCCCGAGTATGTACAACCTCTAGTAGCGTCTGAGCTGGGCCTACTTATCGACAGAATGTTCACCCAAGACAATTTCACTTGGTTTCGACATTCAGCGGCAAAAAAGCTAGTCCAATCCTGCAGTTCGCGTGAGCCCCTACGTGCAAAAGAGTTGGCTTCCACAAGCTCTACGATATCGGACCTTGGCATCTCCCAGTTTAATACTCCATTTTCATCTATTTCCAACTCGCAGGTTCTCGAAGCTCGTCGGCACGGGGGTGGCCTTTCGGAATACGCCTTAGCTAGGGTATCCGACTTTACACAGCGTGAGGAGAACTTCGCTCAAGTTAAGCTCGCAAAATGGGCAATAGACTTGCAAAACAGTCTTCAGAATGAAAGAAAACAATATGTGAGGCTAGCTCAGAACGAAAGAGTGGCGTGGTTAACTGAGCGGCTGGACGAATGTGTGACTGACGGAACGCTTGTCCCCATTGGACAAGTTTCTTCTTTCCAGAAAGAAAAGGGCGTTCTAACGTTGCAAAGACATGATGGCCGGCATCTCCAATACTGCGTTGCCGGCATGAGCCCGCATGACCCCCTTGGGTTGATTCGAATGAAAGAAAATATGAAACGGCGAGGATGGGTTGTACTCCAGGTCATCGGAGGCGTAGGCGTGGTGGGAGGGCTAGCATTTTGGCTTGCAAAAACATTGGGATATGTATCTCAGGATCTCTCAAACTGGGTTCGAATTTTTTAATTAGCGACGGGCTAGCTCTCATGGACTGAGCTGCGTATTGCTTATTGACATCCTAATATGCATACACGGCCTATCTGGCATCAATTCTTCAGGTTGGCGGCTTTCAGGTGTCATACGGCGTGGATTTGCCTTATATTTACGATATATGTCTTATTCTATTGGAGTTAGCACATGGACGTTTGACAAATGTTTTTTAGCATGCATTTCTATATTTCAGATGCCCTGTATTTTTGATTTTTGTGGCTGCGTCTAATTTCCCCCTTTTCCCTTGAAGCGGTCGGCGGAGCGCGGCGGGGTGGAATTTAGGGTTTCCGAGCGCGCAGCGGCTGAAGAACGGTCTAGATCTTGGCGAGGGTTCCGCCCTTCGCCAGCCAAACGCAGCCACCCAATCTGTGGTAGGTGGAGAGTGGCGAGGAATGGAAAATTCTGTTCAGGCGAATTGGTTTATTCTTTACTGGTTCATATAGGAGGTGGGAGCTTGTTGGGAGCTAATATGGATATCCTTTAACATTTTACGGGATTAACTACCTCTCCGTAGCTATTCATATTCCGTACTCCGTACATGTCAACAGTTACAGACGGTGGACAACTATACACCGAATGCCATGGAACTTTCGCGTACTGATTGTGTAGGGCTTCCACTTTGAGTTAGATAGACGTTGGCATCAAACGGGATGAGCTGCCCGTCTACCCACTAGTTAACCACGCAGAATCGTTTATAACTTCCCAACATTGTCAGATGGCATATCGGATGCAATCCTCCTCTTGCAACCGCCCGCTGGCAAAACTTTGGCGCACTTAAGGATACCTAAGATGTTGGTAGAGCTTAGACACAGCAGACATAAAGGGAAAAATGGTAAGCAGTGCTCTAGTTATATGCGGAGTCCCAGTGGTAGGGTCAAGGCGTAACTAGACAGTCAAGCCCAAACAGGATTCACAATTCAACCAACGGGACAAAACGACGCACCACCCTGTCCGCATCCCATTGTCAACAGCAGCCCATTCCCAACACCGCCGTGGTTGTTCTAGCTACATTGCCGCCTTTGATGGCGGGGGTGTCGTTACCTTGGAAACCTGGGTCGCTAGCCCGAAGCGGCCTAGTTCCGGCTGCTGGCGGTGCGAAGCACCCCATGGAAGTTGGTGGAAGATTCGCTTAGGCTCTCTCAAGCTCCAGAGATTTATTTCTTCTTTGCTGCCTCGCCCTCGCTCGTCTCTTCCTCTTCTTCACACTATCCCTCACTTCTTCAACTCCTCTCCTCGCTTCGCCAGTTTTTACTACCTCTCCAGCTATCCTTTGTTATCTTCCCCGCCTTCTATCTAGATTAATGTGAGTCGTGCTGCTTCTGCTCTTCCTCTTCAGCAAGTTCACTTTGCTCTTCTTCACGAGATTCATGCTCTATTGCATGTTAGCTTTGGAATCCTAGTTATCATAAGCCTATCGCAGATTTTGTGCTAATTTATCCCGCTTTTCGCAGAATCAGCGTTTCATTCAAGCATCATGGCGTCTGAAACCTTTGAGTTCCAGGCTGAGATCTCTCAGCTCCTTTCTCTTATCATCAACACTGTCTACTCGAACAAGGAAATTTTCCTTCGAGAGTTGATTTCCAACTGTTCTGATGCTCTCGATAAGATCCGCTATGAGGCTCTCTCGGACCCAAGCAAGCTCGACTCCAACAAGGATCTCCGCATCGATATCATTCCCGATAAGGATAACAAGACCCTTACCATTCGCGACACTGGTATTGGTATGACCAAGGCTGTATGTATTACGTTCACTTTGCTTTTATAATACGTAATATCTGCTTACGATTGACACTAGGATCTCGTTAACAACCTTGGTACCATCGCCCGCTCTGGCACCAAACAATTCATGGAAGCCCTCACTGCTGGCGCTGATATCTCTATGATCGGTCAATTTGGTGTTGGATTCTACTCCGCTTATCTTGTTGCTGATAAAGTTACTGTTATCTCCAAACACAACGATGACGAACAATACATTTGGGAGTCCAGCGCTGGTGGTACCTTCACCTTGACCCAGGATACCGAGGGCGAGGCACTTGGCCGTGGTACCAAGATCATTCTTCACCTCAAGGAAGAACAAACCGACTACCTCAACGAAAGCAGAATCAAGGAGGTCGTTAAGAAGCACTCCGAATTTATCTCCTACCCTATCTATCTCCATGTTTTGAAGGAGACCGAGAAGGAGGTGCCAGATGAGGACGCCGAAGAAACCAAAGCCGACGAAGATGACAAAAAGGAGGCCAAAATCGAAGAAGTTGATGACGAAGAAGAGGAAAAGAAGGCTAAGAAGACCAAAAAGATCAAGGAATCTAAGATCGAGGAGGAAGAGCTTAACAAAACCAAGCCTATCTGGACTCGCAATCCTGCTGATATTACTCAAGAGGAATACGGCTCCTTCTACAAGACTCTTTCAAAGTAAGTGATGCTTTAGATATTTACATTCGTTGTTAGTAAGTTTCATTCTAACATATTTCCAGTGATTGGGAGGATCATCTTGCTGTTAAACACTTCTCCGTTGAAGGTCAACTCGAATTCCGTGCCATCCTTTTCGTTCCCAAACGTGCCCCATTCGACCTATTCGAGACCAAGAAGACTAAGAACAATATCAAGCTTTACGTCCGTCGTGTCTTCATTACTGATGATGCCACTGAGCTCATTCCTGAGTGGCTCAGCTTCATCAAGGGCGTGGTTGATTCCGAAGATCTCCCACTCAACTTGTCTCGTGAGACCCTTCAGCAGAACAAGATTATGAAAGTCATCAAGAAGAACATCGTCAAGAAGTCTCTTGAGCTCTTCAACGAAATTGCCGAGGACCGTGAGCAGTTCGACAAGTTCTACACCGCTTTCAGCAAGAACATCAAGCTTGGTATCCATGAGGATTCTCAGAACCGCCAGGGTCTTGCTAAGCTCTTGCGCTTCAATTCTACCAAGTCTGGCGACGAGACTACTTCCCTCACTGACTATGTTACTCGTATGCAAGAGCACCAGAAGCAGATGTATTACATCACTGGCGAATCTCTCAAGGCTGTTCAGCAGTCTCCATTCCTCGACTCTCTCAAGGAAAAGAATTTCGAGGTCTTGTTTTTGGTTGACCCAATTGATGAATACGCCATGACTCAGCTCAAGGAGTTCGACGGCAAGAAGCTCATTGATATCACCAAGGATTTTGAATTGGAGGAGACTGAGGAAGAGAAGACGGCCCGCGAGGCTGAAGAAAAGGAGTACGAAGGTCTTGCTAAGGCACTCAAGAATGTTTTGGGTGAAAAGGTCGAGAAGGTTGTCGTTTCCCACAAATTGATCGGTGCCCCTTGTGCCATTCGCACTGGCCAGTTCGGTTGGTCTGCCAACATGGAACGTATCATGAAAGCCCAGGCTCTCCGTGATACTTCAATGAGCGCTTACATGGCTTCCAAGAAGACTTTCGAGATCTCTCCCCGTTCGCCTATCATCAAGGAGTTGAAGAAGAAGGTCGAGCAGGATGGTGAGAACGACCGTACTGTCAAATCTATTACCCAGCTTCTCTACGAGACCTCCCTCCTTGTTTCTGGTTTCACCATCGATGAGCCTGCCGGTTTCGCTGAGCGCATTCACAAGCTCGTCTCTCTCGGTTTGAATGTTGATGAAGAGCCTGAAGTCACCGAGGAGAAAGCTGCCGATACCGCTGCTCCTGCCGAAGTCGCTGGTGAAAGCACCATGGAAGAGGTTGACTAAATATTCCGATGAAAGATGATTACGAAGTTTTCTCTTTTTTTCTACTTTTTCATGCAAACGAAAATACACTGGGGTTCGGGATAAAAGCTAGGTCAAGCGGTTATGTCTTTCAGGTGATGCAAATATTCCTCATCCCCTTCTGATGCTTTAATGTATTGTACCATCGGTGTGTCCTTGTCTCTTTGCTGCTGAGGTCGCCATTGCCATGTGCTTCCTCAACTGGACTCTTGTTCTGCTATGATTCATAGGAGGCTAGATAGGTTTTAAACATAATTTAAGCAGCTTCATTTTTTACCTCCGTTCAATGTAAATTCAATGTAAATTAGCCATGTAACTACTCTGCATGTAGTTATGTATTTCAGGCAGGACATGGACGAAATGTAGTCCGAACGCTTAATACGCCCCTAATCCATCAGGTCTGGTTCTCAAAATGGCCGTGTCTAGGACCCCTCATGTCAGTGCCTATTTCTACAGTAGGGGATAGTACCTCTATTGTATCCCCTGCATTCCACCCACTAGCCATTGGGAACCCTAAAGACGTACTACCTACCTCTGAACAAGTTTGCAAAGTAGTCAGTCAGTATCCTTACGCGAAACAAAATAACTTGTTGTTTCATTTTGAATTTGCATTGATATCCTACGGTACACGCCGCCCGGTTGGCCACATATGCTGGCGAGAACGGGTTTTATTTTCACTGTTGACCCTACCAATTAACTACTGACAAAGCCACCACATTCCTCCAGGATCGAATTCTATGCGTCCCCAATGACCAGCACGAAAGGGCCGTCGAGCTCTTCAAGTCGCGTCAAGATATATTGGAATCTTGTGGATCCCGCCCTCTATCCAATTAAAATTTGCTGAATCATAAATACCCACGTTTCAAGGGTGCTGGGAGGAAAAACTTTTGGCTACTCGTACCAGCGAGCTACTGTCGCCTAGAATGTGCGCCAGAACATATAGAATGCAGCCAAGGTATGCTTATGGGCATACTATGAGAAGAAATACCACTTATCCTTGAGTTAGGAGGTCTACCATACCCAAAGCTTAATATTTATGTACAAAGCCTCATTGACACCAGAAATTTACTAGACTTGAGGATCTAGTTGACGGGATGGATCTTTCGGAAGACTGGGGAGGCGAAAACTTGAACCTCGACGGTAATAAAGATTCTGATTGGGCGCAGAACTATATTGAGGTTCTGAAAGACAATGGGGTTGAGGATATGTGGATCCTGATAGACCCTAACCCGTCTCCTAGACGAGAGCTCTGGAAGAAATGTGTGCAGAGCAAGCAAAGGCGTATGGGGTGGAAATATTCACCTGAGATATATGCTACACGGTTCCGAAAGTTTGGGTCTAAGAATCCGCGGTTACGAAATAGACCAGGATTATAGCTAGTGGCCTTCAAAGTGAGTTCTTCAGAATTTACAGTCAAGTGGCTTGCAAAAAAAGGCAGGTGTTTAGTTTTCTATTTTTACTGGTCCAAAGCCTTTTTTGATATCCATGATCTTGAGATCAGGAGGAAATGTTGATCATCAATCCCAGTAATGACAGCTAGCAGTTGCTTTATAACACTGAAACATACGGTGGCTGAAATCACGATAACAGTCATTTTCTAGAGTCTCCTGGTTATCCGTCGTACTCAACCTTCGAGTATACCACCAATCGCCTCGCGACGATAAGAGGGAAGAGATTCAAGGAAGGAGGAGACAGTATCCGACTCTAGGTTTGTTGCAAACTCTCGAATTTCGTCCGGAAATTTTTTCAGTACATGGATAATGTCTGATCTATCACGTTCGTCCTGTCTGGCTTGATATGTAGCCAATTTACCCCGAAGGAGGTAATACAGCCCAACTGCATAGATGGAGTTCGTTTCATTTCCAATTTTAGCTTGAAGTTCAATCCTATTGGTACTCAAATCTCGAGGGCTGTTTTGGAAACCTGCAAAACGAAGGAAAGATCAGTCCCCTGCAACAGACCTGATGGACTTGGGGACCATGATAGAAATACCACTTTCAATGAGGTCTATCTCAATTGGCATTGTGACAGTGCACTCATCAAAGTTTGGGCCAGTGAGAACAAACACCTTCATGATGTTGCTGAGAAGCCGGGTATTGGGTACGATAAGGCTGGGGAAGGCGCCCAGTATTAGTTCATCGCAAAGCATCATCCTTCAGGGGAGGACACACCGTTCTTCTCCTTCCACAATATCCCATAGATCACGCATTTTGCCAGGAGCTTGAAAGGCAATATCAACATCGCGGGTTTCCCGTTCCCCTCCCATTAAATTGATTGCAAAGTCGCCCATCACACCGTAAGGGACACCCGCGCGGTCAAAAAGGCTAGCCATGAAGAGCGCGGCAGACATTAAGTTCTCCATGGGAACTGCTGGGAATTTCTCCCTTTCTTCATCAGAATCATATTCTAGGAGATCGTACTTTGAAGCCATGACGATGATTGCCTAATTTTTTTCGTGGGAATTGTGGTCGACCCTAAGAATCAAAAGAGACAGGTGGCAGTGATATCTCTAGTAGATTGTCGCCCCTAGAACCGGCAAATATTTTGCGTTTCCCCAAGAAATATCATTGCACTTCTGCAGGCGATGTTTATGGATCTTTGCTTGGATGTTGTCTGAGTGCCGGGGGAGAACGCCGCACATCATGTGGTTCAGAATCTGCACACGCCAGGGTCTTCTACACCGCAGCATCCGGCTGGATGCAAGCAGGGCTGTCCACATCCATGTCCCTAGAGAAGCACCACAGCCTCCAGCCAACATCTGGCAGACAGAGCTAGTGTTAATCCTAGCTATTGTGCTGGGCAGGCAACATCATACATCCTATTAACCTTACCCCCAACAAAACCAAATGTTTGGAAGGAGGTTGCTGACGTTTATCTCAAAATGGTAGGCTATCCAGCCTAACATGCTGAATGACAGAGACTCAAACTTGGTGGCAGTGATACATACTGTCGCTCTAGGCGGTTGTCTAGTTCAAAGACTAAGCTTTCTTCTCCCACCAGGTACCATGGACTGATACATAAGTAAGAGAATAGGACTCCGCGAAATCGCTCTGAAAGGAGAAAAGGCCGAGTATACACATTAAGCCGGGGATAAAGAGAGGCAAGCCTTCCAGGTACCTACCAGAGAATGGCATACCTCTGCTTCTTTGTGTCGTTGGTGAGAGACAAGGAGAGGGTTTGGTACACCATTGGCCGCTATTTGTCGGACAGGAGGGACAAAGATCGCAATATATCAGGTCATTGGCGACCATACAAACATGAGTCATGCGCACGGCGAAAATGTAAATATTTTGGATCTTCCAGGGCTTCAAGACATGTACCATCTTGCTGTTCTTGATGCGCAAACCTCAGGCCGAGTTGCATATCGGGCCACTCAGCAACCGCCCCCACGGGCCAAAACGCAGGCAGAGGTCAAAGATACTTGTCAGTCCTGGGTAATTAAGGCTGTTCGTCAATTGGTATGTGAAGAATTTGTTGAAGAATGCTGGTATGAGAAACTGCGGCGATTAATTGACGTGGCTGTTTTGCAGAATTTTGTAGTTGAAAATTGGAATCGTCGGAGTTATTCTAGATTGCAACCTGACGCAAATTCCAGAATGATGACAAGTAGTTCAATGAAAAGTGGAGAATTATTAGTTATGACCAAAGTTTTGACAGAAATATTTGCGCGGATAACGAGTACAATTCGGCTATTGATGGATCTCTTTCTTAGATATCTATACATAGTTGATCTAAAACAATCTCACCCCCATAAATAGATTGAAACAAATAGTCATTACAAGAATATACCAACATTAAGGCTATCACGAGAAAGAAAGAATGAAATCAACTCTAGTCTTCAAAAAAGCTCAAAATGGCTCTAATCCCTTTGGTTCCCAAGCCATGTTTTGGGTATGCAATATACATGGGATCTTCAAGGGCACCTAGCTTCGCTCTAAACTCCGTTTTCCGATTCAACTTGAATTGTCTAACAATAGTATCGTATGTTTTTGACAGGAATTTTGCCTTGGTGCTGCTAATATTGTGACCCGGGGTCAAATGCGCAGTGGCTCCACCCCCAAATGTAAGTGTTTTGACGCCAGTTCGACCAGCACTCTGAATGGCATGGGTTACGATGTACTCGATGGACCCAGATGGCGAGCCGGGAAAGTCGAAACTGTATTTGACTTGCATGCCATTTCGGGGAGAGAGTTGAGCAAGGGTAACGAAAGAGCATATTTTCCCTTCATGATCAGTGGCATAGAAGTATTGCCTGTGGCGCTGGTCACGCCAGGGAGTAATTTGAGAAAGATGAATCTGTGTTCCCTTGCGGTTCGCAAGCCAATCTTGGATCCGAATATCAATCTTGTTCTGAATCTCTCCAGGAACTGCCTGGCCAAATTTAAGTGTAGTGATTTTAACGCCATTTTTTTCAGCTTGTCGGAGTTTACGGGCAATTTCACCATCTGATACCACCTGGTTGCGCGACGGGTCAACACGTTCTTCAGCGACGCAAGAGAGGCTACGCCACCCCAGCTTGTCGCCGAGAATTTCTTCAACTTCTATAGAACAAAGCAGCCAAATAGGTCTCAATTTCGTTTCCTTCTTGAGCCATCGAAGAAACTGCGTGACTATTCTTGGATATTGCGACACATCGCACAGCGGATTACCAGAGATGATGGCGTGGCCGTGAATAGGCACATAAGAAACCGCAGCGCCCGTAATAGTATCCCGCCATATTAAAAAGCGATCATCAAACCAAGAGGTAGAGGTGGAATCTCCATAATTCGCAATGAGTTCTTCCAGATCTTGCAGTTTGCGTTCCCCAGGGGTATTCGATGTTTCTGATTTGGCATCATTATCCCATGGGCGATCAAGGGTAGACGCTTCTGGGTGTCTAAGCATCGTTGTTTGATCTTGAGCTGGAAAGCTTTTAGGATCGCGGTGAAACATGGAAGCCAGTCGAATATTGCCCAGTTTCAAAATAAGCATAAGCAGTCTCTCGAGGCCGATGCCAGCACCGGCGTGTGGAGGCGCACCCCATCGAAAGCCCTCCATATATTCTTCCATAGAAGAAGGATCTACGCCCAGTTTTTTCATACGCTGCTCTAGCAGTTCTGGGTCATGGATACGCTGTCCACCGGACACAATCTCCTGGCCCCGAACAAAGATATCATACGAGTTGGTAAATCGGTCATCCTTAGGATCTGGCATCGCATAAAAGGGACGAGCTGTAGCAGGAAACTTGTCAATGATGTAATAATCGGTATGGTACTTCTCCTTAATCAAAGCACCGAGCTGAATCTCATCACGAGTTCCGAGATCTTCAAGGTCAGACAATTCATTTCCATCTTCTGATCGCCATCCGGATTCGTTAAGCATTCTGATACATTCACTGAATGTGAAAATCGGAGTTTTATCAAGCCAGACTAGGTTTTCGGAAGGAAACTGGTGTTGAATGATTCGTACTTCGCGTTGGTAATTGTCGTAAATTGCTGCAAATATTGATTTAAGTGTTTGGTCGAGAATTTCGAGGGACTCATGATAGTGCTCTTCAATAGCCATTTCGATATCTAGACCGGTATACTCTGTTAAATGGCGATGGGTGTTTGAATTTTCTGCACGAAACACAGCACCAATTTCGTAGACTCGTTCAAAATCTGCAGCGATAGCCATTTGCTTAGCAAGCTGGGGACTCTGTGCTAAAAACGCAGGTCGATTGAAATAATTCACATTAAAAACGCTGGCCCCTGATTCTGTAGCTGCACCCTGTAGCTTGGGTGTGTGTATCTCAATAAATCCATTTGCGTCTAGGGATGAACGAAAGCGGGAAGAAATCGCAGACTGAATGCGAAAAATAGACTGGGAGGTGTCGGTACGTAAATCGAGAATGCGGTTTGCTAACCTTGTCCGGTCCGGAACTCGAGTGCGTCTACCTTCGATCCTTTCTTCATCCGCAGCTGGTAACTCGGCCTCATAAACGCTGAATGGAACAGGTTCGTCTCTTCTCACAACTACATGAGATTCCTTAATCTGCACTTCGATATCGTGAATAGTTGTTCCGATGATTGGGATAGCAGGTTTTCGAAGCACGCCCTTTACTTTCAATATAGAGCCAACCCGAAGATGTTCAGCCCATTGTACCATGAGCGTGGATATCTCGCCCTCTGTCTCAGTAAGGACGCCTTGCAACGTAGCCACCTGCTGGCGAAAAACAATGAACACTAGCTTCGTGCCCATTCTGCGTATGACATGAATTCGCGCGCGGAATGTAATTTCTTGACCATCCATCGCGGAAGTGATCGCGTCGAATTGTGTGAGTATTTTCCCAAAGCGGCTCTGCGACTGCATTAAGGGTAAATCGCCATACCGCCGCCTCATCTCTTCCGTCTCCTCTTTTGCGGCTTGTTCATCTCTTTCCTTCTTTCGTGCAAGATCGATGCTAGAGTCTTCGCTTAATCTCGAGCGGGATTGTGATTTTGCCTGTTGTCGCGCTTGACGTTTAAGCTCCTTCCTGCTCATGGATTCGTTATCATCGCTCGTTTCATCACTCGAGTTGACAAACTCGCGTCCATGGATAAAATGCGAAAGGCTGTGGCGAGGCGGGATCAGCTCACTATCGGATAAACTAGCCTTCCTAATTTTGGCTATTGCATGTTTGATTGACATGGCGGTTTGTAGGCTTGTAGCTTAATCTTGATTGGAGTGATAGGCGCTGTAGAGTATCCCGGTACGAATCCAGCTGAATTGCTGATCTGGACATGAAAGTCGAAATGGAAGGGAATGCCCAAATATTTCTTGTGCAGTGAAGACTTTTTGAGACGGCGATCAGAGATGAGATGCGAGAACCTCGGATTCGAGTCTCAAGAAAATGCTAAAAAAATTCTCGAAAAAGGACAAACCCAAGCTTAATGTAAAGCGAGTTACCCTTTTCCTCGATAGTGGAAGAGTTTCCGACAGGACAGGCCAATACTGAATTGCGGAGGATTATCGCGGCAGGCAAAACCTTGGAAAACCGCGCTCCCACAGTGCTTTGCTTGGTAGAATGATACTAGATTTGGGAAATATTTGACCTGAATTTGTATAGAAAAGAGACGGATGTGAATCACCTTTTAAAGGCGCCTGATCATTTCGCGAGCATCGGAATTTGGCGGGGCGGTGATGATTGAGCTCTTATTCGATGGATCATCCACTACACGGCACAGCGCTAAAACGACATGGAGTATGGGAAAAGCTTGAGCCTGCTTGGTGCATGAGGCTTTAGGTGAATCCCAGAACCACCGTCCGGGATTCGGCTTGCTTGTCCACGGTCCAGCACATCTTCGTATCGCCGTTTGTTTCGCGGTCGCCTTCGTCATGGCTTGGCAGATCTGCGCTGGGCCATTAGTGCAGTCAGAAACTAACGTGGTAGTGATGTCATTCTCGCGGAACGGATGGCAGGCCGGCTTGAACTCTGTTACGTCATAGCCGAGTGAGCCCGTGCACCACGACTGCTGACTAAACGGCGGCTGAAGCACGTGAGCGCAAATCCAGCCCGACGAAAGATTCTTTTTGCCTTTACCGCTGATTTCAACGGCCCTCTTTGGCTTCTGTCAGAACAATGCTCGGAAGATTGCTGCAGGAGAAAGGTGCAGTAATCTGCCTAGGTGGCACAGGGAAATGGCTATTCGTATCCGATGGTCGCCAAATATGAGCATATTGAAGATGTAGAAGATCGTTATCATCGCAAATTGGAAACTATCCCACTTCAATACTTTGAAGGCTTGGCTAGAACGTTTAGTAGTAAATCGGGGATAAAAATTGGACAGCATATTGATTCACCATAGCTAGCAGTGCAAATAGGCGCTCGATAATGAAAACTCCATTTGTGTGGTGGGTTGTACCCTTGTCTTCATCCCCGATATGTCGTGTGCTGGACATAATCCCAGCGTCGCATATGGCGATATTGTATCTTACCCAAAGCTGGCATATAGCTATGTATGAATTCTATGTATGTGCAAATACTTGGAGAGTATGTAGTTGTTGGGTGAAAGGGCCTTTGAGTAACTAGCAACTCTATATATTCTGTGAAGTGCCATAGAGTGCCGGTAAATATCTCGTCAAATCAATGGGTGCCTTGGCGTGAGCAATCTGCTCTCTTGCCGCCATGAGGTGGCCACAAAGAAGATAGACTAGGCCACATGGCATTAAAGGCAGTTGAGTGGGGTTAACAGCCATTACCTAGGAAAGGATTGGCAATGGGTCGAGGAAAGAAATGAGAGGACATCACGACACGCAGCTTTATCGGTAAACAGGATAAGGTACGTTCCTAGCGTGGAATAGAATGGGAAGAAGGCGCAGCTGGCAATGCTCATGGTGGAGGTGGTCGTTTTAGACACAAGTAGGAACTAGAAAGCGAGGAAGCGCTGAGGTCGCGTTCGCCTAAAGAAAAAAGTCAAGGGGCAGAAAGAATAGGACTGAATAAAGATGGTCATGTCCGTACGTACATGCATTGATCCCGGGACAATGCAGGCTGCCGGTGGATGCAGCTGACGACGAAGAGATATTATTTATTATTAAATTTAATTGTACGGAGTACGGCGCGGTACTCCGTAGTTAACCGTACAGGCTTTTCTTGAAGCCAAGCTTTCGGGCCGTCTGGCTGAACCCTAAACTCAGATGAACGGTCTGATACGAACAGTCACCCATCTGGCATGGGCTGACGATAGAGAGATAGGCAGTACCAACCACGAGACTAGTTAGCTGAGGCATGTGATTTACTTTGACCAGCCACGGAGTAGCCCGGTTTCTAATCAGTGGCGCTCCTGAAAACGCACAAGGCCAAAGTCGGGTGGGGATATGTTGAATTCTACGAGAAAGTGAGCGATCTTCAAGCCTTGGATTAATATAGGTTAGGCTGGGCAAATGAGGGGCTGTTAGGTCCCTTTGTTTGGTATCTGCGATGGAGTGGGGGTTTTGGTGAACAGCCGGGCTGGCAGCGTAGAGTATATTCTATAAAGTACGGAGTAATATAATAGTAGTTATAATAATAGTGCTGGCAGTACTCCGTATTTTTTTCTTTAGCAATCCCGTATTTCAGACACATAGCATTTGAAGATTCGTACTCCGTAGAAGGGTCTTGAAAAGAAGTTACAAGTTTAAATATGGTCTAAATGATCGGCCAGGGGTCTTACATATTCAGCTTAGTCCGGTCTCCTCTCACAAATCAGATTACAGAGTACATGTCGCGGGCCTCGTCGAATTCCACATTTTGGATACGAGTTGGATCGACTGAATGAATCCTTGTACGGAGTCTTTGTGATATGTGCAATTGGTCATATTTCAAAGCTCAACTCACCTGCTAGTCACAGTTTGGGCGGCCCAAGCTGCATGTCTCTTGGGCATGGACATGGCATCTTCCAAAGGCCTAGCCAGCTATTTCTCCATTTTTTAATCCCTTAGTACCCAGAAAAACCTCTGTTTCTTTTATCCACTTCATCTATAACCGCATTGACATTCTTCGAGCGGTATCAGACACATATCTTGTTCCCATAATGGCCTCAGCTACTTCTACTGATGGAAGCGTCGCTAAAGGCGACAATGGGCTCTTTACCGAACCGTATCGTGCGTTGAATCGCGCATTTCACTTCTCTGATGAAAACCAAGCTGGATGGTGGAGAGCAACAGGGCCTATCTTCGCGAAATTTCTCCATGACGGTGGTTATGATGTTGGCCGACAATTCGAGTACCTAGCTTTTATCCGTGAGCATCTCTACCCACACCTTGGGCCTGCTTTAGGAACAAGGCGCGTTTTCCCTAATCCATCCACTGGGGACCCGGATTTCGAATTAAGTATGAATTTCCAAAAATCAAAGTCAACAGCCCGCATATGCTTCTTACCAGTTGTCCGGGTTCCGGTAGCTGATGGCGAGGACGATTATCTGCCTTCAGCCACTCCAATTTTAAAAACACTCAAACCCGCATTGAACCATTTTGGATATTCCACCACATTATATGACGCTATGAAACCGCACTTGGAGGCATCTGACGAAGAAAGGGATGTGCTTCGGGAAAAGGGCTTCATTAAAGCGAAGCTTTTTGAGCTACAGACGACAATGGCGTTTGATTTTCGCCATGAGGGGCCACTAGTAGCGAAGGTGTATATGTTTCCAACCTTGAAGTCTCAAGTAACGGGAACCCCCGAATCGCAGCTGCTTCTCGGGGCAGCACGTGCCGCCGACCCGACAGGTCAGGTATTCCCGGCCTTATCTTTGGTTGAAGAATATTTTGCTACTTCCGTGGGCAAGGGCTTTGGTGATACCTCATGCACGGCGGCTCCCTGGAGTATTTCGTTTGACATGCTAGAGCCTAAACAAAGCCGCATCAAGATTTACGCAATTGAACTGCAAGTTGACATGGATCGGCTTGAGGCACACTGGACTATGGGCGGCCGACTGAATGAGCCTGGGCATTTGAAAGGCCTTGAGCATGCGAAGGACTTGTTTCGAAGGTTGCAAATACCTGAGGGGCGGCGACAGATGGCGAATGACTATCCACATTTCAAGGACCCGACCACTTTGAACCCATTAGTAGTGAATTGGGAATTACAGCCGGGAAATCCTATTCCAAAGCCCAAAGTATACTTTTCCCTTAGGGGTCTGAGCGATACGGACAATGCCGCTGCAATTACCGGGTTCTTTTCATCATTAGGATGGAAGGATCACGCAGAAAACTATACGAGAAACCTGCGATCATACTTGTAAGTCGTGTCCCCAAAACTGGAAGGTTGCCATCCTATATAGGACAATACAACTGACCTCGGGATGAAAATCAGCCCTAACACGCCCATCGACAAAACAACCCTGGCTCAGGCATGGATTAGCTTTGCCTATTCTGAAGAAAATGGGCCCTATATGACCTTTTACTCGCAGGACCTAGATCCCACTCTATGTCGCGATCCGCGTTGATTCAAAGGAACGGCAGTCTGACAAAGCATTAGACGTAGAATCGAGAGGATGTGCCCCATTAGTCTAGGTTGCCCTGAAAGAAAACCTTATGTATATGTCATAGTTTGCAATTCGAGCCAGGCACGCGTCGTACAAAGGGTCAAACTTCCTCTGTGCTGTGGTCCATATTTCGGGGATGATACTGCAGGCTATACAGACGACCAGGTAGATTAGTAGGATATATATAATCGCTCACTTACCATCCCCCTTAGCTGGCTCAATAGCGAGCCGGGCTTCTCTCAGATCCTGCGTTGCATTGAACGGAGTAGTGAGCGGGTAGTTGCGGCGACACTGCTAATCCGGGCAAGATGAGTCAGCATAGAAAGATGACATCATCTTGAAAACACCCAAAGACCAATTCTCCCTTTCGAAGACGAACTTGCTGCCAGGCTGGCCGTCAAGCAAGAGGCGGTTTCGCTTACCAGTGTGGAAGAGCTGCCGACTCCGACTCAATTGGCCATCCGGTTCTCCCCGGCCAATGCTAAGCTTTTTTCACTAGATGACTCGGGCCGGCCTCGAACCGACACTTTGCCACGACATTGGTCCTGGTGAATATATTATTCTTAGATCCTGCCGCTGCTGATCAGGAGTACCGTGCATGGAGAATTCATCACCCCTTTCACCAGCTATGTTGTGAGAGTGGACCGTGAGATACAATAATTCGACCAGATTTCGCAATGGCAGCGGCATTATCGAAAGGCGGCCGAGCGTGGCTGCTGATAAAGGCCGTCGTCCTTCGCATTCTGATGCGTATTGGAATGTTCTTCCACGGATTTCCTCTGCCTGGGCCGTTGGACGCACACTTCACTCGCAAGCTGCCGCGGCGTTTTCCGTATTCGCAATCTGTGAAGCTCCATTTCTACACGCCGAAAGACTATGCAAAGGCATCCTCGCAGGGCACGAAATACCCTGTAGTTGTGAATTTCCACGGCGGCGGTTTTTGCTTGGGAAGAGCGACGGATGATGTTCGATGGGCGCATATTGTGAACAAAACCGCAAACGCTGTCGTCGTGAGCGTGGATTACCGACTAGCGCCAGAGCACCCATTCCCCGCGGCCGTGGACGATGGTGTCGACGCCTTGCTTTATCTACAAGACCATGCGGAAGAACTATATCTTGACACTACACGGATCACTCTTACAGGGTTTTCTGCCGGTGGCAATCTGGCATTTTCGGTGCCCCTTCGTTTACAATCCCACTTCACAGAACTGGGCTATGACAGCGCGAATTCCAGTAGACCAGACCTTCTCAGGAACGATTCTACTCACAAACTCCTTACCGCCACCACAAACACCCACCCGAATATGCAAATTGTTTCTATAGTCTCCTGGTACCCTATCCTCGACTTTGTTCTATCCCGAGAAATTCGGCGTAACCGATGTGCTTTCCCTGGAAAGTCTCTCTCCCCAGTGCTCACAGACCTTTTTGATAATAGCTATCTACCAGACCATGTCGATCGCGCGTCACCTTTTGCTTCTCCCATCCATGCGTCCGACCAAATGCTTGCCGATGCCCTGCCTCACGACGTCTTCATATACATGTGTGAATGGGATATGCTACTGCATGAAGGCAAGCAGTTTGTCCAGCGATTAGAAAATCAGGGGAAAAAGGTGCGATCGATGATGATAGAACAGTCAAAACATGCGTGGGATAAATCGGCGAATCCGTTTAGGGACCAAGGAAAGATCGATGTCTTTTATTTGGCTGCAGCAGAACATATGAAAACAATTTTTCAAAGGGGAAGTGGGAGAGAACTAAATGCTTGATATAATACAACACTCCAATACTTTCCTCAAGTTACATGTTCACATCCCACAATATTTTGTTGACTATTTGATAGACTGGATTGTCAGGTCGGTTCAAATATATGTTAGACTATGCCTGTGGTTTGAAATAGATTATTAATTTTTTTTCCATTCTTAATGTTAATTCTTTTACATCCACATATGTAAATTAAGTACCGTACAAGCAGCCGAAGGTAGATAATAACTGCCGCCATCCAAGGATTTACCACTGTGCAATCCACAATTCCTTCAAATGTCTCTCAAACATTCTTGTCATAATGAGTGGCTTCGTATTTCCATGTTAGCGTCGTTGGAATATATTTCAAATACTGCTCTTTGCAAAAAAAGAAAAAAAAAAAAAAAAACAGATTTAACGTAACCGCTATTGCCTTGAAATTGTAAGGCTAGCACCGATGCGACGATCAAATTTGTAACCGGCTCGATGATTCAAACTCTCAGTAGATTTCCCGCTTCTTGAAAATAGCGCCTGTAGTCGCGTGCCCATAAATATTCGGCGGGTAATGCTCAAGTGGGATTGGTAGACATCAGTCAAAAAGGCAGATAATTCAGTGCGTCTCCTTTTGGATTTAGCATCCAATTTCATCCTCGTCCGTCTCTGTTGCGTGACCAATCTCTGCATCCTCGACATCCCGATCGTCGGTATCATCCCCATCGCCGTCCTCATTTCTTAATCCTGGTACGCCACGCCATTCTACGTAGTCACCCTCCAACCACCGTCGACTCCGTGGCAAATTGTATGGATCAAACGGAAAGTAGGTGTCTAATTGCGGGCCCAAATCGTTATTGGAAAGCGCTTCGCGCTCCATTTGTCCGAATCGTGAATCCATACAAATTGTATTGAAAGAGAATATTCGAATTCGCTTGTTGGTCTCAAGGAGCGGGAAGACGTACATGAAGCCAACATGGTGAGCGATGCGGGAAAATTCGCGAACAATGGAGGGCGAACAAATTTTTAAGGGATTGAGCTTTGAGTGGATGGTAGCGTGGAGGACGTCGCTGATATTGGGCGGAAAATGAACTTGGTCTAAGTCAAGTTCATTGTGATTAGTGAAATTCTCCTCTTGCGCGGCCGTGGTGAGATCTCTCCAACGAAAACAGAAGATGTAAAGGACAGCTTGAGTGGTTGCGTAGAATGTTGCATATCGACGTAGATCTGGTCCTCGGCAGGTAGGTTCGTATTCAACGACAAGATTTCGTAAATGAGTGCAAAGGAGGTCAAACACATCACGCACAACTTCGCTGCTCACATGCGCACCCCTTGCAACAAAGCTCGCGAGATAAGCGGCAGCATTTTGTCGAAGAGCAGGAGGATGCGACTTGCTAAATATAATCTGAATGCAAGCAGCGGCAAATCGATCAATGAGAACAGGAGAAGATTGAGAATAATGAAAAAGAAGAAACTGAGAGTGACGGGAGCGATAGGTAGGAAGAATGATTTTCTGAAAGTGGCTAAGGAGGAGGTCTAGAGTACTTTCTTTGTCATCCACGCTCCCATGGTTAAAAGGACCAGAGTAGTATTCAAACAATAAATCAAGCATGTAATCAATTTTGTTAATATTGTCTTTCACTGTTTTATATCGTTGAATCTCAATATTAGTGGCATCTTCATCACTCGTGACACTCTCGGCAACATCGTCATCATCATCATCTTCTTCAAGAGCAAATCGTTCTGCTGTTATCTCGTCATGAAGTTTCTCTTCATCCCCATATTCATCCTCAAAGTCGTCTAAATCGACTTGAATTTGCACATCAAGCTTGACTAGTTTATCAGTAATAAGAGCAAGAACATCCGAGCGCAGCTCAGGCGCGTAGTCAATGAGCTTGATTAAATTTCGAGTAAACGCAATGTGTGACTTCGCTGTGTCTGTATCATGCGGGAAGGTAGAAGAGAGGATTGGGGACAAGGTGACACTGCCAGCAGGAATTAGGTGCACGATATATTGAATTGCGAGATGTGTTCTATCATAGATTTCGGAATTCCGTACAATAGGGTATCCAGGGAGTCTACCAGTGCCAGAGGGAACTATAATAAAGGAGTGATTAGCAACCGTGGCATCACTTTAGAGGAATGCTGGTTTATGCTCACCATGATGTAACTTGTTCGCAAGCATCTTAAGCACAGCAGTTAGATATCCGCCACGTGCAGCAGCCAAAGTGCCTAGAAACCTAACATATAGTCTTACATATGCCTCGTCCCTCCCAAGCCACTCGCTTGTCAGTACCGCATGTACAAGGCCGCTGCAAGTCCCGTCAAGTGCGGAAACATTGGACCACAATCCTAAAAGGTGGTTTTTTAACGAAGTGTGTGTCGGCAAATCATATACGGGGGATCCATTCTCCTCGAGTACTTTTGGATCGACAGAAAATAATTCCTTTAAGCGATCATATCCTTCACTATCGCCAGCCAAATGCCGTTGTATAACACGCCTGACTTCCTCTCTCACCAAAGTGGTGCTTTTCTCGTTACACCGAGATTCCACGCCGCCACAGTCAGCTTTTATCTTGTTATCAGAATCGGGCGTATCGATTTCAAAAGTTACCCGAGCACGCTTTTTATTGGAAGGTAGCCAGGAGCAAGAATCCGAAGCCGTTGAGATTTCAGAAGCTAAACTCATGTCTATCTTGCGTTTTTGGCCACAAGTCGTCCGCGTTTTTAAAATCGATTTGGAGGGTATCGGTAGGGGAGGAGTCGGTAGGGTAGTACGGCTTGTAGAGGAGAACTTAGCCATTGTGCATGAGCGAGCAATCGACATCGTAAATAGAGGGCGGAAGGTCAGCTGCAGACGCGTAGCGTACTTTATGTAGCGAATATCACAAGATACAAAGAAATGTCAGGGCCCAAAGCAAGCTACTTCCATCACGGAACAGAAAGTCGTAGATTGTGCGTAATGACTAAACTGTAGGGTGGTTGAACAGCCGTTGTAGTAAGAAGCATCTCCAGCGGCATTCCGCGAAACGCGCGCTCTAGGTATAGAAGCCACAGAAAGGGTTATCAAAATAAATCAAAATATCTGCGGTGGCCACAAGCCAGGTAATTAGATCAAAATAAAACAAACATAAGAGCAGATGTACAGAGTACAGAGTACTTCATACGAAATAATTAATTGTCTGCCGGCGCCACAACATGCGATCGCAGAGAATCCCACAAAAAACTTCAAAGACCATGCTGAAATATTACTAAGCACCAATAACTATATAGGATCACATGATGATTAAGCCCAAACCTTATACTCTTGGCTACGCTACGGCCTTAAATCATGCCTTAGTACTCCGTACCGTACAAAGTAGTTATTTCTTATTCCGTACGTACTCCGTCCACCCATTCTGATTACACCGTCTTTGGAGCAGTGGTCACTCCTCCACATAGGAGAAGCCAGTGGTTTGTGCAACAGAAGCTGGCAATTACAGGGAAAGTATTGTTAATAAGTATAAATGATGGAGAGAATTAGAATTAAGAATTAGAATATACAGTGTGGAGTAAAGGGTTGACTGAAACGAATTGATAATAGATGTCATATATCAAACCAGCTATCAGCTACATAAAAATCTCCTTCATTTAAAATAAGTTCTAGTTCAGAGCAATAACGCTGCAGCCATTATAGCAGAAGCTAAGGCGCAGGTAGCTGTCCAAGCAGAACGGGCAGCTTTGCCTTCGAACACTGGTGGAACAGTGGGGTTCGGCGTAGCGCCTGTAGGCTCTGATGGGGGTCCAGTAGGTTCAGGTGGGACGCCTGGTTGGCCTGGAGTGCCTGGCTGACCCGGAGTACCTGGTTGACCTGGAGTAGCTGGCTGACCTGGAGTAGCTGGCTGACCTGGAGTGCCTGGCTGACCCGGAGTACCTGGTTGACCCGGAGTACCTGGTTGACCTGGAGTGCCTGGTTGGCCTGGAGTAGCTGGCTGACCTGGAGTGCCTGGCTGACCCGGAGTACCTGGTTGACCTGGAGTGCCTGGCTGACCCGGAGTACCTGGTTGACCTGGAGTGCCTGGTTGGCCTGGAGTAGCTGGCTGACCTGGGGTGCCTGGCTGACCTGGAGTGCCTGGCTGACCCGGAGTACCTGGCTGACCCGGAGTACCTGGCTGACCCGGAGTACCTGGTTGACCTGGAGTGCCTGGCTGACCCGGAGTACCTGGTTGACCTGGAGTGCCTGGCTGACCCGGAGTACCTGGCTGACCCGGAGTACCTGGTTGACCTGGAGTGCCTGGCTGACCCGGAGTACCTGGTTGACCTGGAGTGCCTGGCTGACCTGGAGTGCCCGGTTGACCTGGGGTGCCGGGTTGACCCGGAGTGCCTGGCTGACCTGGAGTGCCTGGCTGACCTGGAGTGCCTGGTTGACCTGGAGTGCCTGGTTGACCTGGAGTGCCGGGCTGGCCCGGCACACCGGGGGATGATGTGGGAGCAGGTGTTGGCACTACTTCAGTTACGCAGAAAGTAGTGGTCAAGACAGGAATGGTTTCCGAAACGATGGTTGTTGTACGATCAGTGCTAGGGCATTGGCGAACAGACGAAGGGCACACAATGACGGTATAGCTTGTCGTCGAATAGAGTGTAGTCGTGATAGATTTCGTCGTGGTACTGCAAGTGGGGCAATGGGTAGTAGGAAGTGCAGTGGTGCTGTACTCGGGACCAGTGCAAGTAGGGCAAACAGTAACAGTTGTAGGAGCTGCAGTGCCGCTGTGCTCGGGGCCAGTGCAAGTGGGGCAAACAGTAACAGTTGTAGGAGCTGCAGTGCCGCTGTGCTCGGGGCCAGTGCAAGTGGGGCAAACAGTAACAGTTGTAGGAGCTGCAGTGCCGCTGTGCTCGGGGCCAGTACAGGTCGGGCAAACGGTAACAGTTGTAGGAGCTCCAGGACCGCCTGTTCCTGTACAAGTAGGACAAGGACTTGCAGTACCCGTAGGCATTGTGGTATTAGTGTACGGGGGTTGCGAACCGGTGGGCAGAGTTGTATCGGTACCAGTACCAGTAGTTGTGGCGGTATTGGTTGCAGTACCTGTAGGCATGGTTGTATTTGTGGCACTTGGGTTGGCGGTATCGGTGCCAGTGGGATTAGTAGTACCAGTGCCGGTGGGATTAGCGGTGTCGGTGCCAGTTGGATTAGCAGTATCAGTGCCGGTGGCTGTAGTAGTGTCGGTGCCAGTGGGATTAGCAGTATCAGTGCCGGTGGCTGTAGTAGTGTCGGTGCCAGTGGGATTAGCAGTATCAGTGCCGGTGGCTGTAGTAGTGTCGGTGCCAGTGGGATTAGCAGTATCAGTGCCGGTGGCTGTAGTAGTGTCGGTGCCAGTGGGATTAGCAGTATCAGTGCCGGTGGCTGTAGTAGTGTCGGTGCCAGTTGGATTAGCAGTGTCCGTGGTGGATGAAGCCGTATCCGTGGTGGTGGTAGCAGTATCCGTGGTGGTGGTAGCAGTGTCCGTGGTGGTGGAAGCAGTGTCCGTGGTGGTGGTAGCAGTATCCGTAGTGGTCGTAGCAGTATCCGTGGTGGTGGTAGCAGTGTCCGTGGTGGTGGTAGCAGTGTCCGTGGTGGATGTAGCAGTATCCGTGGTCGTCGTAGCAGTATCTGTGGTGGACGTAGTAGTGGTTGTAGCAGCTGCAAGACAAGTCATTTGGACATTGTCAAGATCAACATAGACTCCACCCAGAGGGGTCGCGCAGGTCCAGGATACAACGATAGACAAGGCCGGGGTTGGTGGCTGCCAGTTAGCCGACAATACAGTCCAAGGGGTTGTGGGACTAGTAGGATCAATGGTTAATGTCCCCTCGGCGATAGTAGTTAGGGGGCCTGGAACGGTATTGTAAATCGACATCTGGCAGGTGATCGGGCCGGTGGGCGGGCCCAGAAGTGGTGAAAGGCGCCAACTGAGGGACAATGTATAGGTGGACGAGGTGTCAGGAAGAATGGGCTGCTGAATAGATGCCAAAGCACCAAGCGTCGTTAATTGGGACCGGCTATAATATGGTTAGCTTGATGAACTTGGGAGATCGTTGTAGAACTGACAGAATTGATCCCCCGTCAGGAGCAGAGCTGTCGGCAATGATGGAGCCCGAATCTGCCACGAAAACCCAACCAGTATTACCGCTCTCAAACGAGGGGTTAACCAGGAGCTGCTGTCCCGGGGTACACTGGGCGTTGGCCATATTGAAGATGGCTGAGCCCGAAAGCAGCCATAACGACAGACTGCGGAGTGACGGAGCCATGGCTATGGTGGGAAACGAATCGAGACGCCCGATTCAAACGAAGGACACCAGGCTTAAGCAACAATATTTAGGGGGATGGAAAGAGCCATGGATGCGGGAGAGGTGTGCTCCCTTTTGTATAGGCAGCATTGCCATAGCAAAAGAGCCAAAGAGCCAAAATGCAGGCGAAAAAGACAACTGGTATGGGTGGCTTGACCTGGCTTGCGGGGCATCGCATGTCGTTCCTCTCATCCTTTTCGAGTCGTTGATGTCATGGCTCGCGGGTCTTGTTATGGCTCTTTGCTTGCCCGCGAGCCATGACAAGGCGGAGAGGTTAGTGATTGTGGAGATGAACATCTTCTGGAGGTTGACTTCCTAGCGTGCGCGTGTGGTGCCGTTGGTGGTTGGCTAGCCATGTGGTGTCGGACCGAGCCAATTGCTTGCCACCGAGTTAGTGACGGCAATGCGAAGTGATTGGCTACCGGATTTGCTCTTACATCGTCGACCTCCCTAGCGTCCCCAGCTCGTGGCGGCTGAAAGATATGGCAGCCAATGGTCTATGGATATGTCTCATGCCGCCTGGAAGGCATAGCACCCAGACTCGCGCTTCTTCCCTCCCAGCCAAGGCAACATATGCTTAGCCCTGCCATTTTAGTCGGCGGCACGGGTATTTGGTTCTCTCAGCCCTGCCACTGACTTTCCGCTGACTCATTGTCCGACCAATCATATGTCTTATTTAACTAACTACTAACTACGCCAAAGAGGATTAGCTCGGGCTGAACACTACACAAGACATTCCCAGCTTCTTGTTGAACAGCTTGTCTTTTGAAACAAGATTTGTTGTTGCTATCATCCGTTAAATCCCTACTAAGGGAAGGATTCGGGCAGAAGAGTTAATTGATACCACCACATATTCCGTACAACCAGCTCAACAATTTCCAAGCCAAAATAAACTCCATTCTGATGCCATCTAGGCCCCGGATACTTATGGCGCCCGGATGATCCCCGCCATGGCATTCACTGAAATCTTGGAAAATACATATCAATGGTTTTAATTTCCGTCTCGCCATACAAAAGTTGCCTTCCAAAATGCGAAGCCTTCCCCACCTCGCCTTCGCAGCCACCATATGGGCCATGAAGTGAAATCATGCTGATTGGAACTGCAACCCAAGAATATCTACAACATTGTCTCGGGAGATTACCCGGGATGGAGGACAACTGCACGCTCGATACGGAGTACAAAAATATCCAATTGCTTTGATAAACGAATATGAGTTGTCCGGGGGAATGATTTTTACTGACAATGTGTGTGCAAAGACTCTAGAGCTTTATTAATTACTGGCTATGGGAATTGGACTTGCCTATGGCAAGATAGTCTCCTTCCCAGAGATTCGCTGATGGGGCTGGTAACAGTAATATTGGGTTCACCGCCGTTATGCCGAAAAAAGCGCCTTTGTGTAGCCGCATATTGTGGTTGGCAACGAATTACCCTATGCAAATACAACATACGGTTGTATTTGTTTAAAATAGGTCCCTTGAGTAAGACCTATTGAGATGCTGTGTGAAAATATACTTTCGCATAACCATCGCATATCTTGTCAATACTCCTATTGGCTTCCTGCAACCGACTTAGAAGTTTCGATTTCAATTCAAACTTCTATTTCACCCGAAGTGCAGAGATACATGCAGTTGAGATGATCTCGTATGCAAAACTGAATCCTAAATGTGGAGAAAATTGTAAGACAGATATACAGGAATTTTCCGAACTTCTCGAGCACCTTTTGTCCGAGACAGTCCAAAATGGTTGCCGGCTCTTTTTAATACTCTGAAGAGGGCAAAATGACGCCCGCCATGGCCCATAGAGTCGAGACTTTGAACAAGACCCACAATTGGCAAACTCACCAGCAGCACAGACGACCCTTTCAACCAGGCCTGGTGGCCCATAAGGTCCAGAGGATCGCTTTTCTGTTGTATTGTGTGGGGTTTCCGGTCAATTCGTATTGCCCAACATTACCTTCATCCGGTTTGACTCTCGCCCAAATTTTATGGAACTTCAATCTTATCAATAGCTGACTGAAAGCATATACCTTGCTTTCAGCTCACAAGCTTACCCTTCAAATGATTTGGCTTTACAATTTTCTGGACTACTGCTATTACCTTGGAAGGGATCGGGCCGGACGGAACTAACACGAAGTAAATTCCATCCAGAGTTGGGAATTTGTTTCGAAATGGCTACCCACTGTTGTTTCTCTACCTGTCCAGCTGCTTCTCTAATTTATAATTCATATCTTCTACAATAATAAATCAAGCTCTAGTTTTACAACTAGAATTTTTCTAGCATATCAGATCTAGAAAAAATAAGATATCATTTTACCCTTGAAACAGCAACGCTCGATGAGAAAGCAATAGTGTCCTTCACGCAGAGTAGTTGAAATACGACTCATCCTTTAGTTGTGTCCCTAAGGCTACTACCCCGTGCCTTTCTCCCGATGGCTTTGCCCCGAGATTTGACCTCACGGAACAGTCGGCATACCGCTTGGCCATCTTGAATTGTCTTACGTCAGTTTTGTCTCCATACTTTTTCGCCTAAATTAGTAGAGAATTGAAGGCACGAGGCCGATTCGACATTCTCCAGGTTGTCAATCGCATCATCAACAGCAATTGCTAACGCGTAAACAGAATTAGCCCCATAAACGGCACGTTCACCACTAATAAAGAATTCTTCATCACCCACAGAAAAAGCTTTGGCAGATTCAACCCTCTACAGAACACCTACACAGCTCCCCCGAAGTATTCATACTTTACCATGATATAGCGTATGTCATTGCTCGGTTGACTTCGGACAATCTTTTAACGTTTGCCGTTATTGAATCGGCTGATATTTCGAATATTTTGGGTTATATTCTTCCGCGGCCAAGTCAAAGTGTACTATATCAAGCACTCGTAGGCCGAATATGAGGAATATGCTTGATCTCCTGAAGTCTACTCCATACAAGAAAGCTTGCCATTTTTAATGTTAGCCATTTCTTTATATTCAATAGAATATACTAGATAAAACTCATGTTGAACATTAAGTTTGAGCGAATATAGAAAGATTCCCTGGTGGCCCAATTCTTTGCCTCTAGATAAGACAAAGAGTGCGCTGTTATCATTTGGCATACATATTTGGTTCGAAAGGTGGAATATGGATAGTGCGTGAATAGCAGGCTGTCCAGGTAGTGCTAAGCCGACACTATCATACTAGATATGATCCCTACACAAACCAGGGCAGATCTGTTAAAAAGGCGTTGATGCTGCAGTCAATATTTTCTAGTTGACCGTTTTGCCTGTTGGCGAAGAGGGCAGGTGATACCTGTGCCCATAGCAGGAAATATAGCTAGGTAGTCAAAGCTACAAGCTTTCAATAACCTCAGGCGGCTTGAAAGGCCTAAGTAGAGATGGGTTTGAGGTTTTTGAATATCCTTACAGAGGCTGTAGTCATAGTCTCCACAAGGGGTATAAGGGGAGCGAGAGGAGGGGACATAATAACCCCCTACGAGGAGTAGAAATCAGAAAGCCTTCAAATACTGTCACTGTTCGCATTCTCATTTCCATGGTATGCTGCTCTCGTCTGGCCCTCATAGTCGAACAAAAGCATGTATATTGACTGCAAAGCGATTGGTTTCATGACTAAGAAATAAAGCAACACCTAGTGCGACCGTCAAAACGAATATCGGAATTGGATTGTAGAAATCAGTTCTATAATGCCTGGATATCGACGTATGAAAAGACCTAAGTTTAGAAGTGCCCTGTGTTTATAAACTGGGTCCTGGAATATTTGGTAGGACTTGTGGCACAACTGTTAACCTCTTCGCGTACAAAACAAGTAGCTGGTGATGAGATGAAGAGAAGAGCAAACAAAAACAGCAGGAAATACTCTTGTATTTCCTACCAACCGTAAGATCCAGGCAGTTGCAAGTGCAAACGATTCTAGAGAATTCATCTTACGCAATGCCGAAGTGCAAAGCCAAGAAAGGCAGGATTACCCGAATGGCGCTTTTAGGTGGTTGCATCAACTCCTCGGGAGTAGTCGTTAGTCTATTAGGGATAAACTGTAGTGAAGGCCCATGGATCACGCTGGGATGTCACACTAAGATGCCAGTTCAGGTTCGCATGAAAAAAAGATGGGAAAGACATCATATGTATAAAACAACCAAGCTGGGACGACTGCAGACCGATGCCCGGGGTGAGACCTGGCAAAAGGTCGAAGGAGTCCCCCGAGTTTGTCCCCGGGTCTGGACTGACGCTATTGTTAGTTCAAAACCGCTAGTCTGGAGGAATGCATGATTTTGGGCCACAGGGCTGATATAAAACTGCGGTTTTAGATAAAGAGGTTATGGAACTAAGCGTTCCAAAGATCTTGAGCTCCCCATATAACAGATCGAGCCCTTCGTCTTGGCTGTAAACTGTTTCGAGAAGGAGGGGCTGAACATGTTAATAAGCCGAGAAATATTGTAAAACAGCGCGTCAATCTGAGCTCAACCTGATTTTTGCAGCACACATACAGCAGCCATCATTGAAACAACGCGGTCGCATGGTGGGGGATCGGCATGAGAACTTGAAAAGGTCAACAAAGAACAAGTCAGAAACTTTATCTCACAAGGCGTAGGGCCGACGTTGTGATAGGCACTCCATTACTCCGTATTAGTGTTTCTTTCTAAATATACTGGCTGAGCCAGGCGCCAGGTACTCTGTACACAATCACAAAGGAGTTACCGAATGCTGAGCATGCCTTCCAGTGCGAAAAGAAGCGCCGGCTCGATAAAAATCCGTCTTGGAGTCAAGGGGGCCAAAAGGCGCCGATCATGTGATGTGCAAGCTTGGCTGGCTGTTTGAAACAGGCATGTTGGGGTGCAGGACAAAATGCCTTGTTTCGACCTGCTACCGAAACAGGGGCAAGCACGACATAGAGTGATCCTTTCTAAAGAGGGCTGGGAAAGTCATGCTGGCCAGGGATATCTTGCCTTTTGACGCGAATTTCGAGAACACCCCTGGGAAGCCCATCAATGCATGGATTTACGTGCCAAGGTTATGCGCCAGTGGCAGGAATCGGGCATACGGAGTATAGAAAAGGTGAATATGTTTGCTAGACAGTGTCGTTTTAAAACAGTTTTTGATAGCATGTGTCACCACTAGTTATTGTGTAACATACTACCGTAAAACACAAATACCTAACCCAGCTAAGTCCTAATTTATACCGGTCGTCAGATGGGGGCATCAATGTTCGTAACAAACAAGAAAGAGAGTATGAAAACGAATGTGGGATATTGGGGCAGAATAGAAGTGTAAATATATAGATACAGAGAATATTGGCCAGCATGCATCCAGATTGGTAAAATAAAATTGAACGTAATATTTAAGACATGGAACAATTTGGTCAGTGTCTTGTAAAGTTGCTTGGAGGCGGAAATTGCAGAGAATGGAACGCCGTTTTTCGATTACTATTGAATGAATGTGAGCCCATGACACACTTTGTGTCTTCAATTATGTCGTTTCTCGATTACAGATCACCTCGATGTGGACAATTAAGGGGAGGATCGTCATGAGCATGGCGGAAGCAATATTAGATCCATGCGCTTGCGGGTTGTTGTCGCTCGCTCGACTCGTCTCCGAAATATGTTTCGTAAAGATCTTGGATCTCAAAAATGTAATCTTCCACTCGGTACTTTATCAATCCCTTATTCAGTAGGATTTCTTCTTCCTCATCGCGTACGCTGCGGGTGAATTCCTCTGCAACTTCATTCACCTGGGCTAATTCTTTCCCAAATGGATGCGCAGATTCCGGTAAAGTATTGTATGGTTCTTGATTTACCCGGGAGCCATCTGGATGATTGAGAGAAATTGGAGGAAGCATTGCCTTTGGTGTAGATGGATCTCGGCCGAGATTGGGGTGCGACTTTGTATGTAATAGCGCCCTTTGTGGGATTGGAGGTGTACTATCTTTGGATTGAGACGAGGAGGCCGAAGACCTAGCGCTAGGTTTTGATTGCTTTGAAGAGTTGAAGTAGGAAGGAAGGCTGGGTTCTGTAGAAACAGGAGATTCAACTCGCGACGAAACGGCTGGAGATGTGGCCGGAGTGAAGTTTGAGGCGTCCAGATCATCTGCAGAGCGGAAAGATGAGGATGAAGAAGAGGAAAGTCCGTTGGGGCTCTGTTTGCCAGGGAGGTCTGGAGCGGTATATGCAAGCACATTGGTGGATGACAGGAGTTCGACGGCGGCAGAAATCTGAGAACGGTCGATTGTTCCTGGGGCGAATCTGACCTGGCCTTCACGGAAGGGCATTGGAGCAGACACCTTTGGTCGTTTCTGGCGCTTGGTGAAGGCCCTGATTATAGACTGCGAATTCGACATGGTTGATAGAGTTCTGTTCGAATCTCGGCTTCGAATGGGCTAGAGATAAACAAGTCCTTATATTGGAGGCTCACAGTAGAAAGCAGTCGAAAAAAAATTCTGCAGGGTGCGGCGTTGCTGCAGCGTACAATCGATAATGGATAAGTATGTTGCCGAGCAGGGCGGACCACGCACACTTTGTAAGACAGGGGCCAGCTGCTCTGAGAAAAAGGAGGTTCAAAGAAAGAAACCTGCGACTTGCACAGCAATATCACAAGCTAAGTAATCTGGGCACCTCGCTCAAGGACAGGAAAAATTTTCAATCTTTCTCAGCGAGGAGGCGGTTGAGGAGGAATGGGGGTGGTGAAAGAGAGCGGCAACCAGGGCGCTAAGTGAGGAACGACCACAACGAAGGGAAGATGGTCATTCACAAGACCAGAAAAGGAGCGTGATGCGAAAGAGAGGACAGAACGCAAGGGTGGCCTTGACGAAGAATGTGAAAGCAGCACAAAGGCGGCTGGCACGAAGAAAGGGGTGGCCTGGGGGGGGTGGGCGAGCGGATCACCAGATGCTTAAAGCCCACGACCCCAAGGTTGCACGCGCAGAATCCGGCCGGTGGAGTCGCCGCCGGCGCTCCCAAACCGTCAGTTTCCCCTGGCGGTGGGGCCGGGCCTGACTGGCACCCAATCGCGAAACACCGTCGATTTCACTTCGCGCCCAATCCTGTCCACGCGGCAGCCAATGGGCGGCGGCACATGCTCGGTGGGTCCGCTGCCTGTTCGAAACCCGGCCAGGGCGCCAGCCCCGAACGGGCCTAGTGCTCGGACCTTTTGCACGCTAGGCTGCTTCGGGCCTCGCACCGCCCGCCCTGGGCCTGCTCCTGACTAACCCAGCTCCACCGCGCCGACGTCACAAGCAAACCCGTCTCGCCTGCTCTCGTTGGCTGCCGGGCCAGCCTGCGACCGTGTGTTTGTTTTGCTGCGACTCGCCTGAGACCAGCGCTGCCTCTTGCACACTGTCTTAGCTCGCGTGCATCTCCGTCGTGCTCGGTCTGTCTGCTACTAGCTGCCCTGCCGCGGTAGACCCTGCCGGTCCATGATTGTCGGCGCTTAGCAGGACCTCTGCTAAGCTTCTCGCACGGTTTTAGGTCGTGGAGAAAGGCCCGTTATTATTTGCCAATGCATCTTGGCCTGCCCCTCTGTACGTGGCCTGCCCTTGGGCTTAAGCCTGCAAAGGGGATGAAACGTCTGAGTGGCGTCTGGCATTCGTACGGAGTAGTTTACTTGAACAAGAGGAGACTCACCGCGTACACAGGTATTGTAGGCAAGCGAGCCGCTTCTCATGGTCTACGATGAGCTCAGGTTCAACATTATTATTAACAGAAACACCAGAAGTCAAGACAAGAGCTTTTAATATGCTCCCTCCTTCAAACAGATCCACTTTCGAGCCATTCCTTTACAGAACTATACTACGGAGTACTATCCCCGAATGAATTACGTTTTAGCTGGCTTGTCAATACTAATAGAAAGATTGCTTCCATTACTTACATGCCAGGAGACTAATTGTCCACGTGAAGAGCACCGGCAGACAGCGGCAGAGGAATGGCGAGTTTGCACCCTGTACGGAGTACTCCGTATGTACGCGCACTGGACGGCTTACTAGCGTTGATAACTAGTTAAGCTGTTGCACTAATAAATTGGCTGCTCTTGCCTTCCTTTTTAGCTCACTCTGGTCCACACTGTTTCTTGCGCATTTCGCCCACCACTGAAATTAGTTACTCAGTACTGCATTCTCTACTCCGTACTTACACCCCATCTTTCTACTTCGTACCCCCTGGTAGTGATTTGAGAAGCACTTCCTCGCGGCGACGCTCTCTCTAGGGGACCTCAGAAATGGTGCGCATCGCTGCGCATGATCGGCTCAGATGCTACCCTGCATCCCCACACTTAGTTAACTTCCAGCCACCGTTATCAACAGGTCGTGTGCATGCGAGCCAGCGGTTAGCCTCGCGGCTCGCTCCCCCCCGTATTTGAAAAGTTACTACGGAGTAGACCCAAGGATGATTCTTCTGGAATGATGTGCTGCCGCTGAAACATCGCGAATTTGCCCCGAAACTTCAAACATCGCATGATGTTTCGACCGAGATTGAAGGGATGTTGTGTTGATCCATTTAGCCTTTAAGGAATTTAAGGCCTTTAAGGCTGATTAAATAAAGCATAGTGATACCCTCCTCCAAGCATGTTGAATATGGCTCCTTTAAGTGAGAAGGACCTGGAGTATGTCTCTCCTATTTGTTTTGGTTGATGTATGGAGTACGGAGTAATACATAGTATTCGATCTGAGCTACATTGGCATCCCGGCCTTCAGGCCCCTGTCAAATGCCACCACCGCATGACACAACTTCAGGTCCGCATTGACGCTTGGGGGTCCCGACCAAATAATAATACACCACGCAACTGGATGCAAGTGCGAGCAAGAATATCGACTCCTTCTCCGTACGGGTCGCCAAGGTCTGTTCAATGAAGCAGTTAGGACGGGGTTTCTTTATGCTTTCAGACGTGAAATCAAATTCCAAATGCCTGAATACTTGGTTTTCACCCCGTATTCGAATTCCATTAAGCGAAGACAACATAGAAAGGACTATCACCAGTAATACGAGCTGCTTGTGAGGGAGAAGAGTGCATGTTCACATTCCAACTCCTTTAAATATAAGGTCCCACCGAGTCGTTTCACAAAATCATACCACCAAAATGTTTTCCTCGTAATACCAAAAGCTGTAGTAAAGTCCCAATATTCAGGATACCATCCCGCCGATTCCCAATCGAGAAATCCTGTGATCTTCCCATCTTGCACCATAATGTTATGGTGTTTCAAATCTCCATGTGTAAACACAATCCGGTGAGGAGATAGTTTTTCCATCTGCTGGGCTCGATTAAGAGTGTCATTGTATGCTGCTTCCGAGGAAAAACTGCCGGCCCAGGCAGGTTTTATAAGATATTCATTAAATTCAGCCTCCAACTCAAAGGGCCCAGCGGAATGTTTGGGTATACGAACACTTCTAATAGAGCTACCAATTAAAGAGCAAATTCTATTCTCACCCCATGGGCTCTTCCATTGCCGCATGGTCTCCAAAAACGATTTTAGCTGCGTAAATATCAGCGTTCGATCTTCGTCACTCAGGCTATCGTAAACTTGGCCCAATTCCTTGCCGGAGACACGTGTCATAAGAATTGAATATGCAGCATGAGGGCAATCCGGGTGTTCTTCATAACAAATCACTTTCGGAACTGGGAGGCCCGCGTTTCTTGCAACTTGCATTGTCAACACTTCCTCAAGCCTAGTACCGTCGGACCATTTCAGGATCAATCCGAAGGGAAGTTGTGCTATTTGATTGTCGTAGGGCACCCCAAACCACCTACAATACGACAACGAAAATAGCCGCAGGTATCTGTGAACGAAGCCCCAAAATCGACGCATTATTGGATTTGTGGCTCGTGGTGTTGGAGGTATTTCGGAGGAGATGGGGCGTTGGTGATCCGGCCAAACAAAGTCTGGCATAACCCAGCAAGGGACAAACCACGGCCGCATCTTTGAGATTGCGATATGCGATGGGATCATGGGATTTTTAGAAAAACGAATAGGCAGGAGGGAGTTGAAGCTGACAAGTCTTTGTTTTCAGATTGGCCCCCTACAGAAAGCATGACTAAAGCGCTGACACTGACAGAATTTAATGGAATGTAAAAACCAGACGATTGTACCCCTACAGAAAAACTTTTCCTCACAATATTTTTGATATATCTATCCCAAAAACAACTTAACTCCCAGTTCATTCGTGCCCCTTCCCGCCGTAGCGTCGTGCACGCGGGATAAAATGAAAAGAAAGAACAAGAAGTCAGCTAATCCTCATCCATAGACTCCCAGCCATCCTGCCCTGCATCAGCTGGACCTTCTCCACCGTTCATCTCCTCGTCATCAGAATCGCCGCCATCGTCCCGCGCGACACCCACCAGCCGCTCCTCCTTGGCCTCACTCATCACTATTGCAGCGCCAAGACGGCTAGCAAATGCCCGTCGGACAGCCGCATTGGTTGACGTGTCCCAGACCTGCACCACTCCTTTGCTTCCCGCGACAGCAAGACGGAAGCTAACCTCTTGGTCTGGAGCAAACGTCGTGGAGAACACCTTACCCACTTCCAGCTTCCTTGAGACGACCATGCTGGGCTTGTGATCTTGTATGTTCCATAATTTGACTGACTTGTCTGTTGAGCCCGTGGCGATGAAACCTGGGATGTAAGGGTGGACGTCGAATGCCGATACTGATGAGTCATGAGCCTGGAGCGTCCATAGTGGTTTGATGGATTCTGAATTCGCCGACGCTTTGCGGATGTCGTGGCAATATACAATGCCGTTGTCCGTCGTAACGTAGAAGAAATTGGGGTCATGCGGGTCCCATCGGACGTTCTCGACATCGCTGGCCACTTGGAAGGTGGCCGCTTTAGCCTCGGGTGCTCTCATATCAGCTGCAACGATGGTTTTGTCATAGCTTCCACTCAATAGGATGGTGGATTCTTTGGGGTGCCAGTCCAACGAACAGATCTTATCCTTATGATTTGCGTATGACTTTGCACATTTCAGAGTATTCAAATCCCATAGCTTGACGGTCTGATCAGCCGATCCAGATGCCAATAGATTGCGGTGCTGTCTGTTCGCCGCTAGTGCCAGTACAGAATCAATGTGATAGCTGTCGTTGGCCTTTTTCGATTTCTTCTTCTTCTTTTTCGACTTTTTATCCGTACTTTCTTCCTCACCTCCTTGGCCTAGAATAGCATTTGGGTACATGCAATCCACCACGTCAAGATCCCATATCTCAATGTCTGGCTCCATTGTGCCCACTGCCACAAAATTTCCATGTGACCGGTTCTCTGACCCTCGTCCAACTGGAATGTCTAGCCATTCCAGACACAACGGTATGGCAGGCAGCATGATGTCATGATGTACGTATAGGTTGTCTTCAGCATCTTCGTACACATAGACTTCTAAATGAGCCACTTCGTCTTCCACTTTGCCGGAGAGTATGAGGTTGTCAGACGGCATAATCTGTAGTTCTTCTCTTTCATCATCCTCGTCCTCTCCCTCGGGAACGACGAGATATGGGTCTTCTTCATGTGGCTGGTGGTATGCGAGTGATTTGACATTCCCAAACATTGTGACCTCCTCACCGTCCTCATCTACAGCATCACTGTCGTAATGGTCCATATCATATTCTTTTAAGACATCACTATTAGTGCCAGTCTGTGCTGTGCTGCTATCCCTAGAGAGTATCAAAATGTTAGCAAAGAAAGTCCCAAGTAAAGCCCTAAACAGCTACCAAAATAAGTTCTTACATTTTACTAGACTCTTTACCCTTTTTTTTGCTTTTGCTTTTTGATAAAGTCTCATCAATAGAATTGTCATCTCCACCAATCTCCATCTCATCATCTTGTGTCTCTTCGCGCGCGGTTTTTAGATCTGTTTTCGCATCCTCCAACTGAACGCGTGCCAATTCCGAAATTCTATTGATTTCGTCTTCGTCTAGTTCGTACTTTTCTGGAAATTGTGCCGCAACCCCCCGGCGTACCCATGCCGTACTCGTTATCATGGATACCATTTTGTCAGTTTTTCGAGTATGCTGGTTTTAATACACGGCCATTCAGGTTGATATTGTCGCATACAAATGCCGATTAACGAAGTCCTGGAGCTTTGTTTGCACCAAAATCCTACCAAGAAGTAGTTATAGGCACGCAAAAATCCCAAAGAAAAGCGTCTTTCTGAGGCCTTACCGGCTCTTCACCTCTTCCTCATCCGGGCTTTCGCGATAACAAATTTTGAAGTTTTGATAAGCGGGACAGCTGATCACCGCCTTGGCAGAAAACTAACTAGCGCCATTCATCGAATGATTTACGCCGAACAACTCTAGATAATGCTTCAATGAAATCACTGCTGCATTTGGAGAGTCACGCCTTGTAGTCACAATTTGCTGCTGATCAAAAACAATTCCACTCGTTATTAAACAGCTTGGACCTGTGGCAGTAGCTGCTGCCTTATACCCGTCATGCATTCTCATCTTCACACGAAAGACAACATCAGTCAGTCCCCATACCGATTTCTGAAAATATTAGACTAACTGTATGTGTCTAGACTGCGAGGATATAATGACTGCTCTGGACGAATGCCATGCCCGCGGCTTCCTTTACAAAGCTGTCGGCGGATGCAACGACATCAAACGAGAGGTCAATCGGTGCCTCGGCCAGGAGCGGTTCAAGCGATCGAAGAAAAACCGAGATGACGCAAGAGAGAATCGGGGGAGGATTGAGCAGATATGGAAGACAAGAGGAGACTAGATATCAGTGTGGAGAAGGCGGAGCTATTTTCGCCTGACGTTTTATTGTCCTGCATTTCTGCCGGTTTTGGAGTACACTCGATGGAGTTTTGGGATACGATTTCGATTTACGAGCGAGAGAGAGAAAAAAAAGTGTACAGATATACAGTAGATACACCCTACTCTGTAAAATATTATTATGATACGTTGCGACAAGCCTCCAATACAAGTGATCCTCGCTTTTTGGGTATTCATATTTCGACTGCTATAGAACCATCTGGGTTTGCTTCAGCTTCACTATGGGGCTTCTGCTTATGTCTTCTTTTCCTTCTTGTCTTCGCTGATGCATCTCCATCCTGTACCGCGTCCGTCTCATTTGTCTCATTCGGTCTTTGTTCTTCCGCATTTAATTCGGTCTTTTCTTTCTGTCCAGCTGGATTTTCTCTCTTTTTCGGTTTCTTAACACTGAGCGGGTTTACCCCTTTAACTTTCTTTGATTTCTTCTCTTTCGGCTCTGCACCAGTGGCCTCATCGTCTTCTCTCTTTCTCTTAGTTGCTGTTGAAATCAACCCATTCTTAAATTTCCCTCGTTCTATACCGTCCCGTGTGCCCTCCGACGTGCCGCTCATAGGCTCTAGTATCATAACTGATCGCTTCACATATATTATTGGGACGCCAGGTATAGATCGCGCATCCCGTCTTAGATTATACCGTGGCGGTGGTTTTGTGGGAGCTCGTTTGCGATCATTCGTTGGCGCTGGGGTAGGATCCGCGGATGCTAATATATAATGCTCTTTATTCTTTTTCGATTCCGCGCTCGGTGAAAGTAGAGAGAGAAGACAGCTGGCTTCGTCGATGGGCGTATCATCTTCGTTATGGGAACAATACCGGAGGGGCAGAACGGTGGGGGGAGGGAGTTGCGGTGGTCTTCGGGGGGCAGCTCCGGGTCGTTGTACGGAAGAAGAGGTTGAGGAAGAAAATGAGGCAGTCATGGCGGCGAGAGAACATTTTGTAAGAACTAACTATCAGGTTAACACCCTTGCTGGCCGATACAGCATATTGGACTGAGGACTTACAGGGTTTTACTTTTCCTTGTAGTGTTCGTTCCAGCGAAGGTATTAAATCCATTTTAAAGGAATATAAAGCCCGCAGAAAATGAGAATCCACTGTTATTGGGTATAGTTAGATCTTCAGCTTCAAAACTATTTTTCCAGTAACTATGGACGGCCTAACCTAAGACCTGATAGGGCTCGCGAAATCCGAAAGTGATTTCATATTGGTGCATCAGCTTGCGGTACTTTTTTGAACGTTTTGCTCTCATATTGATAGCTAATAAAGGGATTCCTAATTAATCAATCGTTTTGAAACCGATTCGCTGTTGCTTACTGCAGCAAAAAGTGATAGTGAATTTTTGGAGCTCAAAAATAAGTATGCGCCAAGGACATTGAATTTCACGCTCAATGCAAATTAATGAAGGATAAATACGGTGTACTTTTTGCAAAAAAAGGTTCTCGCGAGTAATATTGACCAGAGGAAACCAGAAGTATAATAGTATTTTTTGGAGAAGGATGTTATATATTATACCCGAAAAAGTGAAGTTTTCATACAAAAAATAATTACTCCGTACCTGTATCCAGGTAACCCACTACCAGCACCCATACCAAAGCCCAAATATCAACCCCAGGCCCAAACTGAGCCAGATACTCCACATGTATGCCCTTATAACACCGTTTCTGCAAAATTCATTATCGCTTCCAATCAAGCCCTTGAATGGTAAAATCTATGCATAAAATAAGAAAACAAAGAACGCCTAGTGGTATGCGTCAGCTCGGCATCAGAGGCACTTCAAAGACGTCAACTTACCATAAGGAATGAATATAGCGTCCGGTCCATTCTGTCGATCAGAAAAATCTCGGACGCACACCCTAATTGATGAAATTTCATAACCGTCAATTCCAGAAACGTAATCGCCTAAGCGCTCATCATGTATCTCGTTTTTCGCAAAGGCCAACGACAATACTGATATCATCTATTTTACCTGCCGACAAATTAAGTTAGCAAATCGGTTTTGCTGCTGGGTACAAGATTCATACCCCCAGATATAGCCAGTCCTGCATCTATCGCCTTTTCCATGTATGGAGTTTGTGCTGAAGGGTCTTGTGCAATTGTTCTTGCAGTCTGAAGCAACTGTTGCGCGATGTACAACATTCCTCCATTCTTCCCGGCAGTACGATCCCCAGCAACCTCAATTCCCTTTCCATTCTCCCACTGCTTTAAGCTCAGAAGTATAAGCTCCAAAAGATCTTGCTCCCATAGATTGTCTGTGACACCATCAGATAAGGCTACAACGATATCATCTTCCTGGAGTTCGATAACCGAAAGTGATGCGTCATCTCGAGGTCGATCCACACTATCGGTACCAAGCTGCATCGGACAGTCGAACCAATGCCATTGACCTTGAGTCTTGAATACCACTTTTTCCTCCTTTGGTCGTAGGACGAGGATCTGGCAGTCCCCTATGTTAGTAACATAGAGTAGGGGCTTTAAAGAGCCGGCAACATTTTGGTAATGCAGCAAGGCGGTTGCACTGGTCGTAGTGCCGAGCCATTCATTTGGAGATGAAGTAGCAAGCACGGTCTGCTCGTAAGCACGCTGCAAGAACTCCACAGGGTCAGGGCGAGGGCCATCGATATTCCGTTCAGCTTCCAAGGCCCAGAAATGGAGGATCAGACGAGACCATAGACTGTGAGGAGGCCAGTTGGTTAGCTTTCGTGTGTTATGAAGGGAAGGCATTCTTACGCAGCATGACCGTGAGGTTTTGTTGCCCAGGCACCGACTCCATCATTCACGCCTAAAAAAATCGGTGAAACGAGCACAGCATCATCGCCATTTGTTAGACCTCGGATTAACTCTCCATTCACTGAGGGTCTGGCATCCTGGCTTCGATGGTATGTCGTCAACGGATCTGAAAACGATGAAGAGGGTGGCGAGATAAATGGGGGAGGAAATGGGCGGGAGGGTCGTTTCGGAGACAGGGCATAGCCAGTTTCGAAAACGAAGGGGCATTTATTGGCGAGCGAGAGCTCTGGCAAAGTCGGCGACGGAGTGGATATGCCGTAGGTCGACGCGGCGGCTCTCCATTGAGAGAAACTCTGACGGAGAGGTTGCTTCGGGGAGGACGATATCAGGGCACGATAGATAGCTGCAATATTAAAGGTCATGCCAGCGTCAGTGATACATGCTAGACCGCCACATGCAATCAAGAAAAGAGCATGCTGCAAAAATTATCGAGGCTTGTCTCACAAATCTGTCTTTTGGGGATCAGGGTGGGAGAGGCGGAAAGGCTGCGTTGAGGAGCCCCAAGAATAATGACTGCCTTCCGGCCATCCAACAAGAAATCCCACTAAGGCAATATCAACAACGCCATGTGCGCCCCGAAGCCGCGCCGCTCCAGCAATTCGCTGCGAGGCTGCCGAGGCCACCGAATCAGGGCCCCTAGACAAGGGCCACCGGCGCCGACAGACGCCCCAGCAGGGATTGCGAAGGTTCACACGCCCCAAAGCTCCATAACTTAAGCTCGTTGCATTCCTTGTCGCGGAGCATTTCTCCCAGCTAGCTAAGAATTATTAATTGGGCTATGAGGACGGGAGCAGTTTAGTATACAGCAGAAACACAGCAGCAGATATCGCCCCATTGATACAGGCCATCACCGCCAAAGAAGACACACATAGCCACTCGCCATCAGTTCATACTCGTTGCGTCGTTAACAGTCCGTGACGTCGTAAACCCTCCGCCCCCGGAGAACTCCCTATCTAAAGAGCCCTGTCGCCAAGTCCGCGAACGGACATCCTCCGAAACCCCTTCTTAGAATTCTGAAAGACGCTGATGAGGATCCTTTGGTGCCCTCTCACTCTGCTGCCGGTACTCAATGATGACCTGATGGAACCGATCCAGGCGCATATCCAGCTCCATTGCCATCTGGAAGACGTTTGCTCCTCGTTTAACCGCAGATAGACGGTCGAACACGTCCGCCGCAATATCTGCACACTTCTCGACGAAGCACTCTTGCTCGTCGACCTCGTGAGAATCGCAGATGACGCTGAGCCGAGAACTGCAGGGGCACTTTCTGCCACCTTTGAGCGTGCACTTGCGGGCGCATTCGCAATATTTAAAGCAAATGCAGAGATTTTCTTTCACATATGCACTCAGCGACATATATCCTTCCTGTCTGCGGTGCTCTCCAACTGTTCTCCCATGAAGCATGGCGTAGGCTGCCTCACGGTTTGCCGCAATGAATCTCCGTTCTTCGTGCTCGGAATCAGTGCTCTCTCGTTTCTCCGACCGCTTTTTCATATGTTTCGCTTGTTCTTCTTTCTGGAGGATACTGAGATATTTCTCCGACAGGGTCCCAAGGACCATCCCTGGAGCTGCATCGTAAATCGGATTGAGTCCGGTCCATTCGCGACAGTAGGCTGACTGTGGGTCAGTTACAAGTCTCTGAATGTACTGGCGGAACTCCTTTTCGTTTTTGGGGACATGGCCGGCTTCCATGCTGAGTCGGACAGTTTGGTTGACATATTCGGCTTGCTTTTGACGAATAATCTCTTTGTTAAGAAACCCGCGCACAATATCAGTTGCCATGTATTCCTTGCAAGCTTGAAATATCAATTTCAAGTGATCCGGTTCTGGGAGACATTCTTTAGCGTTAAACCTGTTATTTGGAGCCAAGCGCCGGATATCAAAGTGGAAACTCTCGCAATGTTCGAGGTTTCTAATTTCAATGTTAAGTGTTGCATATGTTGCGTAGAAGAGATCTTCTACCGCCACAAGAAGCTTCGAGCAGGAATTCTCAGTCACTTGATTTTCCACTCGGTCGATATAGAATTTAATTCCAGTTGGGCTAGTGTCGATCTAGTCATGATCTTGTCAGCCTTATATAGCTTAATTATGCTACTCTCTAGGAACTTACAGCTGCACCAAAGGCTGACATGACCTCCAGGACGACCTTTGCAATGCCATATACCTTGGAATACACATCCACAATCGAGTCACGCCTCTCAGACCTACGTTTCTCCAAGGATGGAGGCCTTGGCTCATAGGTAGCAGGTTGACGGGGCGGAGGAACGTAGGTAGTTTGAGGGAGGATATAGTTCTCGTCATAGCTATCGTCAGAGTTGATGGAAGAGGTTGAAGACATCTCCAAAACGCCACACAGCGAAGACTCTAGCTCTGGTGTTGTATTCCGACAGAAAATACTGAAACTGTGGCATTCAAGAGAAAGAGAAGAGTGTATGTTGAACTAGATTGTTGTACAGTGTTTTTCCCCAATGAAGAGCGATGAGAAATTGATATCAAGAAGGACTGTGGAAAGAAAGGCTGGCAGCTCTGAGAGAGAAATAAACCCATTCCCCCCTACAATACCCATTCTTACGAAGTTCAATGGAGACGGCTGGCATTCTTTGCTGTGTGAATTGGGTAATTCCGCTGATTCACCTCGCACTACATGGTCACTGCCCAAGTGCCAAATATGACCTGCACCATTATTTTCTCTTCACGCACTTCTGGCGGCGTTGTATTCCTTTGATATTATATTCAAATAAAGCTCAGAGGAGCCACCAACATATCGTTTTGTTATGACTTATATTTTGTCACTATATGGATTTTTCTCAACCAGCTTCATATTCTCGAGGACTCGGTCGACGAGGTGTCTGGGCAGGTATACAGTTGCTCGTGCGCAGGTATGCAAAGGGAGGGGGAAGGGGGGCTACACCCGCCTTGTGTTGTCAACCTCCCATTTCCTGCCACTTTTCGATGAACTTCCCGGTTTTGCTCAAGGAAATGTTCAAAATTTTTCTTTGCTAGCGCATAAGCCCCATTCTGCGTTACAATTATACGCATTATATTGCCTTCTTGGGTATTTTGGGTGGCTGGCAGATCCCCTGCCTCTTGTCTGGAAACTTCCATCGATTTTTTCGATGTCTACGAAAGCTTCACTATAGAGTCAACTTCACGTGCTCCTTGCTCTCATAAGTTTCTTGACCTTATGGCAAATGATAGCAATGATACTTGATGAGAGCAGAATGCCGGATGTATGAGAACTACGATGTTTTAAACAGTGCGTAGGGAGCCTAGGAAACCCCTTCTACTATATTGCTATACCAGCTGGGCCAATATGGTTGTGTATATGCGAGCGAGGATCCGTGATAGTTTGTCAACGCGCTTCATACGAATCGTGATCCTTATTCTATATTTAAAAAGACATGGAGTGTTAAATATCCTATCCTTGAACTCGGAACGTCCTTCCGCTCGCTGTCTTCCTTTCCCTTTCTTCATTTTCGGGTCGAGCACGGTTAAGCACTATTCGTTCAGTTAGTTATTGTAGTGGTATTGTATTTGCATTATCAGCTTCAATTGATTACCTTGGAGGAAGTCCGCAGTCCGTTTTCGCATACGAGTGTGGATATATGCCTAGGACCAAAGCGTGAGAAATTCAGTATTCAATATCTATGCACTAGACACTAACCTTTGAGGCTTTGATGTGATAGTGGAAGTAGTCCCGGAAAGTTTGTATGTGAGAAATTGTTTCAGCACGCTTTTGGGGCAGGAGATGTCGAGGATAGAGAACTTGATTGACAGTCAGCGGTAGGTTAAGTCAATAATAGCGCTGGAAACTGACTGAAGGTGATATAGCCAATTTCACCATTCTGAGCATTTTTCAGACCAGGTATTCCTTGCAATTCTAGAGGTGGATCATGTCGGAATAGAACTTGAGGGGCATTGGTTATCGCTCTCCTTCGAACGTCAACGAGCTCCTAATAATATCCAGTAAGTAGAGGTCAATGAGTGGAGCTGGTTGGTAGCGTGCCTGTAAAAAGACCTTTCCAAAAATCCTATCAGTCTCATCTCTGAAGACCGTGCTAAAAATGACGGCTACACTATCGTGGTAGGCTTTGATAAAAATGGCCTCTTCTTCCCGGTAATGAATCGTCATCACATCTCCTCCGTCTTTGACTCGCTGTGGTATAGATTCAGTTGTGTACTTGACGGCCTCCGCTTCCAAATTTGAGTATTCGGTGAATGCTCGCTCAAACGGCGCAGCCATGGCATTCCTTTTTAGTAGCGAAATCCGGCTAACTAGTTCCTCCCGTGCCTCAGGCTCTGACGGAAGATTCTCAAGATCTATAAGAATGGAAAAATCATATCCGGCTTCGGGGGAGACGATGTAAGGCCCATATTCTCTCTCGAGGACCTCCTGCGCACCATATTGTACCAATTCGCGAAAGCATTTCACAGAGATAGAGATGAGGATTTTGGTTTTGGATTCGGGTGTAGAGACATGGAATGCAACGCCGTCAAAATCAGAGACTACCTGATCGATGTATGCTGGAGGCGCTCTGTGGTATAAGTTAGTCGTAGCTTGAAGACTGTAGGCTACTGCCAGACAAGCTGGCGGGGAACAGACTCACCCAGAAAACCGCTCAGTGAGAAGCGATTGGAGAAGGACGTTCTGGTAATCTAGAAGAAGCATGATGGCAAATGCATCCGCATCACAAAACGAAGCAAGTTCTGGGTGGTTAGTCCAATGGAGATTGTAGATGCGGGCAACTGTGTGTCGGGCTCCTCGTCGTCATTCCGCGTTGATAGTACGGCGTGCTCTCTGCCAAGATGGTGCGTTACGGTCGCCGGAGTGCTCATCTTTGAAAGTTTAATTCATTTTCTTTTTATCGCGTGGGAGCGCGTGGATCGAGAAATTGCGCGGTTTCTGCGACGGAGGGAAGAAAAGATGGTTAAGTCATATTTGTAAGTATGCACAAGAACTACAATGGCTTTGAAGCCTGCTAATGAGACAATTTCATGTATGCAGAAAGTTCGAAGCATTAAAAACCTTTGGCCTGGTCACTTCTGCCAGCTCAAATATAGTCTGGATAAATGACGAAGGCGGTCTAAGGGGCTCCAGCCATACAAGTGCTGGACGAGCTGTTGTTGGGGTTGGTGAAGAGGTCGCATGCTGGGATATAAAGAAGGGCGAACTACTTGCTAAATGGCACGATTCTGAATGCAGTGCGCAAGTTACTTGTATTGCGCAGAGCAAAGCCGATGAAGATATTTTTGCAGTCGGGTACGAATTGCTCTTACTGAATATTTGGATAGTGGTTCTGATGTTCATGGCAGGTACGAGGACGGTACAATCAGGCTATGGGATTCTAGGCTCGGCACCATGATTATTTCATTCAATGGCCATAAAACCGCTGTCACTCAGGTGACATTCGATCACGGAGGCGCACGACTGGCAAGTGGCTCAAAGGATACGAATATCATTATCTGGGACCTAATTGCAGAGGTTGGACTTATCAAGCTGCGGGGGCATACTGGCCAGATAACGTCACTCCACTTTCTGTCGAGCTCTGATAGTGAGGATGAAGCGGTTGAGTTGCAGTGCGAGCACGAGCAAGAACAATTTCTATTAAGTACAGGAAAAGATTCACTTATCAAGGTTTGGGATTTGTCCTCTCAACATTGTATCGAGACTCATATTGCTCAAAGCAATGGAGAGTGTTGGGGTCTAGGCCTAGCCCCCGATCGAAGTGGGTGCATTACTGCAGGCAATGAAGGAGAACTCAGAGTGTGGGCGATAGATGCGAGTGCTATGAGAGAAATTGCTCAAGAAAAGGAGGGCGTTAATACACGAAAGATCTTAGTGGATAGAGGAAACTTATATCGCCAGGGAAAAGATAGAAGCATCGGTGTACATTTTCACCCGCGTCACGATTACATTGCGGTTCACGGCTCTGAGAAATCAGTTGAAATTATGCGTATCCGAGGCGAGAAGGAAATTCTAAAAAGTCTAGCCAGAAAACGGAAGAGGAGAAAGGAAAAAGGTGGGAACCCGGCAGAAGAAGACGATAAACCCACTGGGGATGTCCCAATCTCACTTGCGTCAGTTCCGATTACCGAAGTTTTTGTGACGCATGCGATTGTAAGGACTGGGGGAAAGATTCGTTCTGTTGACTGGATGAGTGGAAAGGGGCTTCAGTTACTTGCTGCTACCAGCAATAATCAGTTGGAGACCTACAATATTGTCACGGCTGAAAAGAAGAAAAAAGAAGCCGAGGATGTGGATTATAATCGGGCGCTCTCTGTGGAAATCCCTGGCCATCGAACAGACGTACGTTCGCTGGCTCTCAGTTCAGATGATAGGATGTTGGCGTCGGCGTCTAGTGGAAATTTGAAAGTTTGGAACGTTCGCACCCAGACATGTCTTCGAACATTAGAGTGTGGATACGCTCTTTGCTCCACTTTCCTTCCTGGAGACAAGATCGTTGTGGTGGGTAATAAGAACGGAGAATTGGAAGTTTTTGACATTGCCTCGTCTACTTTACTTGATACAATCAAGGCCCATGATGGACCTGTATGGGCGCTGCATGTTCATCCTGACGGCAAGTCTATGGTCACTGGTAGCGCCGACAAAACCGCAAAGTTCTGGAGATTCGAAGTTGTGCAGGAAGAGATTCTAGGCACCAAACGTACCACACCAAAGCTCAAGCTGGTGCACACGAGAACCCTCAAAGTAAGCGATGATATTTTAAGCTTGAAGTTCTCTCCAGACGCCCGGCTACTCGCAGTTTCTCTCTTAGACAACACTGTTAAGGTCTTCTTTGTTGATACCTTGAACCTATTCTTGAACTTATATGGCCACAAACTCCCTGTCCTTAACATGGACATTTCATACGACAGCAGATTAATAGTTACATGCTCGGCTGACAAAAATGTGCGACTCTGGGGCCTTGATTTTGGAGATTGCCATAAAGCGTTCTTCGCACATCAAGACAGCATCATGGCTGTTGCATTTATGCCTCACAACAAGGAAGGAGACGGACACAACTTTTTCAGCGCAAGTAAAGATCGATTGATAAAATACTGGGATGGTGACAAGTTTGAACAGATCCAAAAACTTGAAGGCCACCATGGAGAAATCTGGTCGCTAATAATAAGTCATTCGGGAGACTTTATCGTCACCGCAAGCCATGATAAAAGTATTCGAATTTGGCAACAAACAGAAGAACAGATTTTTCTCGAAGAGGAGAGAGAAAAGGAATTGGAAGAATTATATGAACAAAACCTCGCAGATTCCTTAGATCGAGAAGAAGCCATTGAAGGGGAGGATAGGGCGGAAGCTGTTGCTGCTGGTAAGCAAACTATAGAAACCCTGACGGCTGGAGAGCGGATAATCGAAGCTCTTGAACTCGGAATGGAGGATCTTGAGTTAATGCAAGAGTACAATGAGAGGAAGGCTTCCAACCCCAAAGTTGCCTATCCATCTCGCAACCCCCTCTATCTTGCCTATGGCAACATCTCGGCGGAAAAGTATCTTCTCAATACCGTCAAAAAAATCCCATCTGCTTCCCTACAAGATGCCCTTCTTGTTCTTTCATTTTCCAAACTTCCTGCGCTTTTCACATTTTTGAACCTTTGGGCAACTAAGGAGTGGGACATTCCTTTAACATGCCGCATACTCTTCTTCATTCTCAAGACTCATCATCGACAAATAGTGGCAAGCAAGATGATGAGACCAATGCTCGATGGCATCCGACAGAGCCTGCGAGCCGTACTTTCGAAGCAAAAGGACGAGATGGGCTATAACCTAGCTGCGTTGCAATTCATCGGTGGTCAAGTACGAGATAAGGGCAAATCGGACTATGTTGACGAGGAACTGTGGGAGCAAGAAGAGCGGCAGCAACAAGGTGTGAAGAAGCGACAGTTTATAACTGTTGCATGAAGCCATCATACATAGTATTCTAGCAGCATGGGCATGATATGGAAAAGTTTGTTGGTATCTGGGAGTTGAAGGGATTTTACCATGGTGTTTTAGGCTTAGACATTTATTGTATTGTATGTGGTGCTATGCACGATTTTGGGACATACGATTATCGATATGCCATTATATAAAGAGGGTTTGGACAGTAGAATTAAATAGAATGTGCTAAGATGACAGGATGAAAATTTACTACAAAGAGTAGTAGACCCAGCTGGGATACAAATGCTGGTTCAGTGATTACATGTCTTTGCTAGAAGTCAAAAGTTCTGGTTGAATTCTGGGAAGTGTCATATGGTGCATCGAGACCTTGTACAGTGCCTAAACAGAGCCAGGTAGCTCCAACGCGAGAATGTTAGTATTCATTGCCAATAAACGAGCTTGTAGTGGAAGCGAACAACGATTATGCAAAACAAGGACGTGCAGGCAAAGTAAAACATCTGCATCACAAGTCGAATCCGAGAAAAGCACCCGGAACGAACGAGGCAGCGAAATACGATGCCTTCCTTCCTCGATATAAACATAAACATCAGTGAAACCCGTTCTAAGCACCGACAACAGTCCCATCCCTCCAGGCAAAATGGCTATGCATCAATACAATCCGCAGAAGAGGGGAAAAGAGGAACAGTTCCAGTATCAAGATGCATATGACGATACATCTGGGCTAAAGCCGTTCGTTTTTCCATCTCTGCGGGGAGTCCTAACACATAATTGCCTGGAAGTTTTCCCTAAACAGGGGCTGATGGGCTGCCATTCCTCTTCCGGCTCTTCCTAAAGAAATTGGGTCTTGGTAGGTCATCATGTAACCGCGATTGGGACGCGGTGGGCTGGGTGCAAGATATCGAATATAATGATCATTCGGAAATGAGGGACTTACTTCAAGCTAGGAGCAAAGACGGACATGCATTATATATGGTTTTGTGTATTAAAATGCCACTAAAGGTGAAGTTTACTGCGTACGGAGAGAAAAAAAAAAAGAGCATTTGGCGTCGAGGTTTCGGTGAGATTGTTTTTCCGTCCAAGCTCGCCCAAAACCCACACACACACACACAGATCGAAACAAAAAATCAAAAAGGAAGCCGAACGCGGGGGTCGAACCCGCAGCCTTGTGGTGATCTACGGATCCTATGAAAGTCTCATAAGAGCCACACGCTCTACCGATTGAGCTAGCCCGGCTACTTGATGTCTACCGAAATCCTCCTGTATCATATAGCCTTTGAATCAAGACTCCTAAGCTAAAAACCGAAGCTCACCTGCTAAAACCACACTGAACCTATCATCAGAACCTAAATAACATTGTCTCAAACAACGAGAACATCTATCCAGAAGGGTATCATAAATCTTAAGACCGTAAATAGGAATATCATGATGGCGATGCTTTTAGCGAACCGCAAGACGAACAGGCCCACCACTCGCGGTCCCTAAACTTTGCGCATCTGTGACAACCCCATTCGCTTGGCTCGGGGATTCCAGTATATGCAGAATCGTTTTGGGATTTCTGCGATTTGCTCCGCTGATAGCTATCAGAAAAATCACCAGAGTGAACGATGCGACGCTTTTGACCAGGGGCCAGGCTATCAGAAGAAGCAACATCAACAACTGTAGGTCTTTCCTGGCCGCACGCCTCACAGCATAAGAACATCGGCGGGTTAGCTAGGGTGCATCGCGGACAACTCCAAGCATAGCCATACGCATCGTCCTCGATTCTTCCTGGCTGCGGAGCGGGAAAATCATGGGAGCAGGCACTCTGGGGGGCCGATACTTGTTTGGCAGATTGCGGGCCAACAGGGTTAGCAGCGCTAGGGGGGATATATGAATTCCCATAACGTTCCTTTCCTTCTTGCTGAATCAGGTCGATGAAGGACTGTATTATTGCACGATCATTTGCATCGTCTTCTTCTGCTTGTGTTTTGAATCCATTTCGCAAGGCCTCTTCTGCTAGACTTTGGCCTGCCTGGGTACCGCTTGCACAGCCTTCGTTTATCTTTCTACGTTTTTCTGCAGCATCCGTAATGAGTTTTCTCATGTCCATATTTCCCCAAGCAGGGGTGCCTCCTAGCTTTTGGCCAGGTACAGTGGTAAAAACACTGGGTCTCTTCCCGGTAGCTGCCGGCGGCGCAGAGATTGCGGCGATCCTTCGGGTCGCATCAAATGGTGCTTCTCGACCACCGAGTCGCCTTCCTTCGGAGAGGAAGCCTTCCCCAGTATAGCCATTTCGAATGAGCCGTTCACATTCCAGTCGGAGTTGATTCCAAAGAGCATGAAACTTTGCATTGTGCTCGCCATGAACAATATGGCACAATCTAGAGGAAATATTAGCCTCCAACTAACCTATAAAACCAAATAAAACGGACTCATGAAGCATCGTATCAACTATTTCCTCATAGGGAAGAAACACCCGTTCATCATAGTGTTGCCTGAGACGGAGACAAATCTTTTCGCCATGGTTGACATTCAATCCCAATAACCTAGCAGTTGAAGGATAGAACTCTGAGAGTGTGTGGACCTTCCACGAGCGTTGACGCATAATAGGTTTGACCAAAGAAGCGACTCTACGCAAAAGCGTCAAAGCTTCTGCCTCCTTGGCCCTGTGTTTGTGATGTTGATATATGAGGAAAAACTGGTCGGTTCCCTTCGCGCCAGGGGGCAATTTGTAGTAGAATTTTGGGGCCATCGCAAGGCATACAAGGCAGGAGACACAGTGAAAAGAGAGTTATATGAACGCCAAAATCTTGGAAGCAAGATATTCGATTTTGGCAGGTAGAAGCATAAATGAGTGGGGCGCAGGCTGCTGCAATTCAAATAACAGTGCGGCAGGATTCTCATCACGGCGGTTACAACAGTTAGGGGACCTCATGAGAATTTTGACTGATGACAACCGTCATCTCATCTTCACTGGCGCCAGCGGCTCTCTAACCGCCGCCCGATGCCCAGCCAAACAGCGTGTTGATATCACAGGGCATTGCGATAGCTGACATAAGCCTATGCCAAGATATCGAGTGGCAAATCACATCATCGCCGAGAATCTGCAGGCGAGCAGACTCAAGAGATAGCTGCCTGCTCGGCACTCTGCAATGAGGACGGAATAACACCCTTTGGTACAGCATGACAAGTGACGATGAGTTTTTCTTTGACTATGTAAGTTGTGCTACCAGTTTCCTATGTGTCGGAGTCTAGCACGCTAACAGCTCTAGAAGCTGTCCTGGATCCCTAACGACGTAAAACGGTACTCCACCCAGGTCGCAAGCTCTATCGATTACCATGTAGATCGTGCAGCAGCAAATGTGCGCGATGTGTTTTCCCGACAAACCTGGCTTCCAACTACTCTTCGACCTCATCCAAGAACCAGTCATTCTTTTCCGCAACCTTTACCTCCAAGATCCATTTTAGATAAGGCCCATGCCTGGGTTCTAGAGAATCCCGCATGGGCAGCCGCAGGCCTAGCATTTATCGGCACCGGTGGCCTTTTGATATACGGCAATAAGAAATTAAATGTGAAAAAGCGGAAAGCAAGGCGCGCAAGCAACGGTGCCCGAAAAGAGATAGTCGGTAGGGCTCCATCCACCCGCTCAGCAGGATTCTGTCCAAAAGATTTGCTAACCTCCGTATAGTCGTTGCGGGCTCAGCGCATGAGGCAATTACGAGGTCTATTGCCTGCGATCTTGAACGGAGAGGCTTTATTGTTTTTGTTACAGTCACATCCTCCGACGAGGAACACGTAGTCGAAAATGAGGCCCGCCAGGATATTCGGCCCCTATGGCTGGATTTAGCTAACGTATGTTACTGCCTCTTAATTATATGTATAAATCCTCTAACACGGACAATAGACACCGTCAGAGCCATCCGAAATACACCCTTCGCTATACGTTATCCAATCGTTAATCACAAATCCCCAAGCCCCAATGCCAGGAGTTCCACCCCATACTTGTCATCTAACTGGACTTGTCCTGGTGCCTTCTATAAAATATCCCGTTGGCCCTGTTGCTACTATCCCAGCATCCAACTGGGCGGACACCATTCATACCCGTCTTTTGTACCCAATACTTACAACCCAATTGTTTCTACCCCTTTTTACCCTAAAAAGCAACAACAGCTCTATTGTTGTAATAACACCATCTATTCAATCGTCCCTCTCTTCCCCTTTCGCTAGCCCTGAAGTTGCCGTAACAAAGGCTCTCTCTGGTTTTGCAACAAGTTTACGACAAGAATTACGTCTTTTAGAAAATGGCACCGGCTCCATTGATGTTATCGAGCTGAAGCTAGGTAACTTCGATTTTGGACGGTTTCGCGACTCTAATTGCCAGAACAAAGGCACTGAAGTCCTTACTTGGCAACCTCAGCACCGTGCACTATACGGCTCACCGTATCTAGCAAGCCTGGATCACCGCACTAGGCGACTAGGAAATTTCTACGGAACACCTGCAAGGGAGTTGCATCTTGCGGTTTTTGATGCCCTTCTTCCGCGCCAAAAGACATTTTTTGGAATACGGAAAAAGAAGCGCCAAGTTGTATATATTGGCCGCGGCTCTAGAACCTATGCTATCGTTGGGAACATTATCCCTGGCGTTTTGATTGGCTGGATGCTTGGGTTACGAACCGGGTCTACGATTTCTCCCGGCGATTCGATTTCTGATGAGGACAATGGGTATGGAAGCGAAATAGCCTAGGAAAACATACCTTAAACCCAAGGTATGCAGTAGGTATTTAATATATTTTCATCTCAAGATTGCCATCTGAATGCCTCACCAGAGCCTTATTAGGCTTCTACCATTCGCGTAGCCAAAATGTCGCTGGGTGTCATAAACAGATTTACCCGACGAATTAGTACAATGCTCACTGGTGTGTTCAACTTAATTCCAACCAAGGCGCGCTTTTGCAACATGATAGTACCTCGATCATACATCAAACGCTATCGGAGGGGTGGAAGATACTGAGTTCTCTCTATTAAAATACCGGAAGGCGTTGGCTATTCACATTTTATCGTGTCATACTTCTTGACAGCGCTATGGAGAATTTATTTTCAAGTGTTGTACATACATAAGTGCAAAGTACTAGGGGGATGACTTGTTTAAGAGCTTAGTTCTTCGAGAAATCAATCTCTGCTTCTCCGACGACATTCCCACCCACAACTGTTTTGAATTTCAGAACACCCTCCTTCGCCCCAAAATGCATCTCAATTTCAAAATGCAGTGCATAAACACGGACGCCATTCTGGTTGATTTTGGATTCAATAAAGGGCGAACTAATGTTTGAAACATCGGAAACAATGTTACCCACAATATTGACCCCTACACAAGTGTTAGTTTCGACTACAAATTGGCGTCATCCGTTTGCTACTAACTTTGGTGACTGGGATCTTGCGGCGCATCGTCCAGGCTGCAGGAATAGAGGCAGGTGGAGATTTTTGTAAACGGAACAGTGCTAGATCTATACAGTTCTACGCGTTGACATGTATTTTCCAAAACTTTTTCCCCCTGTAAGGAATTAGAATATTAGGTGCCCTAATAGATAGAGGTTACTGACCTTTTCTATCATCCAGTTCATTCTTGGTGGCCCAAATTTAGTTCCGTAAAATTCACAGAAAGTTGCTTTTGCCTCATCATCGACCCCCTTCCTGAAGGGAGCAACATAACAAAAACCATAATGACGACGACACCGCCGCGTGGTCGGACGCACACCTTCAAGGCCTCTCAAAACAGCACCTTTCACAATCGCGGCTTGTCTAAGGCATTTCGCTATTAGTGGTCGACCAGATCCGCGGGTTCGGAGTCTTACGGGTACTGAGGAACTATAAGTTGAATATCGCTCGTCGCGGTAAAATGCTGTTTCAAAGCTTTTCTCAAATACTCTGAATCGCCAAACCCACCAACCAAAATTATTTTCTAAAATGAGCATCAATAATCAGCTTACTGTTACAAGCTTATCAGGATAAAACTTACATTGATGACATCCTCTGCTGCATCAAGATTTGCTGCTCCAATTTGTTGAAGGACAAGTGCTTTTACCCGTTCTACAACCGGATCGAAGAGGTTGCAAACATCTTGCCTAAGAAAATAGTGAGTGGGAAGCTGCTAGCCTAGAAAAAAAAAAAGGATTATCATACTGGGAAATCTTGACTAGACGTTCGTCTTCATCGAAATATTTTGGTAGGGCGTCTTCAGTCGACATGTCTAGTGGTAATTCATATATTTCATCTCCCACTGTTGAATAACCAAAATCTTGTTTGATCCGCTCAAAGGCGTTCATGAATTCACTTCCAGGACCTTTTAATTTTAGAGGTAGTCGATCAAAGGCGTCCCCGAACCGTTTTGACATCAGTTTGTAAAATTCCCGGTCAATTGTGGTAGACCCGCATTTTGCACCTGTCAGATTTTAGCAACTTAGTTTATCAACAGTGCCTATCAATATATGTACGTATGTACCTGTTCCTGTACATAGCTCTTCAAAAGTGAGCCTTGGATAAACGCCTATGATCCTATACGTGGTAATATCCTAAGAATGTAAGCAGAAATATTTAAAACATAGGAAACCAGTAACTTATTACCACTGTACCCCCGCCACAATCACAAATCAAAATTCCATCGCCCTGTATTGGCGTTAGGCATTAAATAGATAGCTAATATAAAGTTTCACAGCTATGCATACCTCTTTAGGGCACATTAATGGGCCGGCAGACGCGCTGCGTTTGAGCGCAGCTAGTGCAGCAGCTTCCGGCTCTGTTATCATAAAAATCTGATCACCACGACGGGAAGCAAACCCAGCTTGCATAGCGGCTTCTCTAGTTGCACTTTGCGCCTCATCGGACCAGATGGCTGGCATGGTAAACCAGAATTCAAGAGGGGTAACTGCTAGAGTCTTTTCTGATATCTGCTTTTCAAGAATGTTTATTGTATGCTTATAGATAGCCTTCAAGAAGTCCCCAGCGACAGATACGGCGTCTTTGTTCTTCGGTAATCTTAGCACTGGCATACCAACCGCCGCCTGCAGGGCAAGTGTTTCGTCATCGAACTCTGCTGCTGGCCCATTCTTGTCAAGAAGCAGCTTAGTCCAGGAATAAGAGGTCATCCGAGGCTCTACTTGAAAGCCCCACTTGATATCTTGAATTTTGTAGTTTTCATCAGGATATGCGATCCGAGATGGAACTTTGAACACAGTCTCAGAGTGGCGACCGGTTCCAGGCCAACTGGTAATAACAACTATATCATCGATATCATTTTTGGCGGTAGTAACATAGGCAACCCCTTCAGGCCGTTGTATGAGCAAATAGCATATTGGACAAGGCGTGTTAGACAACACATGCACTTCACTTACCAGTAAATGTGGTTCCATAGTCCACTCCAACAATGATCTTATGGGCGTTAAAATAACCGCTTTCCTGAGTATTGGCCATGTCGAGGTGAATCCGACGCACAGTATATGTTGAGTAAAAGAGCAGTCAGCCGAAGGAGAAAAATGTCAGGAAAAATTTTCAGTCATGGACAGTCACAATGTTCTATACTCAAGGCGAGTTCCTTCATGTTTGTATGTTAATCTCGGATTTCGCCTCTAGGAATGTGGCATATGCGTATAATAAGTTGCCTCCTCTAAGATTTTCAAGACTCGAATTAGATATGAACCAGACGGGTAGATCTCAAACCAGGCGTGCCATGGGGCAATCATACAGTTCAGTTCTGGTTGGATATGACAATACACCGTCAGGAAATGTTTCGCAGTCTGAGTCAAGTTCGGGAAGCAATCCCAGCTGTCAGACGCAGCCTCAACAAGAAAAAGGGGGCCTTAGATATGAATTCAACTTGGCGATAAAAAAGCTCCAGCAGCAAGAACAAGAGCTGATCCAATGTTATCGCAGAGAGAAGCAAAATGAACATTATTTTGAGGTGAGTAGCAGACAGCTGAGATTCGATCCATGGCTGACGGGCTTCATCAAGCAAAAATTAATTGATGCAAAAAACGAATACACTCAGCAAGCCAAGCACCTGCAGTCGGAAAGCAAGCAATTAAAAGCCGAGCTAGAATTGCTTAGGTCCGAGCGGGAAGCGGATGCCGAAAAGGTTCGGATTGCACAAGAAAGCGCATTTCGAAATATGGGCGAGGGCAAGTGGGCACCGCAAGAAGACAGCGTTGTTCGTACTGAAATGAAAAAGTTTGAGGGAGTAGTAAGAGGATGGGCAAAGAAGCATGCAGGCGAAGAGTGTTCGGTTTTGGAGAATTTATCGCATCGCGATATCCAATGGTTGAACGAGGTATTAGAAGATGTGGTACAATTACATACGTTTTGCCGTGCAAGTCTGGACAAGCAAACCTGGAAGGATAAGACGCCGTTCCTTTTGGTCCAAGCCATCATCTCCAGGTGTGGATTTCGTGACGTATTTTTGCGGCCTTTCCATTTCTTGAGGTTGTATGATACAGCCCACGATGGTTATGTTGAGTCATGTTTTGCCCAAGATTTGCATGCTCTTTATGGGTTGTTCCAAGGGGGTAAGTCGCGCGTTACAATACCTCGTGTACAGAATCTGACTTCCCAGCAGATCATGAAGTGCAGGCCCATTCCTGGCGCTCTCAGACAGTTCGACTTTTAAGCTCATCAAATACTATTTTTCCACATGCGGGGCATCAGCGAGAGACTGCCTGCAAATGGCTTGCTTGCGCGATAATGAACGGGCCTATATCTCGAATTTGTCGCGAGGCTACCAGAGAAGAAAATGAGCTCAGAAGCGAGTCACTCGCTGGCCTTCTTCTAGATGCTAGCAACATATCCGCGGGTCTCTGGACACAGAGAAACAATATCAAATGCCTTTGGCTACATGATCTGGGCAAATTTCAGGTCAACTCGCCTTTCATGTCTGCACACCGCCTTCAGAAACTGGACGAAGGGGATACGCGACTGGATGGAAATGATATTTTGGCCGTGATCCAACCCGCAGTCCTGGCATTTGGAAGCAATGAAGGAGAAAATTACAAAGAGTGGAGGGTGTGGCTGAAGGCAATCGTGATTGTTGATGAATATGGAGGTACTGCCCAGGGGTAATTGACGGGATTTCATAGCAAAGCATTTGTGGAGGAGGCAGTTAGTTATTAGTTTGCCAGCGTTTGCTATTTCGCAATCGCAGGGCTTCATTCAGATTAGCAATTCTCATGAAGTGCGAGGAAATTCTTTCATACGGAGTAGAGTCAAGAAAACAATTGATTACGGATAGATGATAATCCGTACCGGGCCTGCTTTGAATCTGTGTTTCGCGGGCCTGATCCATCAAAATGGTAATAATATTAGTACATACATGCTATTCACTATGACCTGACTCCTGCTAGCTAAACTATCCAGTCACAATATATTACTAGGTTTCAAGACATGGGTTACAAACGCCGCTCGATATACCACTTAAATAAAATGTCCCCGGCCCAGCATTCCCGAAACCAATACTCCGTAGCTACTTAGGATCGATCACGCCCAACTCCATATTATTAGGTGTTTCTTGCTGCCTCGGCGTTGCGTATTTTACCTTATGGGATGTACGGCGCTGGCGACAGGGTATCAGAAACTTCATAAATAGCATCAAGCCGAGGGCGATGCCGAAAACTCCGAAGATATAGGCAGCGACCCGTCTTGAGTGCTCTCCATCTTCTCCTGGGTCAAGAAATGGATAGGGGTAAAATCCCTGGGTCGCATGCGAGACGTACGCAAGACCCACGTACAAGAGAAGGATAACAGTCACGAACGCAAAATGAAGCCATGGCGGAGCGGGGGTGTTCCCGTAGGTCAACTCCATTACTGAGAAGAAGCCAGGAAAGATGTGTTGAGAAATCTACATGTAGTTATGGATAATTAGCATGAGGGGCACGGCGGGGAGGATTCTTGGCCAGAATTAGGCAGGACGGAACAGCAGCACGCACATTTGACCAGGAGTCGAACTCGGAGGAAAACCATGTTCCTTTATACAGCAGCGGCCAGTACACAATGACGACTAAAGGTGGAAAAACCATGGCTGTTGTATGCAGCAAATAATGCATCGTACGGAAGCTTCGGGGCAGTTTGTCAAAGAACAGCGCCCGGCCTGTTGCAGCATACCCAAAAGTATGGACTGCGGCGGACAGGAAATAGAACGCCAGTCCCCAGTACGTCAAGTTTGTAAAGTAGCTGAATGAGCGTTCATTTTCCACTGTCCGACCATGGACCCCTCGCCAGCCGAACATGAAGAAGGTCGATACGAAAACATAGAAAGAGACGGTAGCACGGATAGCGGCTAAGATATACGGCCGAAAGCACCAGGACGTCTCGTACATGAACAAATGGTCGCACGACTTATCGGCGCCCATCAGCGCGTGGAAAGACCGCGCCATCTTGGTTGTCTCGACGACAAGTTACCAGCAACCGACACCAACGTCGTAGGTGCAAAAAGGGAGGAAAGAAAAAGAAAAGAGAGGGAAGGAAGAAGAAGAAGAAAAGATGGTGGCGGCGAGAAATGAGGACCGTGGATATAGGAATAGCTATGGGGGCGGGTGAACATTAAAACAGCCGCGCCATTCCTTTTACTGCAGTGACCAAAATGCGCTCGACGCCATGAGGGCAACACGCCAAAATCGTTGCTGGACGGTACATACAGTTTAGGGTTTTTTGATGGACTAAAGAGAATACGTGAGTTTAAAATAGCTTGTTTTTTCAAAGCATTGCACAAGGCGTGTTGCCCGTTGCGCGTCACACATATAACTATGTCTGTACCAAGTGCACCCGTCACACATGTCGAATGAAGCTCCAAAACGCCCTAAACCAGCTTTGCATCGATTTCATGTACCTGAAAGCAGCCGTATCCTGTCTTTGGAGTGGTCTTCTTGAAAAACTAACTAGCTTCTCCACTTGACTGCAGGCTAGGGCGCTTGATGGTAACTACTTGGCTTGAGATTTGGATGCATTAGTCGAACCTATTTTCGGGCAGCAAAGTGAAAGAGATACTCCGTAAATAGCGTTTTTGCGGCCCAGGCAAGCTACAAGACATATGATACAAATAAGGTAACACTCTTCAATATACACTTCTCCACGGTGTACTATGCGCATATAGATGATTGTATTTTAGGAAACCGTACTCCGGAAATGAGAGGTTTGCAAAGATTTTATTTAGCCTCCAGTAGTTCCAACCTGTGCTCTGTTGTGTAAGTTACTCCACACGATGGAGAACGTGTAAAACGGGCCCCGCCAGTCAGCGTAGAGGATGCCGACCCGCAGAGACCTGAAAGAAATATTCCCCGCAGAAAGGATTTGGACAGCTCGCACTTGAGAGTTTTGTATTATTATTCAGGGGTTAGACCTAATATGAATGACTTTCTCAGGTAACTCACAGATTCCGAAGTACCCTTCTAACTAGTGAGCGGGCAGCACAACATGTCCTCATCAATTAATGAAAAATGGCATTCCACCCTGATTTTGGGCCCTCAACGACGGCTGGCGGAACCAGAAGCCAGGGAAGCACATTTCTGATTACCGCTGATGGAGAATCCTTTGCCACACGTGGACACGAGGGCCCGGCACGTGATCGTCCTATAATTTCGGTTCGGAATAACTATAACTCCTCTTCAAATTTTGGAAGGACTGTTCGCACCTACCACTTCTCTATTTCAGTAGTTTGGTGATAGGTAGAATCTTTTTTTAATAGCATGCAGCTTTACAAGTTGCAGGAATATGCTTCTTCTTCAAATGTACTAAAGCTGCTTCTGTCATGCTCAGAGACAGTAGACTCACTATACCCGGAACTTATCCTAGCAAACAGATCCGACAAAGACTATGGCTGGAAGCATCAGCTGTTTACCTTTCTGCAATTATTGGTTTGAAACCTTTACCGAAACCCTCTGTAGACTGCGCGGGAATAATCCAGCGCAGATCCTATCAAGCTGGGGTAAAAATACTTTTCCTTGGACCGTCCGTGTCTATGACCCTGTCCTGTCGCTGAATATTGAACAAATAACACTGGGCTTCTTAGCGTATCAATTCTTGACCATGGATGCCTCTGGGCCCGGAATTTGACGCGTCGTGCTAGCAAGTCCATATTATGCATATTTGTGACACTTCAAGCCACAAACCTTTTAATCCAACATAACCTCATTATATATCGTTCGGGCGGAAACACTAGCAGTGTTTCTTCCTAGAATTGGCAGTAAAGAGGACTGACCCAAGAGGATACCCTGCTAGGCTGCTACACGCAAGCTCATTTCTCAGAAGATGTCACTTTATGAGAAAGTGCTTACCAGCTTGAATGGCCGCAGCGAACTATAGCTGCTATAAGCAACGCATCACCAATCGAGGCACATGGCCCAAATCTCCACTAGAGTTAGAGGAGCTTCGCAAAAATTGGCCCCTAAAAATTTCCAAGCGGTGGCTCTGGCTTCACAATTATAAACTGCACCTGCTCAAAGCAACATTCAACTTCGTATTCTGGTAATGTAAGCCCTATATGCCCCCTCATTCTTGATGGACTGTGGGTCACCTTTACCGTGACATGTTGCGAAAGTTTGCCCTGTACCGCTCGAATCGATATTGAATCCGGCTGGTCTGCGAGAGCTACGTTCAACACCGAACCGTGTGCGGAGTTACTAGTTCATAGACCAATTCTCAACTTTTGTGAGATTCTATACCATCCAATGAGAGGCTTCTAGGTGCAACTCCCGTCTTTGAAGCCACGCTACATGATAACAACCGGATCAAGTTTGGCCTTACAGTAATTTCATTGAGTGTATCCGTGAAGAAACCGATTTGTCGAGAACCCTATCCCGTCCCCCGTGAATTTCGATTGGCTTATCCAAGAAACAGGATTGTCAACATTATTGTACGACATGATAGGTTATCAAGATTCAAGCATGCTATCATCTTTAGTCTTTCTAGATGGTCTTCGAATACCAATTGTCATCCGTCTTGAGATGGTGTTGGAGCATCGTGGGGAGAATCAATATTTGATGATGGATGAAGAATCTCCTTTACTGGATGAACAAAATGCACCAAACCAACAAGCTACCAGGAATAAACAGCAGACGAAAAATGAAGATGAGAGACCGGGCTTCTTAGGAGTGGCTGCTCTTCTGCTAGGTGAGTTTCTCAAAGCGTTCTTGACTTCAAACTGGAATCTTACTAGATGTGAAGGGGCCTTTGTCGCTGGAGGAGACGAGTCAATGGTTATATCGACATATGGGTCCATAGCCTCTGATTTGCACCAACTATCCCGAGGGCCGTGGCTTGTGACTGGATATACACTGGGTTATTGTGTTGCCCTGCCAATTGTAAGTCCAATCGCTCAACATGCCTTGTCTGTGTGTTTAAAAAATGACCTCAAATACAGCATGTCTGATATTCTCTTTTAGTATGGAAGATTGAGCGACACGTATGGGAGAAAACGGCCGTTAATGGCTGCCTATTGTTTGTTCAATACTGGCTGCTTCTTCATGCACGTTTCTGTTTGATCTGATTTTAACTATATTGATAAAAAGAAACTGACGGATGCAGAGGTACCGCCACTTCAATCACTCAGGCTATCTTTGGGAGGGTATTTATGGGGCTTGGCTCGGCTGGAATGATGGCCTTGATTTCCATTATTATCACAGGTAAAGTAGCTTAAGGGGGTATGAGACCTACAATACTAACCTTTGAAATTAAAGACCTCGCAGGTATCCAGCAAATTGCGCTATACAGAAGTTATGTCAACGTAGTAAGTATTACAGGCCGAAGCCTTGGTCCTGCGCTCGGGGGATATCTAGTGGACACTGTGGGCTGGAGATGGTGAAGCTTCCCCCTTTTTCTTTTTTATATTCAATTGCTTATTTTCAAAATAGGTCGTTTCTTGGTCAAATTCCGCTTGCGACTGTGTGCGCAATTCTAGCGGCGTATTATATCCCCATCTGCACATCATTTCCACCAGATGTAGAGGGCGAAATCTCTAAAAATAGCAATCCTAGCCTTTCTTCTACTCTGCGTCGTATAGATTTCGCCGGCTTGTTTTTTCTAACACTGTCATTGTCTATTTTGCTATGGGTTTTGGACGTTGCGGGGCGTAAATTATACTGTGACGTTTATGATCTTTTGCGGTTTCTTGCCTGCGTTGTTGTGTTTATCGTTTTCCTTTTTATCGAGGCCTACTGGGCTAAGGAGCCATTGACCCCCATATGGATGATCGGACAAAATGGAATCGGGTTTCTGTTTCTCGTGCAAATCTTGCTTTCCTGGGGTCGTTTATCCGTGCGTTCCGTCTACCCGTCTCAATGCGTGTGAAAAGATTCCTAACCTCTATAGACTCTTACACACCTAGCATCATTTTATATTCGAACAAAGGATACGTCGAATGTGGTTGCGTCGACATATATCGTTCCGTCCAGCATCGGAACCGCGTTAGGGGGTTTGGTATCTGGCGTGATTATCAGCAGGTTAGTTTCGTTTATTTTACCTTTAACATAAAAATATACAAAATGAACCCCATTACAGAACCAAGACCTATAAAACCCTCTCTATCGGATCGTTGGCACTCGGCTGCCTGGCGTATATTGTGATAGCACTTCGCTGGGTCCACAAAACGAGTGCTTGGGAGGCACTATACGTGTTTCCTGCAGGGCTTTCATTTGGGCTAGTTCTTTCTGCTCAATTCGTTTGGCTATTAGCCAATGCCCCAAAATCTCATATATCAACCGCTGTGAGCAGCTACTATTTATGCCAGGAAGTAGGCATGGTGCTAGGTGTGGGCACATCAACGCTACTCATGCAACAGGATTTCTATCGAAGACTGTTCAGGTCCTTAGAGGGCGTGCCTCACAGGGAGGAGGTAGGATTTTCTGTTGTTGGACGGCTCTTGCCATTGAAACAACGTTCTGACATTAAACAACAGATTATTCAGGGAATCCTGGAGGACATGCATTTTTCACGGTCTTTGCCGGAAAAGATCCAAGCTGTTGTACGATCCGAATATTCGCAGAGCTTTCAGCTCATGCCCAGTGAGTGTAATACATGCGGTGCCACAACATGACAATGCTTATGCTGATCATCGTACTGTTCTGTCTTTCTGCATGACATTTTTAGCGGTCCCGATTGTTATGCACCTTCGGGAAAAGCCTCTAGCATGAGCAACGACCTAGTCTCACATGGTAACAGAGACCAATCCCCGAAACCCTTTAAACGAAGATGCCACATTCTAGCTACCTCTACGCATCACATAATTTATATGCATGTATAATATCAGTAATTTGTTTTTGCGCGTGATTAATAAATGCTCTGTACAACTGGTGACAACTGGTCCGTATTCGGTATTGCATTTGTTTTCTGGCATGGATGGTAGTGCTACTCTGAATATTTGGTGCAAGGGCATAACTTCTCAGACCCGGAAGCCAAAACATCATAACCCGCACACATATTATTATGCTACCCACATGGAATGAAGCAGACTACCTACACGTGTATTCAGGTAAAACGAAATTTCAACGCAGCACATCTCGCATTCCAATATGAATGCTAAACTCAGTATACTCCCGACTTCGTCTCTGGTCGCAGAGAATACACAATACACCTCCTATCCATAGTACCATCCGCTATCTGCCCAATTCGATAAGGAGCACTTTTGAACTTCCCATCCGATAGCTTCTCCAAGCAGTTTCCCACGTTCACAATGGCATGTCCCTCTGGTGGCTGTATAAGGCTCCAGCCGTCAGGATTGGCCTCATCTTGAATTTCTATTATCGGAGTGTTGCACAATCGCAAAGTGAGGGTGCCACCGTCTGTCTGCTCGGACGAAGGAACGATTTTATCAACAGTGGGGAAGCTCTCCATTTTCAAGCCGGAGGCTGACGGGTATCGATCATTATGGAGAGTGTTTGGTGAAGGTATATCGGGGAACTCTTCACATAAAGAGGCAGACAGGCTTTCTATGAGCTTTTCCATGACGGCTTGCGACATGTGCATAAACTCATAGACGGCCACGTCGTCTAGAGGCTTGGGGAATTTTCCCGGGGCATACATGCCCAGGCTGTCAAAGGGAATTTCGAAGGTTTCACGGTCTGGCTGGCTGTGGTAGCCACTCTCGATGGAAGGGCCAACAAGGCTCTCTAGTTTCACTTCCATTGGATGGTTGAAATACTCTTTGTGAAATTTGTACATCTTCTTCAATAGCTGGAGGTAGCCGTATCCGTGGTAGAACAAAGCCGTGTCTCTCATGTCGAGGCAGAAGATGCCCTTGGTGCGACAGGCGGTGTACAATTTCGCGATATCCTCCTCCCGGCCGATCAAAACACCGATGTAATCGACGGTTTCGAGGGAGGCTAGCTGGACCTCGTTTCCGTTGATGACGGTCGTGACGGACGACGATGCCATTGCGACGTGTGGATGGGTACGAAGCCGACAACAAAGCTGGACAATGAATTCACTGATTAACTAGTTAATGGGCCCCCAGCGTCTTCTCCTGACGGCTCGCAGAAGGCGAATCAAGGGGTTTATATGGACATTGGCAACGCTGGTCCGCCTGTTTGGCGGAGCAAGGAGCAGAGAAAGAAGATGCACGCCCACGCAGATCGACGAGCGGTGCGATGCCAATCACAGCTGGTGATGGGAGGGGGACTCTGCATGCTGCATGCACCGCGACAAGAAGCCAACGGCGGGGGGGGTCGACGCCCGCCAACGGGCGGGTTGATACCTGACACCGCACGAGTGGACGCATCACAAACCCCCGGCTGGCGTGCGACGCAGCCACTCTGTCTGCCTCCAGCCGTTTCCGGCTTTCCCTGCCCGTCCGAATTGCAACTGCTGGCCTGCCCGCCCCCCCCTTCTCTGCCCGCGCTGCTTCCAGCTCCGTCTCAGCACGGCGGTCGATAGTCGCGCCCTGACACCCTCGAAGGTGTTGTTGTTGTTGTTGTTGCCAGCGCGCATCCCGGCGGCGCCGAGGCCGCCTCGCTGCCAGCACCGGGGGCGACGCGGTGTATGATGGCGTTGCGGTCGAGCCCAGCAGGGACGAGCACCGCAAGGCTCCGTCGCTGAATACCCGGCGGGATGCCGATGGAGGGATTGACGGCGCTCTGGATGCTGTGTCGTTTCTGCTCTCGTCCGCCCACAGATCGAGTTCGGATTACAATTGTCGTTGGAGGCTGCACGCCGCGTTGATCCCTGCACCGCCCTCAAAACACCGCCCGATGCTCCCAGAAACGTCCGTCTGCAGCCACCGGAGCGCCGCCAACGTCGCGGCCAGCGTGGTGAGGAGCGAACAGGAGTGCTCAAGTAACAGACCGTGCATGCTAAACCTACTAGTCAACTAGTGACTGACTCGGGCCTGTTGTTGGCGCGCCGGGAGGTTTAACCACTGCCCGCTTTCGGCAGCTGGCTGAGGCCCCAACCAGCACTCCGTACTCGCCCACAGCTACCTGGCTATCGGCTATCAAGAGACATATACTCCGTACCCTGGAGACCATTTATCAACTGCAGGCATTGAGCGTTCTGTTCTGGGCCAAGCGGTCCGTGGCCTTCTCGCTGGCCCTCATTAGCGAGCCCGGCATCCTACTGCCTCCTCCCCAAAACCCGGTCTCCCCTCAGCGGAACAAAATTGCTCTGTGCGGCCTTTACCAGACTTCGTTGCATGACCAAGACGCGTATTGGGCGCACCATGCCATTAATGGACCAGCCCCCGTCCCCCTCACCGCGGGTGCTGAATCGAGGGTGACGAATTCATGCTGGCAGCAAGTCCTGTTTTTGAGGCGTAGGACGAATTGAACCGAAGGAATGGTTCCTTTTGGATATTGTAGACGCATGATCACCAGAAAGCTCCACTTTCGCAGAGAGTCCTCAAAAACGAGCCCAAGAGGCTGGTTGTACAGCTTCGAATGAACAAGGGTCCCTACTTGGTCGCTGTACATTCGTCAAATGGGCACGTTTTCTGCGTCTAGATATTATTAGGGAAATAACGGGCTTTGACAATCCCAGACCTGGTTCCGTCCTTTCTGCAAAACTAAAAGCCAGTATCAAAACACTCTTCGGCGGAAAAAAGGCAAACAAACTTAAAAGACATGGTGGTGCATCTTGCCAAGAGAAGTCGGGGATTGACTGGAACCCAGTCGTTGACTCGCTACTCCGTAGATGATCGGCCCATGTAAGGTATTTGGCCATAGTGATATCAACAAGCATATGTAGGGTGGATGTACACAAGAAGGGCTTGGGTAAGCGGGCTGCACTGAAGACTCCAGCTCGCATCGGGCAGCTTTGACTGCATCAAAATATTGTGAGGTATCACCTTTATGCAAAACTCGTCGAAAATACTCCGTAACATGAGAATACTTGGGCGACTGCATTGACAGGGTCAAGGAAACCTGTGCCAGGTTCGGAGAAAGCAGCCTCGGCAACGCAACAGGAGGTGGGAGGACAGATTGGGCTGTGCTCCGACCAAGCTCATGCCATGAAGGAAGGATTAGTATTATCCCGTGCGGAATTTCTTAAATGTCAAAGATCCTGACAGGAGGGAGGAGGGCGATGGATCAAAAAACAAAGTACGGAATAGTAGTAGGCAGTCCAACAGGCAAGCCGCCTGGGAAGCGGGGTATGGATTTTCCGCCCTAGAGGAGCTCCCGCCGGCCCGAAAGTATAATTTATCAAGACAGCACCAGACGAGGAACGACTTTGAGAACGAGGGTTGTCAGGGAAGGCTGTCAGGGAGTTCGCACGTACTGCAAAAGAGCTTGCACAATGCGTATAATAAAGGGATTATTGTACGGTAGGCTACACGGGTCACCGCCGCCCCTTCAAGCAAAGCTGGATCCTAAACGGATGATCCTTATAAGGAGTCAAAGCTTTGGAGCCCTTCTCTCATTGATATAAGTAGCATCAGACAATTTGTTCACAGGCTCAAAGACATTTACACAACGCAATGATTGCGTAGCGTTCAAAGAGATCTCGTTTGCAGGTGATGCCTACAACCAATAATAGCACCTCTCTTGACGTCCCCTTCCTGGCAATCATAGAGATCCAAACCCGTCACCAGCCTTCCATTGGCCTCTGGGAGATCGAATGCGTCTTCGCACACGCACACAACGCGGCTCTGCTCGAGGGACGCAAAACTTGCTTGTATGCTGGACCAACACACGTGGTGACGAGGTCGATTGGCAAAGTGGAGAGGCCTAGATTCCCCGAGACCTTGGCAACGGTCGCAGCAGCATCAGAGCGTCCGAAAGGCCCGGCGACAGAATGTCGGGCGAGCTATTAAAGGACGCAGCGCTATACTGGTCGGTTTGGAAGGCCATCTGGAGCAGAGGTCTCTGTGTTTGGGGATGGTGGTTTGGGCGAAGCTGGCAGGTTCGCCGGCCCGTCCGTGAGCTCAAACTCACAGTGGAGTTCTTGGGGTAACTATAACCAGCTATTTTTGGGAGTCAAGCAAATGTGTTGCAATGCAAAACACTCTGTCAAAAAACGGTGTCAGCGCTCGTCCTGGGCGTTCCGTGCAGTTCAAGACACACTTGCCTCTGCCGGGCAGTTCGCAAAAGAAAATCTAGTCATCCAGGAGGACGGAGGCTAGATATCTAGCCGGTGGGGGTGAAACTCCAGGAGACACAGGTACAGTGTTTTAAGCACGGTGTTGAGGGACCGTGAGCTGCTCAAATGCGGAATGCGCGTATCGACGCGACGAGCACGATGTAACCCTGGTTGAAGCCACAGTGGGCGTTCAGATGCAGGGATTACGGAGCCATAGGGAACACTGACAGTGCCTGTCTGGATCGATGGCGCCTATCCTTGTCACCTTGGGGAATTATTATTCGATTTAAGATTATTATCTTCGTGATTCTTCCTCACGCGGACACATCCCGGATGAGCAGCGCGGCATAATTGTCCAGTAGCAAGCGAGAGATGCGTAGCATCGAGGCACCAGCGCGAATTTAGCTTGATTTAATCTAGATCAAGCTCGTAGGCCGGGAAGGATTGGTGGGAGCTTCCTAGGCAAACCCAAGCACATGGCTTGCTGTCAAATGTGATAGATGCTGCATTTCTCCGCTGTCAGTTATAGTATTATAACGCCTGTCAATGTCTGGTCAACGGCCTGCCATTTGATCAATGGACCCGAGGGTAGAGTAGCTATTAAGACACAGCCGTCTCGTACACACGATCATGCACCCCTTCTGCGGCAATAAAGGCAGGGGAGAGGCAATAAATGGCCGCATCCAAGGGCACCAGACAGCGCGAATTTAGTCACAGAGAGTGGCATCGCACCGCAGCCCGGCTTGTTTATTCGCGGCAGCATGTCTGAAGTCGTCGACGAGCACGTTTTACCGCCCAGCAACCTGAGCCATCCACTGTGTTAGATTGATTCGAAGCTGAGACAGCGCGGGAAAACCGGTTCCTTGCCGGCGAGAGAGAGAGAGAGAGAGAGAGAGAGAGAGAGAGAGAGAGAGACCGGTCTGCGGCGGCCACGGCGAGCGAGCGCGACGCGGCTCCAATACGGGCCTGTGCGAGGCGGGCGTGATCAGAGAGCGATCGCGGCTGGACGGGCGAGCGCCGGGCAGGCAGAACTGCAGCCGTTATTGGGCGGCGCGCGAGATGAGCAGCGCAGTGATGGCGGCTTGGCTAGGCTGTTGTTTTGGCGCCCCTGAGATGCAACCCGCTAGCGATCTGGCGATGCGACCCGGTGGAGCGAAAGCAAATACAAAACATCCTCATGTCGACGCTTTCCCCCCTTCGCGCCTCCTGTCTGCCCGCTGCTGCGCCCATCGTGCATTTGGTTATAACCCGGCCGCCTGTCCTGCGAGCCTGCTGGCCTCTCTGCGGCCCGACCACCGTCCTCAGTAAGTTAACTAACTAGTTACTCCCATCCCATTGCTGATTTCAGTGCGTCAACTATCCACCCCGGCTCGGCCCCTGGATGTCCCCCCAAGACACTACGTTATTAGTTACAGCTTCGAGTTATTAATACTTAGGGCGCAGGCCAATTTAGTTCGTTGACTAGTTAGTTAACCTGCCCTTTCACGGCATCTCGCTCTCTATCGCCAATGTGCCCGATCCCTGCCTGTTGTTGCGAATCTGCACCAAACTCCGCGACCCTCTAACCGAACCCCGAGCGAAAATACTCCCAGCCCGGCGTTCTGTCGCTCGTTTTGTGATCTGTCCTTTCTTTCTTTCCTCTATACGCTCTCTTTTATGGCAAGCCATGACCAGTTGGGGCCGCGGACAAGCCCAGGCAAGATGAGTCCTGGCGACCACCTCTCTCCGTCGCAGCGTGTCGAGCACTTCGATGGAGAAGTTCCGCCGGCTCTCTCGCCCTTGGACGCCTTTGCGGCCCAGGGACGACTGCTGGCGAAGCAGTTCGATGAATCCAGGAAAGCTGGCCGCCGCATGAGCCGCATCCCGCCCGCAAGCGTTGCCCGATCGCTATCCCGCCCTCGCCCAGGCTACTTTCGCTCCGCCTCTCACGACGAACCTCGCGAGTTCCCACGAACCCCGATCAGCCCGGCCTTTCGCGATCGAAATCCAGAGGTGGAGGAGCCTAGGTTTAGGCCAAAGTCCCAGCACCCACGCCTGAGCGGTGTTCAGAGAGACTATGATGGTGTTGGCTTGAAGCCGTGGGAAAACCTCCTTGGGAGCCGTTCGGGCTCAGAGGAGAATATTGCTGGATCGCCAGACGACGAGAATTCTGCCCGCAATGCTATCGCAGGAGTACAGAAGTTGCGGTCTCCTGGAGCTGGAGCCAAAGCTCGACGAGGGCCCATTCAGAACTCCCCATCGAAATCGAAACCAAATACCCTTGCGCCCCCAATCTATCTGCCTAGATCGACGAGCAGCCCGGGAGGCATATCGCTCCCAGAAAGCTCTGACGACGACTATTATGGATACACCAGCTCCGCCGCTGGTTCTACATTCTCCAAGCCAAGAAAGCTCTCCTCGAGCAGCGGCATGTCGATGCCTCATTCACCAATGTCGAACTTCACTCGTGCGCAGCCACGCTCGCCCTCACCAGCCCTGGAGCAAGCCGGCACCCCCAATATACTTCCACGGCCCTCCTTCAATTTCTCCCGGCCGTTGAGTCGATCTAGCACAAGTGTCTCACTTCCATCCCCGCTAAGCCCAGAGATGGGCCCGACGGGAGAGCGACAGCTTCAAGCGTTGACTCGTGAGAATCGGCCTGCGCCTATCAGTGTCCTAAATCGCGCCGCTGAGATGGAAGATCTACCTCCCTCAGGAACATACACGTACGCTACCTTTACTTTGCCGCGCGGACGAGGCGTCTCGAGAGATTCGGTGATATTCTCCGGCCTCCAAACTCCGCATTTCGAATGGCAAGAGCCGCTCTTTGAATCTCCACCACCCAGCGTGTTCCGGGAGGACATTGGCCGAACGCCCTCTCCGCCGCCTCCACCCAGGCAAATTATCCAGCCGACCCTAAAGATCCAGAAGGCTCCCTCGATAAAATCATCTGCAGCACAGGAGCTCATACAAGATGTGCAAGCCCCAGCAATGCCACCGCGACACTCATTTGACGATGTGACCCAAGAGGTTCTGACAGTAAAATCGCCAGGAAATAACAACAGTAGCAAATTAAAAGCCAAGACCGTGGACCAGGATGATGCCAAATCTACTTCTGCAAACAGCGGAAGCACTATCAGACCGCATACAGGCCACAAACGGGGTAACTCTAACCTCAGTGATACTGGCCCCTCTCAGTTGACAGCAGAAGAACATGTTGCTAAAGGTATTGAGTGCCACGAGAACGGATCGCTGAAGGAATCAACGTATTATCTTCGACTCGCAGCACTCCAAAACCACCCCACGGGCATGCTGATGTACGCACTGGCGTGCCGACACGGATGGGGCATGCGGCCCAACCAGCAAGAAGGCGTCGAATGGCTGCGCAAGGCAGTGAATTCCGTCGCCGACATCACGCAAGAGCCCACGACGACGACGCTGAAACCCACAGGGAAAGCGTTAATAGAGCAAAAGGCCCGCCAGGCGCAGTTTGCGCTGAGCATCTACGAGCTGGGCGTCAGCCATCTTAATGGATGGGGCGTCGACCAGGATAAAACTCTGGCTCGACGGTGTTTTGAGATTGCCGGTCAGTGGGGGGACGCCGATGCCCTTGCGGAAGCGGGATATTGCTATGTTGAGGGTATCGGATGCAAAAAAGATCTGAAGAAGGCGGCCAAGTATTATCGAATGGCGGAGGCGAAGGGGATGAGTATGGTTGGGAATAGCTGGTATGTCGAACGGCATTATTTGCTTCGTTTATATTTAAGCGCGTGTCTTTTTTTTCTTTGGCTGACCGTGTGCTCTTCTGTCACAGGATATACAAAGATAAATACAAGAGTGACGACGAATCGGTACCACGCAACAAGAGTGTGAAGTCGGCGGCGGGCTCGGAGAAGAAGTCGCCACGAAGTAAATCTCGAACTCGATCTATCTTTGGCCGAAAGAAGTCGAGTGCTCACGACGGTTAACTAATTACCGCTCGTTCCGTTACCTGGAAAACAAAAAAGATTTTCTCTTTTGTCCTTTTTTAATTAATCGCCCGTTTTTTTCGCCTTTTTCGTCATACGAGCGTCAAATGACATCTCGATCCGTTAATTGCTTTCGATTCTTCCAAAGCTTTTTTTTTGCGCCGGCATTGGGACACTAGTTGAGCTGGTCCTTTTTGGCCTATTGTTTTAATCATTCGTTTCCAACCCTTGCATACACGCCTTGTATATTCTTTGCCATTCGCTTTCTTTTATTTGGGTCATATTCTGCATTGACGTACCTCCGCAGAGTGGAGATGATTTAATACTCACAAGTATCATGAGCAAGACCATGCCTTTCGAGTTTTCTATTCCTTTTTACCATGATATCCCTTATTATTTTTGTCGTTCAAAAACCTCCGGCCAGGAGACCTTTTTCCTCTATGCCTCTTACTGCCTTAGACGTTTCATCATGACTAGCTGGCTGTCTTCTTTATCCTTACCGTGACTCCTAATTTGCTTTTTGCGCCTGTGCTGCCCTGCACCAATTGCCTGAAAACTCTGTGTAACACCACCAAGAATAGAGGATGTTGTTCATCTAGGATTTAGGAATGGGATTCTTCCGTTTACTGTCATAGCTTCCTTCAGAAAAGTCGGTCTGAGATTAATTGTCGTTGGGTGGAAGACTTGGGAAGACGTGAGGGCTTGTCACCCATATTTGCCGTCGGCTCGGGCGGCGCTCGCGCGCGCACGCGTCCAACATGTGATAATTCATGCCCCATACGGAGTACCCCAGGGCGCTAGATTTAGCCATTCTGGGGTACGGAGACGCTGCCCACATGGGCAGTTTGGCGTTCTTTTTTTTCTCCCTCCAAAATCACCGAGTCGTCGCTGGAGGCGCGGTGAAGCAGGTGACCAGGCCGAAGCTTATACCAGGCCAGGGCTCCTTGACACGCGATCATCAGATGTAAATCTTTTAAGGGTCCTCATATAATTACAAGTATTGCGATTTGCACATGAACCCGTTATTTCACCGCCCACGCGTGTCAGACGGCCCCAACGCTGCCTACTATTATACTATTTTATTATTGCTTCTTGCTATTATTTCTTTGGGACCGAAGAAAAACCCAGACAAGTCCGAAGTCGGGTGTTGTCTGGGACGACTTGATTTCGTGTGGAAAAGCAATCAGTCTGCGACCCCGAAGAGCCGTCAGTTCCTGCAGCAGAGCCAATCATAGGGTGAGAAGAGATGATCAGCTTGTGGCAAAAAAGAAGGCTTTTTGTTCTCGAAAACCTTGCTTTCCAAAGCGCGTTTTTCGACCGGGGCCGTCGAGGGTCAAACGCGGTGGTGTTACAGAGTGTCCTGGGTCTGGCAGCATACGAAGGAGTTGGATGGGAATAACAACAACCATAGCTGAACTCGTATTATAGAGCGTCCATGTGTTGACTATTTAATTCTTTGTGGGGAGAGAGGGAGGATGCTGGCAAATCCAGGCGAGGCTAAAAGTTAGCAGTGAAGGTTGTAAGCGTTAGTTGCGAGTTACTAGTAGAGTAGTGAGTCAAGTAGGTGAGTCGGGAGCCTAGTTTACTAGCTAAAGTGGCCCATGCAAGCCCTTCACGCGTGGACATCCATGGCAACCCGGCGTTCGGAGCAGCCCGAGCGCAGCAGCAGCAGTCCGAGACAGCCACCACCGCGGTGAAGGCGTGTGAGTCTGGATGCGCCGACGAGTGGTGGCGAGAAGCGGTGTCGCCTGCCACAGCGCGTCTAGAGAGCAACGAGAGAGGAAGAGCAAAGAGCAATGCGGGCTGGTAACTCTTTTCGGCGGAACCAAGGCAGACCAGGCGAAGCCAAAAGGCGCCCTGAACCAGTGTTTCTCCCCTGCAATTTCACTTTCCGCTGGCCCTGCGCGGGTGCTGGCGAGTGCTGGGTGGCTTTTTGCTTTTTGCCCGGGCCTGTGGGAGCGGCGTGTCGATCTCGCCGGCCGAAACGCCATCGCGGTCGTTCATGTGTGAGTGAGCGAGTGTATTTTCACCAGGCGGCCGGAGTAGTGATACTCCAGAGTTGTACGGCGTAGAGTGGCATAGTTAACTGACTGCTATGCCCACGGAACACCGCCCGCTCTCTCTGATGCCCTCGCCCTCTCGCTCGCTCGCTGTCCGAGCACCAGCCCAGTCCAGGTCTCTGCTCTGCTTCTGCTCATCGCTCGCTGGGCCGCGGGTGATGGCCGCACCGGACATGTGAAGGGGTGTCCCGCATACCCCAAGCTCCCTCCCCAGACGACCCCAGCGCAAGCTCCATGCCCAAGACGCCGCTAGCCATGCGTGCCGGCTGCGAAAAACTCAACCCGGTGTGGGGAGGCCAGTCGGGGATCCGTGGATTTCAACCTGGATTCATTCGGCCATACTGCCTCGCGCGGTCGCTGGGCCGCCCGCCAGCACCGAGAAACGAGTAACGAGCTAGTTGGCGGCGGTTCTATCCTACGCCTTGGCAGCCATTTAATAATAATGTGATGGAGTCCGATCCTCTCGTGCCTGTCGATAAACCCGCTGTCTGTTCGCCTCCGTGCCGTGGGACGACATATCCCACTGTCGTATTTAATTCCCCGGGCCCCTCTGCCTCCCCCCGTCGCCCCCTCTGGCCTCCCTCTCTCTCTTCTTCCTTCCCCTTTTTACTCCCCTCTGCTTGTCAGTCGTCGTCTGTTGCTTGGTTCGTTTGGCGCTCTGTGCGACGTGGGTGCGCTGTCTCTCTACTCTAGGTATGCTCCCCGATATAGACCTGCCTCCACCTCAACTGTTTCACCTCCCCGGCTTCTCGCAGGTGAGAAGGTCGTTGTAGGGAAACATTGTTTCACTGGACTTTCGCCCTGCATCTCCGTGCCTCATCGGTGCCGTGTACGATTTGGACGTGGGCTGATTTACCAGCAGATCCCCAGCTCGTGTCAGACGGTCGCTACCAACCTTCATTGATTCTCCCTTGTTTGTGTGCGCTCTCTTTTTGGATATCTGGATACCCTTGCGCAAGAAACAAATAATTCATCATGTCGGACAATTTTGACAAGAATCATTCCGAGGCCGTTGAGCGGTCTGCTCCTCGCAGGAAGCGCGGCTGTATCGGCATCTGCAAGCGCTTCTGGTGGGTGTGCCTGATCATCTTGGTCATTGTTGTCCTTGTGGTCGTACTGCCAATGTGAGTGCCTGGCTTTTTTCCCCTCGTGGTTGTGCGCAGTCGTGCTGATATCAATACGAACAGCGTCTTCGTTGCCTACCCCCGGTTAGCCCAGCGCGACGTAAACCGATCCACTCTCGATGTCACAAACATGGATATCACCAACCCAGGCCCCGAGTCATTCCGTATCAAGTTGCGACAGGTCATCGGCACCAAGAGCGCATTCCACCCCAAGCTCGACGGCTTCCCCGCCCAAGTCTTCCTCGACGGCAGCTCGACAGCTTTCCTTCACCTTAATGTTCCCCCGGTCAAGGCCGTCAATGGAGCCGTCGCCGAAATCGAGGAGGACGTCAACATCCGCTCTGCTAATGCTTTTACTGACTTTGCCCTCGCTGTCATGAAGAAGGATAGTGTTGGTATGAAGATTTCGGGCAAAACTATGCTCAAGCTTGGTGCTCTGCGCAAGACTCCTGTCAACTATGACAAGGTTGTGACCCTGAAAGGCCTCAACGGCCTAAAGGGCTTCAATGTCACTCAGTTCTCCCTGATCCTTCCAGCTCGCGCAGACGGAACCAACATGCGAGGAAATGTCTTCATCCCCAACCCAAGCGTGATGGGCCTGACAATGGTAAGAGAGCTTCCCCTTCCAAGATCCTGCCCCTAAGACCTCCCGCTCATGTGGCTTCCCCCTTAGGGCAACCTCACCCTCAACCTCTCCGTCGACGGCCAGCCCATCGGACAGTCGTTCATGAACGACGTCGTCATTCGCCCCGGCGACAACAACATTGAAATGACCTCCAAAGTCAACCAGACCATCGTCATTGGCCTCATCGCCGGCCAAAATGCGAAATACAAGAATGGTATTCTCCCCATTGGAATCGTCGGCGAATCAGCCACGTACAATGGTAAGAATTTGCCATATTTCACTGAGGCATTGAAATCGAATACGCTCAATGTCGAATTAAATGTCGGTTCTGCATTGGGCGGATTGTCCGGAAGGAAATCCTAGGCCAAGTACACGGAGCCGTTTGAATACTTCTAGTAATATATTAAAGTAAAATACACGTACCTCTTTTTTTTTGGAATCGATTTGGATGCATATATCCCAGAGCATTCCTATGGCATTTTCCCTATAATTTTGCGGAACTCGGAGCTTTCTTTGCTTTTGCCTGCCGCTACTTTCTTTTTTGTCGGCCTGCTATCTATTTGAAGCATATGAATTGGAAACGCGTTACCGCCTGCTTGGTTTTTATGATATCCCCGAATAGTTGACAAATTGTTCCGATTCGAGTCAGCTTTTGCCTGGCAGCGTCCTGCCAGCTCTGTATGTTACAGACGTTTGAAGAACAGGATCTATGAATATACATGTAATATTTGGACGAAGAACAAAACAAACTTCTCTAAGCCGCAGGCATCTTAATTGAGCTCGGTTCTAGAGCAATGACAACAGCTTGGCCCACGTCGCGTCAAAGATCATGCAGCGCATTATACCCCGCAGCGACCAAACTCCTGTTCCCCGGCGCATCGCTGGCAATATGCCAGTAAAACAAGCCGCCCAGCTCCATCTCGCGCACATACGCCGCTTTCTGCCTAACAGTGGCCGTGGAATCATAAGACACAAACCCAACCTTATCACCCACACAGAATGCCGCACATGCACACTCATCGTGCATCTCCACACTCCCCGCAACAGGCAAGTCGCGATAATCCAACACGGTCTCCTCAGCCGCCCCGTCGCCGCCATGTGTTTGACCCGCGCGCGTCGTGCCTGGAAACGCGCGTCCGTACACAGGAACGCCCAGCAGGATCTTGCTCGCGGGCACGGCATGCGCTAGCGCGTAGGATACGCCCGAGTGGCACGAGAGCGTGGCTGCGTCACTGTGCGGGGCCGCGGGGGCGAAAAGTTGCGACTGGTGGCCGCTGTGCGGGACCCAGGGCCCCGAGAAGTCGTAGGTCATAAGATTGATGAAGTCGACGTAGCATTGCGCGTGCGCGAGATTGATATGTTGCAGGGCCCAAGCACCTGCTGGAAGCGCTGTGGTGAGTGTGTAGTGGGAGCATGGAAACTCGCTGCGGAGGAGGCGGAGGAGGTTGACGTAGTCTTCTCCTTGTTGGGAGTCGGAGGGGTGTTCCCAGTCGACTTTGTATAGAACTCGACGTTAGTGGTTTAATGTCATGGAGTATATTATCTGGTGGAGGGCAAGGAGGTCGTACTGTCTAGTCCATCGAGGTCGAATCGATCGACCAGATTTTTTGCACTGTATATAAAAGTGCGAAGCGCTATGGGGTCTTTGGCCACGGCAGCAAAATGTTGACTTCCAGTGCCCCCTCCGCCAATTGAGAGTAGCACCCTCATTCCTTTATGCTGCTCTTTCAGCTGTGTAAAGGCCCTGATACATCCTTGTGTGCCATCCACAGGCATCTGTTCGTCTGCCCACTCGTCACCGAGCTAATAAGACACCTCATCAGGTCCATTAGAGGAGGAGCTGGGAAGAGAAGAAACGCTCACTCTGACGGTCCCATCCGGATTCACCCTAAAGAACGAAGAAGAGACTTTAGCATTTCAGATACCATAGTACGGCTTGACACGCCATGTCATCAGCTAAAATGGGAAAGGTAGCTCAAAGCAGACAGCTCGATTTGTTTTCATACCATGCAAATGCATAAAACACATGACTCACAAACCCCAGCCGTAGCGAAGACGGCGGCTGGTCTTTGTAAATCCTCCAGCTTGGGTAATAGACAGCGTTGAAGTAGATGGAGATGTCACTTGGGACCATCATGGTGTCATATTGGCCGGAGGCACCGTTGATCCCCAAGGGCCACGGACCGTATGTAGGTCCGGTATATTTGAACATTCTGCATGGAGGACTGACTACGTCGTCAGAAATACAGTAAAGAGAAAGAAGCAAAAAGGCTGAGGGTTGCTCTGATGTTGTGAAGAGTAACAGCGAGCCTGAAAGAGGATGTGTAAAAAGGTGATACAGATTGGGCAGAAAGATTGTTTTGCTCGTAGGGAGGCAAGGCTTTTCCAAGGTACGAGCCACTTAAAAACTAAGAGAAAAGGCCCCACGAGAGATGCCTCATGAGCATGTTCTCTGTTCCACACCGTTGGACGTTGCTGTAAATTTGGCACGCGCCGGTTGGTAAGTTATCCAACAATGTACTCTGTACAGAGTACATCACCAGCCATCTGCCTATTTTTACTGATCTACTCCGTAGTTAGTTAACACAAACTCTGGCCATGACTTCCCAAATATGGAGTACAGAGTACAAAAAGTAAGAAGATACGAGAAGAAGAGCAAAAAGGCTTTGGAGCAGTTCACATTTGGCTGAATGACGGCAGAAAAAAAAAGGCAAAAACCGAACAAAACAGTTGGCGTCGATCAGCACAATTCCTCATCGCCGACTTAAACTCAGTGATGTGCAGGATTAGCAAGGGTTGCTTTTTTGACATGGCTCAGGGCCCATAGACTGTCCATTCAGAGATGCGAGGTGAACGGCGACTCAGGGGGCCACCACTAGTACTGACACTAGTTATTTCGAAAAGCTGATCCGCCAGGCCCTTGCCCGCTATTTTTCATCATTGAGAGATATCGGCTTCAGGCTAATGCTGTAGCGACTGGGGTTTATTATCTGGGGTTCAAATGATATTATGTGTGCTCGGTAGTTGTTCATCCTTTTTCCAAGCGGTTTAAACGCCTGGGCAAGACTACCAAGAGGGAATTACCCAAGATAGGTGAGCACTCCATATGAATAAGGGACCCAAAATACCCCGACCCTTTCAGAGAATTAGTTACTAGCTTCACATGCCGTGTGACTTCTACAACCCCAGCCATGCAAGCTATGCGCCGTGGCCAGGCGCAAAGAACCTATAGTATTGAAGCAATGGCAGCCCAAGCTGGGGCTCGAGAGAAATGGGGGGCCCTCTTACCAGGCCTCAACTCTCGGCGTACAGCCACAGTTCATGCCAAAAAAGAAAGATAGATGATCCTCAGATGTAATGGCAGCTTAAAGTTTGTTCAAATTGACAATCTTGAAGCCTTGACTGGAATAACTTTTGCGGTGGTGAGAGTTAAGTTAACCCCGAGGAAAACAATGACCTTGATTCCTCATTGCGTATAGTAGAGGTTGTGAGATGTGCGGACGAAAGGCCCGATGCCTGCGGTTTATCTGCTCTTTGATTTCTCCACCATCTGGACTAGCAAGGATTCCCCGATGTAATGGCTGCCACAAGGTGGGGGGAAAGCCTACTCCGTACCCGTGTCTTAAAACAGGTTTGTATATAAAATGGGGGACTGCACCATCTAGATGTAGCGCCCCAACAGACATATGCACCCAGTGGTCATGTGCATGCATAGTCCGTTCATATATCTGCCCGTGTTCTTGCGTAAGCCACGCGGCTCCATTGTTCCATTATCGTATCAATTAACCACAAAATGAAGGATTAGGTCACAATTACTGGCTATAGACTCGCATGTCAGTGAATGGAGCCATATAAGGGTGTAAAATCTCTAGCCAGGAGTCTGGCAATTCTAATTCCATCACCGAAAATACAACAAGAAATGGAGTGCATTTTCGCTCATGTCACGTTACAGCCCATGGATTCAATCACTTCCACTCGTGTGGTAATTCCGGGGTACTTATTAGCATATCTCACAGATCCCTCCTGCAGAATATCAAGGATATTTGGAATTACACTTGTATCGATAGTCTGCCAGCTGGTCAACTTATCTTTGAAGAAACAGTGATCAATGCGTAGGCTAATTTCAACCTAAAATTCAAGCACAGGATACCGAGCAGAAGCTCCAAAGGGCTTCTAGAAAACCGTTGCCCGTCAGGTAATCTAAGGTTTTCTTGGGGGTATCTCAGGGATTATAAACTCAAATACCAGAAAATAAAATAATATCCTCAGCTTTATTCAATATCGGGAGATATTTAACCAGGCATGATTTAAGTAACCGAACAGATATTTCATCGAATTCATCATATTTGATTCTGACGATGTATTCCTTCAACTGTTTCATTTTGACGCGCAGCCTTGATCGCTTCACCCTAGTAAATACCATATGAGGGGCTCTCTGCAAAGATTCAATCCCTTGCGACGGTCGATAGAGACCACAGCTGGATGATATTCCCCATTAGGGTGAATGTTCGGCTGGACGTCATTGACCAAATTTAAAACCCTGCGTACGCCATAATCTGTAATATAGAAGACCAGCCAATATATGTTCTTGAAAACCCCTAGTATTATCAGCCATACGTGGACTCAGCCAGGTTAATCATTCAACCCTTGAATGCGCGTTTGGGCCGCATTGCTACCAAGTTTTCTTGGGAAACGAGATCACCTTCATGCAATCAAAACAGCGGTTGAGGCTAGGGTAATTTTCTCTCTCACCGCCCAGAATACTCATTATGCACGCCGAAATCACCCTGTTCCACATGATATGAAGTGCAGTACTCCGTAGTAAGTGGAGAATAAATTCTGTCGAAATGCACCAGTTCAGGGTATATCGGGCCGCCATTGGGTCGCTAAATAGTCAAATACCCATGGGACTCGTGGTTGACGAGGCTCGCTAGACGTGTCTTCTCAAATACCTGATGGATTGAAATGAATTGCAAATATTTGCAAATGGGCTCGTCTCGCGTCATGCTGGTGATTTGTCATCGAGGCCCGATTATATAATCAGAACCCTCCAGATAGCTTTGATGAGCCTTGATCAAGGCTTGCTTCAATAATTCCTACAGCCTGTGCCTGAGTTCTAGTGACCCAGTTGCCCTCCATTCAAAATGGCTGTTGCCGACAGAATCCTGTCAACTGATGCTTCACGAGACCCGAATTTCACTAAGTTTGCCTTCAGCCCATTCCTCCAAAAAACATTCGGTTTCGGCCTCGCCTCAGATGTCCCTGTTTGCAAGGCATACCGGGAAGGACACTGCCCTCTCGGACCCGTGTGCCCGGACCGTCATCCAACGCCATCTCGTATTTCAACTGCTACCTCGCCCGCTGTTGCCCCGTCGTCTACACATGGGAGTCTCGTGTGCAAACATTACCTGAAAGGACTCTGCAAGAAGGGTATCAAATGCGAGTATCTACACGAATACAACCTACGCCGCATGCCAGAATGTCAATCTTTTTCTCGAAGTGGCTATTGTGCCAACGGCGATGACTGTTTATATCAACACGTTCCTGAAGAAGCCAAATTACCGCCGTGCGAGCATTATGACAAAGGATTTTGCCCGTTGGGGCCCATTTGTGCGAAAAAACATGTGCGGAGGAAACTATGCCCCTTTTACCTCGCTGGTTTCTGCCCTGATGGCAGGGGCTGCGAAAAAGCACACCCAAGGTGGCCAGATAGCTTGCCAAAGCCTACTGTGAGGGTAGAAAAATCTGCGGAGGAAATAGAGATCGAAAAGGCTAGAATCAGAGAAGAGCAGGAGAAAGAGGAAGAAAGGGAAAGGGAATGGAGAAGGGAGAATCGGGGTCGCGGAGGGCGGTTCATGGGCGGGAGATTTCGCGGAAAGAGATAACACGAATTTTCAACAGTCATTTCGCTATTTTCTCGTTGCATCAAACAGGAAGCCCTGTAAGAATACGGCGTTCATGGTCGTCGGGTTTTTTTCGCCCTTGTTAAAATCAATGGTTCGACTTGCTTGTTTGTTTTAGCGTTGCCTTGTTCATTCAATATCAAGCCTCATATTCGAAAGATACCCCTATCTTAATTTTTTGTTCTAAAATCAAACCAATATTAAATTTTGTATTCTTTAAAATGTGAATATGTACTCCGTATGTGGAGTCGCTAGTTATTTATACTTTGAAATGCAAAGGCAATGCAAATGTGCCTGAAAGAAAGGGGCACGTTTGGAATTTGGCTTGGCTTTCAAAAAATTATCATCTTCTATATGTAAATGTGACTCAAGATTGAAGTTTGAACCTCCATTCAGAAGAATCCATAATTCAGAATGTTTTCAGCGGAATAACTTGTGATCAGCATAGAAGGACACGGAGGATTGACCGACAGCTTCTTAAATTAACACTTCCAGCCCATGCCGAAAAAATCGTTGTGTGTTTGATGCCACCATGTCCGAGTTGCCAACTCCCAATCTCATTTTCCAGTTCAACAACTACATAAGCACGGCGCTTGGGATTGAAAATATCCTCCGGTTACTTCAGGCTCTCTCCCAAATCTTAGCGACACAGCCAACAGTGGACGTCCTCGAAGTTGAACACTGGCGAATTCTGGGAAGACAGTTCTCTCTGGGTATTTAAAGGCCTGCACATTCAAACATGGGACAATCAAGTTAAGTGCTCTTACATAGGGCGCCGATACTTTCGCTATTTTCAATTCCTCACGTATTTTCGAAACGCATGGGATACTTTTAGTGGGAAGCACGAGAGTGTAAGCCGTCGTGGTCGCGCAGCTTTAAGTATCGAAGTTTGCATGCTTAGCTCCTATGGAATTTATTTACTTTTAGAAGCTTTTACGATTGTGAGTACCAATTTGGTGCTCGTCGGAGGATACCTGCTTTTTGTTTCTTTCGTCCAACTCCAAAACCAGCATGCGCCTCTCCCCAAAGGCTGACGAACGGCTGACATGCTTTCCTTGCCAGCTCGATGCTTTGGGGGTTCATTCTACAGAATGGTCTCGAATGATGCTTGTCGAGGCCAACAAGTTCTGGTTCTATGCAATTCTATTTTCAATATTGAGTAACGTTTGGCAGATTATATGCGCCCAGCTAACATTGGACACATCCCAACTTGGCGGCCATGAAGAAAGAAGGGGGGGGAATGCTTCTTTAAATTCATCTAAGTCAAAAAAGAGCAAAAAGTCCGGTGCCGAAGGAAGCATTACGGGGCAATCAAAACGTACAGAGCTACACCCGAAAGCTTCCAGCCTGGCGCGAAATCTTATTGTCAATGGATGCGACCTACTTATGCCAGGTGCATTTGTTGGCTGGATTGATGTCTCGCCGCTAGTCGTAAGCAGCGCGATGGTGCTCAGTACTGTGCTTGTTGGGAGAGACCGATGGGTTAAGGCGCAAGGGAAAATGTGAAGGCATCCTTCCGGAAAAGAAAGTTGGCAGAACATACATCGACAGAATGATTTACTATTGTCCAATATTTTTAGAACATGGAGGGACTATTTAAATTCTGCTTAAGAAACTACTGGAATCACCAGTAACTCTTTGACTTGGTGTGCTCCGGATTGCCTGAAGTACATAACCAGGCTATTATTCCCTCAATCATTTCCTCGCAGCATTCTTTGCTGGCCAGCTACATAACTAGTTACCTAGTTAGTTAACTAACTACAGGTCATTCTCGATCATCTGGGCTCCATCCTATATGTGCTTAACCACATACACAACATCAGAATGAAAAAGATCAGCCTTGGCGCCAGGCAGCATCCCGTGTCTTCTGCACAAATTCAACTATGGTGACACCAAATAGTGGCTGGTCCAATTGTGATTAAACGGAGGCTCAATCCAGACTGCTGCCTGGACTCCTTGCAGCGAAGAAAGAATCTCGACTGTATTGGCCGTATGCAGGTGCATGAATTGACCCTTGCAGTACTGCACGATTGGCCATGTCTCACCCATACCTAACCACATATTCGGTCCCGGTCACTAGAGACGGGGCCAGTACTATTTTGTGCATCAAATTTCGGAAATGTCGACGGCTGCCTAAAATCAATGGCACTCGAAATGTTGAGATCGCCGATAGCCGCGATCAGCTTGCAAAGGAAAGTGAAAGGCTGGGTTCTTTTGCCAAATACATAAATACCTCCAATGCCCCTATGATTTCCTCATCTGTCCAGATATCTACCTGAGCTATAAGCTTTCTCTGCCATAGCACCCTGCAGTTTTTTCAATCGATATCTTAATCTCTACCTCAACGCCCTATCTATCTCCCTGACCATGTCGTCTCACTCTTCCCGACGTCGTATCATGAAAAAATCGTTGGAAGAAGCCAAACAAATTGTTCTGAAACGAATGAAAATTGTGGGCATCTGAAAGACTCGCTAGCCTAAACTTATGCTGACCCTTTTCCAGGATTGCAAGGTCGACGCGTGTATTGATAGATACAATAGCCGCGCTTTAGCCTTGAAAAACAAAAGGCCAAACAAGACCATCGAAGCTCCTGAAGCACAGAAAGAACTATCTGCTTACTGGCATCAGAAGCAATGTCTTAAGGAAGAACTTATTGCTGACTTAGACAACCTCGTCCCTGAATATGGTGAAGTCAGTTTCCCGGAGTCGGCCACTGCTCTTGAGAAGTACGCCTTGCTCAAAGAAAAAGTCAAAGGAATGAAGTCCCATGTTCTGAAATATGCATATTCAGGTGAGAGAGACATTTTTAACGGCCGCGAATTTTCTTTTGCTAAAACTTCGCAATCCACCAAGAACCGTACTTAAACCTTTTACGAGCTTCAAGAAACCCAGAATTAGTGGAATCTGATGTAGGAGAAGAAATTGATACCAACTCCGAAACGGAACAGGCTGAAGGAAAGCCGAAAGACCAACTCGATGAGCTAAGATATATTATTAAAGACAGTGAATCGAAGGCTCTTTTTACCTGTGGCGGATCGGTCAACATCGTTACCCAACGAAATGATGATTTGCTACGAGGATCATTGCCCATTACTTTTTACTGGACTTCAGAGGGCAAAGACCTTTACAAGACTATGCTGCCGGAGGACAACTCTCGTTCTGACTATACCTCTTTCCAAATGTTAGTGGACACTTGCACTCCTGCAACTTTCGGACTCGGCCAACAAGATGTCTTGGATCCGTCTTACCGGCATGCTGGGAAACTTGACGTCGACCGCTTCTGCAGCACCTTTCATCCTGCAGATTTTGGCATATTAGAGTCCATTGAACAGACCTTATTGCCAAATATCAGCTCCACCCTGCAAAACCAGCTAGAATTCCGTCGTGTTAAAGCAGAGCTCTATAAATTGAATGTGAGAATGCCTGTGTCTCGAGTTCTTGGACTCTGTTATTTATACTTATAGGTTTACTCCGGTCCTTCCGGTGTATTTCGCGCTCATGTGGATACTCCACGCTCTTCGAATCAGTTTGGATCTTTGGTTGTCTGCCTACCGTCCCCCATAAAGGTGGGAAACTTATTGTCCGACATCAGGAGGATTCAGTGGAGTTTGCTTGGGATAAGAAGGCCGTTTCTGATATTCAGTGGGCGGCATTCTATAGCGATTGTGAACTTGAGATAGAACGTGTCACAGAAGGTCACCGTGTGACTCTAACGTATAACCTGTTTATTACTGAGCCAGTAGCTGCAGGTATCATCCAGCCCTCCCTTATTGACCCTTGCAGCCTTCCGCTATATGGCCACTTGGATAGCCTTCTCAGCAGCCCTCGTTTTATGAATAAAGGTGAGCAATTCATGACCTGGGATTATAATTATCTCTACTGACTCTTGCTGCAGGCGGAGTGATTGGCATTTATTGTTCCCATTCATACCCACATACCAGCGACGAAGCGGAATATCTACTACCACGGAAGCTCAAAGGCTCAGACATGGCCATCTACGCGGCCCTAAAATCTCTTGGTTTGTGGGTCACAGTCCGCCCAATTCTCAGTGTACGTTATTGTATTTCCACAGATATTAAATAAGGCATGATACTAAATGCTTGCAAATAGGGCGGCGAGATTGTCAGGGCACAGGACAGCAGTAAATACAGTATTAAATACAGCAGTCGATATAGCGATCATGACCAAGCATCTTTTCAACGCGAAGCAGAGAAAAAGAAAAACTATATCACTTCGCTACCTTTGACTTATCATACACTCTTGCAAAGTCAACATCATATTGAAGATATTCACCAGAGGTGGAAACACCTATATGTGACCCGGCTGCCTTCCAGTATCGGAGAACCAATGGACGTTGTGGGAACTGATTTCCATCCAAATACATATTCCAACTGGCATGATGAGATTACATTGCAAGACGTATGTGGATTTTCCCCAGAAGTTTTTCTCTATGTTCTAAAATCCCATGACTGATAGTATTTAACCATCAGGTCTTAGAGGACTGTTGGCCAAACATCAGAGTTCCTGGGATCACTTGGGTGAATGAACCAGCCCACGAAAAACCGGCATTATATCGATTGATCTATGGCAATGAAGCTTCTATTCAGGTTTACTATTCCAATGCGGCTATTCTTGCGATTATTCCCCCTTGGAAGTAACAAAACAATCTGGTTAAATAGGGATCAAGCTGAAAATGAAGCTCTCTTCAAGAAATTTCCATACTTCGGGAATCTTAACTTTACCTTTTTCCTACCTATATTCTGTATCATGCTTGCCATCATGTGTGGGGATAAAAGGACTATACAGAGCATTTTGAGCTTTGCTTACTATCAAGCAGCCTAAGCTTTACATCCATTTAATATTTTAAATCAATCCAATACTATTTTTCGGGGCATCTTTCTAATACTCTTATGTTTCTGGTCAACCAGACTGTGACATGTATTTGATGAAAGTTGATTTGTTATTACTTACGGCTCAACTCACTTGCACTGCCCATTCTGAACCGCTTTGATTAAGAAGACAATTTTATCATTCTTGTCGGAGATGCGCTTATCTGGCCGAGGGAAAGGCAGTGAACTGCAATAATTGGTTGACACAGCATTTTTAGTTGCGCTTCACAGCCACGACCTTAGTATACTTCGCCACGAAACTGGCTATGACCACACACTGAAAAGCCAAGAATACGAAAATATTCCTATTTTGGCTATACTATGCCCTTGTTCTACATATATAGTTGTTGCAATATGCCTAACGATGTGAGCCTTGGTGGCTGTGGTGGTAGGCCTCCCAGCTCTATAAAGTAGAGTGAAAATGCTTATAGAAATGGGCTTTCTCAAATCATAGTCTTACCTTTTATCTGGGGTCTGAAGCCTTCTGTTGAACATAAAATCCACTCCATACAGCAACATGACTTATGAAGAGAAGCTAGACAAAGAGGAACTCATGAGCTGCAAAGGCAACAAGTGGTCCATCAGCGATACAACCACAGCCGTCCCTACTATCACACATCCATTTAGCCCAAGCAAGTCATTATTCCTCGATGCGCACGGTATCCGCCTCATTCGACTCCCACTTCCATCCTCAGAGCTAGAGATCCCGATTCATAACGCCGATGGATCGCTCGCATATACCTCCAAGCGCAGCAAGCGCAGTTCAGGGGATGCAACGCTTTCATCGCCCGAAATAGGAGAGCTTCTCAGCACCTCGTACTTTTTCGGACCAAATCGAGACCCGGTCATTCAACCGGCGAGCAAGGGATTGCAAGCCGATGGCATCCCAGAAGACTCTCCTCCCACCATCAGAGTCACCAGTGAATGGAAGTCGCGGACTCAGTACTTCACTACCATCTATGGGGATTCGTTTCAGTGGCGATATATCAGGTGCGACGATCCTAGATGGGTGTGTAAGAAGCTTTTGGTGTTGGAGAAGGTGAAGAATAGCGTTGCTAGCCGACGTATTGCCCAGTTGGTAAGAAATGAGGCTACGAGGCCGGAAGGGACGTCGAAGTGTACGGCGGGTAATGGAGGAGAGCTAATGCTGGATGGCGAGGCGATGGGCGCTGAAATCGACGAAGCACTGGTTGTGGCAACGTGTCTGCTGATGCTGAAAAAGGAAGTTGACCGGAGGAGGATGATGCAGATGATGGTTGTTTGTGGAATGTTCTCGGGAGGTTCATGATTGTGATACGTGCTTGAAAGGGAGCATTTTTCATATAAATTCATGTTGTGCGTTTAGAGACCTGGATTGGAGTTAGGCACTGTTCGTTAAGGGTATCAATTCTGTCTTTCCTATGCTCCAATTAAAATTCGAATTTCATCGATAAAGATAAAGATGCACCTTCAGATAACGTATAGAGAAATCAAAATATATATTTCACTCCACGTGCTTGGCTTGCTTAGCGAATGTTGCCATTTTAGAGCTCACGGCCTGCATCACAGTCATCTGCCTCATCCACTCTGGAATCATACCAACGAATATTCCTTGAATCGCATGTGACCAACAGCCCTCTACCGTCCCATTACCGTAGCCCACATTCTTTAGGGCGGCCCGCGCAAAGTTGTACCCTGTTGGAATGAAAAAATTTGTCTGCACTTGGTGGCTACCACTCTGCACTTCTGCAACGTTGAGAGCCACCACGTCGATTTTTTTCTTCTGCATTTTCATTTCCATGCCCAGAGCCGTTGAAAATGTTTTGACATAGCCCTTTGTAGCGCTGTAAACAGCAACATATGGAATACCTCCAGCGGCAAACGAGCTCATATTGAGAATTAAACTAGGTCCGCAGCGATCGAGGATGGGTAGCAGTACCCGTGTTAGTTGCGTCATGAAGCGAGCATTGACATTAATCACTCGGTCAATGTCATCGTTTGTGTAATGATCGTAGCTCTGATATGGGCCGCCCTCGCCTCCCCCTTGACCTCCCACATTGTTGATAAGAACAGTTAAGTTCAGATTATCCAGCTCGCGAGCAAAGTCGTCGAAAACCTTAGGAGGGGCTAAGACGGCCGCATCGCAAACGAATTGACGAATCTTTGCGTCTGGAAATTCATTCTTCAACGTATCCTGCACGTGCTGCAGTTTCTGCGAGTTCCTTCCATGGAGAATGACCCCAAAGCCCTGCCGACAGAGCTCGCGGGCGAAACCCAATCCAATCCCATCAGTGGCTCCGGTGACGAGAGCGTACGTGTCCTTGTCTTTTCGTATGTACTTAGAGAGGCGAGAAGGTAGGAGAAGGGGGTAGAGAATCGATGCGAGTTTAACGAGGATGCAGAAAGCGGTGGCGGCGCCAACGTAACCCAGCACTCGCCCAGATGACATCACGGCGGTGGTTCAAGGATCAGAGGGTTGAATGGAGCAAGCGCTGACGCGAATGGCGGTCAAAGAGTATAGAGCTGGGGTTGGATGGACAGTTGGCATGGAGTGCTCAAGGCATTGGGCCGGAGCTGAGGCACCCGGTTGACTTGCCCGAGGAGCCCCTTAGTGACACGAACCTAAATAAAGCTGCGAGATGTGAGAGGTTCAAACAGGAGCAGTGTGAGACAGATGGCTTCCAAAAGATGCAATACCACGTATCTCAGTCGCGATAGTACGGGGTATTGGGATGGGCATCCAAACCCAGTCCCACTGTAGGGCACGGAGTACTCCGTACTCCGTAGGACATCTCCATCATCAGTCGAAGCCAGACCAACCATGGGTGGAGTGGAGCGCACAGCCCAGTGATCGGCGTGGCGGTTTGTCATCCCCTGCGTCCGACAAGACAAGACAAGCTCACCAAAGCGCCGTCAGCGATGATAAATGCCTGCAGCTGCATGCATGGTCGCCGATTTGTCGTACCGTGGACGCCTATTTCGTGCTAGGGTTGGTCAGCAGCCGCCGGTTCAGCCTTGACATCAGCTTTTTGACGCTGCGCTCGAGAACTTTTGTAAGCTTTATCTAAGCATAGCGTCGGCTGCTAACGAGAGCACGGCCGCAAAAGAATGGCGTGCCCACCCAGACGAGGCCTGTTACTGGCCGTGCTGTGGCCATTTGTCAGTGGTTGATAATCCTGGAGGCCGCTGCGAGAATTGAGTTCGAGCTTGCGTAACTCTCCCGGCGGGCAGCCGTGGGCGAGCTTGCTGTGGCCCAGACTGCGGCTTCCCTGCCTTGCGCAACAATATAGTTAACCACCTTCCCGCGGCTGGCCGGCGGGCTCTAACAACAACCCAACTACCAACTTCTCTTCGCTCGGCTTTGCTTGTTAGACATCGCATCAACGCTTGTATTGCACTCAACCCATCGTCAATATGGCCCCAAGAATTGCAATTGTCTTTGTATGTGGTGACCCCGCCGACCCCGCGTGGCCGAGAGACCCATGCTAACAGGCGTCCGCCCTAGTATTCCATGTACGGACATGTCCAGCAACTTGCTGAAGCTGAAAAGCGAGGCATTGAAGCTGCTGGAGGTGCCGCTACCTTGTACCAGTACGTCTGCCCCCCATGGCAGCCCCCGGACATTTCTCCGATGATCATCTCCCCCATGCAACCCCGCCTTTGCCAATATCTTTTAGAATACCCTCTAACGGTGCATCTCACTCAGAATTGCCGAGACCCTGCCAGAGGAAGTCCTTACAAAAATGCATGCTCCCGCCAAATCACGGTATCCTGTTGTTACCCCGGAGGAACTGTTGAGCTACGATGCCATTCTATTCGGAATCCCAACCCGCTATGGTAATTTCCCCGCTCAATGGAAAGCCTTTTGGGATAAAACAGGCTCCATCTGGGCCAAGGGTGGCTACTGGGGTAAATATGTCGGAACTTTCGTCTCTACTGGCACTCCCGGTGGTGGTCAGGAGAGTACTGTAATCTCGGCCATGAGCACCTTTGTCCACCATGGAATGATTTTTGTTCCACTTGGATACAAGACTGCTTTCCCTATACTTTCGAATCTGACGGAGACCAGAGGTGGAAGCCCTTGGGGCGCCGGGACATTCGCCGTAAGTGCCACTGCTGCCGTTACATGATGCTATTGTTGATGTTCCTATAATAACCGATTTCTTATAGGCTGGCGATGGCTCGCGCCAGCCTTCTGCCCTTGAAATCGAGCTTGCAGAGACTCAAGGCAAGTCGTTCTATCAGGCTGTCTCGAAGGTGAACTTTGCAGATGGGCAGTAAGAAGTCAAATGGTATGGAAACAGCCCGTTCCTGTATATGAAATTAGGAGGAGAATATGAATAATGCCGGATGCCATTGCGGTGATATACATGTACCTAATTGCCGTCACCCTTCGGGAAATGGCATTGAATGAGCATAATTTATCGTCAAAACCACTTATTATTAAAAGAAATGGTGCTATGTGTCTGCTGAGAACACAAAACCCAGGAAAACATGCCACAAGTTAAGAGTTGTAGTTATGTTAGTTAGCTGTTAACTGGGGAGTAAATTACAGTGTAGTCAACTAGTTAATTTACTAGTTAGTTAGTTAGTTAACTAACTAGTTAACTAACTAACTAATTAGCTTAAAAGCAGCGTTAACTTAAATGGAGCTCCGCAAGCTAGGCTGCTAAAGCAGCGGAATGTACAGAGTACCGCCACGACCTCAAGCTAACAGGTAGGCACCTGCTTGACTCTACTCTGCACGCCTTTTAAGTATCAAATTCTGCGGGGGCTCTCTCACGCTACGCACATTCTCTCACTTATCACTCTCACACTATGCAGTTTGACTGAAGCCAAGCAAGGAATCCCAGCAGACCAGATTTCTTGTGCTGCCATACTACCGACTGGAAAGCATGCCCGCGCCTCCAAGACCTTTACTTCTCCGATTTGAAAGCCGAAACGGCCAATTTCGACTTACTGTTGCACCAACAGAGCTTTTCCCAACGCTTTTACCGAAGGTATCGAAGCATCTAGAGAATTTCCCCAGACCTCCCCCACTATATAAAACTCGGGCTGACTTCCAGGCGTGCCTTACGACAGATCCTTTCAAACTTGCCTCCGAATGTTGATCCTGATTCTATCTGCCTGTCAAATAGACCCATAGGTACGGGCGGTGAGGAGAGAAAAGTGAAGCTACTACAGGGTGTATCAATACAGAGAGTTGGTTTAAAGTAAGCACTGCCCTCGGTGCTGTCTAGGCAACCAAAGAATAACGTAGTGAGACAAAAGGCATGGAGATAAGCTGTATGTTGGATACAGCGAACAGCCTTTTGTTGCGAACGGCGGTTCAACCAAGCCTACCACCCAGAGCACGCACACGCAGCCATCATCGCCGACGACCATAATTAAAAACCCGTGGGAAGTTGTCCAGCAATCTGATCTGGATAACCGCTTAGATAAGAAAGATGGCAAGATACCGAGAGGGCGGGATGTGAAGATGTGTCGGCATGGCCCCAAGGGGATGTGTGACTATTGCATGCCCTTGGAGCCATATGCCCCTGAGTATTTGATGGATAAGAAGATAAAACACCTGTCCTTCCACTCTTACTTGCGAAAGGTCAACTCATCCAAAAATAAGCCGGAGCTAAAGAGCTCATATATGCCTCCCCTAACAGAACCATACTACAGAGTCCGAAAAGACTGCCCTTCTGGGCATCCGTCTTGGCCCGAAGGGATATGCACAAAATGCCAACCTAGTGCCATCACATTACAACCACAGGAATTTCGGATGGTTGACCATGTTGAGTTCTCGTCACCAGACCTTATTAATTCGCTACTTGACTTCTGGCGGAAATCAGGTGCCCAACGAATTGGGTTTTTATATGGCACATATGAGGAGTATTCCGAAGTTCCTCTTGGTGTAAAGGCAGTTGTTCAGGCTATCTATGAACCTCCACAGGCCGATGAAGTAGATGGTGTCACTCTTCGTGAATGGGAGAATGAGAATGACATTGATGGGGTTGCTGGGCTATGTGGCCTAGAAAAGGTAGGTGTTATTTTTACTGACCTTTTGGACTCTGGCGCTGGAGATGGAACAGTCATATGTCGAAGACATATTGACTCTTACTACCTATCGTCCCTTGAAGTTACGTTTGCGGCTCAGTTCCAAGCACGGTATCCTAAACCAAGCAAGTGGAGCGAAACAGGCCGATTTGGCTCGAATTTCATAACCTGTGTCTTGAGCGGAGATGAGAACGGTGCTATTTCCATTAGTGCATATCAGGCTTCCAATTCAGCTGTTGAAATGGTGAGAGCAGACATAGTTGAGCCCTCTGCAGACCCTTCTGTGATGTTGGTGCAAGTGGAGAGTGAGTTGGAGAATGCAGATACCAGCATATCTCGTTACATACCCGAAGTATTCTATAGGAAGGTCAACGAATATGGTGCGAAAGTTCAGGAGAACGCTAAACCATCTTTTCCTGTTGAATATCTCTTCGTCACCTTGACTCACGGCTTTCCGACTGAGCCTTCGTGCATATTTACCGATAGCACCTTTCCCATTGAAAACCGAGATTTCATTGGAGAATCGCAAGATATCCGAGCAGTTGCCAAAAGACTCCTTTCACAAACCGATCCGGATGCCGCCATCCGCGCCGTGTCAAATTTCCACCTCCTCTGCTTCCTCCGCGGGCTTGGTATTCTTAGCAAGGTAAGCAACCCTTTCCATTTCCTGCATGTACGCTTTTGTGATTAGGGTTGACTCAAGTTATATCATCTCAGGAAGAGGAAGCTCTTCTCTGTACCGTCGCCCGAAGTCATGACCCCGCCGATAGTGTCCAGTTGATTAATACCCCAGGATGGGCAACCTTGGTAACCATCCTTCAGGAGAGCGGTGAGCCGCCCCCTAAACGTTCTTGGCCATTTGATTCAGAGAATGCTTCTTTTAACCATTCTCACCGTCAAACTTTCTCCCCTAAGATTGTTAATTCCGAGAATGATCAGCTTGCTAAGAGGTTTAAGGGGGCTAGCTTAGAATAAGCCTCTTTCTCTCCGTCCCACATGCTCGCGTCTTCCGTCCGGCCCTTCGTACATCCTTACCCGTAAAATACTTTTCGCCTAGCACGATTCTCCCCATTTTTAGTGCAAATAACGAGAAGAAATGCCTGGAGCATACCGTTTGAATATTATTGTTCCTTGAGGGTGTGATATGCTTTTTTTCTGAGTGATATTCGGATAACTATTTGGCTAGTGATGAAGCAGAAAAAAAGGAAAAGAAATTCAACAGAGTTTTTGTAAGGTCGCTCCCATACAGTGTGAGCCCGTGGGCATCATAAAGCTGGCGTGTACCGACGCGATATTATACTTCTTTCTTTCCCGCAAAAACACTCGTTCTTTTTCTTCTACCCTTTGCCTGACTACCTTATTGGTTATCTGCCAGATATCTGCCGGTATATGCAGGGGCAAGAGACTTCATTAATATACCTGGGTTTTGGACTAGAGAATAACCTCAGAATTCAGTTTGCAAGTGACTGAAGCTTCTGACTACATCTTTCTAGTAAAAGAACTCTCCCAGAAGCAATTTAGGGATTGAATAATTTTAAGTTATGAGCTAGAAATTACATAACAGTCACCCATATTCATAAAGAAGAACGTACAAGTGAAATTCCCCTAGAAAAATTTGTTAAGATTTACTATATGAGTGCAGGGTATATCAGTACATCCACTTCTATAAAACATCACTCTATCCTGGTATTAAAATTACACGTTCGGTTTAAGCATGTTGACCTGAGAAGCTTGAAGCTAAACTTTTGCTGCGAAGAGATAGCCAGGTAATAAATATATGAACCGGTGATGATTTACTTAAGATCCGAGGAGAGTAATAAATATAGAGCTGCCGCGATGCAATCATCTAAGACAGCTTTTCTCCTCTTCAGCCAGATAAGAAATGTTTCGCTCGTGCTCCCCCTGCCTTCGTATTGCTTTTTTTGCTATGGCACGGCTCATTGCTTTGGTGAAACGAGAAATAAGAAAAAACAAAGCTTCAGGTGCAGGAAGCCCTCCCAGAGGCCTGGGTATCAGCGGCCAATCTCCCGGTGTCGTTTTTCCATCCCACATGCCAGGCACCGCCAGTGAAGAATATTCTCCGCATGAGAGAGTATGTTCACCTCGATAGTGAAGTCTGTTATTAGGATGAATTTAGCTATTATTAGGACTTGGACCCGAAGTCAAAACAGAGCAACTATGATTAAGTATAGAATAATAAGAATAATAATAATGATCCAGCGACATAGTCACAAATTTTGTCAGGTAAGAACAAAAAACCCCATCATAATATCCCCGTTCTATACTTCATGCCACAGTTTTTCAAGGTCCTCGTGGAAGAAGTAGAGATGAAAAAGAGAAGAACACAACGCCCAATTTCGCTTTGACTATTCACATGAAGCCCCTCATCAGCAATGGTCATTGCGGGCCCTCTCATGGTTACCAAACTTCGGGAAAGAGATCATTTCAAAGTACAGTGGGACTTCTAGGTCCAGACTTAGCTATATGGAGCGATGAAATCTCGACCTGGATTTCTCGCAGTATACCGACTTGCGATTCGCTCGTACTGGTGATAGACTCTGGGGCCAATTTCCTTGGAAGAACTGCCACACTATAATTATCCCGGTGCAGATACGACGCCTCCTGGTTCTTGTGCGGTTGCCAGTTGCCATGCCCGTTTGCTGAAGCCATCTCGAAGCTAGGGTTGGGGGTCTTTTTTGTTGCTCGTGATTTGTTAGAGCGAGATCCCCGAGCTGTCGTCTCGCCTATCTCCCTTGACACGGAGAATTTCTTCGCTACTCGCATCAAAACCGGGATGGAGGTTGATACAAGTGCCACACTTGCCCATAGCTCTTCGGAAATGATAGTCGACACAATACCAATATTGTCACTTCCGTGTTGTAAAAAACGTCGGTAACATACTAAATGGATCCAAGCTGGAACCAATACTCTTCGTAATAATTAGTATTCGACTTACAAAGTGTCTGGAAAAAAAGAAAGCTCAGAGAACTCACATCAGCCGGGTTAGAAACGCCGCTATTACAAAAACCTTTGTCTTTGTAACAACCTGCAAGTTTAAAACCTGAGATACTACTCGGAAAACAGGTGCACACTCCAACATAGTTTCAAAGGTCGTGAAAATAATCCAGCGCGGCACCTGCACATATAATTAGTGGATGACAATAATGATATAGCATGAGGGACGTACGATATTTGAGCAGGCCGATTTATCTCCGGCGAGTGGTATCCAATCCAGAGAGCAACCGGCTGAGATGGTTATCGGCCCAACGACCCCCTGAGCTGCGATAAACCCAATAATGACGTACAACGACACGCATGAAGGGTCCACGGACTTTATGAAGATGTTGTAAATGAGAAGCACGCTTGAAAGTTTCACAGTGCAAAGGACTAGTGTCAACACTATTCGACTTGCGAATATCAACTGTTGCCAATGAGACTTTGTCAGTAATAGTATATCTACGGAGGCTCTGGAACCACTTACTCTTGACACTTTCGCAATATTGACTCGGCTTGAAATCTCTCCAGATTTCCCGAGGGAGCTCAGGATCGCAACAAGAAGGACAATCCAATATGCAAGGTATAAGATCTAAGAGCAGATGAGGGTTATTGGGCCATCCAACCTGTGTCAAGGCATGTATTGGCATCCCTGTGAGTTAGATGTTGACAACTTACATGGCTGATAAGGAGCACCGTATCTTCAAGCCCATAGTGTCTTCGCTTGATTCGAGCTCGTATGACGGCTGCCAGGAAGACAAATATTAGAGCAAACATATGAGCAAACCAGAGCCATGGCTGGTGGTTGTTTTCTGATAAGCTAGTCATACGCCCAGGGCCCTTTACGGCCTCCATCCCAGCGACTGCTCAATGTTGATATGCTTGAAGGTCCAACGAAGTTGCAGCTTGAATTCCCACTGAGCATTTTTCTGGAGACTTTCAAGAAAAAAGTCCCAGAGACTTGGTACTCCTCAGAAATTATACGGAATTCACATTTATATTATCAGTCACATTTGTTCCGTATTTCAAATCTTTAACATCCCCAAGAAATTGAAAGGAGGCCAGGGATTCGAGCAACGGGGAGCATAATTCAAGTGCCGGAGCTAGCTTGGAAATAGGACCTTGCAGAACGACAGGCATGGCTTCGTACTTTAATGTAGTTGGGTCGATTTCACTTTGCTTCTCCGCTCAGGGACCCGGCTGCATTGAAAAACAACTAGTTAATTCTGGGAACTATAACAGAAGACAACCCGAGATCTTGAGGGCTTGAGAGGCTAAAATTTGGAAACCGCCTGTTTAGCTCGGAATCGGTTGCTTAAGCTCAACGCCTTCGGGGTGCCGAGAGAAACGGCGGCATTTAGAGCGGCCATGGACATGGGCCTCCACGAAACCTTTTCTCGGAGCAGAATTTAGAACTGGTCTGAGCCACACAAAAGCACGCTAAGCACGGAAGGCTTATCCGTGCCTAAAAGCGGCCCATAGGCCGGCGTCTCTTCTTTTACAGCCAATTGGAGATAGCGAATTGCTTCAAACTTCATGCTGAGAGGGAGATTATTTGCGCGAACGGCTGAGATTTAACAATTTTAGTAGCGATGGACACGGGATCCTGGCCTTATTCTGGCATAGCAAGCAATAGTATGACCCGGCAGAAGGGCTATCTGGGCAAGAGATAACTATACTCCGTACGGAGTACAGAGTTTGAAAACTCGCGTGGAATGCGCCGTGTGGAGTATCAAAGCTCCGAACTTAGGATTTTCCGCGGGCTCGGGACAGCCAGCGCCCGCAGACATCTTTGCCTCATAGGATGGTAAACTCTGCCAAGCGGCTGTGAACACCACCCCTGCAGAATGCATGGTAGCCAACCGAGTGTTCTCACATTACGAAGCCTGTGTAGCGGGGACGAAGCAGAGCAGGGGGGTCAACAAAGTGATTTTGAAGACCCTCCCTCCGTCCATCCCATCATTTCTGTACTCCGTATTTGTTACATTTCCCCATGCCCAACAAAACCGACGAAGTCTTTGTTCAGGAGCCCTCTTTTAGGAGTGTTGCACAATCTGCTTGCTCTCAAACATGGGTGTTGACGAGGTTGAGATGAACACTCCCGGCCATGCCTCCAAGGGGCCGCTGCCTGGCACAGTGCACGATGCAGAGGACATGAGGCGCATGGGTAAACTGCAGCAACTGAATGTAAGTCCATGCCCGCAATAGAATGTTATTGCTAAATCCCTGCTGATAATCACAGCGAGTCTACAGCACTGTCACTCTTGCCGGATATGCAGTTATTCTCGGTCTGACCTGGCCATTTTCGCTCTTGTAAGCAAAGTCTTCCATCTGTTTCCTTACAGTGGAGTAGATTACTGGTTTTTGCAGACAATTGACTACTGGGAGCAGTACATCAGCACTTTCCCTTACAAATGGCGGTCCAGCCGGTGCGATCTGGGTATATTTGGGGGTATGTGTTGGTATGTTCACTGTAGTTCTTTCAATGGCCGAAATGGCATCACTGTGAGTGCTTCAAAGCTATAGAGACTATTTTTCATGGCTGATGGACCAAGTGAACCCACTGCGGGTGGTCAGTATCATTGGGTTGCAGTTTTTGCCCCTAAAAAATGGCGAAAAATTGCAAGCTATATTGTCGGTTGGTGTCCTATGTGAGTAATTGAAACTCTATTGGTTCTGACATAAGTTTGGAATAGGATGGATGTGTGCTTTGGGATGGCAGACTGCAGTTTCGGCCCCAGCGAATGTTGGCGGAGCGACAATACAAGCACTTGCAGTGGTTGCTTCAGATTCGTATACTCCCAAGCCATGGCACGTTGTTGTCTTAACAATAGCCATTTGCACGCTCGCTGTTCTTTTCAACACATTCTTTGCTAGGAAAATGCCAGGGATTGAGGGTCTTGTCTTTGCACTATATATCTTGGAGTTTTTTGCAATTTTCATTGTGCTGCTGGTCATGGGAGAGCGTTCAAGTGCCAAAGAAGTCTTCACCATTTTTCAAGACAACGCGGGATGGGGGAGTATCGGCTCTGCCTGTTTTGTGGGTATGAGTGGCCCGGTCATTACTATGATCGGGTCCGATTCTGCGGTCCACCTGGCAGAAGAGCTTAAGGATGCATCAAGACATCTCCCTCGGGCAATGTTAATGACTGCAGGCGTGAACTACCTTGTTGGTTTCATGGTTCTCCTTGCATCCATGTTTGTGGTAGGAGACGTGCAAAAAGTTCTTGAGACTCCTACTGGAGCCCCATGGGTCCAAATCATCCTAAATGCAACTCAATCACGCATACCTACCTTGATTTTTATGGCACTGATCATCTTCTTCCTTGTTTTCTGTGCCATAAATGCAAACACTACTTCTTCTCGTCAGCTTTTTGCATTTGCGCGTGATGGTGGGCTGCCATGCTCTGAATGGATTAGCCACGTATGTTCCTGTTTTCTTGTTTTTTTGTCCCCTTTTGGGCACATGGGTACTAACAATGCTTTTAAAGGTGTCCTCGAGCAAACATGTCCCAGCGAATGCAGTTTTCTTGACATGGTTTATTGGCTGCCTCATCGCCCTGATCCCTCTTGGGTCCTCAGAGGCTTTCCTTAACATCCAGTCCATCGCTATCACTGCGCTTCTGGCTTCATACATTATTGCCATTCTTTGTCGTTTGCATAACCGCAATTTTGGTAGTGTATACGGCAACCTTTCTAGGCCACCGGTCTTCTTCCTCGGAAAACTGGGCGGCAATATTATCAATATTGTTGCCCTTGGTTTTCTTATCTGCTTCTTGGTTTCGGCGACCTTCCCGATCGCGCCACACCCTACCCCGAAGTCGATGAATTGGAGCTCACTAGCTTTGGGCTCTACTGTTATTGTTGCACTGATTGCTTATATTGTCCGGGGCCATAAGTACTTGGGTCCAGATGTTGTCGTTCCCGCCGATGACTCAGATAAAGTGACGGTTGATAAGAAAGACTCAAAACCATTTATCTCGTAACGAATTTGATTCTGAGGGTGATATTAGCCGTATATATGTTTTAATGCGGTGCCCACTGAGGAGGTGAGGAAATCGCCTTGTCCACATGTTGTATGGATAAGTAGATAGAAAGAGTAATAGCTGCCCAGAAAAGCAATTCGTCACCAACTATTTGGAAATTCCCCAGTCAATCTCTGTAAAATACCTTCTGCCTCTTTACTGAAACTGTTCACATTTCGTCAGAAATTTATTGACGTCCAGTCTATGCTGGGCACATTCTGGGCGCTTGGGGTGGGCCGAGAGAGCTGGTCACGTGTGCATTCCACTACTATCCAAATTTTGCGCCCTCTAAACACGAATTCCAAACAACCTCGCAATATCTACGGAGAGTACAGCGGCGATCATAGATGGTTGTTAAGATAATTTCATTTCAACACACTATACTTTGGATCCTATGGCTTGTAAATATTGGAATTTAGAATATGATGCGTTGCTCAGAAGATTTATAAAGCTCCATTTCCCCAGCTATTATGAATTTGAGCCCTTACGAGTTTATAAGGCAAATTTTCTAAGCATTTACAGGTTCTACTATGGAGTATTCCGTACGGACTATAGTACCATCCGCACCCGACTAGGACCCACTGGAACTTCGAATAAACTACTCATCGTGAGGCAACTGAAGCAAAACAATTCAATTCAGGGTATTCAATGCTACGAATACCAATGTAAAACCACCGAAACTCTCCATTGATCCAGCTTCTTACAATAAATTCCACCAGAAACTTCACGCCATTGCTCAAGATGGTACAGGCAGGAGAGACAGGCAATACAACAGTAAAAAAAACCAGCCCCAAATAATAAGCAAAGGTGAAAACCTTTGACAAATATCAATGAAGGTCAAATTGATCTCAAAAGCTTAGCTTCCTCTGACCAATTCTTTCAATCTCTTCTCAAGAATTTTTCGCCCTTCAAGTGTTTCCCACACTTGGTGTGGGACACCTTTTACAATATCCCATGCTATCAAGTTCCGAGTAATTTTGGTTAAATCTTCCTGCTTCTCAGCCCAATTTTTGTTTCTTCTCATTTCTCTTCCAGAACTCACTACCACCAGTGGTGTAGAGGGTGTTTGGATATTTCGGGCACTTGATATTTCACTCTTCGTCATTGAGTCCGCAACCAAACTTTCTTGCAACTTTGCTTTGATAAATTTCCCATTTTGGTACGCTCTTTTACCCCATACCCTATCTTCCCGGGTGCGACCTTTGAAAATGGCACCTGCTAAGCGATCCAACCCTAGGGGTGAGAGTATCCCCCGTATCCATAGCATTAACCCTCTTCCAGGCCTACCCAGGTCAGAAAGAAACGCTTCGTGCATCGCATCGACGAGCATTATCCCGCTAATATCGCGCAAGTGACGACTCGAAAATATACGGCTGTATATGCCACCTACACCTGCGGAGACAAGCACCCATGGCCCTTCCTCATCCGCAAGTGCTAGAGCTTCGGAGAGTGCGTCGACGGACATGCCGGCAGAATGGGGTGATGGGGCGTTTTCTGACCATGCAATTCCCGGGCGGTCCCAATAACAATACCGAGGAATTGATCCATGTTTATAAGCAGCATCTACCCACTCAATCAAAGTATTCTCAGCGGGATCGCTGCCAGCTTCAAGGAGAACAGTTGGAGTCGTCCTGTTTTTTGATGTGAGTATATCGGGAACGTTACCCACGCAGGCGACATGAACTTGATACTTGTCGTTATCGACATAATACCTTTTCCCTGGAGGGGCAAGGCCGGCATCCGTTGCGCGAAGAACCAATGTCGACATAAGCAGGATTGCAACCAAGGCAGTTACTGTCATGACGATTGTCTGAACGAGAACAGCAATCCATTCTCGAAGTGGCCGTCTTGTTTCTTCTCGTCCGGTCAGCCGCTCTTCCTCCTCTCTTTTTCCCCAAGCAACAGTGCGAGTTTGAGCCACCAGGTATAAGGATATAAGCGTAGCCCAAGCCACTGATGCTATACCAACCCATCCTTCTTCGACCCGAAGGCGCGCAACGCCAAGTATTATGAACATATTCACAGCTAAGAATACTGACATCCATACTCCCCATATTGTCATTGGTGTTGAGGGTACCGAGAAGAAGATTAAGGCAATAAGTAGGTTGCCAAGCGTCAATGTTGTGAATGAGAAATCAAAGAATCCTGAGCCGCGGGTGCTCATCATTGGAGGACTGACGAATATAGAAATAAACAATAGAATCCACCATATCAGAGTAATAAAGAGAAATAGAACTGTTAAAGAGCGAAGAGCGCGAATGCCCCACAAGTTATAAGGAGATACCTGCAGGAGTTGTTAGAAGTAGGATGATGGGTAGAAATAAGTGTACTGCTTACAGCTGGATCATCTGGACTCAGATATGCACCTCCTGGAGGGAGGAGACGAGTGTGTTGATCAACATCCCTCTCATCCTGAACCCTTTGGCCCTGATTGCTACCCTCTCTTTCCTCATCTCTTTCCGCGCTAGCGCTTCTCCGTAAACCCCAGAGAGGGGACATAATTGCAAAGCACAGCAAAGACTGAGTGGTTCAGTATACTCACACAATTGAAGAAATGAACTCACTGTGAGAGCATTGTGAAGAAAGGAATATCCTCACTTGCAAATGCCATGATACCTGAGGTCGTACGTCACCCAACATTGGCTGTGGCAATAATACCATGACATCATTTGTCTGTCCCTCCTCACTTGCGTCATTCTTGATTTCCCTGACATTTAAGTGTGATGTTTCAGATTGATGGGCCGTGGATATAGCAAACATGCCTTTTTGATTGTATTTTTCACATCGCATTGTTGAAATACTCAATCATACAGAAAGCTGAATAGGAAAATGCCCTATTTTCTAGAACTGGACACGAGATAGAATAAAGGCGCCCAAAATTCAACATCTTGCACCATAAACTACATCTGGTTTCCCTATAGGATGTGAACTCAATTCGGGGCTGACTTAAGAGCCGCCAAGCTGGACAACAGCTTATTAGTTAACTAACTAAGTAACCACGGGCGTGGTGATAATCCCGCCACAGCCGCCGAGAGCCTTCTCGTATGCATGGTGGTGGGTGGCGCGCTAAAGTATCTCAGGAAGAGACCACAATATCATGAGCTGGTTAATTGTAATATGAGTGAATTGCAGAAGTCGTTCGCTAAATCTAAATTAGCGAGGCTACCTCCCGACATCTCCATGTTCGACGAACTGCCGGAACATGAACCGGCAAATGCTGGGCATGGGGAGTGGGGGAAGTTTGATGATGATTCTTCCTCGGCCTCGTCTGCATCTTCAACGGGCACGGTGATGCCGTCTCCTAGTCAAAAACTATTTGCGAGAAATAGTGGGTATGTTTCTTCTTTTTACATAGCAGCCCTTAATACAGATTGGGTGTCGGTGAATTTCTGGTGTCCCTGTGTGTTACTGCGTAGGAGGGTTTCTCTTCTTGGATCCCTAATATTCAATTTTACTTGGTACATTTCTAACGTTTGGGTATTCCAAAGGACGCAAATTGGAAGAGGGGAAATGTCATCTCTTCCATGGATAGACTATTTTCAAAGAGAGCTCTTTCTTGAAGAGGACACTGATGATCTACACATCACTCATCATGCTTATATTACACCTCCAGAAGATTCCGGGCCCCTATTCGTCATGCATCATGGGGCTGGATCTTCAGGTCTTTCATTTGCTGCTTGCGCGCAGGAAATTAGAAAAATCTTGCCGAGTGCTGGAATTTTGTCCTTGGATGCGCGCAATCATGGAAACAGCACATCCAGAAGCAATACCCAGCCCACTGATATTGAAGTAAATACTGATGAGTTGGACTTGAGTTTGGAGACATTAAGCCGCGACCTGGTGTATGTCATCCGCCACACAAAAGAAGAGATGAAATGGGAATCTATTCCCCCATTAGTCTTGATTGGTCATAGCCTTGGTGGTGCTGTTGTCACACATGTTGCTAGAACTGGTGAACTAGGCTCTGATGTGCTTGCTTATGCTGTTCTTGATGTTGTAGAAGGTTCGTGTTTACTATAGTCTAAAAACTCAGCTATTTAACGCTCACATGTCTAGGTTCTGCAATGGATGCACTCCAAAGTATGGAGACGTATCTTTCCATACGACCGTCTAGTTTTCCCTCTTTATCAGCCGGCATCACTTGGCAGTAGGTGTATCCACAAAACGGGCTCTCAATGCCTCCTGACTTACTCATCATCAGCCTTCGATCTCGAACCATCCGCAATACAAATTCAGCCCGTATTTCTGTTCCAGGCCTTCTCCGTGAAGATAAATCGGATTCCTCGCGACCGTGGAAATGGAATACTAATCTAGCTGCCACAAAGCCGTTTTGGGAGAATTGGTTCATCGGCCTTAGTAAAAAGTTTCTCGAAGCCAAGGGAGGAAAGTTGCTTCTTCTTGCGGGAACAGATCGGTTAGATAAAGAGTTGATCATCGGTCAAATGCAAGGTATGTGTATACATGCGCCCTCCCCTCTCAGAGCACTCCCCTGGTGTTCTAACAGAAGTTCTAGGAAAATATCAGTTGCAGGTTTTTCCTGAGGCGGGTCATTTCATTCATGAAGACCAGCCCACTAAGACTGCTCGTATTCTAGTTGATTTTTATAAAAGAAACGATAGAAGCGCCCTTGTATTGCCCCCAAAGGTCGGTGACATGATGGCTACTAAGGCAATGTCAAAAGTCCTTGGTTTTCCATCATCATGAGCTAAAAACTGTAGCTACTTGCCACCTGAAATCAAATGCAACCGAAGTGTTGGAAGAAGTTATTCAAATCAATCAAGGTTCCATTAGGTGGCAGTTAGTCGCGGAGTATACTCTTGGGGAATACTGGATTAATCCGGCAATTTTATGGCCATAGCAAATAGAAAGAACGCCTTCCACAATATCAACCGTTGCTGTGTCAGCTGCCACTCACCCAAACGCCACAAAATCGCATGCCGTCCCTATGCTCCTATCAAATTTCCAACCCATGCACATAACCGGAAAGTTTAAGGATGCACAACCCAAAATGGCGAAGCAGTGGCACAGCATAAAATACTGCTAGGGATTCATGGTAGATACGCACCGCCAGCGATGACCAGATTCATTCCTGTAAATTGGACTTTGTAGACCGGGCTTTTCTTAGTTGGAAAGGCACTGATCTGGTCCGGGGTGACAACGACGTCTTTTCCCTTTTTCTTTCCACTTGCAGCTCCGGTCTGAGTTGTAGAGGAAGCTGCCGTGTTTGTACCGTCGATCTTTGTCCCCGTTCCTCCCTCACCGATAATTTTTCCTTGACTATTAGTAGGGTCCATGGAAGGACCCGTAACATCCCAGACTCGAACGGTTCCATCCGCGCCGCCAGACACGAGAACCGTAGACTCTGCACTCCAAGATAGCGACCAGATTCCACCCTTTCCATGGCCACGCATCCGCTTGAGAAGTCTGCCGAGTGCTAAGTCCCAGAGGAAAATGGAGCCATGGTCATCAGCCGATGCCAGCGTCTTTCCATCCTTACTACAGGCCATCGAGGTAATGTTACCTGTGTGCCCCGTAAACATACGGACAGCATTTCCGGTTGTGACTGCCCACATACGAACTGTTCTATCACAGCTCCCAGTAAAAATGTACGCTGAATTAGGGTGGAAACAAACGCAGTCGACATCCTGATCGTGACCCGCAAATATTCGTTGTTGGCGAATGCGATCGGTAACCCACAACCTTGCAGTTTTGTCATGACCACCAGAAATAAAATAATGGCCATACGGACCCCATGCCAAGTCCCAAACGGGCTGGTCATGTCCCTTGTAAACTACCATGCATTGCCAAAGATCGAGGGACCACAATCGAATGGTCTTGTCGCCAGAAGACGAAAGAAGCCAGCGAGTATTTGTTTTGACTTCTGCCTCGTCAGGACTAGCAATTGATGGCGCAAACGCAACCGCAAAAACAGGTCCAGAATGGCCATAAAGGCGACGAGAATTCGAAGGTTTGAAGTCTTTATCCTCAAGTTCAGGATAAGTGGGCTGTATCGGAAGGCCATCTACACTCCATACACGAATGTATGAATCTTGCATGCCGGCTGCAACAAGCATGCTATCGCCCGAAAAGTCGAGGCAATTTATTCTTTTAAAGGAATCATCAGTATAAAAGTTCCTGTCATTATTATGAAAGGCGTTTTACGTACCCATCGTATGTGTTGTGGAATGTAAACATGCAAACGCTTATAGCGGGACCAACGCCACCTGTGCGGCTCTCAATTTTGAACCTATCGCGATTTTCCTTAACCCTTTGAACTTCAATAGCGACATCTCGAGCAAGTGAAGACGGATATGGGATATCAGAGCGAGAAGGGGACTCGACGTCTTCTTCCTTTTTGATCATTTGTTCAAAATGCTGGACGAGAGAGGGTTTTCCAGGAGGAGGGGGCTCCTTAGTATCTGCATCTTCTAGCTCGGCTCTCACATCGCCTTCAAGCTCAGGTTCGAGGGGAAGTTTTCCAAGTTTAAGGCGTGGGAGAGTGCCTGCCATTGCGGGGTTATCACCAGTGTACGCGGAGCCGGGGTGATGACCTGGAATCCCTTCATCTTCCAGAGGTGGGCCGCCGTCAATATCTTTGGCCCTAGCCAGCATTGCTGCAAAACTGAACCTGTCATCGGAGGAACGATCTTTGGTAATTATCGTACAGTAACTGCTAAGCAATGCCGATACCAATGATCCTTCCTTGCCTTTGCTCTCGAGATATTGCATAAGGTTCGAAAAAGCAGGATTGCTCAGTGTGAGACGATATTTGTTCTCTCGGTAAGTTTTTGCAATAGCATTGGTGTTCAGGTGCTCTGGAAGTGTGACAGGGCTTAGTGTGCGAATATCGTCGCTGTGATCTGGGAGAAAATAGTCCTTATTTGTGTCAAAGAACTGACGAGCCTCTGCTGGAGCTAGGGTTGACACAAGGCTGATGTGCGAGTAAACAAAAATAGGCCATAGAATACGCCGGAGTTCAGGCTGACATTGCGTTAGCTATTAAGTCTTCAGGTAACGAATTCTGCATACCTTGTAGATGTCCAGGTTATTCTCGACCCATGCCCTGATCATATCTTCGTTCATGTTAAAGGATGAAAATGGTTGTTTGAATATTAGACAGGAAAGGCTGCAACGTACCAAATGCAGGCCGAAACCTTGCACGTGAATCATCACCAGTAGGCGGCAGGGGGCGCCCGTCAATTTCTTGATTTGCGGATTCCATCCTAAGCATCATTTCCGTGCGATTATAGCCTTTCTTCGCCAGATAATCAATGACCTGACGAGCCGGGTTGATTAGCCATATATGAAAGAAAAAAGAAGGGGGTAAAATGTAGAAAATAATAAACTCAAGTGCTGTATAGTTGGGAGAAAGGTAGACAGACACAAGGGAAAAGGGAAAGCGTTATCAAGATTAAAAAAGCAGACATTTCATATTAGACATGACATCCATATTGTCTGACATATAGTTTTCTTTTGGGGTAAGGTGAAATATATTTCCCCGTGGCTTCAAATGGTTTTCAAATTTCCTTCCTGAAATTTCAATCGAGGTACATGGATGGACAAAATTGGGGTATAGGGCTCATAAGAGCTAGAGGGGAACTTAGTAAAACAAAGTGGAGGGGTGACTTCACTGAAGTGCACGTGAGATTCGTGAGAACTAATCTAACAAGGCAATGGTATTGCCAAAAGCAGTGGCAACACTTTTCGTCTGAAGAAGGTTGTGACATTCCATTTCACTGCAGAAGACCATGCAATTGAAATTTAAGTGAGAATAACAGAAAAAGGACAAGACATTTGTATACACCAGAAAATAACCAGAAACAAAGTCAAAAGTCGCAACTTGTCTTAAATAGCAGGGTGTTGAACATGACTTACAATCTGATTCAGGTTTTGTTGTGACATGACTTGGGGAGACGAACTTGTAGTAGTAGTAGGGGTTCCGCTACTAGAAGCGTGGGTATTGCTGATCGGCTGCTGTTGAGCTGAGGGAGGCTGTGGGTTATTTGGCCCAATACTGCCACCGCGCGGGCCAGGGCTTGGAGCTGGAGCCGACATGTTATGCGCTCCTGAAGTGAAGAAAAATATGGAGTAAGTCTATGTAACAAAATAGTCAGCTACAAAAAATTAGGAAGCAGCAGCTGAGAATTTTGCATTCAATGAAAAGGGTATCATGGCAGATTTTCCAAAAGGCCGCCGGTGCTTGCTAGTTGTTGGATGAAGCGTCGGTTGATATCGAGCGATGGCCAAGTGCTTAGTCATCGCGATCGTTCTTTTCATCACGAAAATGCTGATCAACGACTACGATAATTGCGCAATGAATGGCATACACAAATCGGTGCCGAACTCCCACCGGTGCGCATATCTAACGGTGGAGTATTTGGTCGAATATTTCCCGTCGCAGATCTATTTCTCAAACTCACCACACCAACGGCGCTCCCTTGAAGGTTGAATAAGGGTGCTGACGTGCTTAGATATAGAGCTTGCGTATCCCGAGTTTACACTTAATAACTGAATTTATAGATGATTATGTTGTGAGATTATGGAAAATATTGCTAGAATTACATGATATCTTATAACTTATCTCATCGCGTCCTATAATACTTTACTGCGAGTTCGCTCTGCTCGCTTCTCCACTCTTGCTACCAAGTACTCCTATCACAATTCTTCAAGCAGGTTCTATTGATTTTGAGGGTGTATATTCTGTATTTAGGGTGTAGGGCTGCACCCTGCACCTGATCTATTCAGACCAATCTGCGCCATAGGAGTAGTTAACCAAGGTTGATTAAGCATAATCTTTTTTAGCTAGTTATTTAAGAAAGGGTTAGTAAAAGGTTTAAGATTGTTTTTGGCTAATCAAAGTAAATAGGACTTTGATATGGTAGGTAGTAGGGCAAGGTAGGCACAAGAGACACGTTACACTACTCCGAGTACTTGTTTCACGCGTTTGAGTAGATTTCGCCCGGACGGGTCTGTACGTTTCTGAGCAAATATGTTGGCAAAATGCTGCCGGTGCGTCTGATCCAGTCCCGCGCGTATTTCATAAACCTTCTCTGGGAAAGTAAGAATGAGAAATTGGATATCTGTAAAATCGTTTGAGGAACCTCGAGCAAAGAATGCCCCTAGCTTGCTCTCTGCAATAGATTTAATGTTTAGGACAGCAAATGTCTGCGGCCCCGTTTCCGTATTTATGCTGATCGCCTCGGATGATGTCCTGAGGTCGCTTGGTGCGCCAAGTGAGCCTTAACATACAGTAACTACCGTCAGCGAAGTTCACTGTTCCTCCTGAGGGAGTCTCAGATCTACCTTGAAGAATCAAGTCAACCATGACATGAATTTCGGGCTCATTTCCCGACTCCACTTGCACAAACAGCCTCAAAACCCCCGACATAGGGCCTAGGGGCCGGAGAATACTGAGATACAATATGTCAGTAATGATAGTTTTCGGATCGAGGGAACCAACCGTTCATTATTTGATACTGCCTGTATGAGTTGTAACATATTGCATCCGGCCGCAATATCAACATCGAATGTATCACGCCGACTTCCGCGAAGCGACAGAGAGAAACCACCCATCAACGCATAAGGAATATTACTAGCCGTAAGTTTTTGAGTAATTTGGCGTGCAGCTAAGAGCAAGTGCTCATTGCGTACGAGGCGGGAAGCCCGTGCAAGAGCCATACCTTGCTCTACTGTATAGGTACCAGATACCTGTGCCATACTTTGCGACAGTAGAAACAAATCGGTGAAACGGAGAAGGGAGTCTCTGTAGTTATCCTAAGCTTATGTTAACGAGCCGAGCTCCCTGGCTTTTGCTAGTATCATAAGGGCGCGTGGCGCGGGTGGATAAAGAGCTCTAGGCTACTGAAATGAGGGGCGCCTGGCGCGGGTAACTACCTGTTAGTGGGTAAAGCGCTAAGAGGCTTGGCAGGGTCACGGGAAACTTTGTAAAAGCATCTCAGGCCCTCATCATCTCAAACCTTGCTTTTGCTCAAAGCGATGTGGTAAGAGCACTTCGCAACTAGCAAGAGCGGAGCAGCACCTCGGCCTGTACTCTGAGTGTTAACTTGAACGAATAGCAGGCGTGCCCGAATATGGTTAAACGTAAATTCTCTTCTCCAACCGTGGGTCCCCAGAGGTCTTTGCATAAAACCTTGAGGCATAATATTCTTTTGGGAGTTCAAACCCAATTCGGTTCTCTTTTGTTCCAACAATTCGTTTCCAGGTCTCCATTTTGCTCGTAGCATGTGTAGCAAGCTCCAAAAGACAAGAGTAATCAGTTAACGGGACTGACGATCGAATCTTCTCGTTTTTACGAAAAGCCCATGCTACATCATTTGTCCCATCGAGATTCAGATGCTTCAGACCCCACTCCTCTGTCAAATTCATACCGTCAATCAAATCAGTCAAGGCCACCTCAGAATCGGTATCTAGCAGACTTTGGGCGAAAACTGGAAGCGTTGGGTACGGAAGGCCCATTTGACTTCTCTCTATATTTGAGGGCACGCATTTCAGGTAGGCATCTTCTGCCGGGATGATAACGAAATAAAGCGTGACACCACGGATTTTGAAGCGCGGGAAGGTATGGTAGAGGCAACCAAGTTGAGGCGTTTCGTCAGGGAACGCCTGATATACTTGACTGTGGGGTTCCGACTCGAAAATCTGCGAGGCTTTCTTAAGCAAATCTGTTGGCACGCAGACTTCCCAATCCTGGGTTACCGGTCAGTAAAATTGCAGAGCAGAGATGATATGTACTAACATGTCGGACTCGTTCTGCGCCATAGTATTTTAATGCAGAGACTCCTACTAGACAGCAGCAGATACCAGCGTTTTCAAGTATTTTTATGACTTTTAATACGTCAGGGGTTCCTGTACCGTAAAGGCTCGGGGGAGAGTCGCCTGGAAAGCCGAAGGAGGGCAATGTGACGATGGGAGGTGGCTCTGGATCTTTGCATGAACAGGATGAAGCGTTCGTAATTGCAGGAGTAGGATCCATATCTGATTTTGAGAAATTCACTATATAACCCAAAGTCAGATGTATCGCAGATTCTTATGGGCCGAAAAGCAAGACCTTTACTCCCAAAGCAACGCCTTGTGTTGAATCAATTTCTATACAGAATATCCAGTTAACTTGATTAAGTGTATTTGACTTTAGTAATGTCTTTGTATTGGAGTACAGCTAGCTATTTCTACCACAAGTACAATTACACCTACATACAAAGAACCTTCCAGAAAATTTCTAAGTCCGCAAAAACTATGAAAACAGTAAAATCTAGTAGAATAGTATGAGGTTCTGATGTGGTAATGTGTGAGAATGAGTAACTACTATCTTCTGTGAGAGTAAAATGTATGGTAAAAAAATCCAATATTGACTATATGATTCTATTATAGAGTATTAAATACATTTTCACTAATTGGTTCAACAGTATTTTAAAGAACAGAGAGATTGAGAATATAGATTAAGTAATGATAACATTAAGAATGCAATATGTTGTGCAGTGTAGACAGCTGCATATGTTAAATTGAAATCTCAGAATAATGGCAATCTGATTTAATATTATTATGCAATTATTGGATCAACATTGTGCTGAGTTACTATGGAGTGGCAACATTGCCACTACCATAACATTACGGTATTCCACAAAATTCCAATGAAAAGCGCAATTTATCTATCATATTCGTCGCGACTATGGATTCGAAAGAGCCGGATCACACCTTTAGTGCTGCTGATCGCATTCGGCAATTGAATGAAATTGATCAAGTTAGTTTGCGACAAAGCAGGCTCACGCAGCGGCTGACGCTTGATAGGATGTTGCCAAACTCCTCCATGCTGCTGGACTCGCTGTTCAAGCACTAACAAACGCGCCTCTTCCTACCGATAACCCTTCTCAAACTGCTTCTTCGTCTTCCGAGAAAAATGTCCTAGACGCTCATAAAGACGCTTTTAAGGAAGCCTCCTCCCAATATTTTTCCCTCCTTTCTTCAATCGATGTTCGTCTTCGTCGGCAAGTCTACGCCCTTGAGGAAGCATCAATCATTCGCCCCGAGTCAGCAGTAAAAGCCGGCGAAGGCGTTGGTATTGGTGCCGTGCCTCCTGCCCCAGGAGCAACGAACCCGTTGGAGATAAGCTGGCTGAATACTCGCAAAGACACTGTTGAGAAGGAGAAGGAAGCGGAGTTATGGGCAGATGCAAGAGAATTCGTTTTGAAGTTGAAATCGAAAACCACGGATGGCGGACCTAAGCCGCAATCCAATGACAACCTGCCGAAGGAAATGGACGTCGATTGATTGTCTGTCACTAATCTAGATTACCTCTCCGGTGCGCCCAAAAATCAAGACGAAGACCAAGCCAGAATAGTTCAGATGCCGCCCCCATTTATGAACAACATACATACTAGAAATATGGAAACTTGAAATTCTACGGAAACGACCTGTAGTTTCCTTTAAATTCGATCCGTATCTGTTATCATTCTGAGAAATATGAATGGACCCACGTCGCCCAAGGAAGGAGGTTTCTGGGAATATGGTCATTGGTTATCATGCATTAAAAGTAGAAAGGCTCGTTAGAAAGATGGTATGATGTCTATCCATTTTGCTAGGTATGTGTGCGTGTTTGTGTGTATACATGCCAATGATATTGACTTGGCTATAGCCACTAAGAACCATTTGTCGGGAGGAAAATGGCCAACCAAAGCCTTTATTTCATCATCGAGTTGATCATGTCTCTATGGGCGGAACGATCTCTGTTTGTCTCAGATAATGGTTGAATACCTTGAATGATACATGGGTTAGTGTATTGGAAGAGGAATAAACAATATAACATTGGAACTTACTTCGCAGTTCAGAAACTACATCCTTCGCCTTTCCAAAATACACTTCCTCTATATGAAGATCCTGTCAGCCCTCGTCACACAGTGCACGAAGCCAGCAAAACCATGTGTAATAGCAATAAACCCGAAATGGCACTTACGTAGTAAATTTCTCATTTTCAACTCCATATCCTCTACCAACCGACCAACATTGGCGACATGGCTCGCTTCTCCTTCAATAGGCATATCTGCCTCAATCTGCCGCGTCATATTGCCACTAAGATCCATTTCTCCAAGAGCCTCGGAACCGGTAGATAGGTGTAGAATGACAGTACTTGTAAGCTTGTAGTGGCAGGTTCGTCCTCGGTCAGTGGCCTCAAAGACATGAATACTATCCCACGCCCCTGAATTCTTTGAGCCCGGTGTAATTCCTAACGCAGAATTTCCGTTAGCGAAACCTATCCATAATTGACCTTGCATAGGCCTTTGGAGCAAACAAACCTTTCTTTAATAGCACGACTCCCGCAAACCCATCATCGTCCAGATCCCAAAAGTATACGCTCCCAACCCCACCTTCATAATAGAGCTCTCGATAAACATCAAACGCCTCATTTGCCGCAACCTCTAGCTTCCTCACCCTCTCACTAGGAACTGTGCCATCCTCGAGCGGTGGGTCGAACTCGTTGCTCCAGGGACTCCGGTAGCTGTCTCCGTCGCGATTGTAGTCACAGAGCAGATAGTCGCGGCTGGTGCGGGCACAACGCCGGATTTCAAGCGGTTGATCGACGGAAGCAAGAAGATCTTCTGTGAGGTCGGGGACCAGTGTAGTGATGTATTGGAGATTGCGCTTGGTGTCGCGGGGTGAGAGGCGACGGAGGAGGTCTCTACGGACGAGTTGATGAGCTTCAATGCTGTAATGGGTGGGGTATGGGTGCAACACGAATTCCAAAATCGCGGATTGATGGCACTTACAATGCACTGTCAAATTGCGTATCCGCCATGGCAATAAATTGTGAGGCGCTTCCTATGCGACTGGTTCTCGAATGCTGTTGTTCGCGGCCAGGAATCTCTGGTCGACATGATACATACCAGCTTCCCCACAAAGTGCGTGGCAACACGGGGCTTGCGTGAAACCCTCGCCCTCCCTCTTGTACATCTGTGGAATATATGAGTGTAAAGACACAAGAAATTTTGGAAATTTTTGAGACGAATCCTAATTACAAAAGTTGAAGTATGTATTTATTTATCCGAAAAAGACCCCTATTCATTATCACTATCGTCACTGATCACAAATCGCTTCCTCCGCTGAGACGGCAGGGGGCTATCCACCTCATTGATATCAGGCTCAGTAGGTGGTCCGCGCTTCTTTCCAGTGCTGAGTGCTTCAAGAATCAACTGGTCAAGATCCATACCCTGCACGCTCTCACAATCAGATAGTGGTTCACGGGGTTGAGGCGTATTCAAGGTACACGGATCATCTTCCCGGTCTGTGGGCAGGTCTTCGAAGTCCAAGCTATCTCCATAGGGATTATCCATAAAAGCTGTATGCTCGTCCTTGCACGTAGGGCTTATACTTCTAATCTTTCGAAGTGTTTCAACGAAGCGGCGAGTACTTCGTCCGTGTGGTATGTATCTTGTAGGTCGCAGCGATCTCTGCAATACCGGATATGCATCCATTCGAACGGTAGGAGCCGGTTGGTTGACGATCGCCTGAAAATCCCGATCTTTTGCCAATTCATCGCTCTGATTTGCACATAGATCATCAAGGTCCGGGGCCTCCTCAAGCTCGGGGCTCGGCGAGCGAACGGGTTTCTGTCTTTTTGAACCCCGGCTTGAATTGGTGTTCGTGCGACCCAGGCGTGAGGCTTTTGTGAAACCCGTTTCTACATCATCTGGCATGTGGAATTTCTTTGGTGGCCGCTTAGGTGCGCGAGCGCGCTTAGCCGGCTCAGGGAGCCCCGGCTGAGAATTTTCAATTGGGATCTCAATCACCCTCTCGTCAACCTCTGGCTGAATTGCTCGCGGAATGATCCGCGGCGACTTGTCATCGTGAAAGTTGAAGCTTTTACCGGAAGCAATGAGTTGTTGCATTTTTTCGTAGCTATCTTTTGCCTTGTTGTAGGACTCTTCTTCTTTGCCTTTTGATAAAAGAAGTATGATATTTCCAGATCGCTTTCTTCCTGTTCGCCCCATTCTCTGCAACATGCGAATTGGCGAAGAGTGCCCGTCATAACAAATAATCAGGTCGACCTCACCTATGTCCAACCCTTCTTCACCAATAGAGGTCGCAACAATGGTATTATAGATGCCGCTCTTGAACTTGGACACAACCGCTAATTGTGTCTTTTGGTCCATCCCCTCTGACCCCTTCGCATTGGCCTGGCCGACAAAGACATGCGGCCGGATCATCGGTTGGTGTCTTTTAAGCACACGAACTATCTCTTCAGCACTGTCGCGAAAATGACTAAATATCATGACACGAGTGCTGCTAGAATCGGATTTTTCGCCATTTTGGTCACTCCCGCCTTCGTTATCTAAAAAATGATTCAAAATCGCCTCTCTTAGGTATTCCAACTTAGGGTGCCCTATGAAGTCTGGATTATTCGTCCAAGAACGCAACCTTGACATTAAGATCTTAAAATTGCCGTCCGAAGCAATTTGAGCAGAAGATCTTCCTCCCTTTTTTTCTTTCAAAACCGAATCCTCAAAAGAGACTAGGTTTCTAAAGAATGGTCCAATCCCGTGATATTTTAGAAGATCAATCGCATGCGCAAGGCTGGCAAGCACTGTAAATAGTGAGTTGATAGCACCTTTCGCAGGCCAGGACGCTGCTCTCCCAGCCGAAGAGTTGTTCCACTCCTGCCGAGCTTTCGTGAGACCAAAGGGGGTGAGCGCCATGGGGTCTCTTCCCCAGTAGGCATTTTGGTTCCGAAGTTTATCGACAGTGGATTGAAGTGCTTTAGAAAAAAGTTCCATGGCAGCCACCATTTCTTGAGAGTTTTCGAACGTTTTTAACTCGACGTTTCGCGAGTGGATAAATTCGCGAATATCAAGAGAATGTTCCGTTCGAATTTCAATTCTGGATATATTTAACCCATCAATTACTTCCTGCACAGCTTCAACCGTGGCGCCAGGCGTAGCAGTCAGAGCCATCACTCTGAAGCTCTTATTAAATCGATAAAGAAACTTAACAATCTCAACATAGGCATACGCGCCAGTTGCACGGTGAGCTTCATCAACGACTAGCAGGACTATACGCTTCGGGTCAGCAATGCCGGTTTTAAGATCGTTCATTATTGTCTGGGGTGTCATAAAAAACACTCGTTTGGACTTCCATTCCTCGGCTCTCACGCCTGGTGGGGTGTTTCCCGTAAGCAAAGTGGTCTGAGAGCGAGGGATTCCCACAATATTAAAGCAGGCCTCAACTTGCTGTGATACGAGCGGCTTCGTTGGTGCAACGAATACGATCTGAGAGCTTTTCGTCCAGTGAAGCCAATTCAGCATGACCGTGGCGGCGATGAAGGTCTTTCCGAGGCCTGTGGGTAGTGCAACTAGTAGGTTGTGAAACAGAGCTCTGTAGGCTATATTGTACTGATATTCTCTCTTCCTCCCTAGGTTATTTGGAAAAGTCCAGCGTTGGAGAGCTTCTTCGTTAAGCTCGTGGTGGGTAGGAGGCTCATTCTGACTTGCTAGCGGCCAGCTACGAGATGATGGCTGGGATGCGGCTATATTGCTAGTAAATCCTCCAAATAGTGTAGTCTGACGAAAACTTCCATTTTGAGAACCTCGCGACCGATTTTTTTGTGATAGCTGCTGTGAAGAAATCAAATTTGGGACATTATTATTAGTAGTATTCCCATACTCGGGTTCAAAGTCGAACGCATCATCTGGGATGTCATCAAACTCAAACGAAGCTTCCTCCTTAGGAGTTTGCTTATGAGCCGTAGCCCCCAGGCCTCCACCAGGGCCATCAACTGGGTTCTCAAACGATTCAACGGGTACCCGGGCCCACTGCTCCTCTTTGAACGACTGAAGCGATGCAGCAATGGCAGCATCAATATCCTCATCTTCTAGCTCATCCTCAAAGTCAGGGACAGTTTGTTTTTTGCATTCAGCTCTCGCGGGACTTCTTTTTGCTTGAAGAATAGATTTTTGCCTCCCGGGTGCTTTCCACCGGGGGCCGCGAATCACAGATGGACTAGACGGCGGTTGGGTCTGGCTCACAAACACAGGCTCGTGGTCGACATGGTATTTCGGCAGATGAATTTTGGACTTTCGTGCGGCGACTTTGTCATCGTGAGTTGTCGCTGGCACGGAAGAATTCGAAACAGCTTCATGGGCCGCACGGCGGCCCGTAGTCTCCGGGCTTAAACGTCGTCGTTTGGCAGGTCGCAAAGCTCCTGGGGGGAGAGTGTCATTGGAAGCTTCGATGAAAAGCCCACTGTCACAGTCGAAGTCGCTAAACACATAGCCGTCAGTATCAGACATTTCCTAGCATGCCAAGCGTGGACATGACACGCACGTAGCGGTCACCGACGCTCCATTCGGAGTATTCTCCAGCGAGCCCACCACGATGGAGCTTCTTCGTATACTCTGTATGCTCTCAAAGACGTTTCTCCTCGCCGGCAGAAGTTCGGCTCACGTGTTTTGTAGTGACGCGTTAGCACGTGACCGTGTCGAAACGCGGCGGGCTAGCGGGATGCCTGCGCATGACATCACGGACAGAGAGAAGCTTGTTGTTGTTTCTAAAAAACCCTGGCTGATGGGGGTGGCCCGCTCGCGTTCACACGGCCTGTTTTATTATTATGTACAGACCCCTTGCCTAACCGGCTATGCACTTTAACGGCAGACTTGTTGGGTATAGCGCCAATATCAAGTAAGATTGCTAGCAAAGCCAACCCGAGCCCACTTGCGTTAGCGTGTTGCGTGGCATCAGCAGCAGGAAGAAACAACTCCACCACCTCACAGTCTCCAGCACGCGAACAAGCCGTGCTATTGACCTCAGATACCCACGGCCTGGCTCTGCGAGCGCTCCGACATGCCGTACTAGGCGTGGGCCAGCGACCACACAGAATGCTATTGTTGGAGTGGTTCTGCAGCGGGCAAGAATGGGAGCAGCCAAGCCGCCTTGTCCACTAGCGAGGCAGGGGTTCTGCTGAAACACCGCAGTTGATCACAGCTGGATTTTATCTAGCGAGCGACTGGCCGTTGGTGCTGGGTGCTGCGCGGGCGATGGGGGAGACCACGGACGGGTTGTTTTGCGTGGCCCGTACGATGATGCATCTCCGAGGCCCTTCCAGCAGGCGGCGCTGCAGCTAGGATCGCGGGCGTTGCCGTCAGCTGCGAAAGAGGTTTGTTGATCCGGCGATGGAGCAGAAATCGAACGCCACCAGCCAGCGGCCAATCGCGCGGCGTTGCCCAGGGTATGGTGGGTGACGGTGGCCTCGCTATGCCGCACCCAGTCCCAGAGGATCGTCTTTGTCAGGCCAATGATGCCCGGCGCGATCTGGTGACTCGTCTGCTGCCCCTTTAAAAGGGCTGCTGGCGCCAATTTTCCCCCAGAAACTGTTTGTTGTTGTCCTGCTGTTTCTGCCCTTAAGACGCTCGCTATTCCCCTTCTTCTCCATCAACCACATCCACTCGTTTACTTTTCTTCTGTCGTTTTTTTCTCCCTCTACCCTCCATTTAATCCTAATACCAGTTTCCGGCTTTCTACCTCCCATTCATCATGAAGTTCTCCGGTGTTGTCGCTTTCTCCCTCTTCGCTCTGGCCTCTGCCCAAAGCCAGTCCTCTACCGCTCCACTGTCGCCAGCGGCCAGCTGTGCCCTTAAATGTGTGTCAATCTAGCGAAAGGTTTTGTTGCATGGGACTGACTGATTAATGCTTTGGAACTAGGCAATCCCACCGACGTCTGCTGCAGGGCTGCGTGCGCTGGTGTTCCCTGCCCTGATGCTGATGCTGCCAAAAAGACCACCGAATGCGCCGCCAAGTGTCCCCAAGGCAACGGAAGCCAGGCACAAACTGAGGCCTACGCCCAGTGCCAGCAGGCTTGCATTAAGTCCATCTACTTGTCGTCCGCTGCTACCCCTCCTCAAACCGGCGCTCCCGCCCAGCCAACCAGCGCTTCGTCCCCAACCCCTATCCCCAGCCCCAGCCCCAGCGGTAGCTCTTCCGGAACTGCCTCCGGCAGCTCGTCTGTTCGCCCAACTGGTAGCAGTTGTATGTTATGCCCTACATTGCTATATTTTCGCATTCGTCATAGCTGACATTTTTCACAGCAAGCACCAGCACTCGCGCAAGCAGCTCCGCCAGCGCCACCAGCGCTGCCAGCACTCCTAACGCTGCTGCCGGTCTTTCCGGTGCTTCTGCTGGCACTTTCTTCGGCCTCGCACTCGCTGCCTTTGCCCTCTAAATGAAGCTAATCATGCCCTTCGCTCGACCAAAGCGATGACCACGAGACCTCGTAATGCTGGTTGGGGCTGTTGGTTTGGTGTTTGGATATATGTGTGATCTGTCAATAGTAGGATTCTTTAGTACTTGGACCTTAATACTGAAAGATTAATATCCTTTTACCCGTCTTCTTTTTTTACTTCGTTGTCGCCCATAGTGTTCCCACTTGCAGTGAATCCATCTCTAAAGAGCTTTCTCATCTCTACACGCCATTCCCTTTCCCTCTCCGTAATCCAGTATCTCTTGTTCGGTAGTACAGACAGACTACTGGCGTCAGAACATTACTGAGTACCCCATACACACAGGGCACAAAGTCATTGAATCGGCCAAACGAATATTGGTACTTCGTATTCTGTACAAGAGTCGCCGCCTCATCCGGCCTTTTGCATATCAGTCGCACAATCTTCAACCTAGCTGTGCCAATATACCAATGAACATGGAGAAAAGGACTTTCATTGTTCCATTTAAGTTGCACATTTTTAAGTCCGGCTGTTGATGATCACTGTTGGCATTCCTGTCAACATTTAACATTTCCAGAGTGCATCTGTCATGTGTGACAGAACAGCTGTGCTAGAAACGTCTGGTTAGGTGATGCACAAGCATGACGACCGTGCATTTATACAGAGTATCTATGCCAACACAATGATATGATATGATATCCAATCGATACATCCTCTGTATGCTGTCCGTTCATTCCGAGACAACAAATCAATGTGAGACTATGGAACTGGCCCTTAGTCATCGCTGAACCTTCACAGCGCAATCTCTTCCACCCAACTTTCCGTCCTCCACCAATCGTCGAAGCCACATGCACAACATCGGGTAAGGCATGGGATCTCTCTGGTTTCAAATGAGTCTCTGTCCAGATGGCTCGGTTGATATCGAGTCTTTGGCCGAGGCCTCTTCCCAATCTCTCAGTCACCCGTCTATCCAAGACACGAGCCTTCAGCTGCGATCGGAATTTACGGACCTTGAGCACCATGGACGGGCCCAACCATAACCCTCTAGTTTCCGACAGTGTCTTGATTTCGCGCATGCGATCCTTTGTCACGAACCAGATGCAGCACTACGACCCTTCTCACAACCCGGCGCATATCACCCGCGTTGTCCGCCTCGCCCACCGCCTCCTCGCCGCCGAGCGCGCTCGCGGTTCGCGGATCGTATACAATGACTCACTCGTCACCCTTGCCGCCCTCCTTCACGATATCGGAGACAGGAAATACCTAACACCGGGCAGTACACAAGACCCCACCACGATAGTCCGTGATACCATCATCCGCAGCGGCGGCGAGCCGTCGTTTGCTCAAAAGGTTCAGACCATAGTTTCAAACGTCTCCTACAGTACGGAGGTCAAGGACCCCAGCGTTGCCAGGCGTCTCATCGCGGAGGAAGGGTTCCCAGAACTAGCTATTGTGCAGGACGCAGACCGTCTAGATGCAATAGGCGCGGTGGGCATCGGGCGGTGTTTTACCTATCTGGGTGCTAAAGGGCCGCGGCAGGGGATTGGCGGACCTCTGCCTTGGGAACTCGACGAGGCAGTGGACCATTTTAGCGAGAAACTGTTAAAGCTGGAAGCGATAATGAAAACGGACTCTGGTCGTGATATGGCCCGGAAGAGGACGTTAAGAATTCAGGAGTTTATGCACTGGTGGCAGGACGAAATGGGTGATGTCAGCAATGAAAGCGCGCATCGCAATTAATGCTGTAACGTCGTGGCTGTCGGGGAAGGTTGAATGGCGTTTTCTAGACGTCGCTCAGCTAAGCTCGAAGCATTGCTTTTACTCGACTCACTATCAACGACCGCCTTTAAACTCTGGCTTTCGGGTGTTTGGCTCCAAATATGTACCTCGGTTCTTCCAACATATTATTAGACAAAACGATTACAAAGTACCAAAGAATTCTCAGTATGAGATTAAGAATAAATAATAACACATCAGACTACACGTAGGTAGATAATATACTAGGTATCTCGCCAGATAGCTCAGTATATAAGAGCAAAATCCAAAGACATACATATTCATAGTACCAACAACGCCCAAGGAAAAGAAATCCAAAAATTGTTTGAAATGTGAATACATAAAACGAAATCCAGCAGCATCGAAATCCGGGAGGCAACACCCATGATAACTCCACTGATTGCAAATAGACTATGCGCGCCGACTCTATTACTGTGGTGTGGACTATAGCATCAACCACTGACGACAATACCTCAACCAAACGCCCGACTTGATCGATTCAAGTGTATGCTGTAGTTAGTGTCTGAAACAAAGCAGACAATATATGTGATAAAAAGAAGAGGATTAAAAAGAGAAAGGAAAATAAGAGCAGATATCAAACCCGATCGGCCGCGAAGTCAAGTATATCACAATCGTCCTCAAAGAAGCCTTCCTCGTTGCCTTCAGAAGTACCATAGGCGTCTCCAGAGCCAGTTCTTTTCTTTTGTCGAGTGGTCAATACTGCATATTCGACGGTGCCATTTCTTCTACCTAGGTTTATGTGGTTTTCCATTCCATTTTCGCATAGGTTTGAAGGATCAGTGGTATTCTTATTAGCTTGAAGCAGGAGTTTCCTGGAAGGTGTACTTTTCCCAAATACCCACGGATCGGCATCTGGGCCTTGGTCCTGGTATTTCGCAGTAAAAATTTCAAGGTTGACTCGGCGGTCTGTGTGGAAAGGTTGATAGGGGGCGTTTGTCTCAATCTCTGCCTGAGAAAGGGGCGAACACTTCACAGTCGGAGGAAATGTCAATGGTACTATCGGAGGGGGTGACCAGTGTCCAGCAGTTTCAACGTTTATCATTGTAAGTAGGGTTTGGCTTGGCCCAGGCGGGATACGCAGATATGAGGGAAGAAGTACTTCCCGTACTTTAGTCCCAAACGCCGATTGCTCTTGCTTCTTTTTCCCGTCTCGAATCTTATAAACCCGAAAGAACTCGCCATCAACGATTCCTAGCAAAGGCTCACAGTCATCGCCAAGCCAGGCCATGCGGCACGGAGCGGCCTCTCTGGCAAAAGCACGAAGGTGCAAACGGTTCTCTCCGAAATGCCTAATAGCATTCATCGTCTCAGCTGCTGCCCCCACTGACTTGCTCAATCCCGAAACAATAACTTTACTTCCACGAGAAGTAGCGAAACCTATGCCCACTGTTGCAAATGCGGCGCCAACGCTCGGTGCTCGTCCCCTGAAGGCAGACAATATGGGCTGAGTCGTGTCACCAATTACTTTAACAGCAGTAGAAATACCATATCCACGTGGCGATGGATCGTCAAGTTTCTCTTTTGTTGAATCATCGGAATTGGGCTTTTGGTGACGCTGAACCCTCCGAAGCGGTGGCCATTGATAAGCGCTTTTTGGGATATCATATAAGTGAATAGTACCATTCTTCGTGGCGATTCCCAAGCGCTCTCCGATGGGCTCTGTCCATTTCACATCAAGAATACTTGTCATTGTTAGCCGGTCAAATCTTGCTACCTCCCGAACGTATGCTGGAAGAGATGGAGTAGTTTGAGATATATCATCCGTAACAACAAGTTTTGATCGACAGAACCGCATCTGCATAAGATCCCAAACGTGCTGGATATCTCCCTTTCTGCTTACGGTCAGAAGCATAAGACCGTTTGGTGACAAAGAGACGAAGCCGCATCCGTTGGGTGGCTGAAATGTCGCGACTGGGTTAATCGTTGTGACTTTACCATTTTCACCTTCTTCCAGACGTTTCAAATCAATCAAGGAGACCAAATCAGGTGATTTTACCGAGGGCTTTTCGGTGTCCTGAGAGTGGGTAGGTGGGAAGAAATTGGGATGGGGCGGATCCATGTGTGCTCCTCGACGCGAGGCCATATCTTGGCTATGGTGGGCGTCCTTATAGAAATAATTATTCCAAGTTTGCGCAACCTGGCCTCCAGTCCATGTCGCTCCTCGAAAGATCTCCTGAGTCACACCTCTTGTGAGATTAGTTAAAAAACTGCCATTGTCATAGTCTGCCACACAAGTCACAGTTGGCCGAGTTGGTGGGTTATGAGCATCTGTCTCATATATCCTTTTGTGGTGAATGTGACAGCGGATAGTGCCTCCTAGTGATGTTCGACTCGAAGGCGGTGGAGAAACAGCAAGCCATCGGCCACTTAGCGACAGTATTGGAGTCTCCGAGAATCCTATGTCATAGCCGAATTCGGAGTACAGTTCGTCGGTGGTAGTTGAATTGGATGACCCCGAGTGCCTGTGTGTATCCCTTACGCGAACATTGGTCCATGTCTTTCCAAGACAGCTATAGGGACTTCGTTGGTTTTTACTAGCACCAAATATCAAGACTTCGCCGCTTGTTCCGGAAGCAACAACAATATAATTTCCACTGGTGAACAATCTCAAATCTCCAGAAGGCGGAGGCACCGATGGAGATGACCCGGGAAACGCACTGTAGCATGTCTCGGGTTTGGTTGCAAAAAGGGTAGCAAGCAAACTTTGCGACCTAAGCGAGAATACTTGCACGCGGGTTTGCATATGTGGTAAATCTGATCGACCTGGATTGCCATCTTGCCTAGTAGAAATATTATCAGGCACAACGGAAGCTGGCCGCTCCGTGTCATCAGGAGTGACAGGACCAAATATTGTAGCCACAACAAGCGGTCGATGCAAGAGGAAGGGATCAGCCCCACAAGTCCAAGTTAGTATTTTTGCATCCAGTACCCTACCGTTCAGTCCTCGAAGAGCCCCAAGAAGTCGTGCCTGTTCGCCGTCAAGTGACAAGACTTCTAAGGCTCCATCCCGCCCGACGAGGAGAACTTTCTTCACAGAAGGACGAGGTTTTTGAAAGATAATATTATCAACTGCACAAAATGAAGACCCAAGTGTCTCCTGCGCCCTTGTGCCTATTGGAGGAATTCCAGGAATATCGATATCGGGTGCAGAGTAAAAATGCGCCTGAGGAAGATGGGGTGGAGGAGGGTAGCACTGCTGTTGGGTACTTATGGAGTTTCGTTTCTGCCTATCGTGAGACTGGTATCTTGGAGACTCAGAATGCTCGGTTCCAATACTCAAGGGTCGATGTCTGCTACGTGGAGGAGAAGCCGGAGTGGCGCTTCGGTCAAACGCCCCTCTATCTGTCGGCATGATAAAAGTAGGTGGAGATTCACCAATACTCGTAGCTTCTTGAGGCGGCGTACCACCAAAAGGGATGGACTTAGTCCAATCATCTGTCCGTATGTTGGTATCATGCAGTTGGGACAGAGGTAGCGAGGTAAGAGCATCTAGAACGGGCGACGTGGTATTCACCAACGCGGGCTCTCTTAAAAGTGTTGACGGGAAAGACTCAAAAAGGAGGTCAGGGGCATTCCTATAGACAGCTTCCGGTCAGTTTTTGGCCTGAAAGATAGCACAAACCAAAAAAGAAAACGTAGGTTGGGTGTCGACGCCGGGTCAGAACTTACCCCTTGTTAAACTGGGTATCTGGCTCGGCTTGCGCCATCTTGTTGTCTTTTCGGGCAGCATACTTCTTCCTTTTTGGAGCCACCGCGCCGGTGATAGAGGATGGAGAAGAAGACGCGTTGAGACTAGAGTCGGGGTGAGAGTTATGGGGGCTTGGGCTCGACAGCGGGGGCATATAAGCGATCAGCTGTTGCTATGTAAGTTGAGTGTAGGCCTCCCAGTCAAGGTCTATATTGCCTTGGTAGGACAACGTGCAGTTCGAAATCCCAGCGCGTGGATAAACGGAGCTCCCGGAGCTGGTCCAGCTTCGAGTTGAAGCCCTGGTTTAACACCAGTGGCAATAGAAAGGAGAGGCTTCACGTAGCCTGGCACTATACAAAGAGCGTCTTCCAGAGCGTATGCAATAAAAGTTGGGTGACCAACAGGCAGGAAGAGTTCTTGAGATGGTGATGACTGCGCCAGTGGTAATGAGGGGGAGGGGGGGGATCACGAATGACTGATGACTGCATGCATATGTAATGATCCAGACGAATGACAGACATATTATTACCCGGCGAAACAGCTGAACATGGCGGGTGGACCAGTCAGGACCACACTAAGATATGTATTATTACCGGACGTTACCACGCGTCTCGGGGCAACCGTTGGGGGCCAGCCAATGACGTCGTTGCCGGTCCCTGGTTCTGACATGCAAACAGAGCAAATTCCCAGGAACACGCGCTCGCCAAGCCATGTCAGCCCCACGGTGGCTTATGTCATCGTGTCGATAAGAGCTGACTCAGCAAGGCGTGTGATGCAGCCACCTCGACAGGGGCAAACCAGCGCATTCGCGACGCCCCGAAGTTTGGCAGTCAAACGCCATCCAGCACGAGACGCCCGGCCCCGGAGCCACACTTGGGGCTTCATCCCCCGATCAGTTCCATCTCTCACCCATGGCACCTCTGAGTGAGACACACTTGCCGGCGACGATACCAGATCCAACATGCGTGAGCGGTGAAATGATATCAATAGCCTCTCAGAAGTCTGGAAACTGGCGTCTTGAGCACCTTGCTTTTTGCATTGACTATTTTATTTCTCACGCTTCGGACGGCGAAAATTTATCGGAAGCAAAGACAACAGGGCTTGGCTGAAAGCCAACACCTTCGTAGCTGTTGAGCAGGAGTCAGGTGACTTGTCAGGTGACCAGGTCTCCAAAGGAGGAACTGGAGAACCGTAGGTTTGCCACCACCTCTTCTCAACCACAGTACCAATTTCATTATCTTTGTCTATCAGGCTGGCAGAGGTTTGCTAGAGGTTTTTCATATGTTTTTTCCATAGTCTTGATTATAGCATGTTCATCTATAAGTATTCTTGTCTCATTCATTAGAAGCAGATCAGACATAACAATATAGACACTCAGTCACATGATCATCATGTGCTTCTGTGTCATTTAATAGTTATGAGCCCAGACTCTTTCAAAGATTTGATTATTATCTAAAGATACATTCAAGATACTTTATTTTACTTTTGTTACCCATACAAATAGAGATCACTATTAAGTATCTTGAGATCATACATTGAATCTTCTATTTAAGCTTAAAATCTTAATTGCAGAGTTCATGGAGATCTAATGCATCTATATTTTATCAATCTAAGTCTATGAAATTCCATTCTCTAGAGTCAATGTCTCACTTCAATAATTAATTAAAAATGAATGAATTATCTAGAAGAGTTGTTATGCTGAATAGTTCTGATGATTGAGAAGAATGAATCAAAGACATTAAGTATTTAGCAAATCTTCATCAATTGTGACTGTATATTGATCTGACAAAAGAAATACATTTCAAACTTCAGAAACTCATTATAGAGAATTTTCTTTCTTCTGAGAAAACTGAAGAAATCACAACTTCTGCAGATACAAAACATGCAAGAAATATGCAAAGAGATCAATACAGAACTTAAGAGAAGAGAGTCTTAGCAATGCAAGAGCTACAGAAGACAATAAGAAATCATATAAATTCATCTCTGAAAATTCTTACAATAAGTGAATTGAACAGTGTAGAAGCTACTGCAAAAGAACATCTAAAAGCTTTATATGCTAGAAATGTAATGAATGCTTCTCAGTTAAAAGCTAGATTAGTAGAGAAATTCAAAACTCTTGAAGAAGAGTTAAAGAATCAATCAATTGAAGCATATTTACTGAACTATGAAGAAGTATTGAATCAGACAACTGTGTACAAAATGAATAAGTATATCTGTGAATCTTTTGTCTCAAAACAATTTCTAAGAGCAATCTCTTTAAATTATAGAGAGTTCTTCTATACATATCTATCTAAGCTTCTAACTGAGAAGAATTTGAATTGGGAACATGAGCTGAATGTTTATAGATATATTTAGATATTTTGGCAGTTGTTAAAGAAAGATGCTGAGCCAGATCAAAGTAATAAGCCATCAGCATATTCCACTGAAAGAATCATTTAAAATAAGCTGTTGAAGAAGAATAATGAAAATATAAACTCTGCATGTCTTTACAGAGAGCAACATAATTGGGCATACTGCTCATATTTTAATTCACTTGTTCAATCAATGGGCTGAAAATCAGATCCAAAAATTGATGATAAGATCAAGAAAGCATTGAAGAATCCAGTGAACAAAAGAAAATTAAAGAAGAAGATTGCAAATTGAAGGAAATTAAAGAATTTAAATACTAATGAAGAAGTTGACACTTCAGACAATGTGATAGATAATGATGCTAATAAAGCTGTTGTCAAGACATCTTCTAACTCAACTATCTTTGCTTCTGTAACAGTTTTTAACTTCACTAACATGAGCAATAAATATAAACCCTATTCATTACAGAACAGCTTCATATTAGATGAGAGTGCAGATGCACATATTTACAATGATTTTACAAAATTTCAAAACTACTGAAATGCTGATTCTTCAGATATTGTGCTCATTGAAAATACTCATTGTAAAAATCATAAATATGGTGATGTTGAAGTTTATACTCAAACATCAGCAGATGCTGACAAAATATTACTACAAAACATTCTCTACATTTCTGACTTTCATACAAATCTAGTAGCACATGAATTGCTGCATGCAAAGAATTGTTATTTAAATGACAAGTCTCTTACAGTTTACTACACTGACACAAGAGATATCTTGTTCAATTTGACTGTTAAAGAGAGAAAAATGGTCATTGAATATAGATCTATTAACATTGCAACAGACAGTATAACAAAGAGTGTCTTTACTGTCTCATTGAATGAAGATTCAGTTAAAAAATCAGTCATGATGTTGGTCTTCAGTTCACTAGAAATCATGAATATTTGACATCTGAGACTTAATCATCTGAACAGAAAGTCTCTGACACATCTCTTAAAGATGTCTATTAACATGAAATTTGAAAAGATCTCTCAGAGTTTTCTAATCATAAAGTGTAGATCTTGCACTCTTTTAAAAGCAAAGTAAATTATACACAGAACATCATCAGAAAGATCTATATGTCTGTTCATGAAAATATCTGTTAATCTTATACAGTTTGCTTCAGATTATAATGAAGATAGGTGGGCAGTTCACTTATATTGTGATTATACTCATCTGCACTATGTGAAAATGATGCAGCAAAAATCCAAAAGTTTGACATACACAGCAAAAATGATAAGAATAATTCTCAATTTATATCAATTAACTATCTTAACTATTTGAATTGATGGAGAGATCTCTATGCAGTCAGATCTGACAGTGTTGACTTGAACATATAATATAGTTGTTCAACATTTGACACTCTACATCTCAGCTCAAAATAGAGCTGCAGAACATGCAGAAGCTTTAATAACAACAGCAGCACATATAATGTGAATTAAAGTCAATTTGTCTGAGAATTTATGATCAGAATGTGTCAAGACTGCAGTGTATATTTTAAACAGAATTTCAGTTAAAGATTTTGATTGGAACACTTCTCTTAAATTCTTAGAAGAATATCTTCAAACTGCAACTTCTTTAACTAAAATTAGACATATAAGAGTTTTTGGCTGTAGAGTGTATTCTTTAATTAAGAATGCACAATATGAAAGAAATCAGAAACTGACTTCTAGAGCAGAAGTTGAATATCGTATTGAATATGAATCAATAAATATTTTTCACATTTGAATTTCAGTACAATGAAAAGTTATATTAACAAGAGATGTTATATTCAACAAAGATATGCTATTCAATTCTAATAAGATCAACAGCAAGCTTTTATTACAGAAGAGCTTCATTGTGTCAGATGTAATATTTTTCATTGAAGTAAGTGATATTAACAAGATAAGCTTAAATGAGCATGACAGTGAAGATGAAGACTCTGAGAAGAATACACTACATAAAAGTCAGAAGATCATTGATCAGTCAATAAAATTAATAAAGACAATGACTAAGACACTAACTGATCAATTAGAAGAGACATGTGCATTGTCAACATCAGAGTTAATATTAGAGTCATTAACTTCAGACATCTACATTCAATCTCTTCTGAATGATCTAACAACATCATTGACTGAAATAGAGACACTAAATCAACTTTCAATGACAGTCAATCATTCTGCCACAGAAGCTACAGAGACAGTGAGAGATGTTGTAATTAAGTTATCTGAAAGTATAACATCTACTACACTTTCTGCCACTAGTTCTACAGAGATGATGAGCATAAATGATGAACAATTAATAGTTAATTGTTCTGCTGTGAAGATGGTGAGCACTAATGACAGAATTTCAACAGTTAATCATTTTGCCACAGAAGCAGTGACATGGAATCATTACTGTACATAATACCAGAATAGTTAGCTACTTAGTCAGCCCTTCAAGCTTACCCACAAAGCTGGAAGGAAATAGGAGAATCATCTTCTACTACACAATCAAAATTGCATGGACATTCCATAGCTCAGTTAGATCAGATAACAAACTGATAGCATGTCTTGCTTGATTGAGGACTCTGAGAGCAGCCCAAAATTCTAAAAAATCTTACTGAAATACTCATGAACTCTAAACATATTTAACAAGAAATAATGGAACCAGCAAACAAAACCAGATCAATTATTGAGTCTCTCCCTAATTCTGTATTGCAAACAGCTAAATACATAATTAACTATAGCCAAAGTAACTCTAGCTCTCAAGTAATTTCACTTGGCACATGACATCTAGCAGAATTCA